GACTATATCGACTAATTGTTCTGAAACCGTCCTTGATTTAGGTAGTTGAAAGCCTTTTAGTTTAAGTAGTCGTGCGAACTCGGTTTTGTACGTCCGGTTAACTAAGTCCCATTGGTATGGCGACCATTGATGGAAGTCCTCGTACAATTTCGTAGTAAGTACTTCCTGTGGAGGGTCTAGGTGTATGATTTCCATCATTACGTAGCCGACGTATGTTGTTAATTGTTTCTCCGAAGGTCCTGTTTCGATATCGACTAAGTCTCCCCAGTATTTCGGATCTGTAGACTTCTTCCATATACTAATAGGAATAGTACTCTTTGCACTCATGTCTTCGTACGTGACCTCATAGTCATTTTCCTCCTCCTGGAGGAGGTCTTGCTGTACGATATCAGGTTCTCCTGATGTCGTCATGTTGGCAACCGTTTCGTATCGTACGGTATCTAGTTGGATGGTTGTTGAAATGTGCCGTTGCGCACACTATTTGCTAAAGTATTGCACGATAGGATTCTTGTCCGGTTACGACTCACCGCAGCGACAACAAGAATCTGTCTCGTACGATATTATAACAAACCGTCTTCTCAGGCTAGTTGTCCGGTTACGACTCACCGCAGCGACAACAACTAGGCTAAGGCTCTTAGCACAAGAGATTTCCTAGCGTGACCCCTTAGGTATTCTTTCGAATTTCTCGCCTCGTACTTGCGTACGAGACTACCCGGTAGCCCGGCCGTAAAACCTCGATCTTGTCTCTTCACTCTTGCTAATCTGTGATCGCACGATGCAATCACTCGTGACTGCCAAGCAATCACTGATCAGTGTTGAATGGGCTCTCTGTACGATCGTACTGTCATAAATGTAGGGTGAACCAAAGATTCTATTTTCCGTGATTACCTTTCCTAACTAGATGTTGCCTTCCGTACGAACAGATATATCTCTGTCCATACCTAGACACGAGTCGTGCATGACAGGTAATAAACCATGATCCCTTCCTCAGACATTTAGGTGTTACAGGTGCTAGTCATGCCACCTATACACCCCTTTGCCTGTGACAGCCTTGTCGTACGGTCATGTGATTATCGTTATTCCAACAATTATAGTAAAATAGGCGGTTACCTAGAATTGACTATCGCTGCCGGTCTCTTCCTCTTCGTTACTTTTACTAGTTTGTTCGGTTACGTAGTAGTATTGCTAGGGGTCTTCGGCGGTAGGTTATAAGTCTAACCCGTCGAAACCCTCGTATTAGACGAGAAATTAGCTATATGCTAGAAGTAACGTATCCTAGGCATATTAGGTAGTTTTAAACTTCTTGTATGCTTTTCGTCTCTCTTCTATAGTATGTTTAGTTAACTAGCAGTTAGGTTTTCTATATACGTAGTACTTCTTAGGCGTTAGTAGTAATAAGGGTTTGTTACGGCTTCTTCCTCGTAATAATCGACTTCGTAATAAACGACTATATCGTAAATAACGCCTTCGACCGTTAAAAGTTCTATCGGTCTAGTACTGCTTTAGTAGGTTGGCTACTATGTTGAATTGTTATTAGTTAAGACGGGTAGCTGTCTCGATCGACGAGATTAATTGGCTACGAAGTCCTTCGTACGTCTTAGCCGGTATAAATAACGCTATTATATACTTTAGAATATCTCTATAAGCATATAGAAGTTAGGTATAGAGGGATCGGTCGTTATGATCCTATTATAGCAAACCAGGCTAAATCTTGCTTAATTTATTATATAGTATATTAAAATACTCCGATTTAGTCTTTCTAGGGTTATCGCGAATGATTTAGGGAAGAGTAGTTATATTCTACTACGTAACGTATGCTTATTACCTTTCCCTAGTCTCGAAGTATGATTTTAATTAGTTGATTATAGTCTCGAAGTTAGGCTATAAGTTAATTACTTTAATCGAGGCGTAGAAGTAGGTTTTAGCTATTCCTTTTAGTATTAGGGGAAGTGCCTTGTTATATTAGGAGGTATAAATTCCTAGCATTCTATAGTAATCTACGAATACTAGCATCTTCTTTTCGAGTATATCGTATATATCGCCGCTATATTTTATATCGTCAGGGTATAGTTTCGCGAATTCTGTTAATTACTTTCCGATACGGTCTATTAACTCGTATAGTTAGAAGTCTATTAACGGAGAGACCGTAGGATATAGCGGTCGGTACGGTAGTTGCTACTATTATTATTCTTATAGAGGAGGTAGCTATAGGGTTGGTTCGACTCTTCCTCCTATGCTGTTAGCTACTATTGCCGGTCTCGTGATCTCTTCGTAGAATTCGGGGTCTTTTATTAAAGCCTTCAGGTTGCGATATCTCTTAACGCCTTATTCGAGTTCTTAAGGTAACTAATAGTAGAATTCTTCCTTTTTAAAGGCTAATGCTATGTTTTTCAAGATTTTCTTACTATCTATTTCGACGTAGACGCTGTTACTAATTAAATAGTTTCTAAAGAATCGTAGGATTAGGGGAGGTACGTTCTAGAAGTCTTCTTCTAACTAGTCGGCGAAATCGGGAGAAACTTCGTTCTATAGCTTAAGGCTTATAAGATTCCTCTTCTTATAGGTCTTAAGTAGGAAACCTATATAGGAACCTAGTTACTATAGGCTAGCGTTTATAAGGTCGATTGCCTAGTTGCTTTATACTACTAGATCGATTATACTTTCGATTCTCTATAAGATAGGGACTATTAATTAGCTTTTAGTAGTAACGCTGCTTATAAGCGATCCTTCTCGTAAATTTCGCTCTATTCTAATAGTATAAAAGGATTACTTCTATTTAGAATCTTAAATTCTAATCCTTAATAGCGTTAGCTACGATTAGTATAAGATATAGGCCTAGAAGTAGGAGTTAAAAGACGATTCGGGATATTACGATTCTAAGGGGAAAGAATCGTAAAATCGGGGATTTTCGTCGGTTCGTCGTTTATTTCCGTTAGCGCCGTTCTTGCTAATATTCTCGAAGGGTATAAGGGTATATATAGGTCTCGAATTAGTAAGGAGAGAGTTCTACCGTAGATTCTCTCGTAAATCTCTCTTTCTCGCTTTAAGCTTCGCTCCTTACTATTAGGAAGTTTAGAATCTAGTAGATAGTTAGCCTTATAACGCTTATAACTACGTGCGTTTCTCCTAAGCCGTAGCCTCGGAGGCGTATACGTATAGCTATATAAGCGGATTACCGCCGGTAGTTTCTACTTGCCTTTCGGCGTATTCTTCTTCTAGTAGGGAGGTCTCTTATAGCAAGCGCCTTGCGGTTAGCACCTTATCTAGGGATTTATTAAGAAACTAGCAGGCGCTTCGTAATTAGCACCGCGCGTAGGGGATAGTTATAGTTAGGGAAGTTATTATCCTTTATAAGATTTGTAAATCTTCGCCTTTATAACGTAAAGAAGTTAGAAGACCGTCGATTTGGTAGGTCTCTTCTTCTAGTAATTAAAAACGCGTGATGGAACGCTTTTGCTAGCGATAATTAGCTACGATTAACCTTATCCCGCCTAGGGTAAGCATAGTAGTCCCTAGGTTACTCGAATAATCGGATTACTAGTAGATTCGAGGAAAAGAAGCTTTCTTCTACTAGTTTCCGTAGATCCTAGTTACTCTCGCTTCTTCTCTCGTTAGTACGAAATCCCTACTTTTACCTAGGCTTAGGTATCTAGTTTAAGAAGTCGTCTCTTCTAGTATTAACCTTGCTAATCTACGGTTTGTCCGTAGTAGAGTAGTAATTATAAAGTTAACTAAATTAATAGCAACTATAAGGTTTACTACTGATCAGTATAGGTTTCACAGGGGGTGAAACGGAATTCCGTTCGTTAAATAACAAATAATAGTAAATTAGTTCTAATCGATAGTTCATAATAGTTGAAAGTAGTGTTGTTAACTAGAAGGTAGGGATATTCCCCCTTGGCCTGTCACGTGGGTCTAGGAGGCTTGGGCCTCTCAGCCTGGCGGGCGTGTGGCTGGAAGTGCTACACGACTCCGTATTCCAACTATCGCAACAGCTTCCAAGTTAGAATCGAAAAGGAGGGCTTTCCAAATTAGCCTTCAGCAGAACTATGCTGTAGTGAAGTAGTTCGTTCTGGACGATAGGGCTTCTGCATTTAAAGATGGCTCCACTGCCAATGGTAACAGTTGCATTTTGGTTGGTTGCGGTGTCAGGTTAGCCAAACAGTCTTTCAATTGTCAGTCTGAAGGATATTACAAGCCTTTCTGAGTCTACAACCGCATTTACTCTTCTGACCAAAGGAGTTGATACAATCTAAAATGCTGAGCTAGTCGTGTTTTGTAGAGTTTCTGAGACATTTCTTCGGAAATATGGCTCTCCAAGCTATGAAAGATCACTGCTGAGCCCTGGAGACGCTGCTGAAAGCGCAAGAGGTAGTTTCCGAGACATTGGAACACGCATAATTACGTGATGATAGCGAATTCTGATGCTGTGTCACTGTGCTATGGCTTTTTGTCCTTTGGGGCAGCGCTGGCTACTCGCTGGCGTTCTTCATATATTATCAATATGTGGCAGAAAAGATGTATCGAGGCTTACTTCAATTTACGATTTCCATGGTTACTATGTTACTGTCCGTTCATTTGCGGCCGGTTGGAAGTATCTTTGTCCTTAATTCGTAAGCCATCCCTGATATAGAGAAATGGCCTGGTAGAAAATTGGTTATAAGAAAGAAAATGACGCTATCGGTATTGCTGGCGTAGCCAGGGAGTCTACTGCTGCAAGATTTGCAGCGTCAACGGGCGTTTTGTGGAAACTACATCACTCACTCGTAAAATGCCAGACAGAACCTTTTATGATGCCTTTTTGTTGTGCCGTATTTGTTTACGTCTTGATTAGATGGACGTGGTATGCTTGTGACGAAACGTAAAAGACAACAGATGAATAAATCGAGACAAAAGGCCAACATATACCACTCAAAATAACTGAAAACCAACCACAGCGCCTTATACTCCTTGCCATTTGGTCGACCACCTGTGCTGTTTTTTGATTGTACCGCCGTCTCTCATTTGGTCTTTACATCGGGTGTCAAAAGCGGATGCGGTCTTGGCCCAGGGCTTGGTTGCTCGTGTTTGATTGGAGTCTGGGCTTCCTTCTTCATGTCAATCAAAATCTGCGTAATCTTTTGCAAACGCTCGTCGATTCGATCGATTTTGTCTCTACTTTTGCACCAATGGTTGTTAGTACGTTAAAAAAAAAAACAGTGAAACACTTTTTGGGCTACTCAACAGCACAACATGGTCACTTACTACTCTGGAGATATTAACACTCTCTGTGCGTGAGTTTTGTGTTGTAGGTGAAGTTTTCGCTCACAAGCTACCCCTGACTGTTGGCAGCCTGTACATGGGGAGCCTTTGCTGCAACGGATCTAGAAAGGAGATTAGTAAATTATTGATCGAAATAACCATAGTTGTGCGTTCGAGTAGCTATTAGGAACGTTGGGTGACACAAGAGGTGGCTGTGCAATGGCTTAAGCTGAAGCATCAGAGATAAACCGACCTTTCGGGAGCGGCACAAATCGCACTAATGTGTTGATTAGTATCAAAATTTAGTGTACGCATGGCTTTTGGCTCGTCGATTAGCTACTTAGTTGGTGCTTACCGAACGAAGCCCCGGTGACCGGGACTCGGCCTCCGCGTTCTCCACCTTCAGTTGGTTCATGTTAAACCAGCTTCGTAGCGTTTTCGAAGAATCAACGGACGGAGAAGGACAGAGAATTGGCCCGAAGGGACTGAATATACCAGCTGTCCAGAGACCGATTCTGAGTTAATAGATATCGACGGTCATATGGGTTGTGCCAAGTAAAAGAATACCGCATTAGTCTTCCCGCGCGTGGATTCGTGATCCTGTCATGTGGCGCTTCCGGGGCTGTCGGCGCCCGCGCATTCCGAACGCGAGCCGAGAGTCGTATAGTTTATGTACCAATTGATTAAATCACTAGTTAAATTCAAGACCAAGAGGTTGCCCAGAAACATGCGTCTACTACGTAAGGAGTGATAGGCCAATCTACTGTTTCTCCAGGCTCCGCGGATACACAACCCGGTTATACGGGGCCCAATAACAACCAAAGACGGTCCCTAAATTGAGTTGCACGATTCATGTTTGTTTGGAGTTAGAGAATGGATGGGGCGACACTGTCAATAAGAGCTGACATTGAAGGCTTGAGTTTTCGGTTCTAAGCATGTGTGAACTTTTTAGTATACCTACGTAACAAACAGTCCCAATCAACCCCGGAGAGAGCAGGTACTGAAGAGAACGAGATGACTGAAATCAGAGTCAGACTGTAAGGAAGCTAACAGCGGATCCCGGACCGTCCGGAGGCCGAAGTAGCGGGACTCCGCGGGCGTGTGGGGAATGTGGGTTACAACTGTTAAGATCCCGGCCTGCCGCGGACCCGGGGAAATGGTAAGACACGGCCAGAACATGGGGAGGCGCAAATGTAATAAATAGTTTACGACTGCCATCGATTCTTCTGGCCAAAACATGTTTTTTTTTTTTTTGTCATATTGGGACCAAACTAGGTCCGGTCCACCGCATGGAGCTTGGGCTGAAATATTGACTCCTCACAACACAAAGCTCCTATACTGGCAGCCTGGGTAGAACAAAGAAGCTTGGACCTCATTCTCTACAGAACCCTCTGCTGTGCCCCCTTGGCACAGCTACCACTTCTGTGTATGGAGAGACATCTGTATGGTTTCTTTGTCAACTCTTGCAACTTCATGATTACCATGGAATAATGCGTTGCCAGACATGACTCGGACATACCACGCTAAGTCACTTCGCAATGGCTTTGGCAGGGCTGAATGTGAAAAGACCCTCTCTTATTGGTATCCGGCAATAATGAGTGGGGGGAAATCGATAGCAGAGGGCTGCTATGATGTGGGGTTTGTCACAGGACAAAGAAGTGCCGGGAGACAAAAGGTGCTGAAGAGTTTGTTATGAAAGCAATTCCCCGAGGTGATCTTCGCCAGGACAAGCTTGTCAAAACTGGGATATTGAAACATGTTCCATTAAGCATTCTGATCGTCGTCGCCAACTGTGTAACGAAAATTCCCGACAGAATGGTTCTCTACTCGGGTGTCGTAGATCCATTCCTGGCAGCAGCAGCAGCCATCTTCCTCGGCATCATCGTCACAGTTCTGAGGTCGAAGAGACAACAAATCCCGCCCGGAACGATCCTCCCGCCGGGGCCGAAAACGAAGCCCCTCATTGGCAATCTCCTTTCCATCCCGCCGGTTCACTCATGGCTCGCCTTTCACGAACTCATCAAGGAGCACGGTCCCATCGTCAGACTCTCAATCCCGGGCCAAGAGCACGTCCTCCTCGGAACCGAGACTGCCGCCAACGACCTCCTCCGCCAGCGCGGCAACACCTATAGTGACCGCCACCATGCTCCCGCCTCATCGCATCTGCTTACTGACGACCATATGCTGTTGTTGCTTCCATACGACGAGCGATGGCGCAAGTATCGAAAGTTTCTGCACCAGGTGACCATGTCGCCTGTCGCACCGCATTATGAGACTGAGCAGAGGATCGAGGCCGTACGGTTATTGCGCGATTTGATCCGCGACCCCCACGACTACGAAGCCCTCTTTGAGCGTTTTAGCGTCGGTATAGGCATGAGGTTAATCTACGGCTTGCGCCTCGAGAGCGGGCATGATCGCGACGCCAGGATGATTCTGGATATTGTTCACGAACTCGAGCGCGCCGGCTCCCCCGGCGCGTATTTGGTCGACCTTTTCCCGTCACTAATGTATATCCCAGAGTGGCTAGCACCTTGGAAAAAGTACCTTCGGGCACGGAGGCGACGCGACGAAGACTTTTTCCAGGAGCTCATTGATCGGAGCAAGGCCCCTTCCTGGGCTCGGGTTTGGATGGACACCAAAGAGCAATGGGGACTCACGCGACGTGAAGCCAACTGGATGCTTGGGTCCGTCTTTCAGGCCGCCGCGACAACATCAGGCTCTGCTCTCGCGTCATTCGTGCTTTGCATGATGCGGAATCCCGGTTGGTTCGAGAAGCTGCAGAAAGAAGTCGACTCGGCCGTTGGGTCTGATAGATTGCCGACTTTCACCGATATCCCTCAACTCCCTCTTGTCAGAGCATGTGTCAAGGAGACTTTGAGGTACTACCCAATCACTGCAGGCGGATTTCCTCATCGCCTGACGGAGGACGACACATACAACGGGTATTTCCTCAAGAAGGGTACCGTGGTGCACGCAGTGCAGTGGGCCATCCAGCGGGACCCGGAGCTCTACCCGGATCCCGAAACTTTCAATCCAGACCGCTGGCTGCATCCATCATTTCCCACTTACAAAGAGCCTCTTACGGTCTATCCAAATTTGCAGAACTTCTCTGCCTTTGGCCACGGTCGACGTATATGCCAGGGAATTAATATTGCCGAGAGGAGTCTAAACCTCAAGATTGCGTTGCTGGCTTGGGGGTGTAACATTAATAGGGCCAAGGATGGCGACGGCAATGAGATCATACCGCCTCTTTATAACTTTGTTGAAGGGTTCAACGTCCAGCCTAAGAAATTCGATTTTGATCTCAAGCCAAGAAGTCTGGAGCGGGCGGAGTTGATAGAGAAGGCTTATGAGCAATCACTAAAGGAAGACCCCCTGCTTCGGTAGATTATCAGTGTTTTCCTACGAAATCACTTAATACAGTACGCGTTGAAAGCATTACATACAAGTCAGTGAGGTTGTCTTATGCTATTAAAATCGGACAAGATGATGATGTACCTCGGCTTTAAGAAGGGTATCAGGACGATACAAGTGGATAATCAAAGCTGCTCCAACCAGTGTTACGGACCTCAAGTCTCCGAATCACATTAGTTTGAATTATTAAACTTGAAAAACAACAATACAGTAACTCAATGAATAGCCGATCTATACCCCCTTTTTCCACATCCGATTGTGCCATACCGTGGTTCGCCTTGTCCCTGATAGTACAAAATGGCCAGTGGGTGTGTCAATAGAGTCTAGATCATCGCCTCATGAACCATACAATTAAAGTAGTTTACAAGCTCTCTCACATGCTTATGCCGACGCCAAGCATAGGAGTAGCCGCATTTGTTCCCGGCTCATTGATCCGTTTTTTCAGCTCGATGCTCAGGCTCTGAATGGCCCTGATTAACGGCACAAAGTCTCTCTCGCTCCTCGATGATATAGCCATCGCTTCTCCCAGTCGTTCAAGTAACTCAACGTCTTCGATATGAGCTCGTATGTCAGATGAGTGTATCACGCTACTCATCAGACACGCGTACGCGACGTAGAGGCGGTACATTCCGAACAAGACGCAAATCGCCTCTGGAAATGGGTTCTTGATGAGAACGAATTGGACAGCGGATAGGAGACGGCGCGAGGCGTCCACAGCAAGCGGCGAATCGGGGACGTCAGAGTCCGACATGACAGGCTGCGGTGAGTTGGATCGGAGGATCGAAAGCTTGCGCAGCATGAAAATGATGTAGGTGTAGCCCATCAGGACCACGTCGGTAGCCATCCAGGCCTCGCTTTTGCTTCCGGTATTCATCGTCTTTCGGTACCATTCATCCTAGCAAGAGCCCATGTCAGTGATATCGAGTGGAATTTTAGGGGAAGCTTGGTGGACTTACGATTCTCCATTCTTCGAACAGCTCAAAGACTTCCCGACATAGCTCTTCGGTCTTACGCCGAATGTCGTCGTCGCTGCTGTTGGTATTTTCCAGTGCTTGGAAGAATCTGGACACTATGAAGGTGAAACGTGACCCAATGATGAATGTCATAGTTGGGACGGCGTTCATATCCGGTGTTGCGTTCATTGACAGCCAAGGAAGATTAACCTTCCAGGAATTTAGGTTCGACGTGATATATGGCGGCTTGTTGAAGAGGAGTCTGTAGAAAAAGTCCATCTGTATCATTTCCCAGAACCCTTTTCGGTCATTGTCCAGTGTGGATTGGTCGACCAGAGCTGTGCTGGTCGTTGGGTTGGCGTCAAGGTTATGAAGGTTGAGTTTTTGGGCGTATTCACAAGCATAGGTGTACATTCGCCAGCTTAGCTCCTCATCAAAACATTCTGCGGCTGCGCGACACTAGTTTTAATTCATGTTAGTAAGCTAGCTCTGCAAAATAAAAGTGTGTTTTCGAGTTTACCATGAATACAGCTGCGATAAAATCCGTCGTTGTCCCTGTCGCTTCGCGTTGCCACAGGGGAAGAGAGCGGAGGCAACAGAGATACAACATGCGTACGTATTGTATTCCGTCGGCGCTGCCCTCGAATGTCGCTCCGAGAGCGCATCCATGATAGAGAACCCCAAAGTACACAACAAGAATTGCAGGGTCAAGATGAACATGCGGGAGTTCGAGAAGGTCGGGGATTAACTTGATAAGCTTGAGGTTTATCAGACTGACAAACATCTCCGTATGCATGTGCGTGAAGTAGTCTGGCGGCCGTATCAGTCAAATGCTGCAACATGGGGTAGATAGGAAAGTTGAGGGGTCATATTCGAAGTTGGATACTCACTTTCAATCCATTGCTTGCTCAGATCTGATGGAATCTTGACGTTTTCAGTAATGGCAGCAGTGGATATGCTCTGTAACCTCAGTCGTTGCACCTGATCGACGGCATCTTTAAGGATGGCGGCCGTATCAATCTCGGGCGTTGCGCTAGGTGTAGCAATCGACGTCCATGGAGATGTCGCAGCTCCACCAGCGGCACTGGAGGGACAAGGAGAAGGGACATTTGACGGTGTGCTCTGAGACACCGATGCATGCTGATGACCTATAGAATCAGGGGCGGGAACAGGGGGTACATCTCGAGTACCGAGTGGTTGGGTCGCGTTAGGAAGCGTGGTGCAGTGCTTCTCAACTCGCTGTAGCCGCTCAAGGATGGTGGATAGGGCGTCATCGGTTGTTCTAGAAGCCGACGATGACGGAGTTTGAGCCAGGGATCTCTGACCACACAACTGTAAAGAAGGGCTGCAGGGGCGGAGCTTACGATAGGCGGTCCGTCAGAGTCCGAGTTATTTTCCTTTTCACCCTTTGGGGATAAACACATTCTATGCCATGCGATTTGCATCTGTCGCAACTTGGCATCACCCGGCTGCACCGAACCTGTTTGTGTTGAAGAGATTGTAAGACAAGGCAACGTCAATACCTCTGTAAGTGAAATGTTTACTTACCTTTCTATGTTTACATTTTCTGCACTATAAACGTGTATTTGAAAGCCAATATCAGCCGCAAGTCAACAATACGGAATAAGTAACACCAGTTGCCAGAATGAGGAGGTCGGGCGATGGGCATTGGCAATCTCCGCTACATACCGAAAGCGGGTTCAGCTGTGCTGATTGATCCGCCATGGCTGACTAGTCTCTCTGGAGGTTTGGAGGGCGGAGAATTGGTCTCAAGGACAAGCGAATGCTGAGACTGCAAAGATTGAGGGGGGAATTGCAAAGGACAAATACACTATGTCAAGGCCCGCGACCAAACCCACCTGAGCCGCTCTATCCCACCATAGTTCAAAGAGTCTGGGACACAATATGATTTAATTCTCAAAGTCAAATTTGCTGTCCCTGATTGGCTTGGCAAAGGTGGATGTGACCTGCGCAAACCCGCGCAAGACCGTGCTACGGGGCCCGCGGACAGCTTAGAACGGAGTCCCGAGAACGCCGCCTGCTGGGCGGATGAGGAAAAGCTAATCCTCCGAAGACCAGAGATGATGTAATGATTCTATAGCCCAGCCGTTCGTAGCTGTCACCAGCTGGCCAAAAAGCCAAGGCAAGCCACATCAGCAACTTGAATCGTGGCTAGCTTCGATGTTCCAGATCGACATTAGCGAACTTAGTATGGGGATCTTGGCAGAGTCCGAATCTATGTTTCATAGGGCTGAAGTTCTCTTTAAAAACTTCTTAAGCGGACTTTCGGACTCTCAGCAACCGAACGTCCGTTACACTTAGCACCATCAACCAAGAAAAAAAATACTGTTGTTGGCAACAGACATTCAAGATGATTGTTAATCAAAAGATAAGCTCTTTGAGCAATTTGAATAAATACATATCCCACAGTCATCTCAAAGTTAAGATGGTACTCTTCTTCCTTACCGTTTCTAGGCAGTTCGGTTTCAACCGATGATTGTGCCACATTACTACATTGGACTCATTTTATACCACATCGTTATTTTTGTATTCAAAACTTTATCATTTTTCAAGTCTGTTCGTCTTGTGTCATCTGGTCTGAGCGACCTCTCCACTCGAAATGCGGTCTGACAGCGACACGGAGACAGAGAACGGCGCTCTGCCTCTCCCTGCTACAAACGAGAAGCAGCAGCAGCAGCAGCGCCCGAATTCGGGATCGGCAACGACCATCGTAGAGAAAGAATGGGCAAAACACGATAGCAACGCCGAAAGCGAAGAGAGGATGAACGACGAGGTTCAACAGCTTGCTCGGCGACTTACTACGCAATCCCACGGTCCTCCAGGTTCTTTATTTCCCGTACCTGCTGAGGGCCCTTTGAATCCTAGTAGCGCGTCATTCAACGCCAGGAAGTGGGCAAAGGCGTTCTACGATATCCGGACAGATACCTCTGAAGGAAACCCACCCAAGACGACCGGCATCGCTTTCAAGAATCTCAATGTCTACGGTTTTGGCACGTCAACTGATTACCAGAAGAGCGTGGGCAATGTCTTCTTCGAGACGGCATCTCTCGTCAAAAAGCTCATGGGTGCCAAAGAGCAACGTATTGATATTCTTCATGACCTCGAGGGCGTTGTTCATGGCGGCGAGATGCTAGCTGTCCTGGGCCCACCTGGATCTGGATGTTCGACACTGTTGCGAACTGTCGCTGGAGAAACTCACGGGTTTCACATTAGCGACGACGCGACGATCAATTACCAGGGCATCCACCCCAAGCAGATGCGTACGGCGTTCAGAGGTGAGGCAATTTATACTGCCGAAGTCGACGATCACTTCCCCCATATGACAGTCGGTGACACGCTCTACTTTGCGGCACGGGCCAGATGCCCCAAAAACGTCCCTGAAGGTATCACGAAGCGGGAGTATGCCGAGCATCTTCGCGATGTTATGATGGCTATGTTTGGTATTTCGCATACTAAGAACACTCGCGTGGGTAATGACTTCGTCCGTGGTGTCAGTGGCGGTGAGAGGAAGAGAGTCACCATTGCGGAGGCGGCGTTGAGTTATTCTCCCTTGCAGTGTTGGGACAACAGTACCAGAGGTCTTGACAGTGCCAATGCTCTTGAGTTCTGTCGAACCCTGAGAACTCAAGCAGATGTCATGGGCAGCACATCTTGCGTTGCCATCTATCAAGCATCTCAAGATGCGTATGACGTAAGTCTATCCAATCCGTAAAAGGAACTTTCAACCCTAACAAGATCAAGGTGTTTGACAAAGTGATCGTTCTTTACGAGGGGCGACAGATTTTCTTCGGCAAGACCGGTGAAGCCAGGGCTTACTTTGAGGGACTCGGCTTCGTCTGCCCAGAACAGCAAACAACGGCCGATTTCCTTACTTCAATGACCAGCCACCAAGAACGCATCATTCGCCCAGGATGGGAAGGCAAGACACCGCGTAGCCCCGACGAGTTCGCCAAGGCCTGGAAAGCTAGTCAAAACCGTGTGCGTCTGATGGAAGAAGTCGAAGACTACCTCCAACAACACCCCTTTGGTGGCGAGCACTTCCAAAAGTTCCTCGAGTCTCGCCGTATTGATCAGTCCAAGTCGCAGCGCGCCAAGTCCCCATTCACGCTTTCTTACATGGAGCAGATGAAGCTGACCCTCTGGCGTAACTGGGTGTTGCTTAAGGGCGACCCTAGCATGACGTTAACGATGCTCATCACCAACATCTTCGAAGCCCTAATCGTCAGCAGTCTGTTCTATAACCTGCCCGCAAACACATCTAGTTTCTTCCGCCGCGGTATTCTTCTGTTTTTCATCGTCATTATCAATGCTTTCGGAAGCATCCTCGAGATCATGACGCTGTACGCGAAGCGCAAGATTGTGGAGAAGCATTCTCGCTACGCCTTGTACCATCCATCTGCAGAAGCCCTTTCAGCCATGATTGTCGACTTGCCCTATAAGATCGTCAACGCCATCCTGATGAACACAACTCTCTACTTCATGGGCAATCTGCGTAGGGAGCCTGGCCCCTTCTTCTTCTTCCTACTCATCTCTTTCACGATGACATTGACAATGTCGATGATGTTCCGCCTCATTGGCTCCGTTACAAAGTCAATTGCCCAAGCACTTGCTCCGGCGTCCATTATCCTGCTTCTCATCGCGTTATATACTGGTTTCGCTATCCCGCCGCAGTACATGCAAGACTGGATTGGCTGGGTCCGGTGGCTCAACCCGGTTTACTACGGCCTTGAGAGCGTCATGCTCAGCGAGTTCGTTGGTCGCGATTTCGCCTGCTCCAATTTCGTGCCAATGGGGCCTGGCTACGACTCCGTTGCTGCGAACGAGAGGGTTTGCTCTACAGCTGGATCTGTCCCGGGCCAAGACATGGTCAGTGGTACCACTTACCTCGCCACGTCTTATGGCTTTAAAAACGCCCATCGGTGGAGGAACTTTGGCGTCTTGATCGCATACATGATTCTTTTCATGGGGCTTCACTTGATCGCCACTGAGTACATTGCTTCTGAGCGCTCCAAAGGCGAGGTTTTGGTCTTCAGCCGCAAGGAGATGAGCAGGCGTCGCAAGCGGGGCGTTGCCGACGTCGAAACCGGCGCGGTTGGTAGGGCTCAGCAAAGCAGCGGCAGCGAATCTGACAGTGTGGCTGGAATGGAGAAGCAGACATCCGTTTTCCACTGGAAGGATGTATGCTATGACATCAAGATTAAGGGTGAGCCCCGGCGAATTCTGGACCATGTTGATGGTTGGGTCAAGCCTGGCACTCTGACTGCTTTGATGGTACGTTTTCCTTCCACGAGGCACTGCAACCCGTGGAAACATGGTCAACTAACTTGAGATGATAGGGAGTTTCTGGGGCTGGAAAAACTACTCTACTCGACGTTCTAGCTACTCGTGTCACAATGGGCGTCATCACAGGCGATATGCTGGTTAACGGCCAACCTCGCGACGATTCCTTCCAACGGAAAACAGGCTACGTTCAGCAGCAAGATCTTCATCTTCATACCTCAACCGTCCGCGAGGCCCTCACCTTCAGCGCTCTCCTCCGACAACCGGCTACTTACTCTCGTGAGGAAAAGCTCGCCTATGTGGATACTGTGATTGGCCTTCTCGGAATGGAAGAGTACTCGGATGCCGTTATCGGTGTTCCTGGAGAGGGTCTCAATGTTGAGCAGAGGAAAAGACTCACCATCGGCGTCGAGCTCGCGGCTCGTCCTCAGCTCTTGCTGTTCCTCGACGAACCCACTTCAGGACTCGACAGCCAGACCTCGTGGTCTATTTGCGATCTCATGGAGAAATTGACAAAGAACGGACAAGCAATCTTGTGCACCATCCATCAGCCTTCAGCGATGCTCTTCCAGCGGTTCGATCGACTTTTGCTTCTTGCAAAGGGAGGCAGGACCGTATATTTCGGCGAGATTGGAAAGAACTCGCAGGTTCTAGTCGATTATTTTGTTCGTAACGGCGCTCCGGAATGCCCTCCCGGGACCAACCCGGCAGAGTACATGCTTGAAGTCATCGGTGCCGCGCCCGGTGCCCACACCGACATCGACTGGCCTGCCGTCTGGCGGCAGACGCCCGAGTACCAAGGTGTTCAGGACGAACTAACTCGGTTGAGTGCTGGTCGCCCGGCCCAGGGGCATCAGAGTGAGGATACGTCCAGCCATGCGGAATTCGCGGCTGGTTTAAGTACTCAATTCATGGAGGTCACGAAGCGTGTCTTTCAGCAATACTGGCGCAGCCCTGGTTATATCTACTCCAAGGGTGTTTTGACCTTTGGCGCTGTAAGTTCATCAGAAATGTTGTATATGCTGTTTAAACTAACCGGACCAGGCCCTTTTCATCGGCCTTTCTTTCCTAAACGCGGAAAATACCCAGAGAGGCCTGCAGAACCAAATGTTTGGCGTCTTCATTTTCCTCACAATCTTCAGTCAAGTCGTTGAACAAATCATGCCCATCTTTGTTTCCCAGCGTACCATGTACGAAGCCCGCGAAAGACCTTCCAAGACGTACTCATGGAAGGCGTTCATGGTTGCCAACATTCTGGTGGAGATGGCTTGGAATTCGGTAAGGGACATCCCAAAACGATATCAACAGCTAGAAACTATACTGACGAGATATACTAGCTCGCTTCCGTCTTCTGCTTCGTCTGCTGGTACTTCCCCATCGGCCTGTATCGCAACGCCTACCCCACAGACTCCGTTGACTCCCGCGGTATCACCATGTTCCTCATCGTCTGGGCTTTCTTCATTTTCGCCGGCACCTTCGCCCACATGGTGATCGCTGGTCTTCCGAATGAAGAAATCGCAGGTGGAATCGTCAACCTTTTCGCAATCATGATGTTCCTATTCTGCGGGTACGTCCCCCTCTCGACCCAAACTCATGAAAATTTCCAACTGACAAACCTCACAGCATCCTCGCGGGACCGGACACCCTCCCCGGCTTCTGGATCTTCATGTACCGCGTCAACCCTTTCACCTACGTCGTCGAGGGTTTCCTCGGAACATCCCTCGCCAACGCCCCGGTCCACTGCGCCTCGAACGAGTTTGTACGGTTCAGCGCCCCGAGCGGACAGACCTGCGGCGCGTACATGGCGAACTACATCTCCGCCGCTGGAGGCTACCTGTCCGACCCGGATGCGGGCAACGGCACCGAGTGCAGCTACTGTGCCATGTCCGAGACCAACACGTTCCTGAAGAGCATCAACGTCGATTTTGGAAACCGGTGGCGCGATTTCGGGTTGCTGTGGGTGTACTGCATTTTCAACATTGCCGCTGCCGCCTTGATTTACTGGCTGGTGCGGATGCCGAAGAAGACGAGCAAGGCGAAGAAGGAGTAGAGAGTACTAACTATTGAGAATGGTGTTTTCTCATATAATATTGCACGGGTTATGGAGGGAACCTGCCAGTGTAGATTCCATACATATTTGGTGGCATGGTCCTCGTTAATAAAATCATAGACAGAATGCTCAATTTATAGACTGTAGATATTAGTCGTTGTTTCCTTTCTTCGGGCACTCTCTGAAGTTGCTCCGCACCAATTTTTATCTTGTATGCTACGTACAATCACTGCAAATAATGACAATTGGCGTCTTATTTGACTCATCACCGACTAGTCCGGATATTTGAACATCCTTCATCAGTGTCATTGAGCATACCTTTTCTGCCTAACTAACAGGAGTACCGCACTTTGGGGAAAATCCAGCCAAGTGCCACGGTTGGAACAACACGCAGCAACAAAATCAGCATATCGCTATCTGGTCTTTTCTTCCGTCATCGACTTACCGTCAGGTGTTACCTCTCAATGCCCCGTACGGAGAAACAATCTTCAACGCCAAACAGGATCGAGATTAAAGCACGAACACGCTGTCCTGTAGAAACCAAGAAACCACACCACAAGCATGACGTTTCCTGTATTAAACAAAACACCAACTCACGTGTACACTGTCGTCAGTTCGACCTTGAGGCCTGAAGATATCATCAACAAGGCAGCAACGTCCAATCCAACCCCCCCAAACCAAGGAGACAAAAAGCCCCAAGCAATGCCACACCATGCAGCTTATTCTTCTGTCGAATTCTTCGGCCTCGGTGTTCCAACGCCAGCTCCGCCATATAACACGTCATTTAAGATGACAAGAAGGCGCACATCTCACCCTGGCGGCTGCCAGACAAGACAATTTCTTCAGTTCGGCCCGAGGCGATCCCGGCGAGACATTGGCAGTGTCGATCTGATCGAGCTGGTTTCTGAAGAAGTCTCGCAATATGAGTAGACTCATCCAGGGGAGGCGTAAATCATCGATATCAAATTTCACACAGTCGTAAACCGCATGCTGACGTTATACAGCGTAACATGAACCAACGCTCGCCTTCAACCCCCCCATGTTTCACCAGAACGAACAAGTCCCCCTCGGCACCACGCAACAAACGCCACGACTGGAATAATATAGTTTGAATTGCCCAGAATCAGTCATTTGAAGAGGAAAAAAAAAAAAAAAATCTCAGCCCCCAATAACCCATTGAGATGTCGGCAGCTTACACCATTTCAAGTGCCAGGGGACACACCATTGACGGCGGCGGCGGCGTCCAAACAAGGCAAAGCCCTAGACATGCGTGTCAGCAGCCGGTCCTGGCTGCCAGCCACTTCAACGCCCTGTCGTAACTCAACCTAACTAAGTACACGGATACCAGGGATACATATCAAAAGGATTGTGAACTTGGGGTCCGGCAAGGGAGACACAGAATCAGGGCGATGGTATTTGCAAGTCACACTGTCGGCTGTTTAGTCTCGTTCCGTCAGGATGACCTTACAAGCAGAACAATCTAGGATAGACAAAGACGTGACCTCGGCGCTGAGACTCAAAGGCGACTGCGTAGGTATACACACACACACACACATATATATATATATATATAAAATGGCGCTCATTTAAAGAAGGAGACTTGGCAAGGAGAATCAGTTCTGATCAGTCTTTTATCGCGTCACCTACAACCTGTCTTTTCACACTTGCCACTACCTTATTTCCCCCTCGAAGAACTGTCCTGGTATCGCCAGCACGACATGTTTCTCACGATTTGTGCTGCCGTGGTGGTGGCTTACTACATCGTCAAACACGCCCTCACGAAATTCCACAGACGAAGGTTGGCCAGAGAACACGGCTGTCTCCCGCCACAAAACCAGTCCATAGGCGGCGACCCCATCATCGGCCTCTCTCTCGTTCTCGAAACCGTCCGTCGCGCGAGGCAGAACGAGTATCTCCGACTCGGCCATGAGCGGTTCCGCAAATTTGGCACGACGTACGTCAACAAGCGCCTGCTTTACGAGACGGTGAGCACAATCGACCCGGAGAACGTCAAAGAGGTTCTCGGCACGAGCTTCCAGGACTTTGAGATGCCGGCTATCCGTGTAAAGGCTCTGGCACCATTTCTAGGCGACGGCATCTTCACGACGGATGGTCCGCAGTGGGCGCACTCGCGGAGCCTCATGCGGCCCATCTTCACGAAGCACAACATCGCGCCGCAGTTGGGGCGCTTCGAGGTACATGTGGAGCGGCTACTCCATCATATACCCAACAACGGAGCGACGGTCGACCTGAGACGGTTGTTTTTCAACCTGACGCTGGATGTTGCGACTGAGTTTGTATTGGGGCGGAGTACAAATACTTTAGACCCGCAAAGCGCGACGGAGGCTGAAGGCCAGTTTGCAAATGACTACATGAGGTGCTGCGAAGAAGCGGCGCGGGTGATACAAATGGGACCGTTTTATAGCTTCTCGTCAAGCAACTCTGTGGCTCAAGAGCGTGATCGAGCGTGGAGTTACGCATACAAATACGTCGACGAAGTGATGGCGATGCGGAGCAAGGAGAAAGACGTGGAAGAGGGCGGTGGCAGCATGGGGTATAATTTCCTTACGGAGTTGGCCAAGGAGACTGATAACCGTGAGACGCTCAGGGACCAGGTCATGAACATACTCATCGCGAGCCGAGACACAACGGCGGCGCTGTTGGGGAATTTGTTCTTCATGCTGGCACGTCATCCTAAGGCGTACGCAAAGTTACGTGAGGAGGTGACGGCGATCGTGGGTAACGATCTGCCTAGCGAAGCACATATCAGGGAGCTAACTTGGCTTCGGTATTGCATCAATGAATGTAAGCTCCCCACTCTTTCCGGCGGCTCATCCGGGAGGGAAAGCTCTCGCCTGTTCACATTCTGACTCGAGATAGCACTGCGGTTGCACCCGCCCATCCCGGCCAACACACGTCAGGCAACACGCGACGTCAGGCTTCCGGTCGGGGGTGGTACGGACGGCAGAGCGCCGTTGCTGGTCAAGGCAGGAACAAATGTCTTGATGAGCGTGTTCAGCATGCACCGGAGAGAAGACGTGTTTGGGGCCGAGCCGGAGGAATTTCGGCCCCAACGGTGGAACGGTTTGCGACCCGGGTGGGCGTATCTGCCGTTCAACGGTGGCGCGAGAAAGTGTCTTGGGCGTAAGCATCGATGACCGTTGTGTCCCGGCAACGTAGCTTGCTAACGAGTGACGGGCAGAACAATTCGCGATAACGGAGGCATCGTATGTCATAGTCCGGCTGGCGCAAACATTCACAGAGATCGAGCCACGGGATAGCCGGCCATTCACCGAGGACTATTCGATTGCATTGTTTTCCAAGCACGGAGTGCAAGTGGGATTGAAGCGCGGAGGATAACGTCCTGAGAGCAAGAAGGTATGCGTTTTGACTGACTGACTGCCTCAGAAGCCATGATTAGTGAGTAGCTCATCTAAAGACAGGTAGGGATAGGAGCTTAAGCACGTATACCACGGATTCGTAGCAAGTCGGAGTTTGTTTTAGTTTGGTCGGGCGTCGGCGCTGTGGCCGGGGGGTTTGTTGAAAGTAGACGTCATCCCAGCCAAACCGAGAGATTTGTATGCATGTCTGAGCACCAAATTCGACTCGTATTGGATAAAGAGAATGTTTGTGTCGGGGTTTAGTCAGTTTGTCTCATGTGGTGGTCGGTGGTTTGTGTACTAGTGGTGATGTAGTACATTTGTGTAGGTACTGGGGGGGGCAAAAGAGAAAAGAAGGAATTGTCGAGCAGGGGATCCATAGGGAATCCTTTTTTTTTTTTTTTTTTTTTTTTTTTGGCTCAGTCGGGGCACAACCGCAGTGGACGGCCACAGCATATACGGGCCGTAGGGAAGGCAGTGCAGGGTCGGGAATGCGCTCAGTCTCACCATGATCAAAACCCCCCTTCGATGGGTGTTTCAGGTCAGGTTCCTTCTGGAATGCGTCGTGCAGCTGGACATGACACTAATCCAGTTGGTCCCCTGAGAATAAGCAACACCGCTTCTTTAGGAGTGCTTTTCTTTGCTGGGTCTATAGCATGGTTGGTCCAGCTGATGTGGTCTGGGCTGGCTGTCTGTATCTGTCAGACACACTTATGTGTGTATGTGTATATGTATATTATAATAAATATATATTTGCTGCAAAGACTTGCACCTTGCATTATTGGAATGCCAAGCACACGCTGCATGTACAATAAAGACAAGATCGATAATGTAGTGCAGTGTAGCTTGATAATGACAGGGAAGGGAGGCAGGGGCGATGCAGACAGGGCAGGGAGCGACTGCCGGAAGTTATTTCGCCTGACTGGAGAGGGAGGCACGGGGCGCCTTAGTGTGCAATAGCGCCGTAGGCCTGCCATACTCAGTAAGTGAGGTCTGCAGCTGCTCTTTCTTAGCTAAGCCATACAAGACAAGACCAGGCAGGAATTGACCTGCAACCCTCAACCCCAAGCGATAAGAACGGTCCCTTTTGGCGCTCAGCGCTCAGGGAGGGGGAAGGAGCTGGAGGTCAGTGTTTGGCTAGCAGCCAATGCCCCACTTTCGTCATCTCGGCCAATTGAATGCTTCAACTACACAATAAGAGGTATCTTCTGTTGCTGTTATTGTCCATTTTGCAAGGCGTCTCCCTGGTCAACCCAAGGGGGATTGCTAGATTGACACAACCATTGCATATGGTTTTGGGGAAATCTACAGATTCTATTCTCTAAACTGCATAAGGTAACATCCGTCAATTCTCAATGGTCCATTCTTTGGCAGGCACAGCTCAAGCTATCCTCCGCCTCCAAACCCAAGTGCTTATCCCCATCCTATTCCATCAGTCCATCCATCCATCCATCCATCCATCCCTCACCATCACCACCACACAACACACCACCCAATCGTTCCGTTGCCATGCCCGTCCTTCCACTGGCAACTACCGCTTGCCGCTAGGGCTGCTGTTGATTGGGCGTCGGATGCCATCGACTTGCTGCACGACCACTGGCACGTCCGGATCTGCAAGCCAAGTGCCTCGAACTGACTGGGCCGCACCGCGTGGTACATGCACCCTGTTTTGGCGCCCTAGCCAACCAGCCCCTCCCCCTACTTCATGTTATGTACTTCGTGGCCACCATTCTATGGTAGCTCACTCGAGTATTCTGTTAATGTCTTTGGCTCAAGCAAGAGAGGCAAGAAGAGGAAAAAAAAACAAGGAGAAGGACCAGGAAAAAAAAAAAAAAAACACAGATCAGGGAAGATCGCACACCTTTCTGAGCTGCAGCCTGCAGGAGTAAGCTCCGTCCTACCGCCCTACCGCTGGCTGCTGTCTCTCTCTCTCCTCTCTCTCATTGCCTTGGCTCGCCTTGTTTTCTAGTACGTCTCCTAACAAGCCATCTTCTCCGAGGTCTCAAATCTACCACTTTGAAGCCCGTTGTCCGCTTCCTGACTAGCCATTCAACGGTCTTGTGGTGGCCCTCGACGAGGCCATCTGTCTGTCTCACGCCCACACTCTCTCCTTCATCTTTTCATCCATCCATTCTGTTTTTCTTACATTCCGTTCCGACTGGCAACGAAAGCTTGGGACTGGCTGGGCTTGGCTGATCAGGGAGGGTCGGCCACTGGGTCTGGTCTGGTCGGTCGGGGTCTTCTCATCATCTCTCATCAAATTTTGACTCACTTTCATCTCTGCACCCCCATTTCGAACGGTCGGCTTCTTTTGTCATCTCCATCTTCTATTTCGGCGTCTTTTGGTTTCACTCGCGATACTCCCACGTCAACTTTTCCCGACAAACACAATCGCCGGCGACCTCCCCCATCTCAAGGATCCCAACCATAGACCACCCAGGCACCACCCCCGACGACAGAACCCCACGAGGGCGATCTCCCCACTACAACCCCGACGCGGTGAGCCTGCCCAGCGACCCCATCCGCCATGCGCCTCAACAGGGCCCCGCGGTGGAGGGCGGCGAGCCGCAACTCCGACAAGGCCACCGTCCTTACCCTGTTGGGCATTGCCGAAGTCCTCAAGATACGCGGCAAATGGTCCATGGCTCTGCGCCTGGGCAACTTCGCCCTCCAACGCTCCCGCGGCCTGGGCACACTGACCGAAGGCCTCGCATTGCTGAGTGTCGGCCACGCATATCGCAATCAGACCCCTGAGGACTGGATCTCGGCCCAGCATCATTTGCGCATGGCCAAGCTCCTTCTCGAGGGTCTGCCGACAACCGAGGATCAGACCTTCTATCTCATGCGCGCCGTCCTGCTTCTTGGTGACACACTTGTCCGCCGCGAGGATATGGGTGACATTGCCGAAGCTGAGGAGCTGGCGCACTTGGCGGATCGTCTACTACGCAAGAGTCGTGAGCGCCCCGGTAAGACGTTTCGCTGGACGCTTTTCACGGGCTCCTGGCGTGACTTCTGTCTGCACTCCATGGTCGAGTTGGGCGAGATATACTATTATACAAGCCGGTGGGCTGAGGGGGAGAAGCTGCTGCGTGAGCTGGTCCCCACTTTGGTGAAGAGGAGGGGCAAACGCCATGTCACAACCATTGAGGCGCAACGAGACCTGGCAAGCATGTTGGTGAACCAAGACAAGTATGAAGAAGCCGAGATGGCGTATCGTGTTGCGCGGGATTGGAATGAGGACGTTCCCGTCTTCGGTCACGAGGAAAAGGCTGCAATCGACTACAACATCGCCATGTGTCTTTCTGAGCGCGGAAGGGACAGGGAGGCCAGGGATGAGATTGCGAGTATGGATTTGGCCGCCGACCTACTACACTACGCCAATGGTGAATGGACACTCAAACTGGCACGGCTGACGAGTTTGCGATTGAAAAGGTATGAAGAGGTAATCGGGCTATGCCGCAGGTTTCAACGGGTCCTCGATGAGCACAGAGCGAGGTTCGGAATATGCAGCCCCGTAACGTTACGGAATATGGAGGACCACGTCACCGCACTTAAGGCTCTTCGCAGATGGGACGAGGCCATCGTCATCCTCCGCGACATGTGCCGGCGCGAAGCGGGCGACGTAGCACGCGTAGTCGAGCAGACGCTTGAGACGCGCCTCAACCTTGCGCATACCCTCCGTCATGCCGGCCACTATGAAGAAGCGGCATATGAGTATCGCAAGTGCCTCGAGATCGAACGAGCAGCAGCCGACGACTACAAAGACGAAGCCCAAATCCGAAATATCCTCAAGTACCTGGCATACCTGTACGAGCTGGCCGGGGACAAGATGAATGCCTTGATCGCTTATGCGCAGCTGCAGAGGGAGTATTGGGGCCGGCCGAGTCAGCACCGTAATTTCATCAAGTACGAGTGGTGTCGTGGAAAGATGTTCATGCTGCAGGGGAGATGGGAGCACGCGCTTAAAATGCTGCTCAGCGCGCTGGCGGTTAAGAGGGGTGTGGAGACGGCGGTCTCTATAATAAGTGGCCTGCCGATAGAGGCCGTCCACGCGATGCATCCAGGGCGGAGGTCCATGGCACCGATACAGCCTGTGTTGGAAATTGCCGACAAACAGCAGGACATCGTGGAAAAGGCTGAGCCCGATGGTCAAGTGGAAGTAAAGGAAGTCGACGTCGACGAAGAGGAGGCGGACCTAGCATGGGACGAAGTCGACTGGTGGGAAGAAGTCATCAAGGACGCGGTCGACTCCGTGAGGCTGGAGCAGCCGTTCCAGGCTTGCGTCCCTCTCGACGAGGCGGACTCCGAGGTGGACGACGACGAAGTGCGCGAGACGGTCGATGCCGTGTTGACGACGAAAAGCGCGTTTCCCACCGTGCCTGCCGGCGACGAGTGGTCGCAGCCGCAGTGGCCGAGGCTGCCGGATACGTACGAGGAGCTGGTCGGCCAGCAGCGGAGGGTGACGGAGGAGAGTAGGCCGTGGGTTCCTTAGAACGATTTAATGATTGCATGGGGCACTTTATGGTTGTTTATGGTTTCTGTTTATTATATAGGGGTGTCCCGATGTGTCAATATGAAGACTTGATACCAATTTACAAAGACGCTTGTTAAACGAGGTGACTACACTGTGTTCCCGCATGCTCTGTCGAAAAAGTAAACGACAAGTTGCACACAACAAGCTCCGAAATTACTTAGAATTTTGCTTTGCTCCAGTCAGAATTACTGAGGTTTTTTTTTTTTTTTTCTTTTTTTTTTTTTTTTTTTTTTTTTCACACAGAGTTCGTCAAGTGTAGAAGGGAGGTATCGGTCCCTTCTAGGCCCCACTTGCCGGGTGTGTGGCCGGTTGGCCGGCCGGGCGGACCACAGGGCCCAGTATTCTACTATCTCAACAATCTACAACAAATAGCGTAATGTGACGATAGTGTCAAGGCTCACCGAGCACGCCGAGCGAGGTGTGTTTACGTAAGCAATATTAAACGCACACCGTAGACGGATGAGTATGTGCTTTCTCCCATACATGCCCTATTTCTAAGTTAAGCCACTCTTTTACACATTTTTGCTATGTGCCTAGTTCGTCACAGCACAATAAACGCAGAATGTACTTATTTCATTACTATAGCCTGACAGAACACTTTGCTCCTAGAGTATAATTTTCTTAATGTAGTTGATTATCTTATCCTCTTCCCTTTTCTCAAAAGAGTCAAAGAATGGCTCAACCCTCAAGTTTGCCTCAATCTCATCGTCACAAGGAGCCTTTGACCGAACATAATTTACCGGTACATCCTCGATCGAGTGTGGTATAAACACAGAGGCGTTGGTAGTAATCGGTGTCCCATCCTCGCGGATCCCCATGCCTGCAGGGTCACCATCCACGAACCACAACCCCAGCACGGGGTAGTACGAGCTGCTTTCTGCGTCCTTGAACTCGGGGAGCACAGCAAGCTCTTGTATGATGTACCCTTCTGCACCATATTGCCCTGTTGACGCATCTTGGATCACCTCGCCGTTCTTCTTCAGGACAACGTCGGCGCCCTCACGAGCGAAGATGGGCTTCCGCGCGTAGCTTGCCATCGTGGCAGGCGCCTCGTTCTCGAAGTAAGTGGGGAGAAGCCACTTGCCTCTGGGGTCATCCTTGAACATATCCCAAAGGACGGCGAAGATTGACTTGTTGCTCCACAGAAGCTTGTAGGGGGGCTCGATCCAGATCGTTCCGCCAACGTAGTTTCCGGCTTCATCGCGCATCCCGATATTTTCCATGTCTCTGAAGCACGCTTCTCCAAACTGCTCGTCCATCAAAAACTCCCACGGATATAACTTGAAGATGACGTCAATGTGATTTCCTTGCGTATCGTAGAAGCGACCATCCTGCTTGGATAGTGATATTTCTTCTATGGTAATGGCGTTGGTCATCCAGCCTGCTTTCTGGCACGTCTCCATCAACATCATGGCGTTCAAAGCATCCTCGCCTGTTGAATCCCCCTCCCCGATGGCGAAGTAAACAACAGGCTTGTGCCCGAGTTCACTGCTGATGAGCGTCAAGTTGCGATTCCAGCCATGGATAAGCTTCTCGGTGATGCTGTTGAACTGGTCACCACCACGTCCGGTTTGTTCCAACCAGAGCCATTGAATCGACGCGGCCTCGATGACCGAGGTCGGCGTGTCCGCGTTGAACTCGTAGAACTTTGGTGTTCGCAGTCTCGGGTCTGGATGGTCGAGACCTCCGAAGCAGACGTCGAAACGGCCATAGATACTGCCCCAGGCGGGCTCACGATTCCATGACTTTGTAATCTGTTCAAGACAGTATGCGGGCACCGCCATTTTGTTGGTGATCATGTCTGGATGTTCCACGAGGTAGTCTGCCGCTTCGCAACACATTGCGAATACGTCTCGAGCAGCCTCCTCAAGGAGATGGATCTCCGCGTTGGTAAAGGAGTAATAGCGGTCATCTGGCCAGTAGGGCTCCGATCCACCGGGGGCAACGAGGTCGGCGAAGACTAGGCCCTGGCTTTGCACAAGACGAGTGACATTGTGCCTTTTTTTGATGGGAATACGACGCATTACGGCTGACCGTTTTGCTTGATCTTGAAGGGGCCAGTGGAGTAGGTGTACGTTGTGTAGTTGGGCAGTTGAACTTCTATGGGAGGCTGGAGAACGAGGTTGATAATTGATTCATAATGGCAAACGTACATCTTTACCTGACTAGCCAGAGGGAGCCTTCTAAGTTTGACGACGCGGAAACCCTTCCTAACCCAATCCCGTATTGTTCAAATGCCGGTCGTTTCAGTTTTCGGTCTGCGGCAGTTATTTTCAGAGTTAACTAGATAACTCTTAGGACGACCCAATTGTACGAAGAGGTAGAGTCAATGCAGATCACTTCAGAAGGGTTTCCCCCGCGTCACGATAGTCAGGGGGGTCATATCTGAACGCTAGTCACAAATGACTCTATACGGCAGGGCAGACCCTTCTGACACGTCAATTGTAAGCTTGCCATATCTAATTTCCATCCACCCATTTCCTCTATTGCGGGGCAATATAATGAGAGGGTAATGTGCTTAACGTTGCTATTAGAACGGTATTATACCCCTATTCTCCAAACTATCCATCACTAGCCTTTTCTTGCCAACACAGCGCATCTAGTGCCTAGCTTATGGTTTCTTATTTAATGAAACTCGGTGGAAATTGCAACACCCTCTTGAGTTATAGTTAAGCGAATCTTCAGGAGTTTAGCCTACAGTTTCACAACACACATATCAAGCTCTGGATCGACATAGCAATTTCTTGATATTTTGGCGAGTATTCTTCCGATAATGAGAGCTAATCCAGGTTATTGAGAAGAGTTAACTTTTTAGTCATAAGAGATTACCCTTCAATAGTGCAGTTATTAGCACATGAGAATTCTCAACAAGTTTTCTATTATACCATCCAGGCCCGGTGGGCTACAGGTACATCTCCATGACGGGGAATAGCCACTCAAAGACTAGTCAAGGCTTTTTTCTTTATAAAACAAATTGTCTGATGAGCACTTCTAAGAGATTTACGTCTGAATAGCGTACCGTCATGTATCTCTTTCGTGAGAAGTAAAAGGTGGGTGTGAAATTCGGCACTATGTAACTGTAGTCTACCCGACCCCCAAGAGATACTTTCCTCATTCCTACACAAACCTTATGTTTCATTCTGTTAACCTTCTAATCTATTAAAAATACCGCTTATATTGCTTAATTGAATAGTCTTCTGTTTTTGAGTTAGCACTGAGTTTTAACAGATTTCAGCTTCTGTCAAAATTGAGTTGTTTCGCGTCCGTTTTAGTCAGTCTACATATCTCAAGATTAGCGCTTGTTCCACAGCGTCACAACTGCCGTAGCGGACTACTCCGTAGCAGACAATTCCAAACTTCATGTTCTATATGTCTATTTACTGTTTTTGTTAGCGTGTGTACTCTGGGTTGAGTCTGGATATCTCAATGTTAGTGCGTGACCAGCTTGATAGCAAAGAATCAGGGGAACAGGTAACGCAGAAAACAGCAGAAACAGCTCTACGTAGCACGTTGACTTCTTGTGCCGACTGTTTGTAACTTCATTGAAGCTGGCGTGAAAGTATATTCCCAATAACCCCTTTGGCGTGGGGATCTATGACGATGGTTCATACAGCTACTAGCGCTTGGTAGGCCGAAACAGAAGTATAGAAGACAAAAAATAAGTATCTCCGTACATAATTCTACGACTCAGGGTGAAATCAGATCAGTCATAATAACAGATTTTTCAACGGATCATGACTTTGTACGGCTGCTTGTCGCTTTTCAAAAACACTCATGAGGATGCATATTATCTGGGACGAGGTCGAGATGTATAAATAGAAGCCCCTAGCATCTGTTCTCCAAATGTTTTAACCCTTGGTATATTTATCGACTAAACTTTTAGCTGATACTATCATAATCTTTCATCACTAGCCTAAACCTTTATTAAAGAAAAACCCAAGAAGTATGAAGACTCAACACATCGCCCTCCCGGGTCTCCAAGCTGTAGCGGCCTCCTTTTTTGCTGCCACCGCCGAGGCAAAGGTCTATTGCACCGACAACGAAAGCAAAGTTGTCGCCGAAGCCAACTGCGATGGAACCCACCCAGCAAACACCTTCTTTCTCACCATGCACGAGGGTCAAGACCTCCAAATCGGCGACATCGTTGCCGAGGACAAGGTCGATTCGTCCGACCCTGCAGCTCGCCATGACGAGGGGTACCCCGAGTCTGGCCTCGTTCAAGGCGGGTTTGGACGCAGGTCTCCTCAGCGCACCTGTGATCCGTCAAAGGGGCACTGTGTTGTCGGCGGTGTTGGCAAGGGCTTCAAGGGCTTCGGGGGCGAAGGCGGAAACGGTGGCTAAAAGACCACATTTCACCTAAATATCCCCAAAATGGCGTCGCGGATAGTGAGAAATACTAATTGAAATTGAACGCTGCACTTGGCTCTCTAATACCGCGTATAATGTAACATCCCCGTACTCTAACTACTGCTTCCCAGCGGCGCGGCAGAGACTCAATCAGCTTCCGTATCCGTGTTTGGGGAATAGTTCTCCACGCCGCGAGTGAGTTGTGCTTCAAACAGATGAATATCTAGCGCTTTCTTCTTTTAAATTCAACGGGTCTAGGTACGGGCGACGCAGGTCATTCTTTATGATCCGTCACACATGCTCAATGGGGTTGAGATCGGGCGAATGTAGCGGCCATTCTAGCAAGGATATTTCTTGGCTTAACGACCACCCTGTTTTCTTTGCCGAGCTCTGAGTAGGCGCGTTAGCTTGGATAAAATGCTTCGTTTCTTCGGCAAATGGGAGGTATCCCTCTTGAATAAAATATTTTTCAATAAATACAAAAAGAGAAACAAAAATATCACATTTAAATTGAAAAGTTTAAAATTATAAATCTTGAAATATTCATTTGTCTAAAAAGAAAATTTGTTGTGTAATGATGAAGGCGTTATAATAATAGAGTCTTATATCCTAGTATAGTGAAACATCTGGACAAGTCTGAATACTCTTCATCTGTTTCTTGACTCTGCCATGTTCTTTCAATAATGTTAAATGCTGCCTGGATAGCACTAAAGGCTTTAAAATCACACATCATATCCATTATTTTGCGAACGGCTGGCCGTTGTTCTTTGCTAGCATAGATGCCAGTTACACAGAGTGGCCAGGCAAGCCAGCGCAGCCATGGAGACGAAGTGACGGCGCCAAAAGCCTGGATTGTCAGTTTCACGTTTGTGTCCAGCTCAAATGGCTTTGTGTCGTTATCTAACTTGACAGAAAGAAGATACGAGCGCGCGGCATAGATCCAAATTCGCGTCATTGGGAGCTTGTCCTTTGACGGAGCGCAAGAATCGCCTTTGGGAGAGACAGATTGATTGAGCAGCGACTCTAATGGCCGGGTATGTTGGGGGCTGTGTTTTGTGTAGAAACCTTGGCGTGGTTCATCAAGGCCGTTGTTTAGAATTCTCTCGAGCGAGGTAGCTCGGTAAATGAGCTCATCCTTTGACAACTTGCCACTTATCATCTGGTCTTTTTTCCACTGTGAAAGGATTGAAATGTCGCTTATAGCCAGCAGAACCCAGGTCTGGCACCCGGTAATCTCTTCTAGGTCTATGATAGGCTGCTGGGGTGAACCGCTACGTCGGAGCTCGCAGTGATACTGAAGTAGCTTCGCAGGTTGGTCAAGCACCGTGCTGGAGATAATATCGGCAACCAGTAAAAGACTAGAAAAGAAGCGGAATGCTCCCTGTTCGGTATTTAAAGCATCATCCGCACCCGGCCAGGTAGCGCGAGAGAGTTTGTCGAGAACGGTGGACATCTGTCTGGTTGAGCCAGTCTTGCCATGGTGCTCGAGAATTTGCTCAAATAGGTTAGTGGCGGCATTCAAATGTGCCGGCCAGTTTCCTGATGGCGTACTCATAAGTTCAAAACTAAGCTGCTGCATCATATTTGCCAACAAGTGCATGCTGCTTAAAAGACAGTTTCCGATCCCATTCTCGTGAAGTTGCTGTAAGTCGCGCTGCATACTTCCTAATGCGATGCTGGCGTGTGCATGGATTTCGTCCCGTGTTTTTAAGACGCAAGCTGTATGATCTGGGCTGGTATCGGCAGGAATAAGTAACAGGAAGAGCGACGAGATGGTAGCAACACTGCTCATGAACCCGCTATTCTTCACTGCTAAGGAAAGTAACCAAGTACGTCCTCCTTGGGTAATATATGGTCGGTAAAAGGGGAAAAGAACAGGGAAAATAAAGTCCATGTATATTGAAACAAAGGCCATCCCAGTCTCGAGTGGCATTGCTGTTGGTGGGATGATGATCTCCGATGATGGCTCGACCGATAACCCGTGAGCCTCTGCAACTATAGAAGTCTGAAGAGCATTGGGACTTTGCTTATGCGTACCAGAGTCTTGGCTGGCAGCGACCTTATCAGTGATTGCCTTCAGTTGAGCAATTTCGCGCCGGCGTCTTGCGCTTTTCTTGACTTGTGCCTTCAGGCGTGTTGCAGCTTCCAGTCGACGCTCTTCAGTTTCCATCCATTCCGGCTTTTCGGGGGAATAGTAACAATCTATTTCTAGTGCTGCGCAAGCGCCACAAGTTGGCAGCGACTCGTCGCATTTTTTGTGACGCAAGCGGCACGTCCAGCAGGTTGAGGGCTTCATGCCACCAATCCAGAGCTGATACGTTCTGATTAGGGCCTTGGATAATTTGTCTTGTTACTGAGAAATGGTTGGTGTTGGTGTGAAATGAAAGAAAACCCAGAATGTAAAGTCTCCCACTGTATTAAATCCCGCCCGGAAAGTTTCCCGCTCGGAAAAATCCCCGCTCGGAAAGGGATGAGCTGGGGACGGGGCTTGGGTGGATCTAGTCTAGTCCATCTCCACGCTTGCTTCAGTAAGTGAGAAGTCCTAAGGCGGCTATATTGCAGAAATGGAGTGATTACTATGAAAATGTAAGTAATGCATTCTTAGCTTGTCAAGTATAAAGAGAACCACAAACCTCCTCACAAAAGCAAGATACACAGCCTTTTCTTTCTAGCGATCCCAAAGACAAATTCCCCTCCCCTCTAGCTAAAAGTCTCAACATGAGGGTGGCAATACTTGGGGCCACAGGTCAAAACGGTTCGTCCATTGTTGATGGCCTGCTGGAATCGGCCGAAGCAAAATTCGTAAGTCTCACATCACATTTTGATAAGGTATTCCAAGACTCACATTAAAAGCAGGACATTAGTGCCCTTGTCCGACCTTCCTCACTCAAAAAGCCCAATGTCATCGCCCTGCAGGACAAAGGCATCAGCATAGTGCCATTTAACCTTGATGACCCTGAGGATCGTGTCACAGCCCGACTCAAAGGCATAGATGTCCTTATTGTCTGTTGCTTGCTTGATGAAAGGGTTCTTGCAAAGGCAGCCAAGAACGCAGGAGTGAAACGTTATGTTCCATGCTTCTATGCTACAGTCATGCCTCGAGGTGTCCAAACGTTGCGCGACAATGTAAGTAGTGCTCTTGAAACGCATACCTTCGGAATTAGAGAGCTGACCCATCATCCGGATGTGTAGAAGGAGGACATCCTTGATCACATTCAAAGGCTGCATCTTCCGTACACCGTTATCGATGTCGGTTGGTGGTATCAGATTAGTCTTCCGCGACTACCCTCTGGCCGCATTGATCGTAACCTGTTTCTCTACAATACTGCTATTGGAGGCAGTGGTGACGTGCTTTGCGCCAGGACTGATTCCCGAGACGTCGGCAAATACGTTGCTCGTATTATCGCAGACCCCAGAACTGTCAACCAGAAGGTCTTTGCCTATACGGACCTTCGCACTCAACATGAGCTCTATAATATGGTAGAGCAAATCAGTGGTGAGAAGATTGAAAGGAAATATGTATGTCTCCCTAACTCTCAAAAGGGGTTTCGATTCTATCTTTTCATCAAAATCAGTAAAGTAAACTGTTTACTAACTCTGTACTGCATAGCGTACCGCTGAGGCCATTGAAGATGGTATTGCTAGAACTAAGGATGATCCCTCCAAGATGATGGATTACTTCCAGTTTACCTACCAAAAGTCGTATGATATTATGGGGGAAAATACTCCTACATACGCCCGCTACCTCGGCTATCAAATTGGTAAAGACCTCTACCCTGATCTTGAGGGAATCTCCTTTGAATCGTTTTTCAAAGAGACGCTAGAGGTCGGCCTGAGGCCTATGTATGAGGAGTATGCTGATGTGATGCGGGCTTCCAGCTCTTTCATCTTTCAAGGATGAAGATTATTGGCTATTCTCACCTATAAATCAATTCTATACACTAGAGAGATAAGATAGAGTTAAGTCAAAATTGAATGAGATAGTAGTTTAGTTAGACTTGACCTATTTTTTTAAAATACATGTTTTCTCTTTTTTCATATATTTTTATTTTGTTGAATAGACTTTGGTAGACACTATTCAGGATCTATTAACACTTTCAAGAGCGTCGATAAGATGTCGTTTAACTAGCCTGTAAGATAGGGATCGTTTGATTCAGTATTAGCAGTGGTGTTATCTTTGTATCTCTTATTGTTACTACTTATACCCTTTAGTGTTGGTAGAAAAGGTAAGTAGACGAGGACTAGAATACTATCCTGGAGCTGTTTGCTCCATCCTGGCAGTCAGCGCCCGCAGCTAGTAACGTCTCAAAGAACATGTGTGCTAGAGTACGCATAATGTGAACAGTGGAAGCTGTGACTATGATAAGGTGTTAGTCGTCTGATGGGCTGTTGAACCCCGGTAAAGAGGAACTATCCCTTTGGTTCCAACATTTGTGGGAGACAACAGTCCCGGTTCGAAGCCGATAGAAGGCGAGAAGTAGGGAGCTTTACGATAGTGAAATAGTAGAAGTGACTTAGTATCGAAGGAAAGAGTTATTTTAAACAAGACAGCGTTGGATAGTAATTGAACTCATATACTTATGATAGCATAGCGCAGTCACTAAATAGTCGGTTGGTCCCAAGGACAACCTAAGTAGCACTTAAATAAAATGCATACTGGCTGAGATACACGTTCCAAACAGCCACACTCATTCATATTTCTATGGAATTTGAATCAACAGAGCAGGAAGTATTCCTTGCTTGAAGACCTTCATGCGGCGCTGACGTGTTGATCGCCAGAATCCACATTCTGATGAGGCACACTTGACGCTGTACCAATTTACAATAGCTCAAGCTCCTGATTGACAAAATCTCCGGTGTGTCTTCTCATGCACTCTATACAAGATAATCACAAAAACGCTTAGTACTCAATATGCAGTTGACAGAATGAGATTAGGTTGGCCCGAGTGGGATTTAGGAGTAGGTAACTCAGTCGCTTCGATCACACCAAGCCACTGGGAGGAGGGTTGATCAGCGAGCGAAATCTGCTACAGAAAACGTACCCACATAGCGCACTCAGCAGCGATATTGTCAAGCGGTAAGGGCGTGCCGCCGGTGACAAGTACCGGCTTCATCGGCGGCACGCCATTACATACATACAGCGGCGGCAAAAGCTGACAATTTGACGCCAACAACGATATGGTGCGGTTTTTGGTGGCCGGCCAGCTGGTGTATTGTCTCTTCCTATTAGACTCGTTTATTGAGCCTATGCTTCCTTCCGTCAAGCCCCTCACGTTCCGTCAAGCACATGCTGATTGCCGAATTGAATCTACCTTACTTGCCACCAGCCATTTGTTACCATCATGAAAAAATACTGGGATGTTATTTCATCAAAATTTGTTTTTAGACGATTGTCGTCTGTGAAGGCTTTGGATCAATCTTCATCAAACGATGATAACGATGAACAACTCGAACCCCTCATGGACGAAAATAAGCAACTCCCCCCTTCGAGTCACAAGAAACCTTCATCGCCGCGCCTGTTCGTGTTCTCGTTGCCGCTGCTAGCTTTGATTTTCATTGCATTTATCGCTTTGACCACAATCGTCGGACAAGTGCTTCGCAGAACGACAATGAGCGGTACACACCACGACGTGGGTCCGAAAGTTTTGATCAAGCCCTGCGGCAGCACCCCCCAAGAAGCTAGGGAGAAAGGATGCCATTTCGATGTCATCTCCTTTTGCTGGCTCCCAACGCAATGTTACGATTCAGACCTGTCGCGCGACTTCGACTTACAGAACCACCTGGAATGGTTCCTGGACCCTCACCGCACCCAGCCCTTGACCCACGAGCAAATCATGACGGGCGAGTACACTGGACTTTACGTCAACTGGGAGTACCATGTGCGGCACTGCACGGCGATGTGGAAGAAGATGCATCGGGCCATCTTACATGGAGATGGACATGGGGATAAGGCAATTGACGGCTACATAGGAGCGTACGAGCACACGAAGCACTGCGAGCACATGCTGTTGGCGGGGAGGAATATTGCGCCCGATATCATAAACACCCGAATCGCTGTGAAGTATCCCGATTGTGGCATTTGAGAAGTTCAAACGAGTTGTTAGTTATGATGGGATGGTATGGTAGATAAACAATGGAAACTTGCTGTAGATGGGAATTTAGCTCATCATTGTGGGATAAACAAATAACTGTATGAGCAAGCAGATAGTCTAGAACTCGTGATTCACAGGTGAGAAAGCTGAGTACATGGATAGTGTGTCTTTTTTGAAGTAGTGCTGGTCAAAATTGCTGTAATAAGAATTTGAATATCTACCTAATGTCTATCTGACTGCGAATTGAATGGCGCGGTCAGTTTGAATTCATCCTGTATAGCTCAGCAAACCGGGTGTCTGCTGCAATCAGCGCAGATGGTTCTCCAGCCTCTAATAGTTCGCCGTCACCAAACAGCGCCACTATGTCGTACTGCGAGACGTGCTTGAGCCTGTGCATCACAGCCAACACGGTGCAGTCACGGAATTCATTGTCAACGACATCCTGCAGGGCCACCTCGGTCTCAAAATCCACACTGATAATGTCAACGTCAGCAAAACCTCTATACGCAAAAACAAACTTCTGATGCTTACCTGCTCATCGCCTCGTCCAGAATCAAAAGCTTACATTGCCGAAGAATGGCCCTGGCCATGCAGAGAAGCTGCTTCTGACCGGCCGACCAAGCTTTGTCGTCCATCTCTGTGTCCAAGCCGCCTTGCTCTTGAACAAGCCTCGATAGGCCGACTCTTTCAAGGGCCTGGGTAATCTTTGCGTCATCGGAGACAAGGCCCAACGGGTCAATGTTGAATCGAATGGTCCCTGGCATGAGGAAGGGATCTTGGGAAACGACATTGACGCAAGACCGAAGCTCGGTTGGTATCAAAGTCGATATGTCAACACCGTCAATCTCAATTTTACCTTGCTTGACATCTGTCATCTGTAGTAGAGTGAGAATGAGCGACGTCTTGCCGCTGCCTGAGCGACCGCAAATAGCAACGTGTTTACCAGCCTCTACTGACAACGAGACTCCCTTGAGAACGGGTTCGGTGTCGGTACTAGAATAAATGTCAGTCATGAGAATTAAGGATATTTGGGGAAAACAAGTGTATATTCACCCATAAGACGCGACAATGTCGAAGAAGTTGACAGCACCGGCATGCGGCCAGTTCGCAGGTAGATGCCCCTTGCCGGTAGTTTGCTCCGTTTCGGTCTCCGCCACAAACCTTCTCACTCTTGCGACGGCCCCGATGCTGGACTCAAGCTTGGTCCAGCTTTGAATCATACGTGCCAGCACCTCACTAAAGCCGATAACCATGACAAGACTGACACCGACGCTTCCGGCACTGAATTTGTCGTGCCAGGTGACAACTACACACACGAGAATAACAGCGAGCGCAGCCACGACGACATTGAGAGAAAACGTGAGCCACGCCTGGATGCAGCTCTGAACATAGTTTGGCCTCTGGGACAAGTCGATATGGCCATAGTTACGATCCTGGTGCTGCGCTTGCCAGCCAAAGGCACGGATGGTCGCGCCGCCGGCCACGGACTCGGAGAAGTGGGTGTAGAGGGGAGCCTTTGCTTCGATTCCGAGAAGACGAACCTGGCGAGACGTCTGGAGGTAGAAGCGTTGCAGGAAATAGACCACGGTCCCGAGGAAAGGAAGGGTGATTCCGAGATATTGAGAGAAGACGGCGAGAATCACGAGTTTGATCACCGCAGATACAGCCGCTGTTTTCTCCGTTGTGAGTCACCGTGGCATGTTGATGTTGTAGACGGTAAAACTTACTAGAAGTGTAATTGACCAAGTTGGACGGTAGATCCATGTCTATAAGCTGCATGTCCTCGCTGAATCTGTAACTGGTTTAGTCTCTGAGTTCATTTTAATCCTAAAACAACAAATCATTAACCTACCTATTAAGAATTTCGCCATTGTCTGTTCTGGTTAAGAAACGGAATGATGCCCTGCCCGCGAGTGGTGTAACAGTTAGTCTTGCCCAAACTGCACGTATGTAGTAGTAGACTCACGCTAGAGTTGTTTTGAGAAGGTCGGAGTGCAAGTTGAGAGCCGTGTTAGTGATTATGTCCAGAAATGCAAACCAGGCAGCCAAAGAAGCTGCCACAGTGCCAAGGACGCCAAAGGCAGCGTAGACACCCATGTAGTATCCCACGCTCTTGTTGGGCTCGCTGGCATTGGCTTCAGACCACCACTTGACCCAGACGGCTAGTTGTCACACACACATCTGTCAGCGAATATTTCTCGTAGCATTATAATTCCAAGATTCGAACTTACTGGAGAACTCGGAGAAAAAGGTCCACATGATGACGGAGACAGTGTACAGGATTACCGCCTTCCAGCCGGCATTCTTCAAGTAGTACTCGTACACTGCCTTCTCCCCGTTCTTGCGTCGGATATCTGTGTGAAGCTTCTGGTTTTGATTATTGTCCTCGTCGGCTGACGTGATCGGCTTTTCCATGGAAGTTGCAGAATCATGAGGGTCCTGTATCTCCTCAACCACACCGTGAGGAGATAGCTTGAGCCCAAATCTACTGGTATAACCTTGACCTTGCATGAGGGATGTAGGGCTTCCAACTTCTTGTATTCTGCCTTCACTAAGGGAAATAATGATGTCGGCGATGGCCATAATTTTGTCTACAGTTATTAGCAAATCATGATGCCATGGGGGGAGGGGAAGTCGAAACTCACGGCTATGTGTTGCGATGATAACCGCTGCGTGCTGTTTACGCAAAAGACCATCGGTGCCAAGCAGACGCATTGAGACGTGGTCAGCCGTGTGGGCATCCATGCCGCTAAAAACATCATCGAGGACAACGACCTTCTTCCTGGAGTAGACGGCGCGGGCAAGAGCCTTTGGGAGAAAAAAAGTAAGTGGAATGTTAGCATGAAGGCCTACCATGGCGCTCGATTTGTATTGGGCAAGCACTTACGATGCGCTGCTTTTGGCCGCCACTGAGATTTACACCTTTGCTACCAACAAGCGTGTAGTCGCCCTTTTGTAGCGCTTGCAAATCCGCTTCGAGTCCGCAGGCTGAGACGACGGTATCATACCATTTCTGCTCGTAAAGTGTAACACCGAGTATGTTTTGCCTAATCGTCCCGTTCTCCAGCCACGGGGTCTGTGAACAATACGCTACTTGCTCTTTTTCTAGACAAGTTTTATTGCCTGACGTAGCAGCAGAAGAGATGGATATCATGTCCCCCAGTATAGCGCTGAGGAAAGATGACTTGCCGCTTCCCACAGGACCGATAATGACCGTCATCGCGTTACGAGCAATATCAACGGTCATGTCGTGGAGGACAGTCTGGTCCTTTTTCCAGCCAAAGCTGTTCCCTCTGAACGAGACAACGGGTAGCGGCGGGGCATTTGCTGGCTTTCTGTCGTCCTCGGTCGTCGTCAACGGAACAAGGCTGATATCAGTTCCTGACGGCGCGCTGGAGGTGCTACTTCGTCCATCAAGAGTCGCAGGTTGGTGACCGTAGTTGCAAAAGTCTTGGATGCGGTCGAAGCATGCGAGCGATTGGACAACCATCGGCAGCAGTTGTAGGAATGCGACAACGGGAGTGGTCAAAAGCCCAATCAATGCGATGGAGGTGAACGCTTGAGCAGGCAATAGCGTCTTGTGTTTCCAGTATACTGAGATTATGACATATACTGCGAAGGTGACAATGGGGGCGAGATTGATCGGCGTAAGTGCTGGAAATGGACGGCCTTATCAGAAACTAGACATGCCAAGAGAAAATGACAGAGACAGACAACTCACAGAGTATCAGAGTAGCCACAATTAGCTTCCGGAAAGACTTGGAGGTGTTGATCTCATCATTGCGAAGCCCCTGAATTGTATTCGACATGACATCTGTGAGTCCAAGCATCTTTACAGCCTTCATCTCGCCGAGCACAGTCGTCGTGATGCGGAGGCGTTCTTGGATCTTCTCGATCCATCGCATTTGCGCTGTTTTGCTGGCTACCGAAACCTTGGACATTGCAGCGATAAAAACTGAATAGAAAGTCTCTAGTCAGTGAACTTACCACGAGAGCTTTCCAACGGGATTTCTAAGCGCGTCACTTACTCAGTACAAGGACTATCGGTGCCAGGCAGGCGATAGATAACTGCAGCCCAAGGAGCCAGCTTGCAATAGCAATGTCAAGCAGCGAACCCCACAACAGATGGAACACGGACATGGAGCCAAAGATGCGTTCGACATCCGTACCCATCAGGGCTACCGCCGTGATATCTCCAGTGTCAACGTCTCTCGTATAGACCGCATTCTGGTAGATGAGCGCGATCAATCCCCCTCGAAGCCTAGTTGTAAAACGGACATTGTGGTACTGGTAGACCGAGTTGCTGACCGCGATACCCAGATACACTAGTGCCCAGGCGCCGATGAGGCCTCTACCGTAGCTCACGTCCGGGTTCTCTTTACTAACATAGGCCACAGTCGCGTTTATGAGAAATGGCTGCGCGAATGTGAAGACGGTCAAGCAGAGCCGGGGAATAACGGGAGCTAAGAAAGGCAAAAGGTAGCCCCAAAAGCAAGCTTTGAGAAGACTATGGCGACTTTGGTGGTCGTCTGATCAGTGCCCGATGGTCAGCAATGGTACGTCTAGTCATGTAAGAAGTGATAATTAGTGGGAAATACTAGAAAGTAAAAGACGTACATTTGTCCCAGGCGACAGCAAGGTCCCTATGGAGAAGGCGACTCTCCATGCTCGGATCGATCCTGGGCAAGTCGCTCAAAGATATCACTTTGGAGTACCCCAAATAGAAGGTCTTTGCCAACCACCAAAAGCAAGTCCTCGCCCAGAAGCCACTGCTCTGCTCGGGGATTGTGTTTTTAACGTCTGGGGCGTCATCAGATGCGGCAAGGATTTTCTTCGCCTCGATTGACTCTAGCATAAGCACCATTAATGTGAGAACTAACACGACTGTTGCGATGGCCGGCAAAGGGCCGCCAGAAGGGAGAAGCCATGCTGTTCGCACGCGGGCAATGCCAAGTATGATGGATGCCGAGAAATACAGGCTGAGTATGGTCGAGGGCCGAGGTGACCTCTGATGGTTCAGGACAGACAGCAGCAGAGCTGTAAGCGTAGCGACAAAGGCCAAGACATCGGCGGCGACCGATGCAGGACTCTGGAATGAAGGGGTTTTGGTACGCAGAGCTAGGAAAGCCAATTGTAGGGCAAGCAGGGCCGTCAAAGCCACCTTGAAAGTGGGCGCGCGTTAGCTAGAGCACACGCACGTTCGGCTTTTGTGCCGTCTTGATGAGGTGGCCGAACATACCAATTTGCTGGCCAAGAGCCTCGATCGAGTCGAGAAAGCAGTAGGCTGTCGAAGCAGCTGGGTGATTCTCGGCGGGGCGAGCAGGATAAACAATGCCGCCGGCAAGCAGGCGAAGAGAACATCCTCAAACTGCAGGGTGAAGTCGAAAGACCGACAGTTTGTGTGGACTCGTGGTCCAAATGCCCGGTCGCTGAAGGCCGGGCAGGACATGATGATGCTAATTCGTAGGATCAATGTCACTCATGGGGACCAGAACCACACAGTAAAACAGAAGAAAAAAAAAACCTAGACGTATGTGAGTGGTCTGACGTCTTGAAAATATCTCGAGGGGGTTTTGCGACGAGGTTCTGAGCCGTGACGCGTGTAGAGTGTGTGCCTGTCTGCTCCACGCTCCAAAGATCAGCGCACACAGCGGAGCCCAAGGGTGACAGCAACGTCGCGTGCCGCCTGATGTGCGACAAGGTGGTTTAGTAAAGATAGGTTACATAGTCTGAGAACAAGCATTCGCTGCTTGCGCCATCAGCAACGATAAGAGCGAACTCTCAGGGGGGGTCACCAACGGATATGGGCATCCGTAGTAAGCAGGGATGGCTGGTTTGCCTGGCAGCCCTGGATCACCCTGCAGCAGCTCCTTACCCGCTTCGGTAGGTCCTTAGAACGGGGTTGCGCAACCCCTGCTGCCGCCTGGGCGGAGGTTGATGCTTGTTACGTGGGGGAGCTTGTGAATCATTGACGAAACTGGGGAGGCTACAGGCGCAACTCCGATCCGGAGAGACTGAATGAACATAGGCTATTCGCTGCCGTTGGTTCACTTTCCCCTGGAATTACTATTATGATGGATATTGATCGGGGTTTGGCATTCTGGGTTCGACATTAATTGCTTATCTTGCAAAATCCCATGATTGGTCATCCGTCATTTGCCTGTACACAGTTGGATGTAATTCCACGTCACATTCAAGTTTGTGTGTTGGCCACAGTCTTATCTGACATAAGGCGTCTAACTATTTTCTCTTGTCTTTCGAGCAATCAAAAGCCCGCTAATTCAATGGTCAACGTCGGAACCCCGTCGTGATCCTGCCGATCAATTCCCTGTTTACCTTATGCTTCCCATCCCAGTCCGTCTCGCCTTGCCGTCTTCCCCGCATGGTTATGTTCTTGCTCGTGGCCTTGATGCTTGGCTCTCTCAAGCGAGAATTCAAGAAAGCCTTTCCACTTGTTTCTTTCCGCCCAGCCGGCCAGCGCGTCAAAGTCTTTGCAGGTGTGCGTGTCGAGGATGCCGTAGTCCTCGTAGTTCTCTGTCACTCCGAGCAGGAGATCAGCGTTGCACATCAGCGACTGGCGCAGTCTGTTGAAGCAGTGCAGTGAGTGCATATCCGCCGAGCTCGTGCTGTTAGACATGAACAGCTCTCGGAGACGTGTCTGTCGACAGACGATTGTTAGTTAGGAAGCCTAGCTCCGACCACGACCACGGCTCTTGCACGTCCTCGCGGGGTAGGGTTACAATGCTCACCAAGCAGTGCAGATTGTGGAAGGCTTCCACCTGATAAACAGATTTGCCCGTCATCCCCGGAGTGGGTGCCGAGGGGCGAAAGCCGTGCGCCTCGGCCCACTCGGTGCTAATCGACACGATGCCATATTCTGCGCCGGTAAGCTTACTTTGGCTCCACAAGGACGGTTATTATGTGGTCATACCCAAGTAGATTTTATCCCATATTTCCTTCTGGGAAATAATCGCCGGATCATATGTCTCGTCATTGATGAACACCCAAGTTTTATTGAAGTCGTTGAGCTCGAAGTCTGTGAGAGAGAGAAAGGGTTAGAACCAAGTAAACCATTGGCCAAAGGGTTGTCTGCAACAGGCGGCCTACAGTCATCCAGGGGGTGCGACCCCGGTCTTTTGGCCGTGTTTATGAGCGGAGGCACCCCTAAAAAGAGGAAGAGGTTGGCGAGCTCTAACGCCAACAGCCAGAACAAAAGTTGCCAGCGTTGTCCGTGTTCCCGAATCCCGAATCTGTTGCCCCTTGCCTGGGCACCGCAATCGCCGCCACCCGCAACAAGCGGCATCTGTTCAATCTCGTCTTTGCTGTCCATACCTGGCGAATGTGGTGATGGTGTGGTGGTGGTGGTGGTGTTTCTCTTTCGCGAAAAAGGATCTCGGAACAGTTCCACCACGACTTTGTTTGCTGTTCGATGGGGGCAAGACATTTTGTCTCTCCGGCATCCAGCGAGCTATTCGCGTCGCCATATCTGACATAACCAGATCCTATCGTCGCCGGCGTGTCGACCGCACAAACGTCACGGCGGCAGATCCCTCGTGTCGCCGTTGTGTGGGGTGTGCCACTACGCCACGCCAACTAAAGGGCGGCTAAGTATCACTGCACCCTACATGCATGCGTCGATCCCTGTCGCCATCAGTAAGGTAAAAGGTAAGACGAGTACCGAGAAGGAAGGTAATGTCTGGATACTCCATATCACTCCTCACCAACATAGCAATATAGCTCCAAGATGATCCTTACCGTGGGCCCCGCGTCGGGCCGTGCAGTCTTGGGTGTGGCTGTGGAGAATAGTCGGCGACCACTGCATGTCTGTCTCAACTCACCTCAGCCAAAAAAGGGCCTATTAGTAGATTATAGATTCAACATAAAGTCCCGGAATTAGTTGCCGGGTTTCTCACTAGATTGGTCGCCTCCTGTTGAAACCGTATGTGATTGGGGCAAACTACGAGCGGCTAAGAAAGCTCATTGATGATTTGGAAGACTCAGCAAGAAAGGCTTTCATCCCCTGTCTCTGGGGGGTGTACGAACGATCGGCCACGCGAATGCTGTTCGAGGTCAAGCAGAGGCGCCAGAAATTAATCCCCGGGCTGAAAACTGAAACTTTTTGTATACCAATTGCCGTTTACTGAACATGGCATATTGGTTTAGTCATCTGCATACAAGCTTGTCGAGGGAGTTCCGCCAAACTGCATCCTTTGCCCCTCAATGTAACCTACCCGGTGCCTGCTTAGTCGGTGATTGGAGATTCACCCTATCCAAATAATGCAAATAAAAAAGATTAGCAAAAGAACTGCACGCCTTGTGATAACAAAGAGAACCCGCTTCTGTGTCGCAGGCCCAAGTAGCTGTCTGCAGAGACTTGGTTATATTCAACTGCCTTGGCGATTTCTAGCCCATCAATGAACCGCCTTCAACTATCTCATCTCATTGAACGGGTTTGGGCTCATGGGCGGTTTTATTCGACCTTAGCCACACCCGTTAACACGGATCGGTTCATTGGGCATCTTGCTGGGGGGTTTTTTCAATATCGAAAATGAGATCTGCCAAGATGGCCACCAGTACGTCTGAAATCCAAGCTTAAGCCCCCCAAGAGGTTTCTTGGCTAATGTCCCGATAGAGCCTGCTGGCACAAGGAGCACTGACGGCTGTTGGACCTGTCGTCTGAGAAGAAAGAAGTGCGATGAGACCCCTCCGGTGTGCCAGACATGCACCAGCCTGGGCATAACATGCCACGGGTACGGGGTGCGACCCTCCTGGATGGATCGAGGACCCCTCGAGAAGGAAAAGGCGCAAAGCATCAAACTAGAGATAGCTCGCAATGGCATCAAAAGGAAGCGGCCCCGCTTGTTCAGCACAACGTCTGCAACTAGCGCTGAGGCAAGCTCCGGGACCGGGGCCGGGGCCGACAACAGCAACAGAGACGCTGCCCAGCTCGAGACGGCACTTTGCTTGTCGAAATACCTTCCCAATGGACTGCAAACCGTCATGAATGACGAATTTGATGATGACTTCAGCCTCTCCAGCATGGCAATGCACCACCAGACGACAACTGACACGATGATCGAACGGATGAGTGTCGTTGGACGGGAAATATCTCCATCAGAGGTCTTGTCGCCTGACGGCAGCGAGATGGACCGGTACTCTCTTCCTGTAGATCCTTTGCTTCACTTGGGCCACGGATGGGACAGTTCTGACTCTGCCTTCGACTACGAGGCGTGCATGCAAATGGGCTCCTTTCTTCCCATGGAGACACCCGCGTCTTTACCAGAAGTCCTCCACAGGGTCGGCCAGTCCGGGTCTTCGGACGCCCCGTCTTGCTACTCTGGCAGGTCATCTGGGACAAACAACAGCGGCTCAAGCACGACGTCCGGGGAGATTCCTCTGAGAGACGCAATCTCCCTGTCAAGTTACCTGGACGAGACACTCTCTGCCCAATTTCCCTTTCGTCGTTCCTCCGACGTCAGCTGCCGGCAGTGGCTCGAATTCTTACTCTTCAGTTCAAAGCACGTCCTCGGGGTTACATTGCTGCTGAGCAGAGCGCCTGACAGCGCGAGCGAGAACCCAGACTCAGCCCAGGAGAAGTGGAACGAAAACCAGGTTTTGCGAGCGATGGCTGTACTCAGATCCCTTCCGTCTGCAACCTCATCCTTATCCATGCTTGATGAGGAACTCAAGGCGTCTCATATTATCACAACATGCGCCTGTGTATTGCAGACAATATTTCTAGAGGTTTGCACGCCCCGTCGTTTTCACACTCGTGGCAAGACAATATAGCTGACAACGGATTAGGTTCATCTTGGTGGAACTTCGCAGTGGACTAGTTGTTTAGAGCAAGTAGCACCGTACATGCATGCACTCATCAACCTCGTCGTCTGTTCAGCAAACAATAGCAGCAACGATCTGAACACCACGGCAGAGAGTACAGTAGTCCTTCGGGTTCAGACGGCCGCAGCAAAGGCTTTGCTCGGCCAATTGGCCTGGTTTGACATCATCGGGCTTGTTTCCACCGGATGCGGGCCATCCCTCGGTACAAATCACCCTTTCCTACTAGATTCCAATGCATTTGATCTGAAAGAAACCTCGGGGTGCGAGAATTGGGTTGCAAAGTCTCTGTATGAGATCCACCTTCTTCGGAAGTGGAAAGCCGAGGAGGAAGATGCCCGCCGGTTGAGCATCATCAAGCTTGCCGAACGGGGAGCAACAATCATAGAGTTTCTGGGAAAGCACATTGCTGCAACCGATAACGATGAAGATGATGAAGATGATGATATGCTCTCTCCCAAAGAGCCACAGCCAAGGGCGATCGATAGCGACGCATCATCATCCTCGGCTGGACCCCTGGAGCAAGACATAAAAACAATCACCATGGCCTATGCTCGGGCCGCGGTTATCTATCTTCACGTCATCATCTCGGGGCCAAATCCTCTTTTGGAGGATATCCGGCGAGAGACCCCACGGCTTGTCAAGGACCTCAAAGAACTTACATCTGCAGGGCTGCTGGGTAATGCGTCGTTTCCTCTATGTGTAGCGGCTTGTTTTGGGGAGGATCAGGACTTCAACTTTTTTAAGCATTTTATTTCAACCAATCGGGGTACACGGCCAAAGCGTTTTGAGACTTGCGATAAGGCCGTCATGATTGCAGAGGAGTGTCGCAATCGACGACAAAATGGCAAAAGCTGTGACTGGGTAAGCCTGACGCAGGAGGTGGGCTGGAAATACTTGCTTGTGTAGACATTATAGACTCCTTGAAGAATACGATGAGCAGAGGTCTCATGCAAGTGGGACAATATAATCATTACAACCAAAGTCTTTCGAGCGCAGCCCGGAAGAGAGTTACTATCCCATCAAGTGCCGCTTAGATACGGAACCGCCCATCGATTTAAAGAGACTGAGCTACTCGGAGACCAGTCCACGCTTTCATTGACCAACCGAAGTAGATACGACTGCATAAGAGAGAAGAAAGAAAAAGGAAGAACGGATGTACTAAAAGCCTAAAGGCGCTCGATGGAACATTTGCAAATCAAGCCACGGACCAAAAGACGGGTACAAAAGGAGTTGAGAACGTGGATGTAAGGTGCATTGGAACACAACTAACCGTACATCTTACATTACTTTGGATTAATCACTTCTAAATCCACACAAAGTACAACCTTGTCCTTTCTTCTTTGGGAACTAAAAGCATCTAATAATCTACGTCAACGGTGATCTTGTGCTCTTTGACTGGTCTCTGAGTTCTACGCTTAAGAAATACCATGGTTGATGTTAATTTGGAATTCTCCGAATCTAATGTCAGAATCTTTCATCTCAGGCGAACTCGGATGCATAGTCCCAGATCTCATCCCAGTTCTTACACTCGTGCGGATAGTCCAATCCATCTACCACGGCACGTCCGGTATTCTCAGAGACGAACTCGAGTGATGTGTCCCCAGAGCACTGCACGGCTTGCCTCAGGTAATCGAAGCAGTGGGCAATGTGCCAAAGACCATGGATGGCCTGGTCGTAAGTTGGCGATGTCACATTCTCCGGCCACTTTTGCAGCAATGCCTTGGCGTCCACCTTTTCGTAGATAACCTCCCACATGAACTTGCGCAATGCGCCCTGTGGGGATGGAGAGTTAGCCTCAATTCAGGGAACACCACCGTGCATTGACTTGGGCCAAACCTACCAGGCAGTGCAGTTGATGGAACACCGAAAGTCCCGCAATCTTGTCGGGGAAATCGAAGCCATTGTTAGGTTCCAAGTTTATGAACCCGCGGCCGTTGGCTGAAACCAAAATAGTTAGCATCGATGCAGCAAATTTGTTTTTAATCACGGGGTGTCATGAACTTACGACCTGGCAAGGCTTCCCAAGCGGCATTGCTCTCTTCCGACGGTAGAGAGAGGAATAGGGGATCCAGCCTGAATGTCCGGACATGTTGCGAAACTGCAGACAGTCAGCAAATACTATGTTTAAATACCTATGGATAGGGCTGAGCTGCTGGCTCATGAACGCACATTGTGGGACTGGAGATGGAAGCAGGCGCTTAGGTCTTTGATGGGACCATATTCCAGAGTACAGAGCAACCAGAGACGCGAACAGCAAGAGGTTGACACCAAGAGAGATGAGGAGCCTTTTTCGTGACCGAGTCTTCTTTGCCAGCATCACAGCTTCAAGGCGCATCTCCGCCTCGGATTCGCTGTTATCCCCCTGCCTCAGAGACTCGTATGCGGACTCTTCGGTTTTAGTTTTTGACCAAGGAAAATAAGACGCCATGGTGTAAAATGTGAGCGAAAGGAAAACAAACTCTAGAGCAGTGTAGTTGAAAGGAAGGATGTTTGGGGTTTAACTTGGCAAGGAAAACAGTAAATCACTTGAAAAGTTCTTATTCTCGAAGATTTCTGTTAAAATCAGCTTCGCAATAAACACAGAAGCCACTGTGAGCATCTTCATGCAATATCTGATCACGCGTGACGCTTATTACCTGCCGCCGGCATGGGTCCCGCTCAATGTTTAGTGGTCGGGCCGCCGATGGCCGACACTCTGAATGCGGGACGTGGCGGCAAGCCGGCGGCAGGTAATAAGCGTGACGCCCAGACCGGGTACCTATGCTACGAAAGTGGAGGAGTTGCCGAAAACGCTTTTTTCAGCATCATACTGTTCCTGTTGTCGCTATACCAATGTCTACTCGTAGCATTCTTTCGCTTGGGCCTTTTCACATTTGCCTGTCATTTTTAGTGAATACGTGCTTGGGGCTTCATTTCATGTCGTCTGTTGTGTCCTCAGCCACCTAAGCAGAAATTACTGTACCGACGCTATACCCAACTACAAGATATGGAAAACAAAGCATTGAACCCGGCGTTGATTGTCTGGGAATTTCTCAGAAGTCAAATTGGTCCGAGGCCGGCTGGCTCTCACGGGCCCTACGGGAAAGTCTCTACGGAAGCAGATCTCGCTTCCCAAGAGACTCTGCTTGAGCACCAGGGGATCACAAACGATAGAAGTTCGATCAACTCGGATCTTTACAGGGGGTGTGTGTTGTCCGCGAAGTGCATGTTTTTCATCACGTACGTGTTGCTGGCATACTCCGTGTTTACTGCCAAGGGATCAGGTTTATGCGTCCTTGGAAACGAAGGTAAGTCTCAGCATCATCATCGATTCAAGTTTGCAAAACTAATTGAAAACCAATTTAAGCCATCTTCGATGATCCGCCTGTAGTTTACGAGAGTGTTCGATTCCAGCGTGCCGGCTTTCACGACCACCGTCACTACACTAATACCCAATACGAAGGACCTCCAAATCACCAGAACGAGGCTGCATGGGATCGTCTGTTAAGTGGTAAGTATTTCCGATTTAACAACACCTAAAAGATATCATGAGATCTAAGATTTATTACGTTAGCTGGCGTGGTTGCCATCTCAGAGCAGGAAAGCTCAAGAATCACGAACGGGACCGCTTCGGCAGTTGGAAACCCCAAGAAGCACATTGTGGAACTAGAAATGTTCCACCAGTTTCACTGCCTGGTAAGAATACGATTAATTATCTTTCTTCAAGAGAAAACACTGAGAATTGCTGACTTTCTCTATAGAAATGGCTCCGTGACCAGTTTTGGCATCTCAACGCAGTGGTCACAGCATCACATGAATTCGATGATTTTCCCCAGAGAGTGAACCATACTGGTACCAACATTCTATAAATCCTTTAAACAACAGCAATATTCTAACAAATGAACTCAGATCACTGCATTGACTACCTGAGACAGGTGATCATGTGCCATGGCGATATCACGCCCATCACGTTTGAGTGGATTCCAGAGATTGACGGATACATCGCCCACCACAGCACAGAACACATGTGCCGCAACTTCGACACCATATTTGATTGGTCTGTAAAGAGAAATACTACTGGTCTAGAAGCAGACGGAAAGCACCAAAACAAGGAATTGAAGCATGCAGAACATTTTGATTGATGCGTAGAATCAAGTGTAGCTTCCGAGTGTAGTCATGTACAAAATCGAAGCTTTCTTTAGTCTTGAGATATTTCGTAGCAAAAACCATATCTCAATGGTGACTATTAGTGGCGAAGAAAGTTAAAGATGGAGATTTTTGAAAATTGAACATTTCTAGGCATCTGCTTTGCCAGATTGTTGGATAAGCATTAACAATTAGTTTTGAGCCCTTAGCGTCCAGTTCGACTTCACAATCATCGTCTAGTAAATCTAGTTGTTCTCCTGGCATCCCCTCTGACTAAAAGGTGTCTTGAAAGTGAAATGCTCATGGAAATTCGACACGCAGGATAACTGATATGTGCTGTCGATGCCGCCCCTATCTCGGCGTCTCGCCCAACGTAGCTGAGACAGCAAGATATGTAAAGTTCAAATAGCCAATGATGTGCTCTTCATTACAGATTTGTTCTAAGCGTGACGCCAGCATCACGATGTGTGGAGCGATTTCTGCAGGTTAGCACTTATGCAAGCATGGAAGGTCTTGGGACAGATTAGTCCAGCGGCACGCTCGTCCGTTCTACCGATGGGCGACAATCATGGTGCTGATTCAGTTGCTTGTCGCCGGAAAGGTAGCGCCCGATTCTGTAGGTCTGGGTTGTTGATGGATGCATAGTTACCAGAAGACTGGCTATATTAGGAGTGATTCAATGACGGTTGGAATGACTTTGAACAGAAACAGCATCCAACAGAACAACAAGCTTCAGAAACCGACTACTCTCAAACACTTGTCTCCTGACCAAAAATCAACTTTATCTCGAAAAGTCCTCATCATCCAAAATGCAATTCTTCAAGCTTCTTGCTCTCTTCGCCGCCACGGCCGCTGCCGTCCCCGCCCCTGCTCCTGAGCCTCAGGCGTGCACCAAGGCAATTGAGGACGACGTCGCCAAGTCGGCGGAGGTCTACAAGCGATGTGGCTATAACTGGATCAAGCGCGGCGAGGACGGCCTTGCTGCCCGCCAGGCCTGCACTAAGGCGCTCGAAGAGTCTGTCGCCGAGATTTCCCAGAAGCACAAGCGATGTGGATACAACTGGATCAAGCGCGACGAGCTCGCCGTTCGCGAGCCCCTACCCCAGGCCTGCACTAAAGTGGCCGACGAGGCCACCGCCGAGGCTGAGACGCTCTACAAGCGATGCGGTTACAACTGGATCAAGCGCGGCGAGGAAGGTCTTGCTGCCCGCCAGGCTTGCACGACCGCGGTCGAGGAGGCCGTCGAGAACGCCTCTGAGAAGTTCAAGCGCTGCGGTTACAACTGGATCAAGCGTACCACTGCTGGTGAGGATTATCCCGCTGAACACTAAAGTGATCAAGAGAATGTATTGTGCTAACCTCGATTCTTACCAGAGAACTAAACTATCAGACACGGCAAACAGCGAGGGTGTCACACAATTCACAATGCCATGTAGAATGAACCCATTTTCAAACATATTGGCAGACTACAAGAAAGATTGGACTTGCCTTACTAGAGCACATATTGTCACGGAGTCAGCACTACTGCCAGTCAAATAGATAAATTGGTGTCACGACGTGAAATGGGGCATCTAGAACTTGTTGTCTAACCAAAGTGACAAGAAATGTTGACACTAGACTTACTTTGAATGTTGAATCGTCCATCAATTGACCAAATTTGGTAATCGCATCCTCAGGTGCCTTGCATGGTGACCCAAGTGAATGAACTATGCGTTCCATGATCGAAGAAGACTGATTTGTCAATTCTTCTTGGAGATGTGTCATTTGGTTGGGGATTGACTGGGTACCGGTTCAGCCCAACAGGATGCTGTTGGTCTTCCCATCACAGCAGCTTTCTTGGTGACATCCAACCGACAAGTTATTCCGCGCCATAGACGACCGGGTAAGTCGGCAACATGCCGGTGGTGGGACAAATAGGTAACTTCCAGTAAGGCCGCTATCTCCGTTGTTGTTTCCGGTTTAAAAGTACATTAATCTTCGGCCGACGCCATGCAGCGATTCCGGTACGTTGAAGTATCGTTTCAACAAAACCATCTTTACTACCTCGTATCCAGATCGAAACTCGCTCACCTTGATAATGGCCTCCCAAAACTACGCCGCCTGGCAAGTCGCTGCCAAAGCTCCCAGCCTGGAGGTGAAGGAGGCAGCTTACACCCAACCTGCTGCGTCTGAGATCCTAATCCGGAACTATGCTGTGGCTGTAAACCTCGTCGAACCAGCCCTGCAGACTCGAGGGCCGGACCTCTTCCAGTGGGTGACATACCCGCAAATCTTCGGAAATGACATTGCTGGCGAGGTTGTGGAGGTGGGACCCGGCGTTAACGCATTCAAGCCAGGAGACCGCGTAGTAGCCCACGCCCTCAACTTGACCAATAATAAGCCTTCTGAGGGGGGTTTCCAGCTGTTCACCATTGTATCAGACTTCATGGCCGCCCTCATCCCAGAGACCGTCTCGTTTGAGCAGGCGTCTGTCCTCCCGCTGGCCTTGTCGACTGCCTCATGCGCCCTGTATCAAGAAGACCAGCTGGCCCTTGACCTTCCTACTGTTCCTGCTCGGCCCAGCACCGGCAAGACCGTCCTCGTCTGGGGTGGCGCATCAAGTGTTGGATGCAATGCCATCCAACTTGCTGTTGCCTCTGGGTATGAGGTCATCACCGTAGCGTCGCCTCAGAACTTTGACCTGCTGAAGAAGTTGGGGGCAGCCAACGTTTTCGACTACCACGCCCCGGATGTTGTTGAGCAAATTCTCGGCGTTTTTGCCAACAAGGAATCTGCCGGAGGGTTGGCCATTGTGCCTGGCTCCGCCGGTCTTGTTGGAGAAGTCTTGGCTCGCTCATCCAAGGGTGTCAAGTTCGTCTCCAACATCTCTGCGCAGCCTGCGGACCTCCCCGATGGTGTCAAGTCAAACGTCGTCTTTGGAGGTTCTTTGCGTGAGAACGAGGTTGGCCGTGCGGTATATGCGGATTTCCTCGGCAAAGCCCTAGCAGCCGGATCCTTCACCTGCGCCCCCGAACCTCACGTCGTTGGCAAGGGTCTGGAGAGTCTGCAGACGGCCTTCGAAGCCGTCAGGGAGGGTGTATCGGCAAAGAAAGTGGTGGTAACCTTAGCTTGATGCAATTGAAACAACCTTTGGGCAAGATAAGCACAAGTCTCGGCCGTTCGTGCATTTCTGCGGTCATATCTAACTAGTAATGCTGCAATTAAATCTTAATTTGTTTGCCTAGCGTTCAAGTAAAAAAATCGTTATGTCATCGGAAAACTTCCTTCAATATAGTTGATACTGAATCCATTAGTGACTTGTGTTACGGAGTAAGGCATCCACTCCAGCGTGGGGCAACAAGTCATTAGACTTTGGACTTCTCTAGAGTACGTATAAGAGAGAGCCTTTTGTAGGAGCTTGATAGCAAATAGAAAGACATCAATGCCGAAGTAGGCCGAAAAGCTGTGACCCTCCATAAGTTGCAATAGCTCGTCTAGAGATTGAGCCTTTGTGGACTTTTGCCCCCATCAGCGTCGCTCTACACTTTCTCCGTCTAGAGTTCTAGCGATTATGTCTATTAAGAGCTTAGAGTATGTTTTTTTTCAATTGCAGGTAGGGCTTCACTATATACATACCCCCCTTAGCTGTTTATATGTATTTTGGTGATCCATCTGGCTGATGTTGCCGTTGTCAGTTAGGTATTGTCACAGACGGACCAGTCGCTTTTGTCATGTCGCTCTGATGATTTGGGATATCTGTTGCTGTCTAAATTAATTATGGCGCTGACATCGGATATAATCAATCAGATTACAGCATAACGTACCGTTCAGACAAAAGGAAGATAGCAGAGTGTCGCGCCAACTATGTATCAATTGGCCAGCTGCCAATGGTCATCATAACTGTGAGTGACCTTGGAGTATTTTAGACAGGGTCGACTTACTTACCTTACTCTGTTTGATTCTGTTGTTTAGCGATTGGTGTTCTCTGGACGTCAATAACTACCTGCAGAATGCGACTGATGTGTGTGGTGTGTCGTGCATGTCAGCATGTACCAACTTTTGGGACATCAATGCGTTGCACTAAAGAGGTTAGCTGGACAGAACCGTCGTGGCGTTGTGTCTTGTGGGGGAGCCCACAGCAAATATGTCTTGGAAGGCAGCATGAATAGCTGTAGGGAATTGTGTATAATGGTCCCTGTTGACATAGAGCAGTATCTTATCCACTGATTTACAGGGGTGGAGGGCTTTCCACCTTGATTGGAGACTATACGCATCGAACAACTTAGTGGGTTCACTTGAACTAATTCAACGGACTTGTGACCGGTTTTCAAACCTTTACTATCGAGCTGTGCATGCGTCGACGCCTGAAAATCCCATGTCTATGAAAACTGAATTCACTAGCTTGTTTAATGGGGTTTTTCCATGCCAGCTGTTGCGACAATGACCTGATGGTCCGTAACCAAGGACGGATCTCTTTCGGTTAAGCGACCGCCTTAGCCGCTCAGAAGCCAGCAGTAAAAATATTGATCCATACCTCTCCGGCCAAGAGACCAACTTCCTCGTTCACTATTACATAGGTTCTTCAAACCCCATTGTATAAAATTATGTATTCCACATAACCTTGCATTCAAGAGGTCCACTCTTCGGAGATGTGGCTCAAATATGTTGAAAATCCCTCAACGCTAGCAGATATGTTCTGAAGGATTCACTCGGCTCTTCTATCATTGGCATGAATCCTTTCGGGTATCCTTTTACCGACATCTACTCTTGGCAACTGTTGCCCGCCATCACAATAGTGATGCAAGGTTATTGACTCAGTAAATACCTGCCATACTAAAGCATTGAATTGGCTTCTCATCGCCGGCCTAGCAGTAATCACATTTCGCAAGCAATGTTATATCCAGCATCGCTTCCTGCAGCACATGTCAGAGCATTATGTAAAATGAAACCAAAGTCGGCAGTTGACCTCTTTGAGAAAGATTCATGGTATGATTCCAATTGAATCTGGCTGCTCTTCCGAGATGAACGACAGAAAGTCTCAATCGGGTTAAAGGGAAGCATTACGTTGCCACTCAGGTTTCATTTTTTTCTAGGCTACCGTTTAATGGAGGCGCGGTATTTGCCCCATGGAAGTAGACGATACGGTTGGCTACCTCGGATTGATGGTCTTAACTGCAGGATCTGATAAGATTAACCATCCAATGAAATTATCGCCTGATTATCGTCGGGACTAAGTGCGCCTCTATCCAGTGCTTTCTGCCAAGGGTTCAGCTGACCATAATGGCTAAGCGTGAGGGGTAACCTTCATGCCGGGAGGGGCCGATCCTCAACATGCCTTTCTCTTGTCTTTATAGAGTGGACCGTCGGTTCAGTATGGAGGCCACTAAGCATGTCCCTGGTTGAAATCTAACAGGGTATATACGCAGAGACTCACTCTTCGCCACCAAGGACCACCAAATAGATACCTACTAGACTCCAAACTATTAAAGACAACCTATTTCCCAGTGAGAGGAGAAATAAATTGTGCCATCAACCATCACATCATTGCTAGTTATCATTGCTAGTTATCTCATCTCAAGTTTCTTAACAGACTCTTAACTCATTCTCACCATGAAGTTCTTCTCTACTTTCTTCGCCCTTGCCTTGGCTTCCACCGCTATGGCTGCTGCCCTGCCCGGTGATGAGTCTAACCTCGTTTCCAGAGAGGCGTACGAGGCCCTTTTGGAACGCCAGAACAACCCTGGATGCTCCGCCTGCATTATCAGAATCCGCTGCTGCAACAACGTTTGCTCCGCCTGCTAAATTAGCAACTTTGCACTATCCCGTCTGCTAGACTAGTACAGTCTCTTGCTAATAAATACTAGCAGAGTAGGTAAGCAGACAAATACCCGATTCGTATTACTATGTCAGAAATGTATTAACTTTCAATCAAGACACGTGGCAAATCATTTACAAGAGTCACCTTGATTAGAGGAAGTAGAATGAGATATGGCTGAAGAACTAAAGCCATGCGTCATCATTGTGTCCCTTCTTGCACTGTCAACGCATTTAAGGGCCGAATCAATGCCTGAGCGCTTGACGAACTAGAATCTGCAGTTTGGATAAGCGCTCAACTGTAAACAAGACGAGGTTATGGGTTTAGGGCACAAGTGCAAGAATATAATAGCATAGCGATGAGTATTGAACAAAATAAAAAACTAGTTGCGTACTACCACATTGAGTGCTATTGAATTCTATTGTTACTATATCTCACATTACTACTTCTACTTATTAAACACGATACTACTCATGATATTCACAATATTTTACTATATGCTGCTTTAAGTTGTATTCGTAATAAGATTAAAGCTATAGTCAAGTCGGTGTAAGCAGAGTAGGCATGGTATCATCTTAATGGAGAATATTGAGTTGAATAGGGTCTCCGCTTCGAAGTAACTATCGTATCCCCATGCCTTCCCATATACAAATGTCCTACAACCGCCAAGTGCCCTATGGAGCCTATTATGCCTAACGAGTCGTAACAGATTAATTCTCCTTTGCTGTGAGAAGTGAGCTAGACCAGATTCACTCAGCATGTCACTGGGAACCTTCAAGGATGGCTGTATAAAAGCCTGTCTCACCTGAGTTACACCAATAGTCGTTGCTATCACTGTTTGCACGCTCTATGACGTGAGGCCTTCTCGCCTACGGGGGATACACAGACAAGGGGAACACATTGAATGATGCGGGAGTTGAGATGTTGAAAAAGTACTGGGTCTATAATGAATCAAAATCTAACGCTCTAGGTACAGGCATACTTTATTGGTTCTCATGCAATCGAGAGAACTCAGAAGATACTGTGAAGAGAATTCTTTTCCAACTTCCCGGACCCTATGCTTGCTTCCTGACAACTGTCATCATACAGAACAGCACACCACCGCGAGGACCACGTCGCATTCTGGTAAGAACATGTCAAGATTGCCAGTTGATGTTTATTGTGCGCCATCATCTTCTTTCATTGTCTCTTGCGTGAACAAAGTGAAGCCACAGTAGTCTCGATGCTACGAATTGAGTTAGGACTAAAGTGCCGCCACTTTGTCTCACGCCCCAAAGGCTCGCAGTCTAGACTTCTTCAGCGTCGAGATGTATATCACCCTAGCCGGAATCGGGGAAATGGTTTTCAGCTTCGCACAATCTGAATGTGCGCCATTCGAACCAAGATGAAGAAAGATTTATAGAGATTGAGTATAAAGTCAGCCCTGGTATTTCACCAGGTAGCGGGTCTTCGTCGACATATCTCCATACAGGCAACCATGGATGATCAACCTTATATCAACAAAGCCAACCGGCTTAAAGTCACAAAAGTCAACTACACATGCCAAGAGGTCCCCCAAAAGCCCCTTCCACCATTTGACGCGGAGCAGAGAACCCGTTCGCTTCTCATGCTGGGAATCGGCGTTACCTTCCTGCTTTCGGCTTGTGGTCTTTTTATTTCTATCATGACCTTAGCCAAAAAGCACGATTTTCTTACCGGCAAAAATGCCATTTTTGGCTCTGACTCGACTAAAGAAACAGCGGCTCTTCTCCTCAACATCTGCGTCACGATCTGCACTGAGATATTGGGGTATATACACTCCGTATCTTTGCGCTGGGCCTTGTACCATGAGGGCCGCCTCCAATTCAACTCCAACCTGCGCCTGTTCACCAGCGCCAAGCGATGCGCAGCGAACGCTTGGTATACTAACGCGCTATGGATATTGCTTGTGACGGTGTCATATAGCTCAGCTTCTCAAGTCCTCCTGCCCACCGAGAAGGGGTTCTCTCCAAGCTCAGAGGCTCTTGTCATTCTCTGCGCGGCGACTTTGTTTCAATGCGTTTTGGCCGTCTGGTGTATGGTGCCGTCCAAGTCCCGACGGATTCTCTCATACAATTCCAGCCCCCTCAACACAACTCTCGCCCTCCTCCACCATGGTTTAATACGTCCTAATACCCACGAAAAAGCTGCCCCACGCCGCCGTCAGATGCCGGCAAAAGAAGCAACCAAGGCCGTCAAGTGGATCATACGATTTTTTTGGGTCCTGACATTGGTTATCATTCTTTGGGGTGTCGTGATACTAATAATATGGCCTCGGGACAACTACGGCCCTCCAAATACCTCCTTTGACCTCCATAACATGAGAGAGGGCTTTTCGCCTTCCCAGTACTCAAAAAGCTATAGAGTGTATGACACTCTCTTTGGGCTTGGAATCATTACCTGTCTTCAGCTTGTCTACACGCTGGCCCTTCATATGGCTGAGCAGGCCGTTAATCTTTCTCGCGACGAGGCGGTCTGGCGTCGTGCTTCGGATTTATCGGCCGGCTCCAAAGGGGCTCCCATCAGTCAGAACTCGTTCAGAGCAATGCTGGCGACGTGGCAGGGCCCTGCCCTACTTGTGATTAAGCCTCTTAGTCATTGGCTGTTTGGTATAAGTATGTTCACTCAGAAAAACGGACACGTAGTCTTCCGCGCGGCGGCAATTCTCTGCCTTGCTGGGGCTAGTGTGGTATTCGCAAGTTTGGTAACGTTCCTCGGACTTAGAGAACCGAAAGGTCCACAGCCAGCGGCATGGGGTAATATCTTAAAGCTGGCAGGGTTTATAGACGATTGGGGCACAGTCGGCCACGGCGGGTTACTGTTCTGGGGCGACAAGGGAGTGGCGGACTCTACCGGCGTGCGCATCGCTGGCACTTCGGAATCGAAATCTAAAGTCAGCAAAATCAAAATGGCCGGGGTCTTGTACATTGGTGTTGGAGATGGTTCAGGATGATACCAACGCCAAATGGCTCGAAAGTGAAATGCTTATGTTTATACAGACGTATAGAAAGGCTAATCGATACATCTTATATAAACAGGTTTAACTAAGAACAATAGAATCATCTCAGACCCAGACGAGCTATTCATCATGTTTTTTATTACAGGGACGTCTGAATGATAACTACCGCCCCTCTTAAGCCGCGTTGGGAGTGTGGGCCAAGAACTCCTTGATGCTAATATCACTAAACAGATAGGGAATGGGAATTATACAGCTGCATGTCGAGAAACACTAGGATTCAAGAAACAAGGTTATAGCAAGCTTCATCACTCTCATCCCTGGGCCTGCAGTTGGGGGGTTGCAAATGTTGCAGTTGAGCTAGCGAGGCTTTGATACTCTTGTTGAGGTTGACCTAACTTTGTCTCAACTCTGAAGATACTAGCCTACAATCACTGGATACTAAACTTTTTTCACCCAAATTCGCATACGTTCGTCCATCGCCTTAGCTGCTCAGTCACTGCATTGCGACTTCGCCGTCGATGATATAAGAAAAAACCATAATGCCAGACCCAACTCTTCCTCGCTTCTTCATACAGCGAATTAACACAAAACTCGCAACGGAACGGTTCCTAACCAATCAAGAACTTCAACCCCTGCTAACTACCACCGCCAAAAAAAGATCGTCAACAGAGACTACCACAGCAACTGAAAATGCCCGAGGTAAAATGACCCAAGTGCGGTGGTCCCCACTACGGTGCGTCCTGCCCTGTCGTCAACCACCCTGATTCCCCAGTCAAGAAGTGAGAAAGACGGCTGTGGCGTTTTCTAGAAGGCATAGGTTAAAGAGGGTGCATATGCTGGCGTTGAGGGCGTCCGTTTCTGGATCGGTTGCAACCCTCCTTGTTACCCCAAATAATACCCCAACCCCAGAGCCTGCATGAGCTGCAGAGCGGCCCGCAAAGCTACCCTTGACTGCCGAGGCGGAAACACGGGATCCTTGGAAATAGTCATTGGAGCGATATCAAAATAATGAGTTTGCAACTTCACAGGTTTGATTGATTGATTGATTGATTCCTACACGGTTATGAAGCCGCTCTTATGCTAGCAGCTATGCCCGGAAAGCGGGGTTTGGCAGACAGCCGAAGCATCGACGATAAACCGCGACGCCCCACTTCGCCCTGTTGTTGGATCAGGACCAGCTGTCCCCAAGCTCCCACTATGCTATCTATTCTTGTGTGTTTATGCCCTCTGTTGAAGATTGTTGTCCTCCTGCCTGCTCTCTCGCTTGGTGTTGCCTTCTAGAATCCTTCTTTCGCGTCCTCCTACTTCGGTTCTGTTGGTGCTAGGCACCATGTCTGGTTCTGTATACCTATAGTCTCCCCCCAGCCCTCAGCTTCGTCTCTTTATCTTGTCCGCATCCTCTCAGACTCGCATGTGCTATATCTCAGTTGAATCTGTAAATCTTTTTGTTGCCTCATGCTGGGTTCCTATGTGGCTCTATGTTTCCATCTTTCGACCACCACCTCCATCCACCGCCTGGAGTCGGACTCAATCCGCAAAACACAATGCTCCAACCGCTTCGATTCGTCCGATTACTAAGTATGAGAGCTCGTACACAGATTCCGCAGACATTGTCATACGTTGAAGGGGCGACAATCCTTCTTCGCGGAGGGGGCGACAGGGGACCAATCTGTCTGCAAACTGTAGTATTTTGTGGCATCGATCGTAGCATGCCTGGTGTCTGGTGCTTTCTCTATGCAGGAGGTGATACCGTTCTGTCGGGCTTGTCGTCGTTGTTGTCGCGGGACGTTGCAAACTTTGTCGGGGGTGATAGGCGACCCATAACCTATCGGTGGCTGTGGTGTTGATGTTTGTTTGGGCTTGGTCGTTGTGCTCACGTGATAGCCCGTGACTCAACCGCGGTGGTGTCGATGGTGTTGTCTATTGACGTGTCATACTTTGTGGCTTGCTCTCGAATTTTTCGTGGTCAGAGCCCGCCCGCGGCCACGAGCAGGCTCTTTGGGAGCAGAATCAATGCCGAGGATGACATTATGCCCAAAGTGACCTCTGAGAGCGCGAGCGGGCGTGGTTTGATCAATTTGATGCTGTTTTCAAAAATTTCGTTCTCGCTGTTGTTGATGTTTTTGCAACTTCACAGGTCTGTTAGAGATATGAAGGGGACTTCTGGAGTATACTAAGTCACGTGGGGCAACACGTGGGCTTTAGAGAAAACAGTTTTGGTCCCCACTTTCACACTTTTGAAGATTTCTGTCAATCGGAACACCTCACAGAAAGGTGGTGCCTTAGTAACCATTGAATGTTCCACATAGCCGTTCGTCCGATTGAACACGAGCAATTAGCCTTCTATGCCTTCTCCGTTCTTCCAGTCAAATCCACTGCCAGAGTTCATCACCATTGGTTCTTTCTTTAAGCCTACGAATCACGTTTCCCCTCAGATGGATCAACTACGTATGTCCAACTTTTGTTAACCCTTTTGTTAGCAATCCGGGCCGAATTGCTGGTCATTCTACCCCATTGAGGGGTAACACAGTTTTGGATTCTGGGGCTGTTGGGGCGAGCCCCATCGCCCGATTCCTATTCAGCCCGGCGTCGGTTCATCTGTCGGCGAAGAAAGGGCCCTCGGATGGGGATCTCGAGTCTTTTTCAGGCACGCAAGCAGGCATGTTCACATGCTCCTCAGTAATCGTATCCAAGGCACAGTCTTACCCCGGACCGGGTATTGCGGGTGTCGACTTGTAGACCCCACAGAAAGCCGTCAAAATTTGGTGGTTTGACCAGCTAGAACCTTGGAGCCTGGAACTAAGTACTAGTACGCTTCAACGGAGTCCCGCAGTTCCAACGGCGGTTGCCGCATGTCTGTACCTCGGTAATTGACAGGACAAGGGGGTCTGGCCTTGATCTTCCAATCGAGTGACTGATGGACATGTCCATCTTGTTGGTGCTGGGGTGGCATCGTACAACGCAATAGTAGCGGTAAGTCACATTATTGAAACCCCAGTCTGATACCACTGTACTTTTGTCGTGAACACAAGTCAGTTCACGGCGATCTTTGTCCCGGTACACAAGACCCCTCGAATTGTACTTGTCGTCGTCTGAAGCGGCCATCGAGACTGTTGAACGCACTCTTATTTGCAACTATTACAGATGGCACGATAACTTTGACTGTTGAATATCCGAAAAAAACACAACCTACGTCATTGGCTCCTGTTCGGGAGTCTTCTCCGAGGGGATTTTTGCAAAGCGTGATAAATACCAGGGAATTCCTTAGGCGAAAGTTGAACTCTTCCCCGCCTCCGCACAACTAGAGAATTCCCACCTATGACAACCCCAGATGGCCCCCAGAAACAGCTGGGAAACCCCAGACACGAAGTAGATACGAGCAGGGCCGTTTTGATGACCCCATCCCCATCATCCCCCCATGCTAGGCGCACCAATGGAACTGGCGGCCAGTAAAAACACCCAGATCCACCATGTAGTTAGTATAAGATCAAAACCCCAACTCGCCATTCCTTGGGGCCAAGTCCTTGGCGGCGATTCTTGTTCACTTGGCCATCTCTTGGTGTCTTGGCTTTTTTCCTAAATCCTACTCTGGCCGAGCCAATCGCAGCGACAGCGACAGCGACAGTGAAGCTTCACGCCCGCTTCCAAGATGGCGGCAAATATTGAGTCCAGCGACGACGGCCACGCTGCCACTCGCGTCACCAGCAGGCACGAGGATGTTCTCGTCGACGACGAGAAGCATGTCGCCCACCACGTCGACCCCAACGCCAAAGTTTTGGCCGACTCGGATCTTATGAACGACGCTTTCGATGGCGAGAACGAGGAGCACGACCAGACCCTGTGGCAGGCCGTCAAGACTCACCCCAAAGCTTGTTTCTGGGCCTTCATCATGTGCTTCACCATTGTAAGCGGACATGCCTCCCTCCCTGTCCCCTGTTTTTTTCGGGCCGCTCCCGTCTGCAACGAAATTGCCGCTAACTCATGCATGTGCCATAGGTGATGGAGTCATTCGACATGTTCTTAAACGGTAATTTCGTGGCGCAGCAGGCCTTCCAAAAACGATACGGTGTTCCCGTTCCGGGAGGTTACGCCATCGAGACCAAGTGGCAGAGTGCGCTTTTCCAGGCCGGTCAATGCGGTGCTTTTGTTGGTGTCTTCTTGGCTGGCCCTGTCGTGAACCGTTTCGGCTACCGCATGGCTACCATGATTGCCCTGGTTCTCATGAATGCAACCATCTTCATTTCCTTTTTCGTAAGTCGTTATATTTGCCCCCCTCGCATGGCAATGTGGCGAAGAAAGAATCCATTTCGGCTGACCCGATCCCGCCATCCAGGCCAACTCGCTCGAGGTCCTTACCGTCGGACAAGCATTGGAGGGTGTCCCCTGGGGATTCTTCATTGCCATCGGCCCTGCCTACGCCTCTGAGATTGTCCCTCTCGCCCTTCGTGGTGCCTGCACGGCCACCCTGCAGATGAGTTGGTCGATTGGTTCCATCATTGTCGCCGGAGCTACTCTTGGCTACAACAAGCGAGACGACGAGTGGGCTTGGCGAGCACCTCTTGCCCTGCAATGGATCTTCCCGGTAAGCTCCCACGCCATCCTCCCCTACTCACGATTTGCCACCCGACGGGATCGCTAATCTTGAGTTTGTCCAGCTTCCGCTCATGGTTATCCTCTGGTTCGCTCCCGAGTCTCCCTGGTGGCTTATCCGTCGCGGACGCAAGGACGAGGCTCTTCGCTCCGCCAAACGTCTCGGCCCTACCGGCGGCACCATCGAGTATGCTCAGCGAAAGCTTGCCATGATTGAGCGTACCGTCGAGATCGAGGCCCAGATTGGCGGCAGCCCTACCCTTCTCGACCTCTTCAAGGGCGTTGATCTCAGACGTACCACCATCACCTGCTTGATGTACGCCTCGCAGAACTTCGCCGGTAACCTGATTGCCAACCAGGCCACTTTCTTCTTTGAGCGTAAGTTACTCCATTTCCCTTCTGTAAAAAGTCTTTCCATAATATAGGTGGCTGACCCCCACATTTAGAAGCCGGCATGTCCCACGACCGCGCGTTCGATCTCAACCTCATCAACTCCTGCCTCCAGCTCTTCGCCAACGGTCTCTCGTGGCCCCTCACCGCCTGGTTCGGCCGTCGTACCATCTACCTCTGGGGCACCGTCACCAACGTCACCCTGCTCATGATCCTCGGTATCTGCGCCTCCATCAAGCAGACCAGCGCCACCAACTACGCCCAGGCCGTCCTCGGAATCTTGATCTCCTTCGTCTTCGCCGGCACTCTCGGTCCCATCTCCTACACCATCATCGCCGAGACCTCCGCCGTCCGTCTCCGTGCCCTCAGCACCGCCGTCGGCCGCGCCGCCTACTACGTTGCCGAAATCCCCATGATCTACCTCGCCTCGCAGATGCTCAACCCCACCGGATGGAACCTCGCCGGAAAGTGCGGTTACGTCTGGGGAGGTACCGCCATCGTCTGCTGGGTCATGGCCTTCTTCTTCCTTCCTGAGCTCAAGCACCGCTCTTACCGTGAGACGGACATTCTGTTCAACCGCAGGATTCCCGCTCGCAAGTTCAAGACTACTGTCATCAAGGTGACGGATAACGAGTAAACGTCATAATGAATAGAATAGAGATGATGCGCTTGCGGATCTCTGCGAAATGTGTTTGAGGACGCAGAGAATTGTTTCATCTGATTAGATGCAGCTTCGCCTTTGAAAGGATCATGGCTTAGCCATCAAAGATTATAAAGTCATAGAATGGACGAGTACATGTATAGACATACTACTTTAGTTATAGATGTTTCTAATTGATGTACCATAGCTAAGAACTCGAAAGTTGAGTCTGGTAATTTCAAGTGACTGCCGAGAATTTAATGATACGGAAAATGCAGCTGCAAACTGGACTGGAAGCGCAACCAGGTCTATTTGACCTTACTTCCAAATTTATGTAACGATGAAGGGTTGCGCGGTGTCCAGAGATGATGGAAATATCTCGCTGTTTAAAGTTGTCCATGCTTCAGCTGCTGGTATTGTTGGAGCTCTTGGGCGTGTATACAACAGGCTGCGACTTTAATACCTGCGTCTCCAGCTTGTTTCAGCTATTTGACAGTTGATCTACAAAAGTGACTTGTATGAACAAAACAATAGCGTAATTTTCAGCCTTGGATGGGACTTACCTATTTAGCTTCATTGGCCCAAGGTTGACTTTCATACGAGAAATCCAACCACTTAATCTTTTAGAACTCCTATTATGTACTTTTCAAAGCTAAGGAAAGGAGTTAAGATCAAGTTCGCCAATGTGATAGACCAAAGTGAGTTGAACCGATATTTCTCAAAACCCGTATGACAGTTTCCCCTACTACCATGGAAGAAAGTACACAAACAAGAAGGGAGCAGCCCAAGCTCTGTAGTTGGAAGAAATTAAATATCTTGGCTCAAATTCTCCTTTTCAATCAAATGCATGGACGTTCAAGAAGAAATTATGCTCATCATTCAATGTCCGTCATACGATGAACCCTTTCGCTTACTACGAATGCCAGTTGGCTAGATTCAGGCCCACAATCCGCTAGCGATCTCATCCTTTGGCTGGTAGCAGCTCCACTAACAGCCGGATTTAACACTACCACCGTAGTATTACTACCCGTGGAGTTCCGTGGAAGGATACCACACACTTGCAAAACAACTTGATTATGTAGGCACTTGGCGCCAGTCACATGGCCAGATGCCGCCAAGTCCACGCACTAATGCCAGGATTATTTCAACATGACTGCCGGCATCATACGATTTCTCAATTCCAACTTCAGTACTATTTCTCGTTGGGTTGACAGGCTTACGAGTGATTCCGAAATACACTAAACTATCTCAAACGGCTTTGATTTCCCACAGCAAACAAAATGTCCATCCTCGTTCTAGGAGCCGGCGAGCTGGGCATCGCCATGCTCAAGGGCCTCATCTCACATCCGTCCCGCCCTCAGAATTCCAGTGTCACCGTCCTCATACGCCAAGTCACCAAAAAGTCTGGCAGTGAGGCCAAAAACAAGCAAATTGACGAAATCAAAGCGCTCGGGGTAGGAATCGAGTTTGCGGATATCGTTTTCAAAACCGTCCCGCAACTCGGAGATATTTTCCGCAAGTACGATACGATCATCAGCTGCCTGGGTTTCGTCGGCCCATCGGAGACCCAGCGACGTATCTGCGCGGCGGTGCTGAAGGTCAAAGTTCGGCGGTTCATTCCGTGGCAGTTCGGGGTCGACTACGACGTGATTGGTCGCGGAAGCCCGCAGCCGTTGTTCGACGAGCAGCTCGACGTCCGAGACATGCTCCGGTCCCAGAGCCATACAGAGTGGATTGTTCTGAGCACGGGACTGTTTACGAGTTTCTTGTTCGTCAAGGATTTTGGAGTTGTGGATTTTGAGCAGAAGAAGCTGAGGGCGCTGGGAAGTTGGGATGATGAAATCACGCTCACGGGGCCGGAAGATATCGCGAGAATGACGGCCGAGGTTTTGTTTGACCCGCGCGGGATTCCCGGAAATGGACGGAATGTGGTCTACATAGCTGGTGATACCGTTTCGTACGCCCGTATTGCGGAGTGTGTCGAGAAGAGGTTCCCGGAGGTGAAGTTTACGAGGGAAGAATGGAATCGGGAATTGCTGAAGGAGAATCTGGAGAAGGATGAATACAATAGATGGAGCCAATATCGCGCGATATTCGGCTCTGGAAAGGGGATCGCTTGGCCGCTGGAGGTCACCCTTAACTATGAACGCGGGATCCAGCTGACGGATCTGGAGACATGGTTGCGAAATATGGAAACACCGGATGTGTTGAAGGCTCAGAAGGCCTTAAAAGAGGAATGATAATGGGAAGCCTTCTGACATTAGATCAAAATGATGTCGGCCAGTTTTGGTATATTGTTTGTTCTTTTTGAAGCACAAATATCAAAGTCAAATTTCCAAACTCGGCATGTTGGAGTTGATGCATTATAATTATCCTATCAATTCGAACTGCCACAGATGTCAATTATTTCGTGTCTCGAGGTTTGTGCGTGCGTGGCTTCAGTAACATAAAATTTGCCAGTGACGGCCAGAGGGCACTGTGTTCCAGTTGGCTGAGTACGGCGTGGTGTCTTTCGAATGGAGTCGAAAAGTTTCGAAAGGTATCAAGTCTTTGCCTGGATTCCAACCAACGATATTTTGGGCTGCATTTCATCAGATACTTCTTCGATAAACAATTGCATTTACGACCATAGATGACTCTTCAAAACCTTAGATCAAAGACAAGCCGAAAACTTCAAAATACAAGAAACATCGAACCAGTTCCTACTTTGTAGCTATGTGGTTTTCCGGAGAGAATAGGATTATAAATACGATTGAATGTGAGCTAAGTATTGTGCATGTTGTTAACACATTTTTGATGAAACACAAAATGCTCTAGTTGGTTGACAAGTGAAGCAAGGAAAACGATGTCCCAACAAAACCTGGATAACCGGCACATATCACCCTTGACATCTAGGAGCTGTTGGGTAGATAGTTGAAACTCTCCTGTTAAGCTTAACCTTTGGTTGAAATCCACCAAATGGTTTGTCGTGCCGTTCTAGCCGGTGCAGCCTCGTTTTGACCTCAGCTTAAGAGCAGCCATAAAAAGAAGTTCGTCAGCTACATGTTTGTAAGAGTAATACACGACTAATGCCTTCAACGAATGGACCAAATAAAGAAGAAAAACAAGAATCCTCCCAAGGATGTACAGCCATATTTCAGTTCAACTCACACAGTGAGAGTATTGCAGATAGCCGAGTTGCGTACGGACTGGGCAGCGCGTCAACAGGAAGTGAAGAGACGAAGCAAATGTCGCAGAACTTTCAAAACTCGAGTCTCTGAAGCCAGTACCTCTGCATGATCATTAACCTGATTTGGTGGTTGGTGTGCCTTATCAATGACGTCTTGTTTACGCGCTGATATGCGACCAATGAATCGTGCATCATGATTGAGATCTTCTCAATAGAGATCACGAGATTTGGTCACATGATGCGAAGAAAATTTCTACACCGCATCGCATGCACAAGGATTTCCAAAAACAAGACAGAAAGCAACACAACTCATGAGAATAGTGGAGCGATTTTCCAGAAGAAGTAAGGTTGAACTGACCTCGCAAGACGAGAATATCGCACGCAACCCTTGAGGTCACCATAACAGAAGGCAGACGGTATACTGAAAGACTTCGCTTCAGCCAATTCCCGGTTCCTTTAGAAGAGCCTCTTCTCGCCTCAAACAGTCTGATATCAACTAAACCTCTTAGCAGTACCGTTATTGCACAGACAGGCACTTTCGCAGATTGGAGTTGATAGTGTCGCAGAATGAAATATCAAATCAAGTCATGTAGTAGAATGACGTGATTGACGCGATTCTCATAGCACACAATTTATATCAGCTCCATATTTAGCATGATTTTGCAAAACTATCGGGATCCGCAGTCAATGTTTAGGGAGAAAATCTGCGTGACACTGGAGAACGGATGCTGTTGGTGACATGGATTCCGAGACTACGTAAGCCAAATTTGTGTGAGGATCGCTCCTGTTCATTTGCCCCAGCGTGGTGAACAACGTATCAGAGGCACGAAAGACATCTATCTGAAGATCAGAACACTCTATTCAATTGCTGCGGAAGATTAATCAACAAGACATTGCCAAGGCGAATGCGGCAGCCTTGTAAAGCTGCGGAAGTAGAGCTGGGGGCTGTTCCGCTGGCTGCCGGACGCTCTGCGTTTGAGAGAGAGAGACGTTACTACCTGATTACCCCTGATTTTTCCTTAATACAAAACATGCCTGATAGGAAGCCGACGAAGGAAAAATACGTTCCATTGATCATTGGTTAGCAATAAACTATTAGGTAGTATGCTGAGAGGGTTTTGTGGTTCTTTCGAATTACAATTGGGTCTGAAAGGTCCAGGCCAACAGCTGTAGATCAGTGATCGTCGGACAAACATGGCCGACAGGGACTTCGCAGACATGACGAGAGCATTAAGTTTAATATTGGGCTGTACACGTGTTTGACGCACCGAGAGACTCGAATTGAGTTTGCGTGTGGTCTTGACTGTGTGTCGCACGGGACCAACTATGGCCATAGTTCAACTATTGGTGACATGGCCTTACTGACAGAGTTTCGGGCAAAAGAGCTTGTGTCATTTGCAGTGAAAACAACAAACCGTTTAATGTCAAGCACTGCGTCATGCTAAACACTTTTCTTTTCTGGTCGGATTTTCTGCCCCCTTTTTTTTGGCAGGTTGCCTCCAAGGCTCGGCGCCAAGGCATATTGGTATCAGCAAACAAGTCGAACGTGCAGAGCTCCCGTAGCTTTAAGCTTGGCTGTTTTACAAACCTGGCATGGCAAATTTTACCTTTTCAGATGGCTACCGAAAAGTTCATCGCATCTTGCAGTGAATCGTGCGAAGAGAACGAGCAGGCATCTAGGAATGCATAAACTGCAGGCCAGATTGTGCATCCTCATCAGAGCCGCAGACCAGATATGTCAAGATCACCCTGGCTGACTAGGGAACACTTGGATTTAATCACGGACTTTTTTTTCCCTTTTCGCCATACAAAATGTTGGAAAATGATGCGACACCCAATGACTGTAGGGTGATCCCAATATTTTCCATGCACGAGGCATGTGGCGCCGCCCACAGTCAACAACAATTGAGATGCTCGAGTCAGAATGAGGGTTAGTTCAACCGTAGCCTGAAGGCTTTACGGAAGTAGACCGCGTCGTGCAATGCCGTTACGCATATGAGTCTACCACATGATTCGCCGCCTCCCCTGGTCAGGAAGACAACGTAAAGGCCATTGATGTCATGTTACGAGCTGGCGGTGGCAACCAGAGCAATTCAAGCGGCATTGAACCTTCATACGTCCAAGACAAGTCGACAACGGCTAGACTATCGATTCAGCAGCATCCCGGCCACAATGTGATGTTCCACAAATGAAAACATCAGACGAAAAAGATTTCTCCCAGCGAGCCGACAACGACTAAGGATGCTGACGTCGCACCCACTTCGATCTTACGCACCATCTCCGGCAACTCTTGCAGGGCCAACCCAACCCTCTGTCAACAGAAAACAGCTTATGACGGGAGGCAAACCTGCAACAGCACACACAGTAAAGGAATGCTCGGCCCCCACCTTAAAAACTGCCGGGACGTCTCCGGTCTCTTGTAAATGACTCCCTGCGCAGCAAGTGGCCCAACCTCCGGAACGGTGGGTAGTTGGGCCGACCAACACACCGGTGGGCAGAAAATAAAAAAAAAAAAAAAAGCTGAGACTATGGATACCGGTCGACAGCTGCGCACAGATGGGATTACAATCGGGTTATTCGAAATTTTCAGCACAAATTTTTTCCATATTAACTCCTAATGGCCAGTGGCATGGCTCATAGAGACTGATGAGGCACCCCATAATAGGGGCCAATATATGACTGTATCACCCGTACGTTAGCTCGCCCGTTGCACACATCCTTGATGTATATGCGATGATCTATAGTTCACAGCGCACTGATGCTTGAGCTTTTCTGGTAAGCAGTGGTTATGATCTACCAAGGCTGCAGTTATTGATGTGACCACAAGGACAATATTTCCATGGCTCATGGACGATCAAAGTAGAATTCAGATGGAAAATCATTTAGCAAGGTGCCATTCCAAGTTATGCGGTGAACCCAATGCAACCGGATAAGTGATCGACAGGGCACCCAAAGTGACGTATCTTGAGAGCGCTGAGATCACAAAGCTCTCGAGCTGCAGTGTAACATGCGCCCGAGGGATACCATGCCACCATTTCCATCACGACATTTAGCGTGTATCTATTATTGACTTACTTTTCAACACTTGGCCGCTTGCGTCTAGCGCCCCCATTTCGCGTGGCCTCGACTGGTGACAGACGTGAAGGCAATATAGGCGCTGCGATTTCTTCGTCTGAGAAACTCTTGGCACTGCTTTGGAAAACTGGGGAGGGTGGAGATTCGCGATAGACAGGTTCATGATGGTTGGCCTGTTGTCGTGTTCGCATGTTTCGAAACGAGCTGCAAGGGGCGAGATAACATGGAGATGTGCCCCTGAGAGACCAGCACGGGGTAGTGGGCGGCAACATGGTGTGTCTGTGGGTGTGTGGGAGTGATGAAGAGCCAAGGGGTCTAGTGGGGGGGTGTTGTGAGTGACTGAGTGACAGACTCAATAGAGTCAAGTTCGTCGGAGGTATTGCGATGCTGGGGTGTGTGTGTGTGTGTGTACGTGGCTTAGCGGCTGTACAACAAACCAGCACAGCACAGGTTCCCAGGAACCCACACTCTTGAACTACCACTTTATTCAAGACCCGAGGTTTGTCTGTGTTCAAGCTTCGAAGCCAAGGAGATCGAATTAAAGGGCGGGCCTGGCTAGTCAGAGACGGGGGCCCCCGGTCGACCTGACCATACCAGAGTGGTCCATTCTCCTCTCCTTTGGGCAAAGACCTGCATACAAACAATCAAGTTGGGATGAGTCCATGTTCAACTCGGGAATCGCCTCCATTTCGAGAGTGGGCGCATACCGAGGGGATACAGGACTTCCCACTCTTGTCAGTTCACTGCCGTTGCCGCTAAGTCTGACAGGATCTCTTGGTGCGGCCCACATTACGGAAACATGGTGGATGTGTGGCTCTTGCGATCTTCACTACCTGCATCGACGCTTTCATTTCCTCCGCGTCGCTTCTTGATTGAGATCTGGGCGGCCGGTAGAGAAACTGGGTCTCCTGTGCTTGGACGATATTGAACCACTCCCAATTCTAGCCTGGACCCATTCGAGATGAGTGTCGGTAGTGTAACTCTACGGCAGACGTGGGCGTGGGAAGATACTGTGAACCTGGCATCACACTTCGATATAAGTAAGGCTTGACGTCCATCCCAAAAACATCCTTTTCTTCTCCCTCATTCCTTTCAACTCACGCTCTGTGCAGCATCCATTGTTCATTACACTCTTTCAAGCAGGCTTGAATCCTCTTTACACTCTCTCAAGTAGACAAGCCGGTTCTCCTCTCTCTCACACATCTCTCCCAATACCACCAACTCGTACACACATATCCAAGATGAAGTACTCATTCGTCGTCGCTCTCAGCACTATGGTGCTCGGCATCGCTGCCGCTCCCGCTCCCGCAGGCGCACCCCAGGCCATTGCCCGTGCCGAGCACGGCTACTTCGACTTCCTCCACCACGCTGCCCGCGCCGAGTCTGGAGACAAGCCCACCAAGACCAAGTCAGCGAAGAAGGCTCGCAAGACCAAGCACGCCAACAAGACTCGTCCCCCCGGATCCATCATCACTTCCCACCCCGGCAACCCGGGCAACGGCACTAACCCCCTGGTCGTCGGCCGCGCAGCTGGCAACGGCACCTCTGGCGGTAACATCCCCGCTGCTTCCGGCACCTCGGTTCTCAAGGCCGCTCAGACTGTTGCTGCCGGCAAGAGCTTCGACGGAGGTATGAAGATGTTTGACCGTGGCGTCTCCTGCACTGGCCAGGCTGAGGGCGGTGACTCCGACGCTGTCTTCATCCTCGAGAAGGGTGCCACGCTCTCCAACGTCATCATCGGCCCTAACCAGATCGAGGGTGTTCACTGCAACGGTGGCTGCACTCTTACCAACGTCTGGTGGTCTGCTGTCTGTGAGGATGCCTTCACCATCAAGAAGCAGGATGCCGGCGAGACCACCAAGATCACCGGCGGCGGTGCCTCCGGAGCCAGCGACAAGGTCCTTCAGCACAACGGCGCCGGTACCCTCTCCGTCTCTGGCTTCACCGTCTCTGATTTCGGCAAGCTTTACCGCAGCTGCGGCAACTGCAAGACCATGTCTGAGCGCCACGTCATCTTTGACGACATCAACGCCTCCTCCGGAAAGCTCCTTGCTGGTAAGTCCTTTAATCCTCTGTGGCCTCTTTATATAGCAGCAAAAGCTGACATCAAAACCCTAGGTATCAACTCCAACTACGGCGACACTGCCACCTTCACCAACATCGTTGCTTCCGGTGTCAAGGAGATCTGCACCACCTTCACCGGCAACGACTCCGGCGACGAGCCCACCGAAAATGGCTCGGGTCCCTCTGCTTCATGCAAGTACTCCGAGTCCGACATCAAGAGCTCTTAAAAAGCTCCGAATCAACCAGCGAGATCTGCTCGGGCACATTTTGGCCCCGGAAGAGAGATTCGCAAATGCCATATTCTGTGGAAAGGCACTAAAGGCTTGTTTACCTGTAGATATTCTTTTTCTTGTACATGCCCATATAGCGTGTGTATTTAGAATCAAAGCCCCGAGGGCAATTGCATGAATCGTGTTTTCGTACCGAGTGACTTCTTAACTTTGACTTTTCGTATCGGGGGACTCCTGATTTTAACTTTAATCTATAGTATACGTGCTTGTGGGTATCAACATGGGGCGACATTCATGGGGCAAAGCCTCCTTGTTCATCTGGATCAATGAAGTATGAACTTTGCCTCCTTCCTGTCCCCCAAACGTAATTCATCAACGGCTCTCCCGTACATGTACCCATGGAGGTAGGCATCGCCTACATATCGGTACTCGGAGCGGCAGCCTTCAGGGCGGAGTATAACCGGCGTGTTGCACCCGTATGGCACAACGACGACGTCGCCAATGGCCATAAAGCCGGAGCCGAGGCCCAGGAGACCTTGCTTCGTTGTGTAAAAGCACCGACCCATCATCCGTGAACCAAAGTGTTCCTGAAGAAACCTCCGACGAGCTTCAGGTTTTATGTCAACTTTTGCATCAATGTATCGCTCGAGCTCCCGGTCAAGCGGTAGATGCGGTAGCCGTTCCCTGATCAAGGATGCAAAGACATGGTAGCACGCCTTCACCCAGTCCGTCGACTTGGCCCACGCTCGCGGCACCTGGTTGAGGCATAGGGTTCTACAGAATATGTCCTGACACTCTATCGCATCCGCTTTATAGTAGCTCAGAAGGAGTGCCCTCCAATGGATAAAAGCCATGAGGTAGTCGGCCAGCGTGCAAAGAGTACCGACGGCGATGCCGTGGGCACTGATGGTATCGATTTGTATGCCACTGATTTCGAGTTTGTTCCGACGGTCGTCCTTGAATAAAAACTGAGCCTGCTTTCCTCCAGACGCCCAAAATGGGGGCGTGATATTCATGGCGCACATTGCCGACGTGTCCGGGATATGCGACCAGTCAGGAACCCAAGAAGGCAGACTCGCTGTGTTCGTGTGCAAGGGGTAATGGATGGATTCGCAGATGACATCTAGGCGGCCCGTGGTCCATACGAGAAAGTCGACAACGTTGGTATATATTTCCTTGACGGACAAGCTGTAATCAACTGTGAACTCGTTTCTGACATCTTCAGAGAGCAATCCGAGAATGCCAAACACCTTGTCCTTTGCATCCGAGGCAAGCTTCCGCCTGCAGGCACGCATGACCTCCAAGAGAGACTCTTCCCCAAAATGTACAAGTGATCGAACATCTGGAAGACTTCCAGGGCCCTGGTAAGCCAGGATCTGAGAGTATGTGAAATGGTTCTGGGACGCCCTGGCGTATGTTCTACCTTGCGAGTTACCAGGGAAGTAGTAATCCAAGTCGCCCTTGTGTCTCTGAAAAACACGGGATGCTTCCTTGTAAATGTCCCATGGGAGCTTGCTAGATCCGCAGTAGACGGTGACATCCTTTGCATTGAATACTTCCTGGACGACCCATAGTCTCTTCCAGTAGTCCCTCTCAAAGAGCGATACTGTTGCAGATACATCAGACTCATTGCTTTTGGTTGATAAAAGCTTCGTTATTCGGTTCGGTGATTCAGCTCTCTCGGCTACATCTTGAATGAATTCAGCCGCTGCTGCACTTCGGTCGCTTTCGGGACCCAGCCATATAGCCACGGACTGAGCTTTGCTGTAAATTTTGGTCATGAGTTGAACCTGCCTTGTCCTTTCGTCTCTGTTCTGCTGGTCGATACAGAGCGCATCCACCCAGACGGTAACAATTTCATTCTTTTGCCGTACCGCATCCAGAGCGCCGTGCAGGCTCACAGAGACGGGAATGTCTGCGCCTTCAAGCTCCAGACGCCTGGTATCTCCTGCATCTCCCCAAGCATATGATATAGCGATGTATCTGGGAGGACTTGAGATCGATGCATGAACCACCTCACATTTAATCTTGGACATCCGCGCAGGAAGCACCCTCACTAACCTAAACTCTGACTCGCCTAGCTCATTATATCGGTAAACTTTGTCGCCCAGTGTTCCCGTTCCAGATGAGGAAATCGATTTTTTAGATGCGGCCAAGGACGGTCTAGTCATTGCGGAAATTCCAGCATCAGAGCTTGGCCTGTCGTACCAGGAGCGTTTCTCCGTCGGGGGCTTGACTTCCGGAAATGAAGTTCCCAAGTCTTGCCTTTGCGGAACGAAAGACTGGCTGTGTCTCCCACTGACGTTTTTCGTGTTGCCGGCTGGGTCACGAATTCTGAGTGATGGGGGCTGGATGCCGTACAGACGTTCCTGGCCAGAGGCTGATAGATACGATGAGCCACCAACTGGTGGACTCACGGCACGCGATGGCCGTACATCTTGGGAAGAAAATCTCCGATTGTCGGTCCTAAGTGGAGGGGGAGATGGCACTCGGCTGTAGTACTGTGCGTCAACGGGACGGGCAAACTGTCGTGGAGGCGATGGCCTAGTTGGTTGCCCTGATGTAAGCAATGGCCTAGTTGGTTGCCCTGATGCAGGCGGGCCCGAATGGTCGAAATACACAGTCTTTTTCTTCTGTCGTGCTTCATCGTCGGAGTGGTAGCCCCGGTTTGGTCGAGGGGCAGATAAGTATTGGTATCCATCTGACGGTAAATAATCGTCGTATCTACCAGCCATAATTATGGCCTCTATGAGACAAATCGCTCCCAAAAATGAATAACGTAAAAAAAAACGTCGCGTCGCAAAATGAAACTGGAGGCGCGAATGATTATCACAGCAACAGAATTTGTTCAATGTCAGATTTTTTGACAAAGGGAGAGCTGAGCGGGGTGAGGGACAAACCATGAGCTCTTGTGCGGCTGATGAAGAGCAGCCAATAGTAGCCATAGCTGCTTGAGGGCTTGGCTGATTATCCTGCATGTAACTATAAAAGTGGCTATGTCACATGCATCCACATCCCAAGGTCCGCAAACCGTTGCAGCCTGCTCAGCCTGATCTGGTGTGGCAGGTTTATGTGAGAATGGTGCGAATGAATAGAGCTAATGCTTGTTTCCACAACTTTCATTTTCACCACCACTCTACTAATACTAAATCCAGAGCTGGGCGATGTGTTCGGCCGGTAATGCAAAGAGGTCCTCTTTTGTTTTCTCTTCAAACGTCAAAGAAGTATACAGCATATTATGAAGGAATCTACTTTAAGTAGACGACAATCCTCAGGCAATTTAGAATCCATCAACAAGCAGGTGAAGCTGACTGATGGGAAAGCTAGTAGGTTAGCAGCAATGAGTCTAGACCAGAGGGCGTTACAAGCTACTACATCACGGTGCATTAGTAGAAAGGCTCTTTTGACGTGAGCAGATTAGGTATACGAAGTTGGTAACTGGAGTAAACACGTGGTAACATAGAGACAGCTGGTCAGATCATTTCATAGGTACATTTGGCAAAATGGCTTGCAAATTATTGCTTATGTAACTTCACGTCGGCAGCCCCCGACAATTGTACATTGCCGCTACAGTGGATGTGGCTGCGACCGTGTAAGAATGCTGTAAGCCAAATTATCAGCATCCATCTTTTGGCATCGCCGCCGGTGTAAAGTGAGGGTACCCTTTAGCTAGGTTACGCCCACCACTAGCAGTCTCCTTGGGTACGTCACGCTTACATAAGCGATAATGAATTTTTGTGTGTGCAACTTCACGCCGAAACCCAATTTTTCTTCTCAATATCAAAACTCGATAGTCATAGCAAGATGGCAACTGCAAAGGCCACCAATGCAGCTCCGGCTGCGCCAGCCCTACCGCCAAATGTCTCAATTTTCACACCCAAAAAGTCCAGCGCAGCCGAAGCCCTGCTCAACGGAAGCATCTTCACCAGACTCACAGTCACCGACAAGACCGAGCCAGCACAAATATCGACAGCACTGACCAAGGCCAAGATTGACGAAAGCTTCTGCCTCACACACCACAATGTCATACTGATCTTTGACGAAGACCAGGAGACGCATCATGAACACTTTCGTCAAGTCTGTCTTGCGTTAAAGGATGCGGACATCGGCCTCAGCGTTGCGGGCTGTGTCCACGATGCTACGGAGGTCTTGCAGGCGGGCTTTCAACTGGACACGTTGAGCTCGGGATCGATTCTTGTCATTGACTTGATGGGTGGAGACGATGATGATTCGGATGATGAGGAGGCTAGTCTTGCAGCTTTGCTGAAAGGAGAGTCTGGCACGGCCATTTGAGGTGGCTTGCCATGCGCAGCATCGTAGGGAACCGGAACAGTGTCAATGAACTTACAGTGACACCCGTGTATTGCTGGATTAGCTGCGATCTAGCAAATGCCGAGAATCAGCAGCACAGATGAAGGGCTTCTGAGCAAGTGGTTTTGGTCTTGACTAGTTCATGCAAAGGGCGACTTGTAGGGGAAAGTTTAGTAAAGGCGGACGGCAATTCGTTAGCATTGAGACGGATAGAGTTGAAGGAAGATGATGGCGAAATCAGCAGGTCCGTCGCCTCAAGAACATGTAAGCGAGACCTGGCTGAGCTTGAAATTCTACTTTTGCAAGGAAACAATCGATGGATGAAGTGTTGGCTAGCTAGCTTGGCGGTACCTACATTGACAGGTTTAAGATTACCAATGAAAGACTTACACGTTTCAATAAACAACCCAGCCTGTGTTATGCCCTTGGTTATCAGGTGAAATTAAATATCTTGCGGATGTAATGTTACTGTCCTTTTTTATGTTATTTGTGTTGGAGTAGGCAGTTCAGCATGCAATATTGTGAGTTTGAGCGCTTGTGCTTGGAATACAACATGACAGGACGAAGGTGTTTTGTATGATGAAACTATTGCAAACGCCTGGTGGGTTGTCCTGGTATATTTGACTGGTATGTTCGGCGTCATAGCTAACAAGTGCTTCTACAAGCTGCCAAAGCACGAGTGACATCCTCGCAAAAGAAGGGAAGCCGGACTGCGTGGTCTCATTTTCATTGTTTGATTTCACGATTTCGTTTACTCTCTTTTGAGAAAAGGGCGAAAGACCAAGTGGCTTCAGTAGCAGAAGTCCTGCCTGCCAGCTCCATCTCAACGCCTGTCCCGTCTTATTATTTCCCGTGTCAACTGTTCGTAGGAGAAAATAGAATAGGTAAGAGCATGAGGGAACCGACCGTCCGCCATGAGGTCAAGTGGTTTGGGGGGTCTGTAAAACATCCATTTCATCAATTCAATCCTATTCTTTCACAGCCCAGGCGGCTGGGCAGTCTTCGCCTTAATAATCGCTAACCTCAAGCTCAACGGCACAGTCCCCAGCGAGATCTAAATCGGTCTTTGTTAATCAGACTAAGAAAATTAGCTTTAGCATAATAGTATGGAGAGAGATGGAATTACAGTGATGGCTTTGGTCACGATGGAATATTTTTGGATTAGATAATTGTGGTTAACGTCAACAGGCTGAGACACAATATTCGGGACAAGAAAATGCATCAACTAGCACTAGCAAGCTCAGAGTTCATGGACAACTTGGTATTCAAGCCTATAGGCTAAACCCTCCCACAGAATGGCCTCCACGACCAGTAGGTTAGTGAGGACCTTGATAACTCTGACCTATGCGAATGGAAATAGCCAAAGAGTCACATCTCCTTGTAAGTAGGATCATAAGGGACAGCTTACAAATTTATCAATTTCAGGATCGGTGATCTAATCCTCACGGAACTAACATTTGCTAAAGTCCATTTCCAACCTCAAAATAAACCAACCCGCTGGCCCATTACCTTTCCATCTCTTACCAGACTACATCGACACTGCCCAGCGATGAAAATTTTGGCTAACGTGACCTCTGGCGAGCTGATATTTCGCGTTGTTGGCCTGGAATGGTTGTGGCGACCCATCACTCACCTATGGGTTGTACTAAAAGTCTTCTTCAAACGCAACCTCATTATACTCGCACGCATTATCATTATGATCGCACACATTATCAATGTACTCGCACACTTTATTGTTACACTCGCACGCCCCATTCTCTCACAATTTCCCACGCATACCTTTCTCCCCCCTCCTGCGATGGATAGTGGCCACGCCACGCATCCCGGAACTCTTGGGAATCAAACCCAAAGACCAAGACTGCATAGCGATCGGCTCCCCGTGTAGCATCTGTCTGGTGGAGCTTCTCTTTTTCGTCATTCTACTCATCTTTGGCCTACATTATGCCATTTCCATCACAAAGTTGCCTTCATTTCAACGCAGTCTTGAGGCCTACGTTTTCATCTATTTTATAGGCGTAGGCGTTCCCGGCCTGTGGTTTGCTATGTTGTGGTGGACTTGTATTGTTGCTTGAGTTGCGTTGGACAGGCAGCGCACGTAGACATGAACTCTGGGAATCAATTATCGAGTAGGAGACACAATCTACCTCCTTTTTGCGACCTTTTAATGCCAAACTTCCGCCTCTTAGCCTGAGCAGGCCGATCTTGGAGGCAGGAAGAAGTCCTATGCATAACCTCACGAGCTTCTCACAAAATCTAACACAAAGTGATATTAGAACATGTACGGCTTGATAAACTGGAGAACGCATACCCGTGACAAGTTGGACACAATATTCTGAGGTTATTGTATCGTTAAGAAGATATTACATTATATTATGCGGCGAACCTACTATTATAATTAGCGACAACAAGATGGCATGATCGAAACTCATTTATCAACCCGAGATCACCCCTGCCTCAGGTCCCCATCTTTGTCGCTTCGCCTTGCATTGGGGATTTCGAAGAGATGGCATTGACTCCGAAGCCTCACGCTGACCAGCACGTAGCTTCGCCGAACATACTACTAAGCTCGTAAGTCACGCGTCGATAGTTTTGTTGGACTTGACAGCCGATTTCCTCCAATCTTGTAGCATCACTTATGCAACGATAACTTCGCTCGGGGCCTTCATCGCAGAGAGGCTTGCAGTTTGTGCTAGAGACGGACTTCCAACATGTTGCCTACCTATTCCTGCTCCTTCAACACTGTTCTCTTCTGCAGGGAGCACTGCCACTTGCCGCCTTTTAAACGGTTTTGTGTATCCACTGTTCGCAACATCGACCGCTGCGCCCTTGCTCAAATTATATAAAGATAGTTGACGCTCCGAGCGAAATCCCCGGGCTAGACATCACATCTTCCACAGGAAGAAGGCATATGTTTCCGCACATAAACAGCAGGTTTTATGCAAGGCTCTGACAAAAGGAAGAGAAATACTTCCCAAATTATGCGGCTTAGAAGATGCCGGGGTTTGCGGTGTCGCGTAAACGTTGCTCATGACGATGTCTGGAAGCAGCATTGGTCACCCTGTCCGACTTAGAAAACCAACTGCCAGCAATCTTTGTTGTGTCTTGGGTGTCGCTGACAGCCGGCCCGAGAGGGCTGTCATCCAGGGCTTAGAAAATGTTGTTTCTTGCTTGCATGGTTTAAGCTAAATTCCGGGGAAATGAAATGTCTTCAGTAACGATAACGGAAGGACCATTCTCGAGGTGCACATAACTAAAGGATTCACTGCGCCTGAATGCATCTCGAGTCCAGCAGTGAGTAACTATTAGTTCTTCTAATGTGGTAAATTTAAAATCGTGTCTTCGTTTCTTCGCAAAAAAAGGAAATAAAATTTCGTGACATGAAGCAAGGAAGACCAAGGAGTAGCAAAGTCGGCTGGCCAACTTGGGCTTTGGCTTCCGGGTTCGTAAAGTAGTAGCTGCATTTTGGTCAGAATCAGCAAATGAATTATGACGACCGTTGACTCACCTATTCATTAAATAAGATAGGTATCAAGTCTAAAAGGCTTGCCATAATAATCGCTCACAGCGCACGTTGAATGCGGGCCGAGTTCAAAGCAGCTGACTATTTGCGGGGTGCTGGGCTCGCTGGCCAAACAAAATTTCTTCTTGTCGTCGCTGTAGTTGTTAATGTTCAGGCCTGGGACTCTAGCTGCCGCAGCGCCCATCTCTAAGACCGTTTCGTATATGTTGCGTTGCTTGTTGAAATTAAAAGCGACGCTCTCGTCCAAGTTCTTGTTGTCTGCGATTGTGGCGCCCGTACATGCGCTCTGGGCAACAGCCGTCAGGGGGAGGCCGAGAAAAAGGCTCAGGGTTGCCAAAGTGGTTAACTGCATTTCGTGCTCGGTTGCGTGGATTGATGTTGTCCGGATTGTCGGTCGAACAAGAGCCACTGGGAGATATTTTGGAGTTTAGAACTGCTGGATATGCGGACTATTTCGTCGTTTGTATATAAGATTTGCCGTGATAAAGCTCGGTGCGGGTTGAGTTGAATTACACGCCGGACTCCTAAGTAATCATTCTGTGTCAGTGGTAGCTCGTCCGCTTGTTGATGCAGAGCCCTCAGTTTTCTGAAGGAGGAAACGGGTCCTGTAGCTACATATTCAGGATAATGAAATTCTGTTATTGGCCAAATATAGCTCAGCGCAAACTTTGTTCTGTCAGCGTTAGGCATTGATTAGTTTAACTCCAAGTTTACGGAGCATTATCCACGAGTCACGCCTACTGGAGCCGATCTTACCATGAAAGGAGGTGTCCATGGCATCATGGTTTGCAAGTCACAATAACGAACGACGATCATCCTAAAACGCGCAAGAAATAGAGGTGGCCCAGCTATTTGGACCCGCGTCCCATGCTGACAACGCGAAAAGTTTATGAGATTCATGGATAAAGTAGTGTGCGGGATACAGGCATGGCCAATGCAATTGCAAACCTGAACCCGAATACTGGATTTTCTAGTGCCAAGTGACCAACATCGGAGCTGATTAGTCCCCGATACGCCGTGCGAAGACGGATAATGCAATCTCACTAGAAATATGAACCAGTTTAAGAATCCATCTGCATCGCTATATTGTTATCGATTGCTTTCCATACCAGGCTAGTGGCGGATGTTGTGAAGTAGGGTCGTAAGTTGGTCGGTTGCTTGTTTGCCCACCATTTCGCTTTCCCCATTCCTGCTGCTTTCCAGCCACCAATTCTACTGATCTTATCAGTGTTTCGTTTTGTTTCATTCTCTGCGAGGATGATGGCCTCCTTTCACTGATACTTTAAGTACAGTTACGCTACCCTGTGCAAGGGTACTGTGCTGATTGCAGTTTGATCGTAGAGACGGTCTCAAAGAAACAGCTAGGGCTTTTGACAGGTATAGGTATTGGTTACTCTGATCAAATATGTATTTCTCGTTCTGAGTCAGCAAAGTCGTGACCGATGTCTCAACGATTGTATGGATTCATACCAGACATGTCTTGGGCCTGATCAAGCTTCTCTGTACGTGCTACTTCCTCTCCCGTAAGTTTACGATCTGTAATCATGGCAAGTAGTTAGGGCTCTGTTTAACCATTGGCCCTTTTAACTCTTTCTCTAGGATAGGCTACCCAGAGATTTTCCAGTTAAAGACCGTTTACCCAGACAACAAATTGTCAATATGGTTTTCACTTCGCTCACCTTGGGCATTTTCTTACGTATGGCGTCCATTGTGTGCCCTTGACCCCACTTGCTTCTCCCATGTGAATTCGTCCTGTTATCTAACAACAGCTGATTAAACAGAACTTTTCATAGAAACCTATTCTTTTATCAGGCCCAAATACCACGCAGACCTTGTCCATTAAGCACAGTATTGGAAAACAGAGAGCCAATAATAGAAAGTGGCGTGCAAAGCAAGATGCAAAGTAGTATCCCGCTTAGACCCACTATTTCTCGCGACGGCCGATGGGAGATGATCTTCATTTTGCTTCGGGAAAAACTGCATGAGCCCAGTATTGAAAAATGCCTTCAGATACCTACCTAGCCTTGAAGATATTTCACTGCCTGTCTATAATTGAAAAGACTCCAAAAGATTCAGTTGCCATCTTTTGATCCCGGGGACGGCTGGCGTCGGAACAGACTGGCCCTAAAAAGGAAGGTCATTACAGCGGGTAAACAATTGTTCCCCAAAGTTGTAAGTGGACAGGTAAACTCTGCAAGGGACCGATTCCTGCCAAAGTCCAAGAAAACACATCATTTACGACCGACTAGTGAATGTTGCGACGTTTGGTGATTTCTTCCTCAAATACTGATCGCCTGCCAAAAAAAAAAAAAAAAACATCTTCTACCTCGCAAATTATGCCCGACAACTTTGGGGACGAAGGCCTCAGCACCGGCGCCAAGGCGGGTATCGGTATTGGCGTGTCGCTTGGCGTCATCGCGCTGGGGGCGGCAGCGTATTTTCACCGACGGCAAGCCAGGAAAGCGTAAGAGGCAGCGTCTGAAGAAGGGAATGAGTTTGGTGATGACCTCGCGGAAAAGGGAACGAAGAAGCAAAAGGCACCAGTTATCTGCGAAGGGGGGACGTGTAACAAGGTGCGGGTGGTCGGAGCGTAGATATACACAAGGCCAGGATGGAGATCACTAATGATTTTTTAAGTCTAATGTTAATGTACGTCTCACATTCCCGTCTTCGCAGCTACCGTCTAAACGCTGAAAACGATAGGAACTTTTGGTCTGCTGAGAGCATTGTGACCAGTCTCAGTCTGTCCGACTTGATGGGCTCAAGAGGGGTATTTCTCCCTTCTCCTGAATAGGCAATCAAGGGCTTGCACTATCGAGGTGTCTCAGGCCGTTCTCCAATGGTTGCAGGGTAGTTCTGCACCGGGTTGGAACTGGTCTAAGACAGGTTTCATACAGACGACAACGACAATGCCATTGTATGGGAAACGTTGAAACTCATTCATAATTAAATGTCATCAAAACAATGAAGAATCCACCTCAAACAGCAGGATCTGTTTGTCTCGTAGCCATGGGCGTAATACATGAAGAAATCGCTACCATTGCGGCATTTCTGTGTGACTGAATGGCGGAACACAGCATAAGGAACTGGAGTCAGTTGTTCAGCTGATTCTCTCATGAGAGAATATTGCTAGAAGCTTAAGGTGGGCGCATCGAATCTTTTATCATCTCCCATTGAATAGTCACTCAGACTGATCCAGGAACGATCATCAAAGGTTACCAGATAGAATATTCCGTGCAGCACCACTGTCTACCACGAGACATCAACAGATCAAGACGAGCAAAGAAGGCGTCAAAATGGGGCGTAAGAAGCCTGCCCACGTGCAGACGTGGAATAGTGTTCATTATTACTTACGGACGTAGGTGCAGATATACACAGGGATCATAATCCTATCGGTTGGGTACGGAATAATTATCGTAGAGTTTCTTCTTGGAGAGTGGGAGGGGGATGAATGCATGGCAGATGATGGCTCCCCCGGCAACAATGTCACACGGCAGGGCAGGGTGGTGCCGGATTGATGACGTCGTAGGAGAAGGGAAAAGCATGGATAAAAAAAAGGATGGCAGGAAGTATTCGACCCAGAAGCTTATTAGCGCGTCCGGCCTTAGCCGTGCCGGGTTGAGGTGTGTTGGAAGAGGGCAAAAGCAGCGGAGACAAAACCAGCTTTTTTGACGGGGTGGATTACGATGATTTTCAGCGGGAAGTCTGGGGGGGAAAAGGGAGGGAGCATGGGCCAGATGATCAATGGGGCGGCTCTCTATCTAGTCCGTTACCTTGGAGTAAACATGGTATTTGTGTGTTTTGTTATCCGTATCGTGGACTAGTACAGATTCCCAGCCTCAAAAAGGAGGGGCCAGCTGAGGGAGAAAAGACAATGCCTAGATCGCAAACTCCATGATGACAGGACAATGACTCAATAGAAAAAGAAGGAAACGAGAATAAGAAAGGAGGCTGGCCAATGGCAACATGCGAGTAATCGCCGACAACAATGCAGACAAAGCAAGGTTTGGGGCAAGGTTTGCGGCCGTCACCATGGTGAGAGCGTGAAGCTGCATCTCACCGCTGGGGGGGAAGCACGCGCCCACTGCGAAACGGGGCCAGGCAGGGGCTGGAGACATGGGATGGAAAAGAGCCGAGATGAGCAAAAGATGGAGTTTTCCTGGTTTTGTGCCATCTTTTTTTACTACAGAATTCCTACAAAACCTCGCGTCCAAGAGAACCCAAGAGAGAGGGATCCATCATGGTGCAGTAGACCAGCAGGAACAGCATCCATCGATTGCGTGTGCGTGCCTGTGTGCCTGTATATAGTGTACTAGTAAAGTGCTAGCATAGTTTTGGAGCCCATGCGATATGCGATGTGCATGCGATGCAAATGCGAGCCACTCGACTTACGGTCCAGGCTGGATATGACTTGCAGGACGGACACGCCTATTGGAGGCGATCCGGAAGCCTAGTCAACAAGGAATTGGCCAATGTAAACAAAGCGATGCGCGGGTCTCGGGCTTTAGGATGGGGCTATGGAGACTGCGCCTTCAGCTGTTTGTCCAAGTGTTTGCATACTGCAGCAGGCGATCGGAAAGGCGAAAGATGAGAGATTATAGAGCCTCATTGACTGCAGGAAGCACAGATGTTTTTTGACTCTGTCGCAATAGATTTTGTTTTATTTTATTGTTTGACGTATTATGGTTGTTGAATCACATGGGAGGTAAACATTCATAGACACACCCATAGCAACAAGACTCAACCAACCAACCAACGAGGTACCAGCCTCTTAACAATAATAGCCAAGCTTACCTAAGACGGATGGGCTGAAGGTGACAGGCAAGCGACAGGCCGCTAAAACATCCACCCCCCAAAGCCAATTGGTGAACCAATGGCGGGGTAGCTCTTTGCTGAAACCCACCACACGAGTTGTCTTTGCGGTTGGTCGTTGCCCCTGGCGACGGTCCACAACGTGAACAAGAACAGGCAAACCCGCTAAATCTGGCCCATGACAGTCACCGGCCACCCACTTTGTATCTTCACCATCATCCTCGATCTTTCCCCCCCTTCTTACCTTTTGTCTTTCTCTCTTTCCCCCCCCTTTTCTCACGCCTACCCACTACGACAGGAACGAAGGAAAGAACAAAAAGAGGCACTAATTGCAGTCTCTGACAATCCACAACTTCCAGGGAGACTGCACAGATACACATTCTCTACTCCGTCTCTCGTTTACATTATTTCTCTTGCGACCAGACGATGAACCTTGAGCCGCAAACTGCTCGGTGACAACTACTTCCCAGATCCTCCACCCCCCAGTCAAGATAAAGTAAACAAATCCGACCGGGGAAAAAATCCCGTCACTACGCCGCACCTAATTCCCCGCCTCGCGAATAGTATCATCCCCCAGCCTTTTGCGCTGTAACCCACTATTTTTTTTTTCACTCTATCCCGGCGTCCCCTTCCTAATCGATATTACTACCTCCGAGTCCTCCCCCTCCTACGACGTTGGTTTCTTTCTCCTCTTCTTTTTCAAGGTTTGCCGTTTTGTCGACATAATCCGCCATGGACACTAGTTACCTGTCCCAGCAGGTCAACACCATCATCGGCCAGCTACACGGCTTGTTCGATGAGATCGGCGTCCCTAACCATGATCGCGAGGCGCGCGAGGCAGACGTACGCTCCTACCCGGTCACCTGCTTTGCTTTTATGTGCTAACGTTCCCTCCCGGTAGCTCTTCGAGGCCCTCTCAAAGGCCCTGACCGACCAGGTCCGTCTGGTTACTGTTGAGAAGGAAGAGATGGTGGAGGAAGCTGAGCGCATGATCAACAACATTCGCCAGATGGAGGCTTCGATTAGCGGTCGCCGCGACCGCGATGGGGATGACATCAAGATCACATATCCCCTAATCAGGTGTTTAAAGGCTCTCAAGGAGAAGCACGCCCACGTTAGCAGATTGCACAAGGAGCGCTTCGCACAGGTCAAGAGTGAGTTGGCTCGGCAACCGCGACACCATCACTGGGCACACTAACTCTTCTCCCCAGAACTTGTCGAAGCTCTCGAGTCGTATTCGTCACACCTCGAACCTACCTTTGTCCAGATCCCCCTCCCCCCGACGGGACCGAACCAGTCCGTCCCTACGAATTTCGATCTGTCACCCGCCTACGTTGACAAGCTCGACAACGAATTTACGAGAGTCTATGAAGAGTACAGTCGCCGTGTCGCAACCGTTAAGGCCCTTTGCGAACACACCATCCAGCTCTGGGCTGAGCTAGGCACCCCCCAGGCCCAAACCGACGGCGCCATCGTCAAATATTACCGAGATGCGCCTGAGCAATTAGGTCTGCACCAGGAGGACATCGAGCGCCTCAGGGCCAAGCGCGACAAGTTGTCAGAGGAGAAGAAGAACCGGGAGAAGCGCCTCAAGGACCTGCGGGCCGCTGTGGAAGCTCTATGGGAGAAGCTCGAGGTCGACGTGGGAGAGAGGAAAGCCTTCCTCAACAGCAACCGAGGCTGTGGCGTCCGTCAGATTAACGAATTCGAGGACGAACTGGCCCGCCTCAACGAGCTCAAGCGACAGAACCTGCATCTCTTTGTTGAGGACGCCCGCTGCAAGCTGCAAGAGCTTTGGGATGCCCTCTACCTGTCTGAAGACGAGATGCTCGAGTTCACTCCTGCTTTTTCCGACGTATATAGCGATGCTCTCCTGGAAGCCCACGAGCGCGAAATTGCCCGTCTTGAAGTTCTCAAGGAGCAGCGCGCTCCTACTCTGGCACTCATCGACAGGCACAAGAGCCTCACCCACGACCGCGATGAGCTTGCAGCCTCCAGCCAGGATGCTTCTCGACTCATGATGCGCGGTCAAAAGGGCGAGAGGCGCGATCCCGGCAAGCTCCTCAGAGAAGAAAAGATGCGCAAGCGTATTGCCAAGGAGTTGCCCAAGGTCGCTGCCGACCTACGCCAAATCCTCGAGCGCTTCGAGGATGAGTATGGACGGCCATTCCTGGTCCATGGTGAGAGGTACCTGGATGTCGTGGACGCTGACGAGAGGCCGGCGCCTCCCCCACGATCTAAGACCCCCGGTGCTGGACAAATGGCCTCGGCGACAAAGCCGAGAGCTGGCCACGGCCGCGCAAATAGTGTCAGCGCTGTTATGAGACCACCTACCCGCCAGGGAGCCAAGACACCTGTTGCTCCCGCACCAACTACTAAACGCAGCGCGAACAACATGAATGCCGCATCCCAGGCCAGACCAGTCTCCGCCTACGCGAAGGCCCCGAGTAGCCCTCGCCCGGTGTCTTCTCTGGGCAGTCTCCACAACAACTACAGCACTCTCAGCAACCACGGTACCCTCACCAAGCCACCTGGTAGCCCATCGAGAATTCCGGCACGCGCACCGCTTACCAACCTAAAGTACGGCAACAACTCTCCTGAGAGAATGCAACGACCCGAGTCGCGAATTGATGCGTATGCCACAATACGTGGGGCCCCTCAACTTCGCGCTCCTCCTCCAAAGATGCGCGATCTCCACGCTATGGACTTGGAGACTCCTACCAACGCATACAAGTCGGCTGGTTTGGGCGGTAGCATCGTGCGGCAGGTCGAGCTGGAAGACGTCTATGACGACTGCCAGCAGCCGCGGCTCATGAGAGCCAACTCGACCCTCTCTCACACGTCGCACGCGTCGCATACTTCTCACAACTCGCATGCCTCGGCGTCATCACACCAGTCCCAAGGCTCCTCCCAGTACGAATACCACTCATCAACCATCCGGGCACAACCATCCTCGTACCCCCAGGGACAGTCGAGTCGCCAGATCTCCAACTCGTCAAACGGCTCAAGTAACGTGACGGGTTCTGAGAACTGGGAGACCTACGACGATGCCAGTGAGCCAGAACAGGACGCGACGGACACGTACTACGCCAAGGTGCGAGCGGCGCGGGGCAAGCGATTCGAGCCCGAGTCCGAACAACGGCCACCAGCAAACGACCCCAAGAGACAGCGTGGCTTCCCGCCGCAAACCCATGCTGGGCATGGGTATGCAGACGTTGAGGGAAACCGCATCATCTCGGGCAGCGAGTGGACGGACGAGGACGGATACTAAAAAGCCAGAATGATGATCAGCACACGAGCACCATGTCTTTTTCGTCTCTCGTTCACGCTCGTTTGGAATAAAATTTCTCAGCCTTTTGATGATTATGTCGGATGATTATGCCGCTCATGTCCGGAACGATCAATGTCGACTCAGGACGTATTGTCTTTTCAGCAACAAAAAAGGACGCCAAGGATCTCCCCCCAAAAAGCCCCAACCCCACAGACATTTGCATCTGCAGAATGAATACTGTGTCTTTTCTTTTTATCCTTTACACTTCGTCTTCTCTGTCGTTATTATTTTCCAAGGCTCCAGTTGCATATGGAGGGAGCGGAGGAAGGCGAGGAGCCCCGACGGGGTTTGATTCTCTTTTGTCTCTTCGGTACATGTTGATAACTTGGCCGCGAGGCTATTGTTTATTTTTCCGGAGGATTCGGGACCAAGCCGTTCATCTCTGTCATCGTGCAGAGCAGCTCCTCCAGGAGGAGTAGTTTGATGAAGGCCGTCCCTGTTGAACATACCCATTATTGAGGTATCCATGATACCTAATTGAAGGAAGGTAAGGGATGGAATAATCGGAGTTTGGTTCTGTGTTTTGGTCTTTCTTGTCGAGGGATGTCTCGGCAAAGAATCGGAGCGGACAACTGCTTTTGTTGTTTAGTTTTTTTTTTTTCCATCTTTATTCTTGGTCCTTGCTGGATTTTGTTGTCTTTTTTTTTTTCTGTTTCGTTTAAGCCAGTACGGAAGCATAAATAGGTATTCTTAAAGTAGTCAAAAAGAGGTGTATATATCACCTGTTCTTATATTTTTATTGTCCCATAGCAGAATTTGTGAAGCCGATGATGCCGACCGAGGATGATTAGAGTTGGCCATGTGAGTAGAAATGGGTGTAAGTGACGGAAAGGCCGGCAGAGGGAACTAAAACACCAAGACAAGCAGACCAAGATATCCCATGGAGGGGGGATTGTCGTCCCTCTGGGGCCTTTTAGAGCTGCCGCCATACCCTCCCTTAGTCAGGGCATGTTGATCCGCTATGACGCCGGTGATGTCGAGATCTTCGGTGGTGTTCCTTGATGATCTTTGGATTGACCGGATAGCTTCCCCCTCCCCCTCAAAACCAGGTAGGTCTCCAATAAATTTGCGTCATGGAAGGTTCCCCCACCCCTGGTCAGTGTGTTGATACTTACTCAGTATTACTTAGTGCAGTTTCCCCCTTAGTGCAGCATATTTTTGAAAGGGTTTGTGTATACTTATACAATGGCATTCACCGCCCACACCCCCCCTGTAACTCCAGGTGTCGGACACTGTCATGCCAGTGGGGGGGGTCTCTTCCCCAAATGTCTCAGCCTTATAGGCCTCTCGGATGCGCTGTGGATATCCACTGGGAACTGAGATACCATACATAGTAGGCATTGGATTATGTCTTTTCTCTTCTGCTACAGACAACTGGGGCGCAGGAGGGGTAGGGGATGTGACAGGTCACCGGGCCACCCGTTCATCTTGTTGTTTCCTCCCCCCCCCCAAATCATCCCATCCCATCCTTCCCATCCCATCCGGTGGCCTCCACAGTGAAGCTAAGCTGGAAGCTCACTCAGCCGCGGAGGTGCGAACGTGACTTTATTTTTTTTCTCCCCTTCTTTTTTTCACCTCCTCACTGGGGCGCAGCTGAATGCGGTGTGTGTGTCCTTCTTTTTCTCTCCCAACCAACAATAGCCGCCGTCGAATATCTACAGCTCCTTTTAATTGAATCCTCCATCAATCGCTCATCTTCCATGATGATCGTGACATCGCGGAGTCACTAAACCATCACCAACACCATCGACATCTGCGATATACCTCCGATGACGATTAAGCTTGTACTCTCGTCAACCTCGACTCCTCCTCTTCCCGGTCGTCCATCACAATGATGATGAACAACCACCATCCGGCCGGCGGTGCCTCTGACGCCGCCGCGGCGTTAAAGGGCGCCAACCTCGCCTTCAGCAAGACGAAACCCAAGCCTATTCCTCCCCCGAAACCGACCACCGCTACTACTACTACGAATGCTGTTCGAGGAGGCAACCCCAGCCTTGCCGCCGCCTCCATCGCCGACCGCAGCCGCAGCACGAGCCCGATTCACCACCAGCATACAGGTACGAGCGTCGCCACGAGCAGTTTCGGCGGCGGAAGAGACGGCACGGCGGATATGAGGGACAGGTTATCGTCGTTCCTCGCATCTAGCCCGTCTACGTCTACAGCGTCACATTTGTCACCTCACACGAGACTGGATCCGAAGAGTCCGAGTTATATCGCTGCCGCGCTGGCCGCCTCGCGGAGCGCGTCTCCTACGCCGCAGCCCCCGTACGCGAGCCCCTCCGCGTTGACGCCCGCTCAGCTGAATCAGCTACAGCAGATGCAGCAGAGTGCCAGGGCTAGCGGGCGGAGGGGACGCAGGGGTAGCTCTGAAGAGGAGGAGGATAGTGTGAGCGGCAGATCGGGTATGCCTGATACCACGTCTATACCGGGCACAGGTCATTTGATTAGCATGTTTGAGAGGGATGACAACGTCGATCCTGTCAAGAGGAGCGGTGGGGATGTGCCCAGGGCAAATACCAAAGCGAGGGGGAGACCTGGGTTGAGGTCGCCGACGCCCGAGAGGGAGATGAGCCCTGCTCGAGCCAAGGCTGCGAGGATGGGCATTGAGGAAAAGGAGAAGCCTGTGATTAAACCGAGACCGATCACGCCTACGCCGGTGGAGAAAAAGTCGGAAGATGTAGTCACGCCGCGGGTTAAGAAACCTGTTCCGAAGCCTACGAAGCCCAGGCCGATTACGCCGGCGGCTGTTGAGCCGAAGAATGGAGATTTGGGGCCGCCTCAAGTGGACAAACCCGCGCCGAAGCCCGCAAAGCCGCCTTTGTCGCCGGCTAAGAAGCCGGTTCACAAGAGGGTAGAATCGGAGCAGGCGCCGCAGACGAAGAAACAGGATCGCGAGGGGCCGGCACTGCAGCCTGCTCCCGTCATCTCCGAGAAAAGGTCAATGAAGCATCTCGCGTCGGTGCCCATCACGCAGACCGAGGTCTCACAGTCCAAGATCCCTCCCGCTGCCCCCGAACCGCGGAGGTCACGGCCAAAGGTGCAACAGGCCCCGAGCTCACCGCCTGTGGTCCGCCGGGTCCAGACTGAGGTTGTTTCCCCTCAGCCGAAACGACCCGGCTCCAAGGCCAAGATCCGGCCGCCGACGCCCCCGCAGCCCCGGGGAACCGCTAGTAAAGCCAGGGAATCGGAAGCTCCGCCATTAACGAAGCCTAAAAGCATGGCATCGGTTTACGGCCAGGCCCCACTGCAAGAACCATTCTTGCCGCGTCCCGAGTCTGAACCCCGGCCCTCCACTTCCGATACAAGCTCGTCTAACGACACCTTTGTGTCGGCATCATCCGGTCTCACCGCTGTCCCTGACCCGATCCCGATTAAACAGCCTTCTCGCCAGACTCATTCGTCGCTCAGCACACCCAGTCGGTCATCCTTGAACAGCTCCCCCACCCGAAACACCCCGCGGCGCACCCCGGCGTCCTCATCCACGAGTCTGCCGCTCAATTCCCTCTCCAACGCAATCATGGCGGGCTCCCTCGCCGCGACACGCCTCACGCCCTCGAACACGGGCAACTCGGCGCTATCTCCGCCCCCGCTCCCCAACCGCACGAAATCCCCGCGGTTGCGCCAGACGCTCCGCCGTCCGCCGTCGAAATCCGACGACGAAGACGAGATTCGCAAAAAGAAGCACCAGCGCGCGAGCAACAAGCACTCACACGCCGAAGGTGCGCGCAAGCGCTGGCGCGACGAAATTACGCTCCGTGAGCGGCGCCGCTACGAGGCGGTCTGGGCGAGCAATCGCGGAGTCCTGCTCCCTTCGTTTGCGCCGCAGGCCATGCAGAACGGGACATCGCCGCCGGCGGCGGACGCCGTAGACTGCGTTGTCAATATCGTTGCGCGCGAGATCTGGCGTCGGTCACGGTTGCCGCAGGAGGAGCTCGCTGAAGTTTGGGATTTGGTTGATCGCGGACATAGGGGGATGCTGAACAAGCAGGAGTTTGTGGTTGGCATGTGGCTTATCGACCAGCGCCTGAGGGGGAGGAAGATACCGACGAGGGTGAGCGCCAGCGTGTGGGATTCCGCGCAGGGGGTCAAGGTGCTTTCGCCCAAGGCCAAGAAGTGATGATAAGGTGTAGATACGGGAATCTAGAGAGAGAGTTGTGTGTGGATATTGGTAGGGAGAAGATGGCATTGCGTTTAGCGTGCTTGCATTGATACCCATGTCGTGAATAACACTTGTCAATTTGCTATGAATACCTAGTGCCGTTTTTTTACTCGAACTCGGCATCGGATGAACGGACTTTACAGCGGAGTGTATGGCAAATTGTCTCATGTCAATTTAGGATTGCTCGTACGGCGGTAGCGTGTCACGGAAGGGCTGAAATTTGCGTACCCGGTATGTGTGTAAGCGTGTCAATTAAAGGCTGAGAGAGAGAGAGAGCCGTTGCGTCTGACGGAGCTAAACCCCGGTTTTCGCAAACGCACGTCATCCGGTCGCGCGGTGTATGACCGACCACCCCCGGCCCACCGATTAAAGCGGCATCTCCGCCTTCGGCGGGGTGGATACTGGGGGGGGGGTGGTGGGGCATGTCAAAAATGTAAAGTTTTGCGCCCTTTCAATGACTCGGGGGTCCACTAGCGCCCGCTGAGGCTTGAATTAGAGACGTGTTGTGTGTAGTTTTGCACCTGGTCGGGGGTGTGAATCCTCCCTTGGGGGTTACTGGATATCGCCTGGTTTAGCGTGATGTGGTGGGGGCTGCCTGTGAGGATTTCATTTCCTGGCCGGTGTTTAAGAACCGAGAAAATTTCGGAGCGGGTTCCTTTGATGGATATTTTATGGATGGTTACTTAAAGCTTCTTTACTTCGCATCGTTGTTAGACCGTGTACGATATCTTAGCATCTAATCAGATTGTCTATAAAGACTCTACGAGTTTTTTTTTAAAGTTGAAGATTAAGAATCCTAATACGACTTTCACTCAGTCTCTATCAACTCAGGAGTAATCAACACCTACCACGGGAAACACTCATCAGCCATCAAACATATATCTACAGCCCAGACAAAATGACTGTATCCGCCCCCAAACCAAACCTGTCCTTCCGCCCCGCCACCCCGGACGACGTCCCCCTGCTCCTCCCCCTCATCCGCTCCGCCTACCGCGGCTCCTCCTCCCGCAAGGGCTGGACGACGGAGGCAGACCTGCTGGACGACAAGCGCATCGACGCCGCCGGCGTTCTGGCCAAGATCCAGGAGCCCGAGGGCGTCATCCTCCTCGTGACGGACGACTCCGCGCCCCTCCCCGTCACCACCACCACCAACGAGACGGAGAAGCGCGAGACCGTCTCCCAGCCCGTCGCCTGCTGCGAGGTCCTCCGCAAGGGCGACGGCAACATGGCGTATTTCGGCCTCTTCGCCGTCAACCCGGACCTCCAGGCCGCCGGCATCGGCCGGAGGGTGTTGGAGTACGCCGAGAACTTCGCCAGGGAGAGGTGGGCCGTCCGGGGTATGGAGATGTGGGTTATTTGGACGCGCGAGGAGCTCATTTCGTGGTATGAGAGGAGGGGGTACAGGAGGACCGGGAAGACGGCCGAGTTCCCTTATGCGGAGCTTGTTGGGGGCGAGGCGCTGAGGGATGATTTGTACTTTGTTGTTTTGGAGAAGGATTTTTAGGCAGTGAAGACATGTATATGATTTTTGGCTGGAGGGAGTTTTTGCAAAAACATTGTTTTATAGAACACGACGAATTTATGAAAAGATGGTTTCTTATTACTACCGACATGTTCTGGTAGACGGTTCAATATGTTTCAACGGAGTCTCAAAAGAAAACACAACTACAACACATCCCCCACCTAAGCTGGACCAAGCTGGACAACCACACTCGCAGAGGACAAAGGCACCTGCCATCCCCCGCGCGCCTGGTTGATACCCGACGTCGTCACTCTAAAGTTACCCCCGCCGGCCGTCGACTCGACCCAGATGACGGCGCTCGCCGCCTTGGGCACGTTATCCAACTGCGACAGCGTAACGGAAATCGACCGCGACCCGGCGTCATAGCTGAACTCGCGGATGATGCCGGCGTCCACGGTGATGTACACGCCCAAGGGTCCGATGAACACCTTCCTACGCACGGCGTCCTTGGTCACGACGCTGACCGTGCTGCCGGAGGAGCTCAGCACGCCGCCGAACGCCACCAGTCCCACGTCCGCGTCCTGCGCCACGTACGTGCCGGACCCGAGCGCCAGGCCGAGGAACCCGGGGCCGTAGTCGCCGCTGATGCCGTCCCACTTCAGCGTGTCGGGCCACGAGTGGAAAGACGCCGCGGCGAAGCCGTCCTGGTTGATGTTGGACAGCGGGCCCGTCGTGCCGCCGTAGCCTGTGCGGATGAGGTACGTGTCCGTTGGCGAGGAGCGGAACGCGGAGAGCAGGACGAGCGCGTTGAGGCCGGAACCGTAGTGGTGGATCTGTCGCTCGATGCGGCGGAGTTTACCCCCGTAGCTGGTGGACCATTGTTAACCTCGCTTTTGCTTCCTCCCTCCTCACGGTTGTGGCATGGTGGAGAGGACTTACATGTTATCCCAGTAGCGGCGGGCGTTACCGTTCCAGCCCCAGTGGGGGACGGTCTGCATGAAACCGAGGACGCTGTTGACGGACTTGGTGACCGTGTTGGTGAAGCCAAAGTACCTGTAAAGTGTGTAAGTATCTTTTACCCTTGGCAATATATGAGAATAGCGGCAAACACTCACTTGGCCCAGTAGTAGACGCCCTCCTGGCCTGTCGAGTCCCACGCCATCTCGCTTCCGAACGGCACCTCTTCGTTGTTCCACTGCGTGGCGCGCGATCGCATGCTGTTCGACAACGTGTTGGCCTTGCTGGTCTGCCCCTCGCGGATCAAGTCGGTCAGAATCTCCCCAAACACCGTCTCGCCCATGAGGCCGACGCGGTTGTACCCGACGTCGTTCCGCATGCCCCTGATGACGGTGCTGTATGCCTGGTTGAGGTACCAGTCCCAGTTGTGGCTCCTGACGAGGTCCGGGTACGCCCTCGCGACGCGGTACAGCGACCAGTACGCGCCGGCGACGTGCACGTAGTTGTACGCGCGGTCGACGGAGTACGCCGCCGCCCTGTTCCAGGACGTCCAGCTCGTCCAGTCGATGCTGGTGCTGTATCTGTACGACGGGACGGCCGCGGGCTCGTAGAAGAAGATGCTCTTCCGCACGCCAAAGTCGGACGTCTGGATCGTCTTCCAGAGGACCTTGTCGACGAACTCCTCCAGCTTCGCGACTTCCGCGGCGTTGGGCTGGATGGCTTGCTTCATAAAGGCCGACAGATACGCGCCCGCGCCGCCCTCGTCGCTGAGTCCCGCGACCCATGCGCGCGAGTCCTGCGTGACGATGGACTTGGTCTCGTAGTCGTACGTCATGACCGATGATGCGCGTCCGAAGGGGTCCGACGTGTCGGTGAACCACTGAGCCGTCGTCAGGAAGTTGCCCAGGTTCGCTACGGTTTCCGTAGATGTCTTCGTGACGTAGTAGTGGATGGTCTGCACCTTGTTGTCGGCGTATGTTACCGTGAGACGGACGCGGCCCCACGCGTTGGCGGCGGGCGTGACGGTGTACCGGGTGCCGGAGACGAGGCTTACGGTGAGCGCCCCGGCGGGCTCGGAGGCGATGGACCTGACTCCGGACTGGGACTGCAGGAAGAGCTGGGCGGGCTCGCCACGGGGGATGATGTAGCCGGGAACGCCGACAGCAGTGGGCGTCCCGGTGCCTCTGACGGTGGCGTCGAGCTCACGCACACCGCCCTTCGCAACGGAGAAGCGCACGCCGAATTGGAGGGACTGGCCCGGCTGGAGTGTCCGGGACGAAGGCGCGTTCCAAGGGGTCTGGGCACGCCACTCGTTCTCCGCCCACGCCTTGCTGAGGACCTGCCACTCGTAGAAGCCCTCAAAAGTCTGGCTGCCGTAGTATGTACCGGGGTAGCTGCCCTCCCGGAGGTTGCGGTAGGCTTCAAGAGGCGTGTCGCCGAGAGGGGTCACAACAAGAGCAGCACCCGTGCCGCGGATAGGCGCAACGCGGATCTGTCCGGCGTGCATGCCGATGTACGGATCCGAGAGGGAGCAGAGGCGCTGCATGTCCGTGGCGTGACGGTCGGTGAAGATGCTGTTGAACTCGGCGGGGAAGCCCAGGCTGCCAATCTCGATTGCTGAAGACCCGGAGTTTTGGATCGTGAACCGCAGACCGAGATCTCCCGAGACGTCGAGCCACTCACGGGTGATGTTGAGCGGGCCGTTCGGCAGGGTGGGGCCGAGACGGGATGAGGCAAGGACGCCGGAGCCGGCCGTTACGGCCGTGACGGGCTGGCGGGCCGCTGCGGAGTCGCCGTTGGTCCATGTCGTGGTACCCGATTGGCGGTAACGGAAGGTGATATCACCCCAGTGGTACTGACCATTCCGGGCGCGCTGGGGAAGGTAATCGAAAGGGAGAAAGTCAAACGCATCTCCGGCGGGTTTGAGAGATGCAAGGACCTGGGCATTGCGGACGAGTTGGACGTTAAAGTTGCGGGTGTTAAGCGTGATGTAGCCGTTACCCAAACCCAAATTGTCCTGGCCCAGAACGCCAGAGACCAGGCCGGTGAGGACGAGGAAAGCTCCCACAGGTGAGATCATGGTGACTAGTGGGGTTAGTTAACCCTGCATGTGTCTTGATCTAAGAGGGATCCTGCTGGCTGGAGATCTTGGAAGAGAACTATCGTGAAGGGGAATGGATAACACCCCGTTTTATAGGCATCCGACGATGCAAGCGAGAGGCCTCAAAATACTACGTTATACCAGGCACGCATCATTACTTGCCGAGGACTGTTCGAGAACACAATGGTCGATAGGCGCTGACCGATCTCCGCCCTTGCAGATAATCAGTACAACATCGTGCCCGGCGTCCCTCCCGAACCCCTCATGCGACGGCGAAAGGATCTCCATCGCTTCTTTCGACCATAGAGGAAACATCACGCAAGCCAACGGTGAAATTTGCTCCCCGAGACTGATTGCCCTTTGGGTGCAAAACCGGGTAAGGCGGCCGAATGCTACGATCCATCGGACGGATGATCCGAGTCTCGTGGGGCTGGAATCGATATCAACATGTTCTCAGCCCGAACGGGAAGAATATAAGATAACATCAACTCAGCCGTCAACTAAGCAATCCTTCCACTGCATAGTCGCTTGCTTGTGTCGTGCAGAATGAAGTGCAAACGCGGGGTACGTCGGCCCATCCCCCGTGCGATGCAACCCTCGTTGCCGGACTCGATGCAAACGTGATTGGGCCGCAAATAGAGAGTTACACTTGACATCACTGAGGCTCCATTTCTCCACCGGGGGAATGAAAATCCACGGATGGTTACTCGCAGAGCAGGATCTCGTATAAGTCAAATGCATTTGAACTTGGCGGAGTCAATTTGACATTCCAGGGGGATGGGTGGGAGGAAGTAAAATAAAAGAAAACGTTGTGTTATTACTCTATTTCAGTTTTTAGGGAAAGTCGTTTATTCCAACCGAGTCTCATGGTTACCCCAGTTTAAGTGACTTTTAGGAGGATTGAACGTGCGCCTTAGCAGTTTGTATGTGAAGCTTTACCCCCTGACGGCCTGTTCTGGCGCAATTGTCAATTTATTCGTATCAGACACGAAATTATAGGAGAAAAAAGTGGATGCCCCTTTGTGAAGTCTATTCATGTTAAGGCTCTTATTTAAAAGACATTCAGCGCTCTCTGACAGGAGAAATTCTCCGAGCTTAGCCTCTCTGTCAACTAAGTCCAGGTCAAACTCAGTGACATAGTCATTCTTTCATTCAGACATTCTTTTTGTGTACATTCATTCGTTTCTTTTTCGCCCCCCCCATTCTTATCATGCTTGCCCACCTGGTGCGAGCGTGTCTCGCTACGTCGCTGCTGGTCCAGCCCCTGCATGCAAGTGTCATCCCTGCTCGCAGACAGTCCACCTCCATCACCTTCAAGTCTACCGGCAACCCCATCTTGGCCGACGGCTCCGTCTACTCCGCCGACCCGGCCCCGCTGGTCGTCAATGACACCCTCTACATTATCTCCGGCCGGGATGTCTCCGCCTCCTGGGACAACAGCTTCAACATGAACCAGTGGCAGATCTTCGAGTCCAAGAACCCTGACCCTGCCGGCGCCGAGTGGACCCTGCACAGTGATGTCGTTCAACCCGAGAATGTGTTCTCTTGGGCCCGCTCCGGCTTCGCCTATGCCAGTCAGATCGTCCAGGGCCCCGACGGCAAGTTCTACTTGTACGCTCCCGTTCAGCAGGCTAGCACCAGCTCCTCCGACCCCTTCGCCATTGGCGTCGCTGTCTCCGACAGCCCGATTGGCCCCTTCAAGGATGCCCACCCCAGCGGCCCCATCATCTCCCAGACCGTCCCGGCTCCCGGTAACGACATCCAGAACATCGACCCCACCGTCATGGTCGACACCGACGGCAAGGTGTACATTTACTTCGGCACCTTTGGTAGCCTCAAGGGCTACGAGCTCGACAAGGACATGGTCACCATCAAGGGTGAAGTCGTCAACGTCAACTCTCTGACCGGCTTCTTCGAAGCTCCCTGGCTCATGAAGCGCGACGACACCTACTACATGCTCTACGCCGCCAACAACGCTGGCGAAGACTCTCCCTGCACCCCCACCAGCTACCACGCCTGCCTCGCCTACGGCACCGCCGAGAGCCCTCTGGGCCCCTGGACCTTCCGCGGCGTTTTCGTCGACATTGTCTCCTCTACCACCTCCCACCCGGGAGCTTACAAGCTCAGCAACGGCGAATGGGGCCTGACCTACCACACGCGCGACGCCGTCGGCGGCACCCACTTCCGCCGCAGCGTCGCCATCGACAAGCTCACCTGGGACGACTCCGTCAAGCCCGCCGCCATCAACAAGGTCGTGCAGACCAAACGCCCCGCCGCCGCCAAGGAGCCTACCCGCAACGTCGCCCCCAAGGCCGTCGCTTCCGCTGACAAGGAGACCCCCATCCAGTACTGGATCAAGTCCATCAACGACGAGCGCGTCGAGGAGTCCCCGCTGCCCCCTGACTACTGGTCCTCTTACAACGCCGAGCAGTCCCCCCAGACCAACACCCTCACTCTCACTTGGGAAAAGGCTCAGGAGCTCAACGGCGCTGCCATCGCCTTCTTCGCTGACCAGCCTGCAGGCGCCAACGTCGGCGTCGCGCCCCCCGCCTCATGGAAGCTCGAGTACAAGGATGGCAACACGTGGAAGGCTGTCCAGGCTTCTGGTTCGTACCCTACTGAGGCCACAGATACCCCGGCCGAGGTCAAATTCTCTACCATCTCCACCACTGGTCTCAGGGCTATCTTGACGTCGTCTGGCAGTGGCCAGTTTGCCGGCGTTGCTGTCAAGGAGTTCTTCGCCTACGCTCCTAACGCGGCTTAAGTGAGTGGCGGCTATCGTCGGGACGAGATTGTACAATATTGATAGACGGATCATCGAGATAATTCTGTTTGTTCATATTAAAGCCTGTATATAAGATAGTCTCGACCGGTCTATATATGTCTGTGTAAACATGATGAATTTCATCATCACTTCATCCGGGACTGTGTATGCCAACTGATGCATTTTTTAGTAATGTTCTATATGTATATGTGACCTTGCGGCGAAGGTCTTCCATGCTAATTAGACGAGCCTACAGTGTCAAGGTATTTGGAAGTATCCCCAACGCGAACATAGAAGACGCCATCCAGTCTGATGTTGTTGAAACCAGGTTTCGGTTTCGCCAGTAGAGATACTTACACCAGAGAGCCTGTCACTCTTTCGTTGGCCCACTGGAGTAAAAGAAACACTGTTTACTTGAGCCCAAGAGAAACGGGGATTGTTATCATACTCTCGTCGGAGTACGACATGGCCTGCGTTGCGGTTTGTCATTTTATATGAGTACCTTATATCAAGCGCCGACCTAGAATCGCAAACCTTCGAGCAGCGTCACCTGCTTAGAAGCCAATCAGGGGTGCTGATATCTCATACTGGACCGGAAAACGGCACTTCTTAACTACAATTCTGTAGACCATAATCCATCTAGGCAACCACGCACAGTAGAGAAGTTAAGATTTCTTTTAAACTCCCCCATCCAGAAACGATCGTGAATTCTGCCTATTTCCCCGCTAAAGTTATCCACTACCCATGATGCTTAAAGCAACGGAAAACCACCATCACCAACATTAGCAACAGGAGCGAAAAGCCTCCAGACTCCGGGCATTCACCCTCACTCTAGACCTCGCATCCTACAATGTGCTTTGCCTGCCCTCGTCCCGATTCACATAATGCTCGTCCCAAGAGCGAGAAAAAGGGCAAGGATGAGGAAGAATTCTGTCCGCCACCACCACCGGTAATTTGTCGTCGAGAAAACGGTGGTTCAGCCTGCGCCGAGCCACGATAGCGCACCAACCTTCGCCGCCTGTAGAGTCGCAGAGACCACCCCCGACTCGGAAGCCGAGCTCCGGCCTCAACGTCCCCCGTTCGGCATTGTAGTGTACGATACAACGCACACTGCGCGTCCTTCCCGCAGCACTAGGCTTGCGCGTGCTCTTTTCGACCGCACCTACTGGGTTCGTAGCGTTCCACGCCACGAAGACGATCAGATCGAGGTCGTTACCCTGCCCTTACCTGAACCGTTCTTAGATGCCCAACGCGTAGATGCCTGTATCCGTCACCACGGGCAGGAGATTCAGAGTCGTCTCCTAATCCCCGATAAAGCCGAAGCAGCCTCGTGGTTCCTGCCAGAGCGGATCATGGATTGGCGATATACACGGAGGACCGTCGCAACTAACCTTTTTGACGATGATGGCGATGACGATGTCGAGGTGGCCTCTTGGGAAGAGTCGCTCGGGGAGGAAATTGGCATATCCTACAGAGACCTTAAAAGATAACGCCTATGGGGGCCATCTTGTTATCAAATGGCAACATCGTGACGATTTGTGGCCCTTACGATGTCTTCGAGAATGTCCGCCCGAGTCCCGCGTGGTCTGCAGCACCTGGGGATTTGTTGATTTTGGAAAGAGTTTCATGGACTTAGTTGATGCGGTTGGCCCATTCTATAACCACTTTGTGCCTGATGGGGTACTCAACTGGAAGGTTGAGGAAGCTAGAACTTAAAAGATGCCACGACGGATTATGCTGGCCCTCAAATTATATTTGGAGAGATATGGTAGCTCGAGCTGCCCGTGAACATAATTTGGCCCATCTCTCATTTGTCTTGTAGAGTTCCCCGAGCTTGTAAGACTGATTTCATGGTAAGACCCAGTTCGCTTATACTAGATTAGTAGGTTCTCGCCGATAACAGGGTCCAGATTGGCCTTTAATGGACATATATCTCAAATTAACATGAAGACAACTTGAGGTACATTATTCAAGAGCTCATTTGGTCATTTCTAGCCTTTCGAGGGTTTATACATGTTTAAGATCAGTTGAAATTATTTCAGGGGTGATCAACAAGTTGATTAATAAAGAGCCATAGAGAATCTGACCTCGACCTGGTTTTAGGTCAACCCACGACAAGTCCTATCTGAACGCCGCTCATGCCTCATATATGTCTTCTAATATGTTGTCCCAGTGGCTCAAAGCCATGGAGCTTCCAATCACAATCCCCGTGTGACGGGGCGTAACACACTAATGGCATTTATCGAGTGCAGCATTCATACTATGGTAAAGTTAGCGCGAGGAGAGACTATGAAATCCTATAAATATACCGTAAGTATGCAAAGGGTGTCCTTCTTAGGGTCTGTTGGGTTTGTCTGCGACAAACTGATCGTGTGGGCCTGCTGGCCTGGGCTGCATTTGGGTTCCTCATAATACTGATCACAAGAGACGCCGTTGGACATGCGGTGGGTAGTGGTCCAAGTTCCCCTGCACATGCCACGGCTGGGAGCTGCAGTCGTTAAGCCCGAGAAGCTGGCTAACATAACCGCCAAAACTTGAACGTGGGGAGAATCAAACAGCATCATGATGGTTGACTTGGGAAATTTTGAGAAATGTTCGGAAGGATTGGGGAACTTAAGTAACAACGGTTGCTCTCGGAGAGGAAACTTGGGCTTTATAGATTTGCTAGAACCATCTTGAAGGCTGAAGAAAAGCTACACAAGCACTACAGGGTGCTTTCACGTTCACATAGGTAGTAAATAGCTCAATTCAAATATACAAAGGGGGGAAATCATTTTCATGAAGCCTCGCCATGAAAAAAGCTTCAAGTGTCTACTTCGGGAAGGTACCTTAAGAAGTTAAATATACAACTGGAAGATTAACTATTATAGTGAAAGGTCCAGTCGTGTCTAAGGACTCGTTTGCCAACTTTAATAGTTGTCAGCATGGAAACCTAACAGGGGCCAAGTTGTGAAAGATTGGATGCCCCCGTCAATGCCGCTAGAAAACCATTTGCACAAGACATTTGACTAAGGATATTTTCGCCTGGTTAGCGAGTCACGCTGGATTAGCGCATTGGAAAACCTTTCAGGCTTAACTAGTTCGGCGACTACGCAAGAGAATATACCTGAGTTGATTAGTCTCAAAATTACTACCTAGGTTAATGTCACTCTTCTTTTATTAACCAAGGAATTAATCAGGTTGCTTTTGTGTGCACTAAGTTGAAAAACTCCAACACAGTCTACCTTGCCCACTAGACTTTCCGCACTGAATGAAAAAAAAAAAAAAAAACAACGACTGTATCCCTACTAGTTACAAGCCGTTGTTCCACTTTGCTTCCACTGAAGCGGGGTTTTCGAACCATTTATACATTCTGGAATTCCCACTGACGCGGTTGTCGCCAGCCGCACACTCGCAGCTAGTCTATCCACTAGTTCCCACAGCGCGCACTAAGTTCTTTCTAATGGAAGCATGCCAAGGCAGGGCATGCCACGGCTGACCCTGCAGTCCCGACATTGCTAGCGATAGGGGACTGGACTTAGGTGCAAGAACCTAGCTAGCTTTTATGAATCAGACAGGTCAAGGTAGGTCGAAATGTAGATTCCAGCGTTAGCAACTCCCACCGCCAATAGGCTTCCATTTCGTCTATACCACCACCAACAAAGCGCGTGGTCTGAGACAGCAAACAATGTCCCTTTTGTCACTGTTCCACAACTACATCAATCACCTCTTCAGCTAGCGGCCCAGTGCCTGGGTTTTACTTCTAAACCTGGGTACACGCATATGTCAACGCTCATAGAGCAGGCATCGTGGGCGCTTGTCCGCAACGCGCACCTGTTAATGGGCTCGTTGATCCGTCTAGATCCCATTTTATGTGTTGTTGAAAAGGTCTTAAAATAATATTCATACGCCATCTAGAAGAGATCATTGGGGTTCGGAGCACTAGTCATAGTCAGCGACGACTGGCGAACGCTCGGCGTTTTATTAAAATTCTTTTTTTTTTCTTTTTTCACTCTCCTTCTTCTTCCTTTTGCTTTTTTTAAAGTTCATTCTCTTAACTTAAGTAACGCGATACTCTTGCTGACTTAGTACATTACGTCCTGCATCTCTGTGTACCCAGGTACCTAGCTGGAGATCTCAATATCCCAGCAGACAGCAAAGTAAACACCTTATGAGCAAGAAGCACCTTGAGAACCAGACTTGTTATTCTCTGAGAGAATTACCCTAACCCTAACGTCCTTTTAATCATGTTTCCGAACGAGACGTATGAAAACTTCGAATGATGGAATCAACATCATTGATAGCAAGCGGCCGCACGTCAGCTAGTTCCTTGACCTTCATCGTACTGTGTGATATCACATCAGTAAATGAAATTTTCACATAAGATTGGGAAGACTCACACTAGCTCCATCTGGTCCTCAGGCATGTCTATGCCAAGTTGACTGATGCGGGCCTTGACGGCGTTGGAGCCCGTCAATCTTGAGGCGAAGTGAACGTATCTTGTCAGCCCAAAGTCCTCAGGCTTGATGATTTCGTAAATGCTTGGGTGACTCAAGATGCCCTTAGCATGGTCGCTAGTCTTGTGGGTGAAGGCGCAATATCCGGTGATGGGGTTGTTGAAGGGGGTATTGATCTGCACGGCCTCGGCGACCATGTCTTCGATCTCCTTGATCATGTGCAACTTGTACTTCCCCGTCACGTATTCGCGGTTGTTCACTATCATCCGCGCCATAAACCCACCCAGCGGTGTGATACCGTTGCGCTCACCAATCCCCAGTACCGTGACGTCAATATGTGTGGCACCGGCTTCAAGAGCACAGTAAGCATTCGCGGTCGCGCAGCCGGTGTCATCGTGAAAATGGGTTTCGATGTCGCATGCTGAATCAGGAGGATGAAGTTAGAGGCAGTCTCTTCATCTTTCCCTGGGAAAGAAATGGGGAAACTTTGGTGGATGACTCACAAACAACTCCTCGAAGGGTTCGTATCAAATCGTACACCTGGCGCGGATTGGCACAGCCTATCGTATCGGCAACGCCAACCCGGTTGACTCCGACCTTGTCAACTGTCTTGTAAACAGACAGTATGTCAACGAGGTTGGATCGGAACGAATCTTCGGTAGAGAACCGGACTTCAAGACCCTTCGACTTGACGAACTCGATGACTTCGATGGCCGACTTGATGATGTACGCTACATCCTTTCCGTGAGAGTGCTGTCGGAGCAGGGCTGACGTTCCCATCATTATGTTCCTGATAATTCCTCGTTCAGCGTTGTTCACTGGTTGCTGTGACACATCAAGAAGAGCTTCCTGCCTTACACTCCATCAACGCCGGTTTCTACGGCCACTCGTACATCATCCATATGGCATCGAACGTGGGTTAAGATCTTGGCCTGCAGTCCAAAACGTTAATAAAACATCAAATAGGTAAACAAAACTAACAGAAGGGTTTGTACCTTTAGGCCTAGTCTGCATATCGTCTCGCAGTCCTTGCGTGACTGTAAGGAAGCCACGGGAGATGTGAGCTCAATGTAGTCCACTCCGAACTCATCCAGTTTCTTGGCTCTATTGAAGTATTAGCGTCTAGCTACATGCACTGAATTCTTTTGTCAGGGCATGTACATCTTAATCTTGGTTTTTTGCCTCAAGTTAGCACTTTGAAGACCTCACCATCACGACGTGGCTCAACTGCATCGACTGATACTTGGAAGGCAGAAACATACCTGTATCGAAGAATGCATTAGCGAACTGTTCGCCCTCGCGGAGAGTGGTCTCGACGAGCTTGAAGTTCGACACGTTGCTGAGGAAGCTTTCGACTGGTCGGTTGTAAACTGCTCGCCGCGGCGGCTGTTCGGGAAATGTCTCCACGACTCTATGGCGACCATTCTCTTCAAAAGTAGCCATTGTGTGTTATTGGTTGCTTTTTGGACACTTTATGCGTAAACGATCGGTCAAGTGGGTTGTAATGCAAAGATGGATCGAAAGTGCATCCAGTGTGTCAATAACAGTTAGTAATGATGGTAATGAATTGGTTAAACCTAACTATGGCCTGGGGAAAGTCTCGAAGGGGGCCTTATATGCGATGAAGGAGCCATTTGTGACTCATTTGGGTTGTTCTCATTTACTTGTTCTTCCTGCTGTTGAAGGGACGTGAACGGAAATTTTTCCGTATGTGTCACTCAGGGATCTTGGCTGGGATGGACTCAGGGGTAACCGCCTGCAAACATAAGGCGCTGTAGTTCGGCCCAAGATTCCGTGGGGGGACTATGCGGGTTCCCCATGCCATTGATCATCGAAGGGCACGGAAATCTGGGTAAAACAAAACTTCCGACTAAGGATATGACTCAACCCCACGTCGGTGTACGGGAGATCTATGGGAAAACCATGGTACCGTCGCCAATTCCATTTTCCCTCCTGCAATGAACATCCTCAAGCAATACTTATGGCAATATCCCTGGTATGCGTGAACCCCCAATGCAATCGTACATTGGACATGGTGGTGGATGTCATATGGACGCTTGAAGTGGCCGCTTCAAGGGTTGACAGCCCATGTCATATACTATTTACAAGCTATATAAAAAGAGACAATACATCTTGGGGATTTCAGTTTCGGATAGTCCGAAAAGTCACTGCCAACAGAGACGTCACTTTCATGGTTCAGATACGCGTTTGGTCTCGCGATCAGCGTCACCGCCGTTCTGTAATTGGCCAATGGCTCTCATCTCTTCTCCATTTTTATTCGTTCTCGCATTTCCAAGCTCCGTGTATCCACACTAAACCTACTACCAAAGTACAAATGCTCTGAGTCATCGAGGTGTTATCGTCTTTACCCAGCTTTTAGACTCCTACTCCGAAGAATTTTGCGCTTAACGATGCTTATCTGGCCTAAGTACCTCAAGGCGTAGCAATCTAACTCATCTACTGTCGATTAGCATCACATACATGAAGTTAGGGGTACTGATTAATCAGATGCTGACAGTATGATTACTCTCAATAAAAAAAGGTACTGATCTTACGTTTAATCGTATTTTGAGAAACATCCTCCGTGAGTGGGCTAATTGCACCTGTACTGGAGTGGTAAATGACTGGATCTCGATCAATATTCTCTCTGAACCTGATAAAATAACACTTTGTGCTTGACAAGACTTGCTCCATCGGCAAGTCACCCTCATGGTTTCAGAAAGGCGTAGATAGCTCATGGCCATCTCTATTGAGATATTGCAAGCAATATCATCAAACTTTAGCTTGGGCGAGTCGACCCTATGGCATAATAACTCGCTTTTGCTGACATACCTAGCATGACATTGCGCGTAGAGATGTTACCCTCCACCAACTCCTTCTGCCTAGCTGGTATTCCCACCAAACCCTTGCGCTTTTCCACACGGTGTTGAAGATATCCCTTGTGTGAGTTTAGGGCGATGAAATCCACAACGGCCGGTTGGGGCCAGTAATCAGTCCGCCGGCGATGTAGACCGGGCCCTTCTATCTGAGTAGCTCTGAATCAAACTAAAGACGTCGAACTTTCTATTTCCCTAGGAGGCAAAGCTGTTGTTGGATAGCAGCAGCAGCAAACAGCCTCCTCGTTGGCTCAATCTAGCCAACTAAATCTGCCATGCAGCAGCGGTGGTATCAAACGATCAGTGAAAAGTCGTACCCATGATACTAAGAATCATTCAGAAAATTGGATATTCGAAATTGATTTCCAACTTTTGCATGCAAAGAGACTCTACTGATAAGTCGTAATTTGCCGACTGTTGATAAACTGTCGTTGACCACACACGCAATTGTTGGCTTTTGGCTCAGTTCACTCCCACGACTTTATTGAGCATTACTATCTATTTTAGTATTGGCCTACATGCAAGGTAAAACGGAACACCTAGGACTGCGCAATGGTGAATCAATCACAAGAGACTTAACAACAGCTTGTTGAAGGGGGCATTCATTTCATGGCCAACGTGGCAAAATACCTGCCATGCATTTCACTTTCTGCGAGTGTCAAGGAAGAAGCCCAGATTGCTATCCTTACTATGGTGGGCTGTCACTGCAGCCACCAAAAAGCTTTCTCGTGCGAGTTTAGAGAAATTCATGTGGCTCACATTGTAAATAGCCTGTCAAGCTTGACCCTTGTCGCCTGTCGCAAATCTGCCAATTCTCTTTAAAGAACATTCAGGCTCTCACTCCTTGTGGCATTGATTGGACACAACTACAGTTTTCAAGACTTTTGTAACAGTAATCCGCGATCTAAGCCAAGCAAGACTCTTGTATCATAGCAAAACCTACTAGCTACCAACTGCAAATCTGGTTTGCAAAGGGCAGTATCACCTTATATGGCTCCATTCTTTTTGTTCTTCCTATCGTAAATTTGGGGCTAAAATATAGACTATGCTTAAGTCATACAGGTTCTATGTTAGTCCCTGGCTTGAACAGCTTTCCCGAGCTTCAGCTTTCCCGAGCTTCCTCGCCAACAGTATTTATCTCAATCAATGCTGAATACGCATGGAGATTGGTACCGATGTTTGAAGTTTTCATTAATGTTTTTCCTGCATGGATATCGAGTCCACCAAATTTGCAAGCCTCTACCGCCAGATATCTCTAGCTGAAGATGAAATCTACACTGGAGAGAGCAAGTGGCTTGTGACGTCGCCCATAAAAGAGAAGTAGGTCTGGTTCGATCTTACATAAACCTCAAGTGAGCGAGATTAGAATCCTAGATGAAGAAAAAGCATTGCGGGTGGACCAAAGTAGATACTAGTACATACCGCCACTCGATCTTTGTTGCAAATCACGTGCTAGGCCAACCTCAATCCCAAATTATCTTTGCTCTCAGGAATCAATGTGGAAAGATCGGCACAGGCAGGCTTAGACGCACCAATTATGGTTCGCGCATAGGTCAACAGACGTCGTGGCCAGGTTAGTGCATGAACCTGATTTCCAATTTGATAACCTGCGTTAACCGGAACTCGAAACAACCGCTGCGGGGAAGGAATTTGCATAACCAGGTTTCTTGACCGATAGAAGGGGAACCAGCTTGGCCAGATCTCTTGAAGCATCTACGCTTGTTCTCGATTGCTTTCGCGGTGCTCTCAGGGACTGAAATTGAATGCACCGCAATATACGAACGTCATCTGTGATAAGAGGTAAAGTCATCTAACCGCTTGTTCTCACACCGCAATCCGTCTAAGGCTGTGGAGCCTGAGGCCCCCCAGATTACTTCACGGACCGCCACGTAAGGTGAGGCGGGTTTGGCTCAACTACAGTGCCAAGATCAATCTTCAACCGGGATGCTGCTAGTAGACAGGTGACGTGGGCGTGGAGCCGCCGAGCTAAAGACTGATGTGCACCGCTAGTTCCCGATCCACGATAGAACATAGATCGGTCAGGCCTGGATTCCTTTTTAGAGAATTCTAGAATATCCACTAGTGATAGTCAAGTAATCCATGCCAATTTTTGTTGCTCAAGCACGAAGATTCCAAGAGACAGATACTGGAACCGGGGGCAAAATCATCTCAAGTTAAGTAACGTTTTTTTTTTCTTGGATTTCAGAAGAAAAAAAGAACAGAGGGACAAAAATGCATAAGTTAAAAATCAGAACCTTTTGCTTTAGAAATAGAGCATGATCGTGTTCTTTGGCTGTTAGGCCGCCAGGGAAGCTGGGCACCATTCAAACGTGGGAAGTTGTCGTGAACCCACAGACGGTGCTAAGATGTCTTGTAGGCGGATCCCAGACACGGCAAAGCAAGAACCAGCGAACGCCAGCGTGTATCGTAAGGCAGTGTCCATGCATTCACAAACCTAATGGGCCAACCGACGTCACATCTGAAACAGCACAGATGAACGCGCGGAGCTGCCGCTCTCGCCGCGCTCGCCGCGAATATCAAGGCGTGCGGCCTCAGTTCAAGACTTGGGATTAAAGGCGGAGAATGAGTCCAGAAGCTTTCCATTTCGTTTACTTTTGATGGTCAGCTGCAAAACCACACATCGCCGACGGTCTTCCACTATTCATTATTACATGATCATGGACGCCATTCATCACGCCGTCAAACTGTGCCAGATTGCCTTGTCTGCCAAAAAGGTCCAAGGAATCAATTATGGGAAGCCAAGGCCCACACAAGTCACCTTGTTCTGGCATCTTGTAGTCCTTTCTCGGTACAACAAGTATACACCCCTCTTCACTACGTTTGCAGGAGGTATGTCTCTTGAATACCATGATCATGAGCAGTTTTGACTGAGCCAAAAAAAAAAAAACAGTATGGTCTGCATTATTAGCTGGCGCAACTGAGTTAGCCAACCCAGCCTCCACTATCCAGCCCTCGTTTGTCTTCAGACAGACGGCACTATGTTTCCTGTCTGCCTACCTCTTTTGTGGAGCGGGGATGGTATGGAACGATTATGTCGATCGTGAAATTGACGCGAAAGTTGCTCGGACCAAAGATCGACCTCTCGCAGCTGAGAAGATCACTGTAGTAGACGCCATGCTTTGGATGATCTTACAGTTGCTCATGTCTCTGGCAGTTGTTCACAAGATTCTTGACGGGAAGGATGTGTATGTTATTCCTGCATTTATTCGTCGTCGGGCATCAGATTATTTTGACACTAACTGATTTCTTAGCTGGAGGCACATGTTGCCTGTTATTGCGGCTTCTATCGTTTATCCGTATGGTAAACGTCCAAATGCCCGGCGACTACGCATTTACCCGCAGTATATCCTCGGCTTCACCATTGCTTGGCCCGCAATTTTAGGACGGGCATCAATCTATGGCCGGCAGGAGGCATTCGATGAGACCGTCAGCCAGTGTATCCCGCTCTGCACCATGGTCTTCTTCTGGATCATTTACTTGAATACGGCCTACAGCTATCAGGATATTATTGATGATCGGAAGATGAGGGTTAACTCATTCTACACAGTTGCTGGGCGACATTTTCACAGGTTCCTCGTGGCACTCGTCAGCCCGATCCTATTTTGTCTACCAATGTACCTGATCAGATTTCATTCGTTGTGGCTCTGGCTCAGTTGGATGGGTGTTTGGACTGCGACTTTTGTTAAGCAGCTATCTCAGTTCGACCCGAAGTGGCCAGCGAGCGGTGGAGGTATACACAAGAGCAACTTCATTCTTGGAATCTGGACGATTGTAGCCTGCACTGTGGAGGTGCTGCTGAATGATGTCCAGTCAGGTCTACTTTGATGTCCTGGGCCAAATCGTTAAACCTGATTTTTTGTTCTACTTGTATTTGTGGTTAGAGATACCAGTGACTGTTGAGATCAAAGGGAGTTGTATGGAACTGACGGCCTTATCACCAAGCCTTTGTGTCAGTGTACTGATTTTGGAGAATGTTATCAGATTTCACCAGCTACAAGCCGTGATTGATATGCGCTCATGTGTTCTTGCCCAGATATCTAGTGATTCATTTCATGTACCACAGATCTCATGCTAAAGGGCATGAATTATTGTCAAGACGCAAGGCAATTGTCGATGTTTCTGTATCTGTTTTGTGAGGCCGCTTTTTTCTGTACTTTTTTAAGCATCACATTGATTTGAGAACGAGGAGTTGGGAGTTCGAATATCTGATTATTTATGATTCCAGCTTGCTCCTACATATTACAAATATAATCACCTAAGTCGCAAAACTACAGACGTACCGGAGTACGTGTTTCTACACAAGAGATATAGCTACTAAAATAGTTGGGTGAACTTGTTGAGCGGTAAGAGTCCTCTCAGAATTCATATCCGTATCCACCAGCAATGCGTGCCGAAATATGGAACAGATCGATTAACCACCCAAAGAAGCCAAGAATCATGCCCATAAAGCCATACCGGAAAAGATCTGACATCAAGAAAATCTGATCTTTGAACCTGAGACCGGGGACTTCTTGCGCCAAGGACCTTGGATTGTCAAGGTAAGAGTAGAAACGCGTCCCCATGGTCTTGAATGGTGTTCTGAAGACGTAGTTTACGGTATAATACGTGATTGAGCCAATGGCATCGAAGCGAAGCTCCCCGTGGGCGCCATGTGACCGGAAATAGTTGACAATTCGCCGAACGAGACCGTTCAATTCGTCTTTGGTAAGATACGGAGTGAGTCCCTCAAAGAGAACCAGGACTGGTCTATCAGTCGGTATCTTGGCCTCACGAAGCCAAGTATCGCTGTGGATGTTGGGATGAATCAGACGGTACTCTCCCCCCTTTCCCGGATCTGGGTCGTTCATGACCTGTCGCCGCAGCTCGACCACGTCCTCCTTATCCGCGTCAATCCAAATTCTTCCTTCGCCCTGCCACTTGACCCGATGGCATCTTGAGTCCATTCCACAAGCGAGGTGGAGTATGGTGGCGGGTCCAGGGTTCCTGCGTAGAAACCTTTCCGTGCACACGTCCAGCATACGGGCGCGCATGGCTACAGGGCCTGCGAACAGGTCTTTGGGGCCCATGAAGGTGCGGTTGAAATCATAGCCCTGATCCCGAATCTGGGAGACAATTTCAAGGGCGTGCTGGTCGTTCAAAATCGGGTTGGAGGATTCGGCATCTTTGGCTCGGGCGAAGAGGGTGAGGAGGAGGGTCTCTTGTGCACCAGAGAGCTTCACTTTACCCTTGCTCAAAGCAGTAGTAGTCGTGGCTGAAGCCATGATGAGGGTTCTAAAAGACTGATTTTCTTGGTGAAGAGAAGCGGTACAGAATGTTTCCGCCGAGAAAAAGCTGTTTGATAAAAGGCAAGCAGGTACTGTCGTGTTAATAACCGGACGTGCCTCGGCATATATTCAAGGTCCAGCCAACGTGTACTCTAACTAGGTTACAATGTAGTGGCACGTGTGTTTGGAAAAACGCATTCTCCTTCGAAACTGCAGAACGATTCAAGCCGTCCGATCTCTGCCCTCGGTGTTGCGGTGGACCAAGACGTTATGGTTCCCCGACCATCAGATGCAGCGGCAAATAAGAAACTGTCATATGCAACGAAATCGTTTTCGGTATCGTAACGGCATTCGGTCAAGTCGCAGAAAGACCTTTTCCCCGCGGGTTCCGAGGATGGGGTTGTTAAATACGTGGATACCTCTGACCCGTGCACAACCGGACAACTCCATGGGTATAGTCAGTGACATCATTGTGTTAGGGACCTTAGACATGTTGTTTCTAACAGTCAGCGATCCTACAAGAGTTTTATTGTCAGGGGTAACGTGACTTTTATCCGGGTTTTGAGCCGGACACGAACTCGACTGCGTCCGTATCCGGGTTGCTATCGCCAACTTGGCAACTGACATGTTGTCGGTTTGATAGTTCGATCACAAGCACTTGATCACAGGCATATACCACGCCTGTCTCAGTCTCTGAGATTTTCGACTCACTTATGCAAATCAGCTCAGTCCACATCATGAGTTTCAGATCCCTAGACCGAGAACTTAGTACTGTGCATTTGGTACAGTTAACACAGCACAAGAGGTTTCTCCCATCTTTATCAAGGAAATTAAGATGATATGGCCCACTTATAAGCTCTCTACGTCTGCAGGAGTATATAGTTGCTTAATCGAATAGCTGAGGGGCAACTCTCAGTATTTCGAAGAAGCATAATTTTAGTGCGACATCGGTAATTCAGTTCCTCACATATGGACAAGTTAAGTCTCCTGAAATGGCGGTCAGACTCAAGGCTTTGGAGTCTAGGGGCGAATGTCATCCTGATTATTTAATTCTAGCACCGTAATTTTAATTCACTACAGTTGTTGGACTTCCTTCATTTAAATCACAACTGGCATTGCTCCTGCTTCTAACTGGTGGAAGGTGTGATATGAAGTTACTGTAACGGCTAAACGCAAGATTTACTGCTACTAGCATACATAGCGCACGTTTGATCATTGCGAATATTCTTGATTTACCTCCACTTGTTATCCCAGCCAGCCTGCTCAACAGCAAAAGCAATTGCCAGCTCAGAGAACCTTGCCATATGATCGAGGGAGAAGACTCCATATTCGTCGTCAACATCCATGGTATCCCTGTCGGTGTGAACATATGGGTCGAACTCGCCAGGGAAGCCGCCCGCGACGGGGTTACCCTCAGATGCAAAAGCAGCAGGAAACCCGAGCTTGGTGTAAGACATGTAGTCAGATCCAGCGCCAGGCATCAGCTCGTAGACGCTGGTTGTGATGTTGATGTACTGAGTGCTCAGGTCGGCCGCCCACTTAGTCAAGGGGGCATCCGCATCGGTCTTGATAAAGCCAATAGACTCAGTAGCGTTTCTCGCAATGAAGGCAGTCATGTCAAATTCCATCATCGCCCCGATATTCGCACCCTCCTTTTTCTTGTACGCTGCGACATCCTGGCTTCCCAGCAGGCCACCCTCCTCGGCGGCGTACCAGTGAAATTCAACCGGACCCTCCTTAGGAATATAACCGCTCGTCGCGAGTACGCGGAACGCCTCGAGAATGCTAACGGTGCCGGAACAATCGTCGTCGGCACCCGGTGCGGGCAGCAAGGGGAAGAGGTAGTTGGCGGAATCCTGGTGTGCGCCAATGATGGTCAGGGGTTTCGAGAAGTCGCGAACTTTGGGCTCGAAGCGGGCGATGATGGACGATTGGACAAACTCGTGAGTGAAGTACTCAAGAGAAATATGTGTGTGGTAGGGAGATTTGGCTATAATCTCAGCAATATGATCATGCAGCCACTGCGAGCTCTCCTCGCCAGTCGGACCGTCAAAATAGCGGTTATAATAGCTCGTCATGTGGGCGAGAACATCGTGCATCTCGGTTTTGTTGACTCTGGGGAAGAGGGGCTTCACGAGGGATTGATGGCTGATTTTGGGAAGATCTGAATGATACAAGTGGTCAGTAAACTGTTGCTTCGGCTGCCAGGCTCGAGGAGTGGAATAAAGTTCCTTACTAGCCTTGCCAGACCATGCGCCAACAGATTCGTCGGCATATAGGTCCTGGTGGTTGGTGATGTCGCGGAACTTCTTGCCCTTCTTCCGGAGACGGAGCTTGTCTCCTTCGGTCATCCATTGGGGCTTTTCCTCGCCGAACACATGGAGGAGACGGCGCTCGGCCAACTTGTCTGCCTTCTCCGGCTGCAGGGAGAGCAAAGCATCGACAGGGTCAGGGTGCGCCTTCAAGGCCGCGAGGATTGACTCGTCAACTTTGTGTGATCGCACGGGAGCTGTCGCATCGTTGTTCACTGAAGGTGCGATGACAAATTGGTCACTTGGGGAGCCCGCGGCAAGCTGTGAGGAGCCCAAGAGCAACAACAGCTTGGCCGATAAGGAAGATCGCATGATGGTGGTGCTGTTTGCTGGTATGGATGGTGTAGAAGAGTAAACAACGAGGTCTTGCTGATAATGTAAAGGAAGAAATGTGTGTAGGCACCCGAGCTTGATTGCTCAGCGATAAAGCATAAGCCTCGACGCGGTAACTAAGCTTGGAAGGTGGCGGCGTAGCGGCTATGATACCATAGGGCGCCGATAAGGACGTGATTGCAGGGGTCGCAAGATCCCTAGTCTCGGCGGAGTTGGGGGCTTTGGTCGTGCAACGTTTCCCCAGCAACATGATTGAGTTTCCCTCTGTAGCTGCAAACACTTGAAGGCCGTTTTATTCAGCTAATATTTCTGACAAGGTCTTAAAAACCAGCTCGGTTTTAAACCTAGGAATACCGCAATTGTAATTTTCCAGTGATAGCGAGGGCATTTGGTCTATCCAACCTTTGGGCCAAAGACTGTTGACCCATGACTGTATCAACCCAGACGGATATGATGTATGAAATGTCACTCAATTTCTACACAGTAATAGCATATTATCAAAGGTAAAAATAATTGTGAGAAACTTACCAAAGAAGAGTGAGCCAGGGCTAGATTCACTACCTACAAAGACACACCTGCTGCCACCTAAGCCAATATTTCTACTAGTAGAAGACCTGCAAACTTCCCGTCTTTCTTGAAATCATAATTGTGAGGGAGATGTAGAGTCTAGGGCCAGAGACTTAATACATCTCAAGTATCAAGCACAAACAATTATCTTTCCCTACTCCGAACTTAATGTCTCTCCTCTCGTATCTCTTTCCCTTCACATCACCTTCGGCTATATACAGCTGGTTCGTTTTGGTTCATTGTGTATACCGTGTAAGCCGCTCTTTTCATGCTAATGGCAGTCGAAGGCTGGATTACAGTATCCCACGTCTTGACCCTAAAGTTTGCAAATCAGGAATAAACCTCTGTGTGATGCACCCCTCCTCATGGCACGTGCATTGGGCGGTGCATACTATTCCCGAATGATGATCCTAGGCCGCGGGATTCGGATGTACTTCATTCAATACTTGGTCTCATCATAAAGTTTCTGGCGTGTGTCCTTCTTTTTCCTATTCGTGAGGATTAGGAATTTATTTCCGCAGTTCAAAGTTTAGTTCAGGTAGGATTATCTTCTCCTCACGATGAGATAATGAAACAGGTCAAGCTATAAGAACAAGCTCAAACGCAGACACAATCGTCTTCATCTGTACAGACATAGTTGTTCGGTTTCTACAAACATATTAGATACAAACTAGTTTTACCAAATCCATCAAATTCATCATGTCAAAGTACACTGCCGCCCATCAAAACCCCAAAGGTGCAGGTGATGCAAGACCCACAGCCATCAAAATCGTCGAAGACGAAGGCCTCGTCGGCAAACTCACAGACAAAATCATCTTGGTCACCGGTGCTAGCCAGGGAATCGGTATTGAGACAGCCCGCGCTCTTCATGCAACCGGCGCCACAGTTTACCTAGGGGTCAGAGATCTCACCCGTGGCCAACAGGCCATCGATGACATCAGATCATCCAACCCAACCAGCAAGGGTGGCCTACATCTACTCGAGGTATCTCTAGACTCGCTTGCCTCAGTACGCAAAGCGGCGAAGGAATTCTTTACTCAGAGCACCAAACTCAACATCCTCGTTCTCAACGCAGGCGCAATGTGCCATGTCAAATCCAAGACCGTCGATGGCTTCGAAACGACTTTCGGGACAAACCACCTGGGCCACTTTCTCCTGTTTCAGCTTCTTAAACCCGCCCTTCTCGCATCTTCTACTCCGGAGTTCCACTCCCGTGTTGTATGTGTCTCCTCACTGGCTCACCGCGCCAGTGAGATCCGCTTCGACGACTACAACTTCGACAGCGGAGACTACAACGAGGTTACCGCATACGGCCAGTCAAAGACTGCAAATATCTACCTTGCCAATGAAATTGAAAGACGTTACGGGAGCAATGGCCTTCATGCGTTGTCGCTGCACCCGGGTAGCATCGTCACAAATATAAATCGCCACCGTCTCGAGGACCGTGATGAGACTCTCAAGGCTATGCTGAGGGATCGATATGACGAGCTCGTGCGTACAATGAAGAGCAAGCCTCAGGGGGCAGCAACGACGGTGTATGCGGCGCTGAGCAAAGACTGGGAAGGAAAAGGGGGGAAGTATCTGAACGACTGCGTAGAGGCCGGGCCGGCTGATCCGAATAGTGCACCGTTGTCGCCAGACACGGGATATGCTTCATGGGCTTATGATGAAAAGAAAGCTGAGAGACTGTGGGCCGAGTCGAACAAGATGGTTGGCCTTGATGATGATGAGTAGATGTGGTATTATTACGTCAATGACTAGTTTGCTATCAAGAAATGATGTGAAGAATGAAGATATAATCTTCTACCGATAACTGTTCGCGGGCAGGAGCAAGCGTTTCCTTCACGTCACCACCTACTTGAGGGTGCGTATAGGTGAGGGGTTTACTTTCAGACTTCTGATATTTTCAGTATCCTCTCCTAACGCTTCAGTGTGAATTTGGCTTGCATCAGCGCTCCAATCAATGGGTAATGGTTAGGCAGGGAATTCAACCACTAATACGAAGTCGGTGATCGCTGGCTTTGGTAGTTACTGGCGTGATTGATTGGAGATTCGTAACGGTGACGTTCTTACGAAACAATGTCAACAACGTGAATCACCAGCTGCTCATAGTCTTATTAACATTGTTACGAATCACAGTAAATACAATAGACAGCTCCCGTTAAGTCTATTGCATGTAAAGTCTAAGCATCTAAAGCAGTAAAATAATCTCCTATTAAGTGTTTGCTAGATGTTCTATGCCTGACACCCCTAGTATCGGAAAGCGCACAAGAATGTTGCTTGGCAGATCAGGGAAGACTCAAGGAAACAGAATTGAGACCTTATCCAGGTCAAGATGAGTATTATTCATGATCTGCGGTTGTGCTGATGACTCTGCTAAGCTTGTCCCGTTCTTATGATAGTAGTGTTGACTCCTAGTTGTGCATAAGAAACTAGAAGTATTGTCTGCGATTCTGATAAGCATTCTATGTCTGAATATCTAGTAAACCCCAGAGTTGGACTTTTTGTCGCGAAAACATAGAATATGGTCGGCGACATATGTTGAGATCATGGTTCAATGACACTGAGCTCCTTATTATGGCTTTAGTATCTCATAAAATGGGTATTGACTTGCAAAGAACATTCAGAGATATATTGAATAGGAACATGTCGATATTTAGACAACGTAATTTGCTATCGGTCTAATACATCAGCTGGATTTACAGTGCTATTGTTTTATTCTCGTGATAACATTACTTAGGAACTGATATATATGTAAATGTGGTTTAAAACACTCAAGAATCCTCATAGCAACGTGATCAGTGTTGTAACTTTAATCTTGGAACCAGGCAGCTGGCGTTATGACACTAGCTGCTGCAGTCACTAGTGTGTGCTCATTGTCAAGTGGGCACTGGTGTTGAAGACTGTCTAACTTGGCACGGCGGTGTTGCTCCCAAAGCTAATGCTCGATGCTGTGATGCTAGGCCCCGAGGTACTCGTTACTTTCGTCGTGGACACGGCAGATGAGGTGGTAATGGCTGTCGAGGTCGAGCAAGCTGGATTATCGAGCACCGAGGCGAAGAAAGTCACCTCATAGCAGCCTTCATCGGTGGGTACCTGCGTAGAGACACGCACGAGTGGGCTGTTGCCGCCACACGCATAGAAAGTCTCACGGGCATTCGACTTGCACTCGAGCTTGCCACTACCCTCGGCAATATTGCACGTCAGGTAAGACCAAGGAGAATTTATACTGCTAGCCCTATACAGATAGATCAGGCTGTTGGCAATGGTATGCGCGGATGCCCAACGATCATTATCAACGCCAGGAAATCTGAACGCAACTTGACCCTCGTCGTTGATGGCTGCCTCGCTCGGGTTGACAGAGGTGCCGTCAGTGTCGATGCACAAGAAGTCATTATCGATGGCCACCTTGTACAGCGTTGGGCCGTTGCCGCGAGCTTGAATAGAGATGGGCCTTACATCCCCGCCACATGTCGCCAGGGGCGGCGGGACGGCGCTGGTTGTGGGCTCGGCACTGGTTGTGATGGAGACGGAGGTAGTGCTTGAGTTGCTCGGTTCCGCTGCCTTCATCGTGAACCACGGCGAGAGCTTCCACTGCCAGTCATCTAGCCTGCTGGGGTCTCCATAAGTGCGTAGAGTCCTCCCAAGCATTCTGTATTCTCCAGGAAGGACAGGACCACCGTGACTGTATGTCTGACCGGGGACGGCATATTGGCCGGACTCAATACGGGGATACTTGTAAACCGGGAAGTTGCTTTCGGCGCTGGCGGCGGAGCCATACCACTTATTTTGGCCTGGCACTGGTGGGTAGACCCAGTCGCTCGGCGTCCAGTCTCGAGCAACATACTGACATTCATTAGCACTCTCCGGAAGGACGCATCCTTAATGACACTAACATCAAAGCTGATCTCTTCCGTGGACCAGAGCACATTAAAGTACCCTAGCGGAACGGTACCGTATGGCTGAAGCACGTAGTGGTCACCATCCGCGAGCTGTCCCACTCCGTCGTAGTTTCTCATGAACAGAGGGGTTCCACGGTGCATTTCCCAAATATCGCACCAGTATAAAGAGCCCTTGATGCCTGCATTATGTTAAGTCAGTACAAGAACCATCTTGTAATGGATTAGGTCTTTACCCATATAGGTCACGCGGAGAGACTCCTTATCAGATGCAATCACGATTCCGCCGCCGTAAACAGGGAGTGTTGCGTTGCTTCCCACCGGCTCAGTGAACTGAATGGTGAGTTCCGATGTCGACCTTGGTCCTACTTTGATAGTCTCTGCAGAGAGAGAGACAGAGGCCTGGAAGTTCTTGTCCATCACTTCTGGCGGCTCGAGATTGGTCCAAGCATTGTTTTGCCTTTTGGGGTGCATTGTCGAGCCAGGTTCGTGGAAGATTCGGTACTCTACCTCTTTATCGCCACTGTTTGAGATTCTGATCACATGGGTGCTTTGGAAATGGTCGGTGTCGTTCAAGTTGATGTTGGCTGGTGAAACAGAAGTCTGGTAGTCCACCACCTTCACGGCATCGAGCAGACCTGCGCCGGCCATAGCAACGTTCCTAGGAAACGTTAGAGTAACTATTGACATGATGTGACAGCATTGATCTTACTCCTTGACTCCATTATTTTGATAGCCACCCACCGGGCTGCCACTGGCGATGATTCGTTCATGAGCCAAGCGGGCGCCGTCAGAGCCTAGGGTGGCACGTCCACCGCGTGAGGAGAAGTACAGCGCAGCCACACCGGCTACCTGATGGACAGTCATTGAATGGCCCGGTGATATTGGTAGCAATACTTACGTATGGGGTAGCCATGCTAGTTCCAGATAAGACCGCATATTTTCCCAGAGCCATAGGATATGTAGACAAGATGCCACCACCTGCACCACAAGTCAGAAAAGGTCATATAGAATAAAATGAAAGGCATACCTGGAGCAGAGATCTCTGGCTTCATGCGGGCGTCAAGGGTCGGACCCCATGATGAAAAGTTACTTATTGCGCCGCCACCATAAAAGTCAACAGGCACGGCAATCGGTTTTTCATTGGACACGAACTCATATGTCACGGAGACTCCACTCTTGTGCTTGTTCAAAAGCCATAATCCATCCTCGCGCGAGATGAGGGCAACTGCGAAGCTGAATCAGTGACAGATCGAAATGATGAAGGGAATGTGGTATGTGACTTACGATCTTGAGCCTGATTGGAGCCCTGGACTGGAATCTGAAGCGGGTACTCCCATGCCTTACCCTCACTATTATAGACAAAGAACCTGTTGCGATAGTTGGAATACGGAGTCGTGTGGCACTTCCAGCCACACGCCCGCCAGGCTGAGAGGCCCAAGCCTCCCAGACCCACGTGACAGGCCAAGGGGGAATATCCCCACCTTCTAGTCAACAACACCACTTTCAACTATCATGAACCATCGATTAGAACCAATTTACTGTTATTTGTTATTGACGAACGGAATTCCGTTTCACCCCCTGTGAAACCTACAGAACCACTTAACCTTGCCAAAGAGAATGATGTCCATTGTCCACCAGTTGCAATCACCACGGCTAAAATAAAATCAGCAAAATGTGGAGACTAAGTCGATCAAGAAAAGGCGAGACCTACGGCAGCAGTAGAATTTCGTCATCGGGGACCTTCGGAGCTGTGCTCCAGTCACAGGAGTCACGGGTTGTGTCATTGTAGAAGTGCGCCTTGACGGTTCCGTTGATTTTGAACTGGCTCTGCGACGCAGAGACGTATTTCTAGATAGAAAAATAATTAGCAGGGCAATCGTTTGAGGGGTCTTCAGATTACCTACAATCTCCCGGGAAGATCCATCACTTGCGTGTGCCACTACAGAGTGGCCGACCAAATCGGTGGCCGCGACACTACCGACAGTGGTAATCCCGAAGGCATTTCCAAGGTTGCTGGAGTAAAATGGGCCTGGGTTGAGTCAGTATGCGAGATCCATCTTGAACGAGGGAAACATACCGTTCTGGCCACTGTTACCAGCAGCTGCTGCGATGAATGTGCCAGCAGCTTGTATCTTGGACGCGACGATAGAGGTGGGAGTATAGGGGAAACCCTGAACCGATCCCAGAGAAGCGCTGATAATGTCGGCACCTTCATCGTGCGCGCGTAGAAAGGCGGCAATGATGTAGTCCTCTGAGGTGCTGGTTGAGCAGCCAAAAACCTTGTACATTCGAAGACGAGCATCGGGAGCAACACCAGGGTTATACCTATTGGTACTAGCGACGATACCAGATACGTGAGTGCCGTGGCCTTGGCAGTCCATGGGGTCCGCATCGGGCTGAGCAGCGACGTCCTTGCCGTTGTATGCGTCGCCCACAAGATCGTAGCCGCCCTCTACCTTGAAGCCGGGCCCGAAGCCGCCTCCAAGATCGGGGTGGTTGTAGTCAACACCACTGTCCACAAGTGCCACGACAACATCGCTGCCATTGATGCCTCTTGCATGAAGCTCATTGACCCTGGTCATAACATGCGGAGTCCACGGGGGGTTCTCACCCTCCTGGACAATTGCCTGTGTCTCGGGGATGGTGAAGATCCCAGCGGGCCAGACAGCCTGTACGCCAGTAATGTTCTCGACTTTCTTGACGGAGGTTGCATTCGTTTCTGGAAGTTCGAACGACATACCCCTGAATATCGCCGAATCGAAAGTGAGCACGGGCTGGGCGGTTGCGCCAACGGTCTCGCTGAATGAAGACATGACTCTTACCGTGTCCTGAAGAAAGACGTCAGGTTTGTACTTGGTACATGTAGAGAGGCGTTGAACTTACCATGGACCCATCGCGCTTGCGGAAACGCGACATTGCGGCATCGTCGAATTGAACGATGTATCTGTTCGTGAGAAACGATGGCTTCGTCGCACTCTCTACACCGGGTATGTTGCCATCAGGGAAGTCTCCTCTTCCTTGGGCGGCGGCTCCAACAAGCCAAAGGCAGGCCGCCGCAAACGAAACTAGTGAGATGAACCCCATGACCCAAGAATGCTACTTCGTCTGAGTCTGGCCTTGAGTAGGAGTAGGATTGACCAGAGTTTGAGCAACCCAGCCATGGTCTTATATGCGCACTTTCTTGGCCTTGACACGAACTGCCAGATTATCTTGGCACGGAATCATCATGCACAAATCACAAGCACTAAGCTCAATAGTCATCAGATTCCGGAAGCTGATAGCCACGTAAATGCAGTAAGCAGCTTATTGCCAAGTTATGGCCCCTGATTAAGTAGTGCAAAGCGGGTATTGGTCCACATAGTAGCGACACGGGATTCGCGAGCAGTAAACTAGCACAGGGGTCCAACAATGCACTCGATTCAGGGGTCCAAGCCACGCCATGCAATACATCTAATCTAATCTAATCAGATCTTTCCAATCATTGTAGTCCTTCTGAACCTGCTGGCTCTTCATGTTCGCGACGAGGCGCTGACGGCTTGTCGCTTCATAAGATACCTGTGATTATCCGTCTCACCCATCCTCACTGTAACAGGCTCCAGAGTGCACATTTTTTTTACTATCGATTAGATATCCCTTATATCCTTGCTCGCTGATGTTGACATTTCTTGCCAACATGATACTCATCTACTCACCCGGACACAGCTCATAAGAGCGCGCACACGCAGAGCCTTTGAAGCCTCCCCCACTCTAGGACCGTTCGTACCCATCTCAGTGGACCGCCCTCCGATTCTCGCAGGACAACGCTTGGTGAAGATTCTCGGTTGTCCTAGCCGTACTCCTCCTTCAGAGTTACCATATATAATTAGTGACTTTGTCCCACGGAACCATACTGGAGTACGAAAGATTATCAGCAGTATAGCTACGTCTCAATGTACCATTCTTCCGTGGAGCTTTTAGTAGCTAATATTTGATTATTAGAAACTAATATATCTTAAGGGCTGTATGTAGAGATTCTAATTCCCTACCTTAATGTGTCTTGCTATAAGGCTGTAAAGTATCATCTCATGAGTATGAACAAATGGCAGAAAACGGCAGTGCATCAACGATTTGGACGGATTCTCGCAGTATAGTGGAGATTCTTCGTGATGAGTTTCTAAGTTGCTTTTCTTGGAATTTGGTGGAATTATGGTGCAAAAAATAGAATCAGAAATTTGTGCTATCAACAGTTGGTGCCGTCCCTGAAGGTCAACGATCTGATTATTGTAACTCTGGAGGAGGTGTACTTCCAGCTTATCACAAAGTCCTCTACCATCAAGTGGAATTAGTCTCTCGGCGCTCGGCCGAGATCTCGGCAGGTCGCCTGAGTGGCGTCAACTAACGCCTTATTATGTGGGCGAAATCATCCACCCGCACGCTGCAGGTACATGTGGGTCTACATACAAGCTGATAGCTATTACTTGAGATCTGACACCACCCTGTATTAGGTATACAGTTATCCGCTGGCGCAGTCTGCATCAAGGACAACGCTTCTGCCTCGGTGTCAACCGGGAGGCAAAGCCCAAAGAAGGATCCGAGAAAAACCCTTCATGTTGCAAACATCTACTTCTTTTTTCCAGTTTTTTTGCCAAAGTCTCCACTATGGCCTTGCTTAATGCAAAAGAAGCAATGCACAAATCAGGCGATTCAATCGCATGAGTGATTTCCAATGTAAAGGCATCCCTGAAAGTAGTTGGGGGACTTCAAGTTGCATGCATTCCATGATCCTCCCAATTGGCTCGCGTATGCAGAACTGGGGAGTAGTAGCTCCTATTGATATAATAAAGATATCCACAACTCTACATCATGGACTATGGTCTCTCGTAATGTGTCTTATTTTGACCTGCATTTAGCCTATATATACCCCTGCTCTATAAAAGCCGCCCAACTGGATCCCTTGCTAAGTTTTCAAACCTAAATCACTCCGACCGAAAGTATACATCCCATAAGTGTAAGGGAATGTTAGATACAGCCGGATGCAATTTTCAAGCGATAACGATGTTGTCGTGATGGCTCCGGCTCTCCGGCCCCACTTTATGCGCCCCCTTCCGCGTAGTAACGTGGTAGATTCGCTCCGGCGACCGAGTTCTTAGACGATCTTCGCTACGCTCGCTTACTTAGGAAATACAAGTCATTTTGTTCCCAATTGAAGCCACTCATACCATAGCCTGCAACAACAGAGGATATGCATTTTCTAGTACATCAACACCAAGACAATGTAGTATCTAGAGAGCTAGTGGTTGAGGATGTGTTACTGAGGAAAGTGCTGGCTAAGCAGCTCAGGCTCCTTTGCTCTGAGGTGAAGCCACGGGGGCCATTTTTGAAGTTCCCTACTTTTTCATGAGTGACACCCCAAATTACTGCGACTTTGCATAAAACTGATAAGTGACTCAGTTATGCAGCAGCTTCGGCAGCTGCGGATGCTCGTCAATCCTTTTTTCCACCTTCCCATCGCGGAAGTGGCCCTGTTTGGACCTTTCGCACTAGACGGGATAGGCGGCATGGAAAAGACTCAACTAGCCCTTCTTCTTCAGTGAACCAAAAATCACCGGCAGCACACTCTGAATTGCTACAGTGACTTTTTTTTTTTTTTTTTTTAAGGTCCGTCACTTTCTCTCATGATCGCCGCTAGCTTGTATAGGCCTCACACGACAAAACTATCGAGGTTTAGAACACGACGTCAGGCTAGTGCCATCAAATATTAGAGGGCCACAGCGACTTGATCGGACTGATTGTTTACTCGCCAGCTTGCTGGCTATGTACAGGCCGCAGCCTTCAACCTTACCCTGTGCACTTTGCCCAACTGAGTGTAAGGCTACCAAGCCTCTGGCCTAACGCCTGGTGCATTTGGCTGTCCATAGGACGTCGAGTCCATGACCTTCAAGGGCGGCGACTCACACCTGAACGTAAGGTAGGCCATAAAGCTGGCATCGCTGTGGGATCCGTTGTGGGTGGTTTACTCCTTATTGGCGCGGCTGGATTCCTGTTCGTGCGCCGTCGACGCGCAGCAAACGCCAAGAAGGCCGTCCAGCCAGAGATGGTTGCCAAGATTCATTCAGGCTCCATGATCTCGAGTGAGGCATCTGTGTAATGTATTTCATAAAACACTCAAGACGTGAAGGGCAGCAAACGAGGGACCAAATTCAGTTGCTAGGAGCTGCTTGGGCCAACAGAAGACCTGTAGCTGCTAATAGTCATGATACATCTAGATGGCGAGAGATAGACGCGTTGATTGGGAACTTGGTCTTTTTTCCTTTTTTCTCCTATTCTTCTATTATCGGGAGCGCTCTTAGGAATTGTTTACGTATTTCGGCCCACTTAACTCAGCTCCAATGCGATGTAGATGGGTTTTCGACTCTATTGACAGGCGTCGGAGATGGTCTTCCGAATGTGCCAGCCTTCCTTTTGCAGGCTTTTCAATATACTTCATCGTTGTCCTCACTTCGCATACGCTGGCGCAGTCGGCGCAAGATTCGATGTAATTACAAAAGCCGCCATTAGCTGCTCTATTTATTCATCTGTTCTTCTGTCTGACATCTGGATACCATACAAGCTATCTTCAAGGCCACAATGCCATGGCTAGCAAACCTTACAGTAAGAGCGCCAGTTAACCGTAGTGCATTCCAAGGAAGACATGCGGTTCGAAAGCAAGATGGCTGCATCAAATTTGCTAACAACTTAATCATGTCGTGATAGTTGTGATGGATGGTAGCGGATATCTGGCCGTGTTATTGTATTCCCTTGACGTCCATGTCCAGCAAACACTGGCCATGGCTTGCGGCCGCAGTTGTGGCCGAGTAATCCTGCCTCTCTTGGTTTTTCAACTTATGAGGGTCTTTGTAGTTGCAAAAACCATGTATGGGTAAGCATCGAAGCTTATCCATCGTGCTAGCCGCCTAGATATCGAAACACGGGATTGAAAGTTGCTACGCAATGTTATGCCATATTCTCGCGTTCTTCACAAACTTGTTACTTAGATCGATACCTTATGGTGTATTTAGGACTCGTCGAACCTAGTCGGGTCATGTAAATTCATTTGCTCGAGCTACCATCATCAACAGCTCGTGACCATGACCCCTTGACGTGCTGGCGGTATGTGTCGTGACATCCCTATTCTTTGTGCTACCCGACGCATCTGAGAACTCGAAAGACCCCATATGCACGGTCTAAGAACGTTACTTCGGTGGACAACATCCGCTAACCATTTCAAGACGGTGTAGCCGACATCTCGGGGTTCCCGCGCTCCGACGAAGGGAGCCGCGGGTTTGCCCCCGGGGTCGCATGAGCAATCCTCGGCGGCTACTCCGGCGCTGCGGCGCTGGACGATACGCATTCGGAACGAAAGCCGAAGGGCAGTAGAGATATACGGCGTACCATAAGGTGATCGCAACCAAAGTAGACAAAATCGAACGAATCACCGCCGCGCAGCGGCCATGTTGTGAGTAAAACATGGGTTTGCAGCATAGCAGCAGGGGGTCTGGATTCTTGCCCGGGGGTTGTTATAGTGGCTTAGAAATCTAAAGGTTTACCGGGACCATTGATGTCAGTGTTCATCCGATTCTCGAGTGATAATCCCTGTGAGCTAAAATGGCTCAGTCAACATACATGCTTGTGGGTGCGCCAAGGCTTTTTCCATGATCAAAACTTCCCACTACATACGGTCACCAGGTTTTTCTCCCCAGTATATTCCATGTAAAAAGAAAAGCCTTGTCGAGAAGGTTCACTGACCTTTAAGGGCCTAACTCCACTAACAGTCATCGGGAACTTTTTACACCCGGTAGACATTCTATGTTGATTGGTAACTGGTAGAGGGGACTGTCGGCGCTGTGTTCCTTGCTTGGGGTGAAGGCCGAATATGCAGCGTATTCCTATGCAGGTCCCTCCACATCCGAAGCTCTTGCGCCAAAGCCAGCCTCCCTCTATCCTTTCCTTTTTTCCTATCGCAGTATAGGCTTTTGCATTGGTTTAGGGCATCCCTGTCGTTTAGGGTGTTTGCGGGTGGGAGCCGGCCCCACGCGCCACGGACAGGGACATGTGGATGAGGGTCAAGATGAGGTATCAGGGCCCTTTAGGTAATCATTACATCCTGCATGCGGACTTTAATTTCGAAGTCTAGTCTCTAAATGGATTTGAACTATAGCTAAACTAGGTATTCAATCTTTAGCCTTATGGACAATCAGATGATCTGATAAGATTATCTGAGCCACTGGTAGGCCCACTGGCGAGTGTAGGTCATTGGCAAATGGCCAATATCATCACCTCTCTTCGTAAAGTCATAAGATCCCTGGGCTAATGTCTTCGTCTGTGAATGCTCAAGATACTATTCACAGACTCCGCCCGAAGTGGCATTCCGATATCGCAATTGCAGAATGGGTGGCTGCACGCTGCGTTACTAGTTTGTTTCTGGCTCAAGCCGTGATGCATCAATAGTGTTTAAATAACACCATCAACCGCCCACATTGACGCATATGGCTGGCAAGATCTATAAGCTTTCTACACCATAATTATGAGAGGTCTTTGCGTTCTCGGTCTGTTTCTTTCCCTTACCGGGTCTAGTACCGCCTTACAGCGCCGCCAGGATGGCGCCATCAGGGATGACGAATCTTCAAAGGCCGTGAAAAGCCGGTTTATCTTCGAATTTGCCCCAGACGTCAACAGTAAGACCAACACTGACAAACTTGAGGCACAGCTGGCCGGCTCTAAAGTACACAAGGTATTCGATACAGGCATCTTCAAGGGTGCGAGCATCGACACTGAAGATGATGTCGACGTGTTGAAAGCCGCGGGCCAGCTGAGCGGCGTGATCAATGTTTGGCCTGCCCTTCAAGTGAAGCTCTCAGAGCCCTCATCGGATTCGTTGCCTCAGCTTTCTAACTTGGAGAGCGTCGGGGATTACAGTGTCCACCACATGACGGGGGTCGACAAATTGCATGAAGCCGGTATATTGGGAAAGGGTGCTGTTATTGCAATCGTGGACACGGGTATTGATTATAAGCACCCTGCAGTGAGTAATATCGCTCAGCCCGTCGAAGGCGTAAGGTTGCATGCTGACTTCGAAATATCTAGCTCGGCGGTGGGTTTGGCCCTGGTTTCAAAGTAGCCGGCGGCAGGGACTTCGTGGGTAATGGTAATTGGCCCCAGCAAGGAGAAAAAGAGCCAGATGACGATCCTATGGACCAGAAGGGCCACGGCACGCATGTCGCCGGCATTGCTGCGGGAAATCGGGGATGGTTCAAGGGCGTCGCTCCAGAGGCAACCATCCTTGCTTACAAGGTTTTCAGCAACAGCGGCCTAACTGACGAAGAGGTCCTCATCGAAGCGTTCATACAGGCATTTGAAGATGGCGCTGATGTTATTACCGCCAGTATTGGATGGGAATACAATTGGTCCAACAGCGCGTAAGTCTTGCTCTCTGCGTCGCTTGAGGCAGGGCTGAGAGCCTTCATCGGAGAGGAAAGTGACTAACGATCTATGCACAGCTGGGCTATGGTTGCTTCACGACTTGTCGAGCAAGGAGTGGTCTGCACTATCGCAACTGGCAATGACGGTCGTGTCGGTCCCTTCTACAGTTCCAGCGGCTCCAGCGGCAAGTATGTAACAGCTGTGGCATCGGTCGACCCCGACGTCATTGCAGCCATTCCCTTTACAGCCATCACCATCAAGGACGGAGTGGCTTCGGAAACCGTAGTTGGGTATCGTCCAGCCGCCTATGGCGGTGTCTTTGATCCAAAAATCAAGAACATGACAGTGTATCATATTCCAAAAGAGATGTGGACGGCCTGCTCTCGCCTACCACCTCAGCGCAATCTTTCTAATGTTGTGGTACTGACTTCACGATCGATCGAGTGCGATTACGGCTCGCAAACGTACTACATGCAGCTCCAGGGCGCTAAGGGCATTATCTTTTACAACAGTGACGAAAGAGAGCTCGAAGACCCGAGTGCCGTTGATGGTGTTAAGATTGGACATATCGACCAGCCTAGCGGCGAAGCTCTTGTCAAGGCGATCTCTGACGGTTCCACCATAGCTTTCAGCTTCCCTGAGTTTGGGGGATATGTCACGATGCATGAACCCACAGGGGGTGTGGCTAGTGTCTTCACATCATGGGGTCCCACCTTTGAACTTGAACAGAAGCCTGATATTGGGGCGCCCGGGCGGTCAATTGTAAGCACCTATCTCGACGGCGGCTGGAAGATGTTGAGCGGCACGTCCATGGCCACTCCGTACGTCGCTGGAGTTGCGGCTCTCTATGTGAGCAAACATGGGGGCCGCAAGCAACACGGTGCTGGTTTTGGAGTTCAGCTCACAGCCCGTCTTATTTCCTCTGGTAAGACGTTACCCTGGGCAGTTGGTTCCAGACACTTTGCGTCTACCGCAAAAGTAGGCAATGGCCTGATCAACGCCTGGAAGGTCGTTAATTATGATACTTCGCTCAGCTTTGCGAAGTGGCAGCTCAACGATACCAGGCACTTCAGCCGTTACCATGACGTTGATATTACCAACAATGGTGAAAAAGAGGTCACGTACTCATTTGAGCTGGAGCCTGCTGCTGGATTTATGGCCTTTGAGCGCAACCGTGACGTCTATCGCTACGCGCCTGGGGTTGCAGAAGGCATGCCAGAGCCGCGCCAGATGATTCCTGATGTAAGAATGCCAGCGGGTACCTTCAGCGTCAAGCCCGGACAGACGAGAAAGGCGGAGTATGTTACACTTAACTTTTGAAGCCGAAGTATGGCTAACGTAAAAGTAGATGGATTTTCACTCTGCCCACCGGCGATATCGACGACAAATCCCTGCCTGTGTACAGCGGTAAGATGCTCATCAAGGGTGACAACGGCGAGCAGCTCTCTGTACCTTACGTCGGTCTGGCTGGTGATCTGAAACGGTCCATCGGAAATCAGAATGACATATGGTGGTTGACTAAACCTCATTTTGTGACTGGTGTCGGGTGGACGCCCGTCAAAGACAAGCCAAAGTAAGTATCTTCCCACCCAGGTCCAGTGCTCATTATCACTCGTATGACTGACTACTTGGCAGCTGGACCTTTAATCTGGCCCTTGGAATACAAGACTTCCCCCGACTCTTGATGACTCCCACCTTCGGGACCCCTCTCATTCGATGGGATATCTACGAGGCCGAGTGGCAAGAACACAGATGGTCGTATCCTCCCGTGGTCGGGGAGAACGGCTTCATTGGAACCGCAACAACTTACCGAAACGCCGATAGCCTTGTACCTTTTGATCCAGAGTCTGAGAACGCGTCGGACGTAGTTCCGGCCGTGAAACAATGGCAGGTTCGGGACCACATGCGAGATTTCTGGTGGTTTGGACAACTCGCCAATGGGTCTCACATTATACCCGGCAACTACACGATGCGTGCTGCTATGCTGCTGCCGTTTGGGAACCCAAAGGCTTCTGACAACTGGGTTATTGTAGAGTCGCCTCAAATTCAAATTCTACCTAAGACGGCTTAATTTAACAGTACAAAGGATGTTTGGCTACGACTAGATGCCTTGTACTAGACTGCTTAGAGGGAGCTGTAAAAGAAAACTTTTATACCCAACTTATTCCTATTTATACTCTATGACTAGCTGGTATTTCTTCTTTATAATTACCTAAAAAGGCAGTAATCATTAGCGAATAGTTTCTAAATATATACTAACTATCTTATATAGTACTCTTATTTTACTTCCTCCTAGCTACCCACCGCATGTAATAGTTCTATGAGATGGTAGTATAAAACCTATTTCTACTTTATTACTTTATACAACTATTTCAACCTAACCCTTAACATTAGTACGCCTTGTTAGCCTATAACCTACGACCTGTTAAATAGTTTACAGCCTAACCTTCTATTAGCAGACCCATCGTCACTCAAAGCTGGTTGTAACAGCGTATGGTAATTTCAATGGAATGGTTGGTCTTCAATATGGTGAGTAGATGTGACCCCATTGAATCAATGGCTTGATTACTGTTCAGTGATGATTTGAAGAAATACTGTGTTATGTTCTATCGATAACTTTTCGTGAGCAGGAACGAAACCTTCCTTGACGTCACTAATCAGGTCAATACCATCAACTTAAGGGTGAGCATAGGTATTGAATATGCGTTATAGGCTTCTGTTGTTCTAGATATCATCTTCCAGTCTGAGAGTGGATTTAACTTGCATAATTCCAGTACTTGATGGGTTTCAGACCGTCATACTAGTATGGACTTCCGAACAGATATTGGCTAACGCAATGCTATGCATTATCGTGATGCAATTTTTCAAATTAGACAAGAATTCCATATACACTCATTTCTGCTTACTTCTTCGGAAGCGAGAGTAACTCTCTGAATGGTTCAATCATATGTCTATATGTTGGTCTTCAACTGAAGTTTTTTCGAGATCTCTTTCTTCTGAACCTGTAATGAGTTCCTGGGATCTGAATTGACAACCTCTGCATAGTATGAGATGATTTGATAGAAGAATGCTGATTGATGCACTTCACTTTCGCTGGTTGAATATCTCTGGATCTAATCTGGACGGGGTCATAGTGGAAAGATAGGATAAATAAGTTTTATAGAAATCCTCTGCTATTCTGGTTCTTTGACTATGGCCTAAACTGATGTTGAAGATGTTGTTGATCTTGCCCCTCCTCTGTGAGTGGCGATGTCCTTCCCACAAACAAAAGAGATGTCCTTCCGACAAAGAAAAGAAGAGAAAAGCCCGGATTAAATTCTCCCCAGAGGGAGTGTGACTAGGGAACCCATACGGTTGGTTGCCCATCCCACTACAGTACTTTGTTTAAAAAGAGAACTTAAGATATTCAACTAGTCAGTTATATCTATTATAGCCCTAATGCTCATTAAGATGAAACTAATTGTTTGTACAAGTAAAAAGTAACATAACAGTTAATTAAAACAATCTTAATAGTTGCTACAGCTACCTATAGATAGACTACCTAGAGTAGGGCCGAGATACAAGCCAAGCTAACTCCATTTCGAATTCTCCAGTAGGTGGATGGTGTCCACGTCCGTCTACAAGCCTATAGGTTGCAGCATCTGCTGATGAAATTCCAAGTACTAATGAATCAGTTGCCCTTGAAATAATTGTTCGTCTTAAGGGAGGGCCTCCTCGGCGACGTATGTGAGTTGAAGGCTGCTCCTTCGACTAGGTTTATCGCTCTAATGCGGATTATGGCGTGGACAAAGCCAAAGTGATCAGATATGGGAGTCTAGACTGTAGAAAGGTGCAAGTTACCGAACTTTAACTAAGAAGGAGGAAAACCTTCTAAAGTTAATATTGATTTCTGGCAATAGGGTATTAGTAACGTAATCTACTTAAACCTTTTCCCTTGCTATCTGCTTTAGGGGTATTTGTGAGAACACTTGTAGATCAACACTATTATCATTTGCAGCTCGTGCATTACTCTTGGGATCCACTCCCCCCTTCACCTGTGCCATTCCTTGCCTTCATATTAATCACTACGAATGACATATTTATCATCATCTATACTCTCAACCTATATTGAGCTTCTGGGAGCCAAGATGATAACAACCTATATAACTTGGCATACTTTAATGGAGATTACATGACTTATGCACTTTCTAGTCTATGCCCACGAAAGTGTTGCTACTCAGTTATCGCAAAGTCAGTTTCTTGTTTAAGTTGTAAAGCTGAGTGAGTATTGTTTGGGGTACCTATATAATTGACATCCACTCACTCAAACGTCACATACGACCATACCCATTGGAAAACTCGGGATCCCGTCCGCTCTCCCATAGATAAGCCAATGAGGGCCGGATTAGTAGTTGGGTCGGTGACGACCAGCGAATACCTGGTGTTGTATGTTTTTGAACTTTTGTCAACACGGCTTAACCACCTTTGTCTGGTCTTTCTTTTTCCATTTTCTTTTTGTGCTGCTGCGCGTTCACATGACAGAAAGGTTTGGGTATATCACAACTGCCGGAAATACCAATAAATACATTACTTGTCTTACAAAATGTTTCTCGGTGTCAGTGTCTTTTGATGGACACAACTTACTTATTCTCCAACCTACAATACTTTCTTTGAACTCGTGTATTGAGGGCTCTACTTGGACATAGTTTGCTTTGCATGAGAATCTCTCAGACGCGGTCATCTACTCTTCGGTGATTATTATTTTAAACAGCAAACGCTTCCATCGTCCCCGACCCATAAACTACAGACTTGGGCCCATAAATTATCGCGGCCAGCCTAATTCCTTACACAACTCGTTAGATACTCCAACAGTATTGGCTCGCATAATGCATTGAGGGCGAGTTTGAAACAGGATGACGGAATTACCAAAGTATGAAGTTCTGCTTTAAAAGCACTTGCCCGTGTAATATTCTGGAAATTGATGGCCCCCCATTAGTTTAGAATAGCAGAGCGTTAACATTCAATCCGCCTTTTCAGTTTCCGTGCCAAGTTTTGCTGGTAGACTACTAATCCATTCCAATGACTGGTACTAGAACGCGATACATCAACCGTTTTGAAAGAGTTGACCGCATCATCTCTGAGGCTGCCGAGATCACATGCGGTGCCATCAATTCACCGAGCATAAGATTGTAGGGTTGCGTTTAGGCCATGCGGTGTGTTATGGTCATAGGACACTTGCAACTTTGGTGTTAGTGATAGCCTACGGAAAATAAGGATTATCAAATTCTGGAATTCATGGCGTTACCTCCAATGCAAGATAAATGAGAGTCGACATTCAGGCCTCCGCCAATTTCTTAATAAGACGGTGCAGAACTGACTGGAACACGGCGACCCCTTTTAGCATACTGTAGCGACTTGGCCTGTGTCTTTTTAATAGACTTTCCCCATTCTTATATTCCTTTAGGAGCTCGGACGAGTCTGAAAGTGTGAGTATGGTATAGGATGGGGTTACCAATCGTAGGTCTGTAGTAATGGCGATGGACACCCGTGTTTCCGTTATTGGCTTTGCAATACTTACATGAAGCCCAGCAATTTGAATCTTGTGCCGGCAAAGAGACATTCCCTCAGGATGCTCGTCATATTCTGGTTCAGCGGCTGGCGTTGAGAAAAGTGATGGAAAAGGAAGGTGGAACTGTAGATGAGCCGCATTGTTCTTCACAAAGCACCACCTTGTCCATGGGATATTAGGCCACAGATCTGCATATGTTCTGATAAAAGCCATGGTGCATTTTGCCAGGGCTGGTGAATGAGCTCCATACCCAGAGACCGCTTGGGTGAACACAAGGGCAGTCAATGACACGTCCATGACGGGCTCCTGTGGACAAATCAGCCTGGAAGTATTAGTAGCGTGATCTCGCGGTAAAATAGGTCAGATCGCCTCACCAATTTCTCCCAGACATCTTGCAATATTCAGGGCCGTGAGCCAGTGACCCCTGATCAATGGAACCATCTTCTTCCTGATACTTCCAAAACACTCGCTCCGGCAATTGTTGCTGGTGTGAAAGCTCGTTCAAAACTATGCATGCAACCCTAGAAAAGCCCCAATCCCCTTCAAGGTGACCGGGGTCTCCGAGGATACAGGCAGGCATTCCACTTGGCCACTGCGTTAACAGCTTTTCTATATTTAGCTTGTCAAACCTTTGCCAAATAGCATTATTCGGGCCTTCTTCACTTTCCATCAAAGGCAATTCAACTCGTGAGATCATAGAACCATACAAGCCCAATGCCTGTAAGGAAAGAACGTTAGGTGGATTCAGGTCTAACGGCGGGCGCTCTCGGCGACACCCAAAACTACCCACGGGTCTAATATGGGCTACCCAAACTTGGGTACCCATGGGTAGTTTCCATTCCTAACTACGTGTTGCACTAAGTAAATATAGATTAGGAAATTGCTCCTGAAAAGTATTGTTTATATTACATACTTGAATATTTACCTACTAATAGATACTAACAGAAATAAGTAGAAGCCTTATTCAGCTATGTTGTTATTAGATAGTGTATTTATACCTATAGATATAAGGTATACTCCGATATACCTTCCTCCTATTTCTCTCCAGCCTATCTACAAGTACTCTTCCCGACTTAGGTTAGGTTACAGTAGAGTTTACTATCTTTAGTCCATCTCTTTCTTTTGATCGGCGTTGGGGATAGCGGACAGCCAGCCTAGTCTGCGAGAGACGAAGATTTCCGACATAGGATGAGGGTTGTTTTGGTCCTTCGAGTCATTGAAAGTTCCAGCTTTAAGGCACATAAGTCCTGGAGTTGCCGGGGTATTACTCCACAGAGTTACACCACAGTCACCACAGAAGTGATTTGTGACTAAATTTCCACTATTCGCAGTAGTTTTGAATGTCTTGGTTTCACCAGTAATTTTGACGGTATTTTGTGGGACCATCCAGTTGAAGCTAAACGCACTTCCAGATATTTTGCGACAATCATTGCAGTGACATACAACCTGTTTATAATGTTAGTTGTATGCTGAGTCCAAGAGCTTCAAAGAAGGATCAGATTAGTCTTACAGTGGCCAAGGGATCGCCTGAAATCTCGACCTTGATGTTGCCGCAAACACACTCACTGGTAGGCATGATGACGACTAGTTCGGACAGGTTGGTGAATCAGACAAGAGCAATAGGAGATTGGTCACAGAAAATGAGTTGATCTCGTCTACAGTAACTTGTAGTGAGCTTTGGGTGATTTCTTACCTTTTATAAACTTTTGAGAGCATTGTGTTATTATTAATGTTCAGTGTCTCTAGTGACTTTAGCATTAAACATGGTTGTGTGTTGCAAGCGAGACTGGGCCCTGGTTGGTTGGTCCAGTTGCGCCTTGACATGCGTATCCGACAGGTTATGTTTTGTTGAAGTGCCAGTGCATATTTAGACCTCAACTCAAATTGGCACACATCACGAGGGTAGCCAACCATTTGTTCGCCAACGTCCACAAAGGTTATCTCCTGATAAGATGGTGCCTAAACAAAGAGGCAATTCACGGCAGCGTGAAGCATTATGTGGGTGGTCTCATATGTCTTTATGGGTGTACTGACTCCACCGGAGGTAGTGTAGTTTTCATAGGTACTTTACATGACAGTCTAATCAATAAGAAGTTATTGTGGTGGTAGCTTTGCTCCATGAAACGATGAATTCAACTGTAAGATTCTGCGGGCAAACGGTGTTTTCGGGAAAACTAGACATCGTAATTGCAAGTAATTTACGAGCCAAATCTTCAGAACGTTGTCATTGAAGAAGGACTAGTGCTGCATACCATTTCATTTTCTTTTTTAACGCCTATAGTTCTTTAGTAATTTAAATGTATTTACATCTGCTAGCCTTTAGATATTGTTTGTAAATTAGAGTCGTACATTTTGTTACAAAGGCTTTAACTAATTGTTATGTTGTTCAAAGATTAATATACAGAATAACTGATTTTATTACTTGTAGCTCACTCACTATTAATATAAACCCACTTTTTATTAGCTACCTTTGATAACTAGGGTGTTACGACCCGTTGGACATGGTCGCCAACACGACCCCGCCTGGATCCCGGCGGCTAACGCAGGGCATATGTAACCCAGCCGGACAGGTGTAACCAGGGATCCTCGGAACGGAAGAACTATGGACAAGTCACGTGGCCTCGGGGATAACGCGGGGTAAGGACAACCCGGGCTGGATATGTTGGATATGTCAGATATCCAACCGATCCCCGGATATGTTGGATATGTCAAATATCCAACCGATCCCCGGATATGTTGGATATGTCAAATATCCAACATAGCCAAGATAAGGAGGACCGTTCAGGACTTGTATATAGGATGGACTCGAGCCGGGCTCGAGGACAGACTTCCATAGCTCTTCAGCAATCAACTTTGTGATTACCCTAACCGGTACTTTCAGCTATACCTAAGTGACGACTACTCTACGACTCTTGTTGAGGCCTTGACTGATCACCAAGACCTTTGAAGATCTACGATCTATTCGACCAGGACCACGGAACGACTGTTACTACTCTCAATCCCTGGCTTACTGTTAACACAAACCCACTGTCAGTTAGCTGGCCGTAACATAGGGATAGCCGATCTGTTATTCAAATCAGGTGACAAATCGTATATTCGAGTACGTCATTCCTTAGAAACATAGAAACACTACGCCCATGCCCAGAACCTACATCAAATAAGCAAGTAACACCTCACCCTCTCTGAAGGACCTAAATAAAGAAGCAGGGCACACTATACGAAGTGGCATGCGGCCCTTTCCGGGGCGAGTAATCGTACCCAAAGTAGGTCATCAATCCGTCTCCATCCATGTTTCTCTTCGGACTAGAGTGCAGAGAGTCATTCATGTTAGCAAAACCCGCAATCAGGTTAGGAAATCTCCATGAGTTGGTGTCAACCTACACGGAGTTGGCTGCCGCCTGACAGCCCTTCACATACGTCTCAGCAGCATCGCCCATCCCCAGCTCCTTCAAGATGGCCGCGAAGTTCGCCACGGCGCCCCAATCGCTGCTCTGGTAGTTACTCCACGGACAGTACGGCCTAACCCTTACGACCCCGTCCTTCAGGGCTTTCGACAGCGTAATCGCCACCACTATGCCCTTGTGGAACGTGGCTGGAGTTTTCGGCTTCTTGTCCTGCTCCTCTTTCAAGCCGTCCTCCTCATCGATGACGTGGTGCCACCAACGATCAATGTCGCCCAGCATCTGCCGCGTCTGCTCGTCATCCAGCCTTCCGCCCCGCGTGACAAAGTATTTCACGCACGCGCGGCTCACATTGTCGATGCGCACGTACACCTTGATCCGCGCCGTCGCCGGGTCGCAGCAGTCGATGCCAACCATGTCCACGAAGTGCGGGTACTTACACTCCTTCAGAAACTCCTCCAGCTGAAGGATCTGGCCCTCGAGCTCTTGACCGTACGGCTCCAGCCCGCGGATCGTCTCCACCGCGAGGTCGTCGGTCGACCGGCCCGTGGCAAAGTGCTTGAAAACGGGTAGAAAGTACGCCTTGAACAGCGCTCTGGAGCCTTCAAGATCGTACCCCAGGAACACCTGGCACGGGATCTTGACGTCTGCGTGCTGCTTCATGGCCTCCTTCGCGGCCGCCGCGTCGGCGTGGTGGCGGTGCATCATCCACGCGTCGCGGAACTGGCGGAACCATCGAAGGTCAACGTCGGGGGAGTGCTTCTCCACGAGGGGGAGCACCTCATCGTCAAGGTTGCTGGACCCGAAGGGATCTTCCTCCGTGCCGGCGCGGGCGCCCATCGGTTGGAAGATGTAGCGGATGCTGCTGCCCTTCGGGGTGAACTTCCATGACATTTCAAAAGGAGAGCCGGCTGGCTTGAGAGCGTGCTGCACGACCGACGGGGGACCGAAGGAGGGGATCACGACGTCCCGCAGAATGGTCAGGTGACCGGCAATGTCGCTGTCGGAGTAGCATCCGGACGCGTTCAACCAGGAGAGCATGAAGGGCGCGAAGTGATCCCACCAGAAGCGGTGGTCTGAGTTAGTGGGTGGGCTAGGAATGCTGACGCGCAGCAGCGCGTCACCGCTCAGGGGGGAGTGTCCTGGCCTACCCGCCGCCGAAAAGCCATGCTCGCCGGCGCGGCCTGGGACAGAGGCAGTGGCTTGCATTGCTGTGGTGCTCAACCAAGCTTAGGGTTGGGGTTTACTTTGGGTTTGCGTGTGGCGAAGCTGCGGTCACAAGGAGGAAGAAAGTGTCTGGAGACGATGTTGTAGTGAACGCAAGTGTTTGCAGAGCGCTCTCACTTGCGGAAAAGACGAGAAAGGGGTGTGACTAGGTCGGATTTTGAATGGGTTACAATACAAGATACAATATATAGACACGCCTGTGTGCAATTCCCGCCATTTTATAACCTGTTCGGTATAAGAGTACTACGGCCGCTCGCATACCTCCATCAACTCTCTCGGTCTGTCCCCAACGGGAAATCACTGATGCTATTAGAGCAAGGATCCCGCTTCTTGCAGTGCGAAAATATTCTACCCAGTATGGAAAACCGATGAGAAAGTAAAGCAATTCGCACTCACCCAGTACGATATCATGCCCAGGTTCTCTGATCCGATGCGAAACTGAGGTTCCCATTGCCTCTTGCCAAGCCGGCCAAACAAGAGTCTTTTCGCTTGCAAAACTTTGGGGGACACAGGGCCAAAATAGCCTCAAAGAAATAAACTCAACGTTTGACGACATCGCCAGCGGCAAGTTGGCCGCTTTTGTCATTATTCCGTAGGCCGAGGAATCTATCCACAGAGTTCACGGTATCCGAGGGGCAAAGCATATTCCAAGTAGCAAACTGCCAAGCTGCTGTCGTGCTTCTCTGGGGTCTACTAACTACCTAGAGATTGACCAGTCCATGTGTTGCCGTCAGCGACACCCGGGTTACGATAGCAAGGTTTCGTTAACGGTCTGCCAGGAGCCGTTCCTGCACTGGCGGGAAACTATATCACAAAGTCCAATAAGATTAAGTGCTCAAACTTAAGAGACATAGTAGTCGAGGAGTCGGTGATTCGGAGTAGCACGCGCGGACCTACCGACTGCTATTAGATGTGAAACATTCAGAATGAGACTAGAGGTGGCTTGCGACGAAGCGAGAAAAAACCCATGACACATTCGATTCTGTCCAGCAAAAGGCTGGGAGAGGATTTAGCATTTATAGACGCTGGGGAGCAGATAGCAAACAACCCTGCTTCAGTTGCCTTCCCAGACGGTGAATCACAACATATGCCATTGCTCCTGAGGACCATCAACAAGGTTCAACCATTTTAATTCAGATACTTCCAATAATTGCAAACAGTTCGCGGCGCCACAATGTCCGCCCCAACCGTCATCGCTTCCGACGGGCCACCGGCTGGCCCTCCCACCAAGTCGCTATCCACTCTCCTCCCTCCCCGGATTCTCCCCCCTGGCGTCGAGCAGGACTTGTTCCACGTCTTCGCCCAGCGGGTTGTTTCCGTCGTCGGGCCCTCCAACCTCGAGATCATCACCGCGGACACGCCGCTGGAGAATGACGACTTCGGCGAGACCTGCTTCAAGTACGACCGCTACCGGTCCGCCGACAACGAGGCTCTCTTGGTCGGCTGCGCCGTCGTGCACCCGCGGCACGTCTCCGACGTCAAGGCCGTGCTCGCGCTCTGCAACTCCTTCAAAGTCCCGCTGTGGCCCATCTCCGCCGGCCGAAACCTCGCGTACGGGGGCGCGGCCCCACGCGTGCCCGGCAGCCTTGTCATGCGGCTGGGAACGCACATGAACCGGATCCTCGAGGTCGACACGGCGCACTTTACCTGCGTGGTGGAACCCGGGGTGACGTACCAGCAGCTGCACGACCACTTGAAGGAGAGGGGGCTGCTGGACAAGGTCAGGCTGGACACGCCCGAGGTGCCTTGGGGGAGCATGATTGGGAACGCGCTGGACCGGGGCGGGGGCGCGACGCCGTACGGGGACCACTGGGGCACGCACTCCGGGATGGAGGTTGTGATGCCGGACGGGGACGTGGTGAGGACAGGGATGGGGGCGATGAGCAGCCCGGAGGGAAGACGGGAGGCGGCGGAGGTGAGAACGGCCCCGGACCGGACTGCTTTCTTTTAAGCCGGTGCTAACACTCAAGTATCAGGGCGTATCCCCCGAGGACCAGACGCCGAATTCGTGCTGGTCACTCTTCCCGTACGGTTTTGGGCCCATCAACGACGGGCTGTTCAGCCAGGGCAGCATCGGCATCGTCACCAAGATGGGCTTCTGGGTAAGCCAAAACCACCCCTCCCCCAAAATATGAGATGCACAATTACGGCTAACACACCCTTAGCTGATGCCCAGCTTCCCCGGCGTCACCCCATTCATGGTGACGTACGCCCGCGACGAAGATATCCAAGCCGCCGTCGAGATCGTTGGCAAGTTGCGAATGCACCACGTACTCGCACATGCCTGCTCCATCCGATACGTCACGCTCGACGGGGCCTTCTACTCGTCGCGAGCGACCTACACCGACTCGTCCAAGGACGTCATCTTGACCAGGGAAGAACTCGACGCCATGTGCGCGCGCAACAAGCTCGGCCGGTGGAACTTCACCGGATGTGTGTATGGCCCGCCCAAGATACGCGAGCTCACCATGCAGCTCATCCGCGAGGAGATCACCAAGCCGGAGGGCAGCAAGCTGTACACGTTGGAGGATAGGACGGAGAGGCCGAGTATGCTGCATGCACGGGCACCGAACATGGAGGGCCTGTGCAACACGGATCAGCAGAATTGGCTCAAGCAGTGAGTGGGCGGGCTCTCGTATTGTGTGCTTGGGGGTCTTGAGGAGAACCCGGAAACTGACGGCTGACAATGAAATCTAACAGGTGGATGCCCAACGCCGCCCACATCCTCTTCATGCCCGTGTCCCGCATCGACGGCGGCTCTGCGATGGAGCAGTTCAAGCTGGCCAAGAAGCTCTTTGCCGAGTACAAGATGGATTATTTCGGGCACATGGTTATGTACCACCGGGACATGCGTACGCTTCCATCTTCCATCGTCCCCCCTTGTCACCTCCCAGACACTGACACTCCGAGAACAGACAACGTCTCCTGCATCGTCTACGACTCCGAGGACGTTGCCATGCGGGGCCGTGCCTGGGCACTGGCCCGTCGCCTGATCGATGAGTGGCAGGCGCACGGCTGGGGTGAGATGCGCACGCACATCGGGCTGCACGACCAAGTGGCGGCGTCGTACGACTTCAATGATCGGGCGATGCTGCGGCTGAATGAGAAGGTGAAGTCAATTTTTGACCCGAACGGGATCATTGCGCCGGGTAAGAGCGGGATCTGGCCACAGGGATATGATAGGAGCAGGTGGCTGATGGGTAAGGAGTACATTCACGGGTTTCCTGGGGTGGAGGCGGATGTGTTCGAGAAGGCCAAGGCGGGTGCGCATGCGACGAACGGTAGCAAGTTGAAGTGATTATGTGTAGCGGATAGGGTGTTTAAAGAGCAGTTCGTGAGCAGTTCGTGAGAGGGTTCTCGCTCGTTTTGTGTACAGGAAACGTATTCATCTCGTTTATGTAGGGTGCAATTCTACTTGTTAGGCAATGTCCATGTCAAGTTCAACTTATCCCACCGGGTCTTCATTAACAGTGACTGAGTTAATGCAACTGCTAACTTGGTTAATACTTTTCTTTCTCTTCTAGCACCCAAGTCTACATATAGAGTAAACGCTTTATAGGTATGATAGGTATGAGTTCTGGGAACGAGACAGGAGATAGAAAGTATGTCTGTCTATGTCCAATTCTCGTGAACCATTTGTTCCTAATGGAGAGTGTCTTATACTTGAGTTGTTTCAACTTGTTATTTTTATTTAACAGTATCCCTATTACTCAACATCTCACAAAGACTGCGAAGGAACAAGGCGGCATCCGACGTACCAGACGCATTTGGTGGGCGCCGCATATAATCAGCAGTGAAATGACTGTGTCCAGCCAAAACCTACTTTGCATCCGGTCCCTTCACCACCAGACACCCCGTCGTCCTGCCGGTCCTCAACTTCTCATACGCCTTTGGGGCGTCTTCAAACTTGTACGTCTCCGACACCACCGCCCTGATGTCCCCGTCGGCCGCCCACCTCCCCAGCGTCACCAGATCCGCATGCTTTGTCTGCATCCCCATGAACTGCCACTTTCGGCTACCGCCCCCCAGCCGGGACGGCCGCAGAGCCCTCCCTGCCGTGCTCATCATGTCCCGCAGCGTCAGCCCCGCGCCCACCTGCACGAAGCGGCCCGCCGGCAAAAGGTACTCGTCGGCGGCCTTGTACAGGTCCGGCGGCTCGCGCCCGACGTTGTCCAGGGCGAGCTTGAACTTGGGGCCCTTGGCCTTGAGCGCCTCGCTGACGTCCACCTCGGTGTAGTCCAGCACCTCGTCCGCCCCCAACGAGCGACACAGCTCCGCGTTGCGCCCCGAGCAGCTGGCCACCACGCGACACCCCAGCGTGCGGGCGATCTGGATCGCGAACGTGCCCACCCCGCCGCTGCCGCCGTTGATGAAGACCCAGTCGCCCGGCGCGACGTGCGGGTTGATGGCTTGGTAGGCCGTCTGCGCCGCCACGCCCAGACAAGCTGCGCTGTCGAGCGTGAGCGCGCCCGCCGGGGACGGCACGGGCGCGCAGCCGTCTCGAGTGGCCACGACGTACTCGCCGAGCGAGCCGTGGCGCCTGGCCGGTGACGCCCAGCCGTAGACGGGCTGGCCGACGGTGAACTCGCCGGCGTCCCTGATGGCGTCGCCCAATCCGGTGATGGTGCCAGAAAAGTCGGTGCCGGGCGTGGCGGGCAGCGAGACGGCCAGCCGCCAGAGCAGGCCGAGCCCCTCGGGGAACTTGTAGTCGGCCGGGTTGGGCGACATGGCGTGGACCTTGACGAGAATGTCTTCGGGGCCGAGGGCAGGAGGCAGGGGAGCGTCGGCGACAAGGCGCATGCGGGCTTCCAGGCCGCCCGCGACAGAGTCGTAGAGCCAGGCCTGCATGGTGTTGATGTTGATGAGGGAAGGGGTGAGAATGGAATCAAGTTTGTTGCGGCGCAAGTTGGGAGCAAAGCTCAGCCCGGCGGAAGCAAGACGTGAGAATCTAGCAAAAGCTGTGAGGTTCACCTCTGCAGCGGACAAACATCTTGGGTGGGTGGTTCACGATGGGTATGTGCATGGCCACGCCCTAACAAGATAAGTCGGCACTCACCAGACAAACATCCAGCATCGGCAAATATGCCGTAACTGGAACCGTAACCGCACAGCTCGACTGATCTCACGGCACTGGCTCCGACATTCTTCGTTGCCGGCTGACGTATGTTTGAGCCCGGAGCTCGGAGCACTCATGGGCAAAACATACGCAACCGCCACACATCACACACACACACACACACACACACACACACACACACACACACACACACACACACACACACACACATACACACACACGCGCGCGCGCGCGCGCGCGCGCTTCCAAAGCTTGCACTTCCCCATCCTGCAGTCCGTCATCCCAAACTATAAAGGTGGTAGGGCTGCTCCGCCGTGCCGATCTGTAAACATCAGACAAACCTTACGTGAACCTCGACTCGTCCCAACACCTTTTGACGTTGTCAAACCGTCCCATGATACAGCACACCACCCGCCCAGACCGCCCAGAGCTTCGCCGACTCAGCCCTTCCCCCACATTGTATTACCTTTTCTCGAGTCTCACAGTAGCACCCTTCGGTTAACAATTCCGTCGTACCATTGTACCAGGCAAAAGTAAAACCCCTGTTCAAGTATCTCTCACTTGTGTTGGCAGTCCAGTACATTACCGGAATACCTGGCCGAGGGTGTTTACTCACCCTTGAGACTCTAGCACGCCCGGGCCGGTCACGGGCTCGGACGTGTCCGGCCGCAGACCTTGAACGATATTTCGTTGATTTCCAGTGTGCATGGATGTCGTTTGTTGGCTGCGCATTGTAAACAACTTCATGCAAGTCTGGTCTAACAGAGGCATCTTGTCAACTTGAAGTGGCAAACCTCACGAGCAACTCCCGCATCCTTCGGACTGCCCCCCTTCGCCAAGACATCCGCCGCGACCTGGCACGAAAGCAGATTGCCGGACGAGTGCCGGACCATGACACCGGCAGATACATGGGGGTTTTCGGCATCATTGTCTGAACACCAGAGAAAGTGAAGTAGAAGATGGGGTAGATGGAGCAGTTGTGGACGGAGGTGGGCAGAGAGGGATGGATGGAGGTGTTTTTTCACTGCACTTGACATGTACAATTTGACTCCCAGAAAACAGTAGTTGCCAGAGCTTTTCTTTTTTTGTGTGTGTATGTGGCAGATAGTGAATAACATGTGTCAACTATGGTCACATTCTATGGACACATAGAGTTTAACAGTCAAGGTGACGAGGTTTACGCGGTCCTACAGAGGTGCTCCGCCATCAATGCCGATTACTTTGCCGTTGATCCATCCCCCGTCGTGGCTCGCCAAGAAGCAAACCACGCGAGCCACATCAATCGGCAACCCAACCCGATGAAGCGGCGACATGGACGCCACGGCCTCATCGACCTGCGCGTCCGTCAATTTCTCTCCTCCGGGAATATACTTGCGCGCGTTCACGTGGTACATGTCGCTTTTGATGCCACCGGGGGCGACGCAGTTCACTGTGATCTTTTTGTCGGCGCAATCTGAGAACGTGCGAGGATCAGTAGCCGCGGCAGAGACGAAGGTTCTGAAGCAATAGGCAAGGAAACGACAGAGAATGAGAAAGAGTGATGAAGAGTGAGAAAAAAAAGAGAGAGAGAGAGGGGGGGGGGGGGGGGGGGAGAGAGAGAGACAGAGAGAGAAAATACAGGAGAAAGAGAACATATGCCATGCCACGCCATGTCGAGAACGTCAAAAGGCAAACAAACTCACCAACGGCCATCCCCCTCACCAATCCCTCCACTGCCGCCTTGCTCCCGTTGTATAACGCATGCCTCTTCACGCCCTTGGCCTGCGCCGTGATGCTACCCATCAGGATCAAGCGGCCCCCGTGTTCCAAAGCCTTGTACGCCTCCTGGGCAACGAAGAACTGGCCCCGCACGTTGAGCCCGAACACGCGGTCGAACTCCTCGGGAGCGACCTCGGACAGATGCCCGAAGGAGACCACCCCGCTGTTGGAAACGACAATGTCGAGCCTGCCAAACGCGGCCCGGGCCTCGGCGAAGAGACGGACGATTTGCGGGATGGACGAAACGTCGGCCTGGACGGCGACGGCTTGGGTCGGGACTGCGTGCAGCATGGAGACGACTTCGGCGGCGTGCGAGGCCGAGTGCGCGAAGTTGACGATGACGGACGCACCGCGGCGGCCGAGCTCGAGGGCGATTTCGCGGCCGATGCCGCGGCCTGCATCCCGAAGGGGTTGTCATCAGCCATGCTAGATTTCGTCTCGGGGGGACGGTTTTGTCCCCGAGGGAAGGGGGAAGAAGGAGTGTAAGCGGGGAGACGGGAAGGATTTCGGGGGAACGGGCCGTACCGGCTCCCGTCACTAGGGCGACTTTGCCCGTCAACGAGGCAGCTTCCGGGCCCAACGGGCCGGGGATCTCATCGTAATTCACAGTCGTAGAAGAGTCAATCTGAGCCATGTTGGTCAACAACAGTCGAGGACGGGTGGAATGGTTAGCAGTTCTGGGATAAGCGGAGAGCAAAAGGATGGGCTCTCGTGGTTGGGATATACGATGTACGTGGTACATACGCGAGCGGCTGCAGCGCGATACTCCGGCCTAGAAGAATCACAGCATTCTCCGACATCGATACCAAGCCTCCAATAATTACGCTAAACCAGACAACTGACAATTCACAAACCTTCGAGGAGAGAGCATCCCCTACGTCGAGAACGTTAGCGCACTTGTTTCAGCTGCTACCGTGACCCTTACTCCCACAGCAAGCTTCCGCTTCTCTTACTGCACTAGGAGTGCGATGCTCGCGAGATAATGACGCACAAGGCCATGTTTGTGAGTCGTTATGGAAACTAAATCTTGCGAGGTCCAGCTGTAGTCTGCAAGCGGCACTCGTGGTGGTGAATCAGAGAGAGCTAGGGCGTTCAGACCGGGCTCTTAGTCTGCAGTTGCGGAGGAAACGAACGGATGAGCCTATGAGGCTTGTAGGCACACCGAGGGGGTGAGAGTAGGACCGCGGCCGTGGTGCGAGAGCTTTTCCGACATCGAGATGGCACGAGGTTGGTGTCGAGGCCGGGCTTGCCGAGTCGCCTCGGCAAGTTTATGATGCATAACGGCGGTGATCCAACGCACAACCTCTGTAATGGTGTAGACCAAATAGCTTAACAAAAAGTCTTTTTTTATTTTTTAATTCGCTACACCCTTGTTCTCAGCCATGGTCCGTTCCCCCGTGAGCCTCCTCCTGATTCGAAGCATCACCACCACCACCACCACCAAGAACGGCATGGGCACAGTGACCGTACTGTACGACAAACACACCCTCCAGATCTCGACACCTTCAACTGAAGTGAGGAGGCGCAATCCCAGCTTCTGGGGTATTTTAAGCAGGGTTGTAGCAATACCCTTTTCGGTATGCTACTCGCCAGGGAGATATTCCGCGTTGCCGGACGAGATAGCTGGCCATGACAGGCCGACTGCTTTGCCACCTTACGGCCAACCACAATGAGCGAGGAGACCGGTATGGAACGGTACAAAGTCCACTACGACGAGGACGGCGACAGGGGTTTCGGATTGTAAAGATCTGGCACTTGGGTCTGCGTGCGAAATTCGTGATTGAGGTCGAGCTGACCGACTGAGGAGTTTGGTCTGGGTTATATTGGACGCAGGAGAATACAATGTTGGACGTGTTCCGTAGCAACGACGTGAGAAGAGTGCCCGTGGAACAAACACGGATAATAGATCTGAAGAAAGAATTCTTGAGTATCGTGCTGTCAGATGGTATCTTATGGGCACCATGGGCCCCGTTGTACGGTCTGCGTTAGGTGTATCTAAATATACGAAGAATACAACAACCATCTCTACAATTGTGATGCTCCTAACTCAGACCATCTGATTGGTCAGTTGATATGGTGTAGAGAAGTTATAGTCTCTCCCTAGCTCTAATGGCTCTCTACATCTTTTGTCAAGTCAAGGAGTGTAACTAGAGCAAAGAGTCTCCTTTTTAATGGATAGCATTGGCTGTATTCGGGATTTACGTACAGGCCCGTTGTGGATTCTGTAAAAGACGAACTTGTTCCTGATTGGATCTGGTCCTCGACGCGTTCCGCGTGTCTGTTTTCCAGGACATTATTAAGCATGATGGGAGTCTGTAGTACGAAATACGAAAAAGAGACCGAGAACGGAGAGGCGGGAAATCCATCTCAGTCTCAACAGGTCAATCCGTGACTATATCCTTCAGACCGTGAGCATGACGCATCACTCACTGGTCGTGCAGAGTCCATATATACCGGGTTCGCCACAGCTTGAAGCCCCTCTGCCACGAACGATGCTAGTTGCGATACGAACGGTTGTCTCTGTGAGGCCTCTTGGTCAGCACGGGGTCGAGCGATTCATGTGAGAAAGAAGTATGGGTAGGATTCGCAAGTTTACCATTAACGAAAAGTGATGCGCCCCGTCCACTTTGTGGCACACAATCTCCGCGCCAGGAAGAAGCTCCGCCCACCCGTTCGGCCCAAAGTCCGTCCTCTGCACCGTCAAGAACTTCATGCCCTCCGTATCATCCGGATGCGGCGGCAGCGGCGGCGCCCCCGGCCGATCCACCACGCTCTCCCCGGCCCAAATCACGTCCACCCTCAGCTCCTCCCCCGGAGACTTGGCCAGGGGCGTGGCACAATACTTCTCCAGCACCCCAATCGTCCCCTCAAAATGGGGGATCAACCAGGCCGGCACCGCGCCGCCGCCGCCACCGACCTTGCCCTCCCCCCAACCCCCCAAGATCCCCAAGCTCTCGCAGTACTCAAAGAAGTGCTTCGGCAGCCTGTCCATCCCGTCGAGAGGCACCGGCGCATCAATCAGTACCAGCCCCGCCACCCGGCACCCTCTCTCGCGCAGCATCTGTGCCGCCCGGAACGCCAGCGACCCGCCGGCGGACCAGCCGCCGAGCACGTATCCCCTGCGAGAAGAAGGCGGCTGCCGCCGGAGGATCTCGGGCAGGTAGCCCTCGCCCAGCAGCCGGTCGAGCGGCACGCGCGCCATGGCAGCTGTATCGCCGCGCAGAAACGGGCAGACGAGGCCGATGACGCAGACGTCGCGACCGACGTGCGGGAGGGAGGCGTACGAGGCGGCGCTGCCGGAACCGTCGGGCAAGAGAAAGAGGAGTGTGTGCGCGGTCTTGGGGAAGCCCTGGAGGACCACGGACTTGCACGGCGGGATGGGGATGTCCTGTGCGCCCCTGTCGGCGGTGCTTGGGAGGTCATCGAAGCTCCAGGGTGTCACGACGATGCCGTTTTTCGACGTCGCAGGCGATGCTTCCTCCGACCGGGCCTCCGCTGTGCTACTCGAGTCTTCACTTTTCCTACTCCGAGGGGCGCTCTGGCTCTGTGCTGAGGATGAAGACGGCCATTTCCTGCTCAGATCGTCCGGCGACACCGGGCTCGGCGGGAACACTCCCGGGCCGGCCCTCTCCCCCTTCGTCTCTATGCTCAGCGCCATCGTCCGCGGCTTCGGCGTCTGCATCGGACTCCATAACACGGCCGTCTGCGGCGTCCCGGGCGACGTGGCGGCTGTCTGTGGCGACCTGGGTGCCAGCGCAGAGGCCGTCCTGGTCTCCTGGCTCAGCAGACTGCTAAAAACGCGGCGTGGGAACGCGTGGACGGAATACTGCAGAAACGCAGCCACGATATTATCCTCCTGTAGCACGATAATATCGCCCACCCACTTCCGCGTCCGGTCCACCTGCTGCATACGCACGTATACTGTATACTCTTGCTTTATATCAATAGCCTCGAACAGGAACATCTCATCCCAACCGTGATTAATATACACGGTATGGGCTAGGTCGGTCGCGTCATCGAGATTAAGGCAGAACCCAGCCGGCTGGGTGAAGGCGTCTACTACGGCCGGGTTAGCAGTAAAGTCGCCGTGACTAGCAAGGTCGGCGGGGAAGCCGACGACGGCAGCGATCTCGTGCGTGCGCGGGTCGAGCACGAGAGATCGGACCAGCCGGTGGTTGCGGTGGAAATCAGCCAGGGAGGAGACTAGCCGGTAGGCCATGTCGCCCGAGATCCGCGTGGTGCCGGCGCGGGCACGCAGGGAGGACACGTTCATGCGGTGGGATTCGCCCGAGGAGTATTGTGAGAGGAGGGCCCGGACGGAGCCGTCGGTAATGCGGACGGTGCACTCGGCATGCTGTTGAGGCTTACCGGAAGGCTGTCATATACATCCACATCCGGTCAGACTCGGTGTATCAGAACGCTAACGGGAGATCAGGTAGTAGGGACAACTCACGCTCACGACGGCGAACTTGCACCGCGCGGACTGGGTAGGCCAGTCGGCTTGGGCGTGGCATTGCAGCAGCTGCGACCCCGGACCGTTGTCTCCAGCAACCAAGGCCTTGCTGACGCCCATGTCGGCAACGGTGACAAGGTAGTCCGGCGTATGATCCGGCCTCCCCGGCGCACCGAACGTGCGTTTGCTGTGGCGGGACCGCAGCTTCTGCACCATGTAATTGCCCAACGCCATGGCGATGTCGGCAAAGACGGACTAACGATCGTCCATGTCAGTGTCGCTTGTCTGTCGGCCTAGCTTGGGACCGTGGAGGCACACTCACCGGCGTACACAGCCGCTTCCCCTCTACCAGATGCCCCTGTACCGCTTCCCTCAGATCCAGCCTCGCCAGATCCGCCTCTGTGACCACGTACAGCCCGTCTCCCATCATCAATTCCATCTCCGTCACGACGCGGTGGACTGTCGTGCTCTCCAGACGGTGGCTTTTCAATGTGCGCGGTCTCCGCGGCCCCTTTTTGGCCTTCCTCAGCGCCACGGCGATGGATTGCTCTGCGGACGAAGCCATCGGGACAACATCCAGCAACGGGGTGCCGCGCTGATCCGTCTTGACATGCTCGCAAACCCATTGTAGCACGAGGTCCCAGCGAAGCGGTCGCTGAAGCATATCCTCGACGGCGGTGCGCATCAGCGAGGCGAAGTTGCCGGCTTCGTCCGGGGGCTTGCCTGCCGAGGCGGAAATCACCGTCAGTCGGGCGGGCTTGCTCGCCTCCGTCGGGCCCAGACACTCCAGCAAGTCGGCGACGTCCCCCTCCGTGTAGAGCGACGGACTGTGAAACGGCCCGAATATCGGTATCGGCGCCGCCCTTACCCCCGGCACCGCCAGCTCATCAGAGTCCACCAGCTCCGCCAGTGCCTCCGGCGGCCCCGACACGGTCACCGAGCTTGGCGTCCATGCGCTCACCCAGTACGACCTCATCCTCGCCGCCTTGGCTCTGCCGTTGGTCTGCTCCCCGTGCGCCCAGCTTCTTCTCGTACCCGCACCCTCGCCGCTCCCGGACTGCTCCAGGAAGACCCGCAACCCCTGGAGCGTCCGCTCCTCCGCCGTCGACACCGCCATGCTCCAGGACTGCTCGGTCCCTGACGCCGGCGCCACCTCCCGCGCCGCCCGTTCAACCATCAGGCCCACCCGGAAGGCCACCCGGACTGCCTCCACGCCCAGCGGGACCAGCTCCGCCAGGTCGGCGCTGCAGCCCACCGCTACGGCGGCCAGCGCGCCGGTGCAGGCACCCACGACGATTGCGTCTGCATAGTCTTTGGCTGACGAAGGGGGGCCGACATGCCGCATGAACAGCAGCACCTGGTACGCGACCAGCAGCGCCATGTCCAGAGGCAGGCAGCGGCGGGTATCGTCGCTGCGGAAACGCCACTTCGACAGCAGATCGGCCAGCGTGCCGGGGAGCCGTGCGTGGTCGGCCTTGGCAGGATCGATGAGCCGAGCCATGTCGTGCTGGAGGGCGATCTCGCAGCGGTGGATGAAGAGGGACATAGGGGACAAGGGATTAGGGGAAGGGGACTGGAAGGCTTCGTCATCCAGCAGGTGCCGGAGGTCGCGTTTGGGGACGGTGTAGGCTTGGTCGCCGAAGACGAAGAACGTAGGTGGCGGCTTGGAAAGAAAGGAGGAGAAGGCCATAGTGTTAGTTGTACTGGTGATGGTATCAGTTATCCTGAGTCTGTCGACTGTCTGCAGTTGAGCGATGTTCTGTTGTATCCATACGCAAGTTGCTATCGACACTTGCTGCGAACTTGTACTAGAACCAAGAGCGGCTCCTGTCGAGATGGTTAATAAAGCGTATCTCTTGTCATCTTACAGCGGCAAACCGAACTTACAGCCTCGCAAACTAGACTAGACTCGTACCTAAAAGCACCCCTTATTCAACATGATGCAGCATAGCTGCCTTGCAATATAACTAAAGTCGTACGTAAAATGCGAGGTCATACGTAATTCAATAACAGAATAACCCTCCTCTAATTACTATCATCAGTAGAGGAATCGTAGACACTAATTATTGTAATAACCTCATAAGGGTATTATCAACATAGTTGCACCATCTTCACAAATAGAGTTAAATAAGCGCTTGGAGAGTTTTAATTTTAATCTGAGTTGGTGGGCGAGGACTGTGCGAAGCTTAAAATGCAGACTTAAGTTGCCCATTGAGCGGAATGCCACACTCCTAGCTAGGCATGAGGTACAGAAATATGGTCGTGATGTGGATCAGCTCAATGTCGTTTTTTTGAGGCTGCCTATCGAGAAGGCTAGAGTTCTCCTGGCCTTGCAGCTGAATCCTGATACTGATTCCAGCCCGGCTCCCGGAAGGTGCTGGGGACCACCGTTCCGGCGGAATGCTCCGCGAGCTCCGGGAGCTCCGCGAAATGCATAACCTTCCGCCAGATGCTGGCAAAGAGCCTGGCTGGCGACGGGTGCCGGCTCTCCTACAGGGAGAGGTGGGCTTCGCGCCAGCCTACTCGCTGGGCCAAAAGCTTACCTGAGGCTCTGCAAGGACTACTACTATGTGTACACCACGGCCACCACCTCTTGGCCTCGCTTGAGTAGGGTTAAACTCAGATTTCAGCAACCACCAGTCTTTTTATTTACTTGTATCATACCATTGAGTCGTACTTGCGTCAATATAACCTTTTGTATCGCATATGAGAAACACCCAACGGTCAACGCTCATACCAAGCATGCCAATCAGAGGGGACCCTCGGGAAACTCGTTGCGAGAATCCGAGCGAGATATTGCCATCAACCACCCACACCGACGAACCTGTAAGAAAGTTTCGGTCAGCGCTTGTCTTGTAGCCGGATTTAGGTCCGATTCGCAGGGCGGAGTGCAATAGAGATCATCCTTTTTACTCAAAGTGTAACGACGTTCGCAGGGTACGTATAATTCAGGCGTTACACCAGATGAACTATAGTGGAATTTTTGATCAACGTTACTTAAAGTCTATTTTTTTATCTTTGGACTTTAAGTCTGTGAGCCGTTCGCCTCATAAGGTTTTCCTCGATTGCGTGTTAGTGGCTACGGAGTAGAGCCTTCTCATGTCTGCGTGTGGGCTGTGAACCTCGCACACCGGACGACCCCAAACGTTCCCCGGATGGCTACTCCGACTTGGCTGCTCAAATGGGATACTATAGCGACCATGGGATGCGCATCCACCTCGGTATGGTTTGTTGAAGACACTTCCAAGAGACTTTTTAGATCACTGAGGTATTCGTCTGATTTTATCAGGGGTTTCCAACTGAAGATGAGGCAATGTCAAGTTAGAGCCCCCGAGCTTATAAGTGATGTCCTCTCCTGCCAGGAGTACGGCAGTTATGGTATTTCTGATGGCTAAGAGTTTTCTTTCATCATCGTGCCAAAAATGGATTACATCAAAACAAACCCCCTTTATGTCGGAGGCGCGGTCTTATGTGTGGTGCTGGCTACAGTTCGTCATTCTGACAAACCCGCAACGTACGCATACGCATTGAGCGACCAGCAGCTGACAGAAAATATCAGTACGTTTATGCCGGCCTCTCAAGTCCCCTTTCTCACGTGCCGGGCCCGTGGTACACAAGATACACCACGCTGGTATCCACGTACTATGTCATTACTGCACACCACCCTAAATGGGTGCACTCACTACACGCGAAGTACGGCCCTATAGTTCGCTTCAGCCCGCACGAGGTTGACATCTCTGACCCGCCGACATGTCAACAAATCCATAGCATCAAGGGCGGGTTTCTAAAGTCGCCCTTCTACTCACTCCTCATTACTAACTCCTCAAATATCTTTAATGAGATCCGCGTGGAGACCCATCGTAAGTATAAGCGTCTCTTGTCTAACCCCATGTCCGAGACGGGTCTAAAGACATTCTTGCCTCGGATTGATAATAAGGTGCGCCTTACTGTTGAGTGTATCCGTGAGGAAAATGAGACTCGCGGTGCTGCGGATATTGCCAAGTGGTTCATGTTTTTATCGTTTGATATTATCGGCGACCTGGTTTTTGGTGAGGGATTTGGCCAGCTTGAGAGTGGTGTGGTGAGTAATGTCTGGCTCGTTTTAGCTTTCAGAAGTGAACTAATGAGGGGTTCTAAGGAAAACCAATCTGTCAACGACTTCAGCAGTCTCGGCTTTGTCGGTGGCCTACGCTCAATGTTCCCGACGATTTCCTGGTTGTCTCTATACCTGCCTATCCCCGTCTTCAGAAACGCCACTAAGATCCAGTACCGGACCTTTGACTACGCCCAAAGGGCGCTGGATCGCCATGCTAAGCGCGTTGAAGAGGTTGGTGAAGATGTAAAGCCGACCGTATTTTCCAAACTCTATACGGCCGGGGCCGCGGAGACCTGGACGCCAATTGAGGTCCGCGACAATGCCCAGCTTTTTATTGTTGGAGGCAGTGATACAACGGCCAACACGCTAATCTATCTCATATGGACGGTGTGCAAGATCCCGGACGTTAAGAAGAGGCTCCTCGAGGAGCTAGAAACACTATCGGAGGACTTTGGCTATGACGAACTCAAGGAGATGCTGTACTTGAACTGCGTTATCCAGGAGACTCTACGATTGTATACTACACTTCCCTGTGGACTGCCCAGAGTTGTTCCTGCCGGAGGCTCGAAACTTGCGGACTACTTTATCCCTGAGGGTATGACGGTCACGACGCAGGCGTACAGCTTGCACCGCGACGAAAACGCTTTCCCCAACCCGTATCAGTTTTATCCTGAGCGCTGGGAACACATCACTCAGGAAATGAAGGATTGCAATATGGCGTTCGGTAGAGGATCGAGGGGTAAGTGCTTATCTAATCCCTAAAGTAGAAGTTGCATAGTTCTGACGTTCAAGTCCAGCGTGCGTGGGAAGTTATTTGGCTTGGATCGAGCTTCGCTTGATCACTGCCCGATTTTTCCGCAACTTCCCTAATGCGACTGTCTCTGAGTTGGAGGGAATGTGTGACAAGGACATGGAGCCTGCCCTGCACTTCCTCATGGCACCTAGTGGTCACAGATGTTTGATTAAGCTCAATGGCTGAATCCTGTATATAATGTTCGCTTGAAACTATCAGGCTGGCTAGCATTGGCAGTAATTTCAAAAGACTCGATTGTCATCTTAACATACCAAATAGTGAAACAAACATATACCCTTGAAGTAAACAAGGTGTAAGTGTCTTTGCATAACGAGCTGAAGAATTGTTTTTATCTAGGCTAGTATTCTTTTTAATGTCTAGAGTTTTGAGTAGAAATTATTTAGGTACTGAAACAGGTGCTGGGCCCATGGCAAACTATGAACCACAACACACCCAACCTACACAAACTACTTAACTCTTGGGTAGCGCACGTAGGTAGCGAATTGCCAATTCGCAGCCACGGGCCCTGGAACAAAGGAAATAATGTTTTCCCGATAGCTGCCGGTATTCGCAGACCTAAACAGAAGAAACGAACAACGAAAAGGCCCTAGATTTAACTGTTCAATTGGGAATCCAATAATGAGGCTATTAATAAGTTTAGATTTTAAGGGTAGGTTCATAAGTTTGTTAACAGATTCCTAACTATAAACGATTAGAAATTAAGTATTAACCATTTGAGTTTCCTTCTTTTAAAGAGATTATTGATTAATCTCTATATTATTTAAGATTGTTTTAATAGCTAGTTTAAAGAAGTAGGGCTTTCTTTAAAACTTATTAAGGTAATAAAAGGTATAATAAAAGTTTTTATTATTCTATAAAATCTTTTCCTATAGAATAAGAAGTTACTTAAATAGCTATTCGAGGTGGTAGAAGTAGCAGAGAAGTCTTTACTTCTTACTAGAGTTAAAGACGAAGTTGCTAATTATATTTACGACAACATAGTCAAAAATTAGATTATTGACATGGCGGTTGCTTCTGAGAATTCGTTACATCTTCCTACTACTGGCGAAGTCAACTGCTGTGAATATAATAATGACATACGCTTTTAGAAACGAGTCTCCTACGAACTTGGGTCCAAAGGGCTGTAGCTTTTCTTCGTTCTATCACCGCTATTTCTGATACGACCACCTTTTACCAAACACGCATTTTCATGACAAGACCCGCCAAACTTCAATGTACAGCAACATACTGTTGAGGTCTCCAATCATGCATCAGCGGTCGGAAAGTGAGACGGCGAGCAGGATTCATATTAAGGAAATAGAGCTACCTTTCTCACCACAAAAGGCATAGGACAAGGCCTTGGATACTTTCGTTAACGCTCTTTTGCCTGGTACAACGATTTGAACAATCACTCAGTTCTGGCAGTTTTTTTTACTCACGTCTCTCGTCAATTCATTTATGACCGCTCTTTCAATTTTCGTCAAAGTCTTAGCGATGTTGGAGATATTTTGTGTACAGGCAGAGGTAGTCTTGGTTGCTTCATTGGAAAAATGACTGTGCTGTGGGCTTTAAGTTGAAGGCTGCTCCTTCAGCTGGGTTCGTGGCTCCAATGCGGATGATGGAGTTGGCAAAGCCTAAGTAACTGGATCTTGGAGCATAGACTACGGGATCGCAAGGTACCAAAATGCGACCAAAGTGGAGAGGACTTCTCTGGGAGTGACGTTCATTTCTGGCACTGGGGTCAACTATTTCATACCATCTGCTTTAGGGGTATTTTTAAAACTGCTTGTTGAGCAGCACCATTATCATTCACTGCAAGTGCCTTACTCTCGAGGGCTATCCTCCTCCTTCACCCACGCCTTTTCTCGCCTTTGGAATAATCATTTTCATTATGAATGGCATTTTGTTACAGCATTCATATGATACAGCGGGTGTGAGTCTCACATTGACTAGTCTAAACACGAACAAGACCCCAGCGACTTCATAGCATTGCAAGTAATCAAACCCAAATCTATTCAGAATACACTAGGTGTACTACGAGCCTTTTCTGTCTGGTACAAGTAACGGATACTTAACCGCCGCACCAAAAGCAACCTTCTTGAACCACTCACTCACGGTCTTCTGCAGCCCCACCTGCTCAGCTGCAGCTGTCCAGGTTTCTACGTCCAGGCTCTGGACCTTTGATGCTGGATCACTACGAATGAATTCTCCCATCTCTTCCATGGATAAGTTCCGTCTGCCGATCTGATGCCTGTAAACGATTCCTTGGGCCGGACCTTCCATAACTTCATGAACAAGTTTTTGGGCTATGTCTCCAGCCTCAACAAGATTCAATTGCCCCTGCAAACTAGGAAAAACGGGTACAGCCTGCAGAAGGCGTGAGTACTTGAGAAGATTTTGAAAGAGGTCAAACTGAGGGTCTTCGACGCGGTGAATGTTTGAGGGTCGGTGCACCCATACGGGGAGGCCGGTACGTTCGCTAACTCTTTCGAGAAATCTCTCGCTAGCCCATTTAGAAGCAGTGTAGCCATCTGAGTTGTCTGTAGGTGGCGGGAAAGGCGCGGCTGAGATCTCGTGGAATGTTTCCAGGCCAGTGTATAACGAAACGCCGGCCGTTGAGACGAAGTGGAAAGGTATTTGGCGTCTAAAGCTAAGAGCCTGACGAACTAGTTCCACAGTTGAGCCAAAATTGGCACTCTTGATGCTCCGATATGACTTCATGTGCGAGACATCTGCTCCATTGTGGATGATTGCATCTGCATCTGAAAACACTCTCTGAACTGCACTGTCGGAAAGGCCGAGTCGAGGGGCAGTAAGATCTCCCTCGTACACCTGAACCTTTCCAGAGGCCATGAACGGTTCAAGAGTATCTTTCTTGCGAACGGCAACGCAGTAGATGGTCGAAACCCTTTCGTCCCTGTTTAAGACGTGGAGTAGTGCTTTCCCCAAAAGTCCTGTTGCTCCCGTTAAGACAACAGACATAGTGGATTTGTTTTGCTGGGGAGTTTTGTCGGTTCGTTGCAGAAGGTTTCCTGAAAGGATGTTTTCAGGATCAGTCTCCATTTCCCAATCAATTTGCCCCTGTTCAACAAATTTCTGATCGACCAACAGGGCCATCTTGTCTAGAGTACTCGAGTCGAACAAAGCCACCAGTGGGAGATGGACTCCAAGTATTTCGCCAAGCTTCTTTTGCAATACGACAAGAAGAAGCGAGTTACCCCCAACATGGAAAAAGTCGGAGGATCTCAGAACCAAAGCGTCCGAACTAGATGGTAGCACCTGCAACCAGACATGCCGCAGTCGCAACTCAATCTCTGACCACGCATCGTTTTGTTCAGAAGTCGAAGCTTGAAGCTGGAAGTGAGTCCCGAAACCTTTCTCTGCTGCTACCCGGTCTATCTTTCCTGAGACACTTTTCGGAATTGATGCAACAGGCCGAATTATTCCAGGCTTCAAAGGTCGAGGTAAAGAGGCTCTTTGCAGAACACTATGAAGGAAGTCTTGTCGGAGGTGTTCAGGAAAGTTTTCGTCAAAAACTGCCAGAGCGACAAGCATATCGGAGACTGAACTGCCCTCCCTTTGCTCCAAAGCCTTGTGGTGGAATACCACTGTTTCAGCCAGCCTGCCTTCCCCTGCACGTAGAATGGCATCTTCGATATCGACGAGGTCAGCTCGATTGCCTCTGATTTTGATCTGTGTATCACCGGCAATTCTGCCTTCGACAATGAGTTGCCCGTCGGGAAGGATTCGACCGACGTCGCCAGTGCGGTGAGCGGATGTCCACCCCTGAGCTTCAAACTCTTTAGGGATATTCTTGTGTTGGAAGAATTTTTCTTGAGTAAGTGAGCTGTTTTCGAGGTATCCTACCGCAACTTTGGGACCTCCAACAAGTATCTCACCAGGCATGCCAATTGGCAGGGGTAGCAGATTTTCGTCAACGATGCAGATTGAGCAATTGGGAGCTGGAAATCCTGCCGGTATGCGACTTCCTGCGGGTTTCGAAGCGAGATCTTGATAAGGTAGTTCCCATCTTGTCGCGGAGCATGTTGTCTCAGTTGGGCCGTAGGCGTTATACACCTTCAGGCGCGGTGTTCCGAGTGATGCAAAGGCAGAAAGCAAGCTGGATGTGACCTGCTCTCCACCACACACTGCCCGACGCCAACTAGAGCGACCAAGGTCAGTGCCGGCAAAGTTTGTCCACGATAGATATTCTGAAGGTGTGGCACCAGTGAAGGTAATGCCATGCCTGCCCATAAGCCTGGTAATAAACGCAGCATCGCCACGATGGGCCCTCGGCACCATGTGCAACGATCCTCCGTAGGCGATGGCCGTAAATATTTGTGTTAAGGACATGTCAAATGTCAACGCACTTTGACACAAAACACGCTCTTTTTCAAAGTCGTAGCTTATTGAGGAGAATTCGACTTCGTGAACGAGGTTCTGGTGGGATAGGACAATGCCCTTCGGAGTGCCGGTGGACCCGCTTGTGTATAAAATTGCAGCCGGATCTTCAGGCTTGGTATGAAGTGTGCTTGGGGCTGCTTTTGGGCTTGTATTGACATCTTTGCAGGATGACACGTCGAGAACGGCCGTCTTGAAAGATTCAGCTGCCTCTAGGGACAGGCTATCCACAAGAACAAGACTCGGTCCGCAGTGTAACACGTTACTCTGGAGACGTGTCATAGGGCTGGCAAGGTCCAAAGGGAGATAAACACATCCAGCTTGCCATATAGCAAGTAAAGAGCACACCCAGTCTGCAGTTGGCTCCTGGAAGACCCCAACCACAGATCCGCGTGAGACTCCAAGCCCAAGAATGCCGCTCTTGATGGCGGCAATTCTGTCAGACATCTCTCTATAGGTTAGAATCGTACCATCACCCCCATTGATCGCAACACTGTCAGCATGATTAATCGAAATCTCAGCCACACGTTGAGCCAAAGTAGCAGGCCATCTTGTTGTTTTGATATCTCCTATTCCTTGTTAACCACTTATCCATTAATGAGTTCATCAACAACAACTTACCTTTTACCAAACTCATGTTTTTGAGTGAATCGAAGCTGAACAACGACGCTGAATCAATTTCTACGTTCTCAGCGTTAGGCTGCGCGAAGGACTCAACCAAATGCATGTAGCTCTTCATTAACAAGCCGCAATCTGCTTTACTGTAGAGGCTCTCTTGGACAGCTAGTCTGATGAACGTTTGCGAATTCTTAGAGTCGATGATATCTAGGCTCACATCGTAAGCAGCTCGTGCGCCTTGATAATAGCAAACATCGAGAACGCAATCGCCAAAACGCTGCGTCTCCTGTGCACCTTGTCGATAGTCGACGAAAGCCTGGAACACGGGGCTGTATTCTGCCGAGCGTGCGACCCCGAGTTTACTCAGCAGTAACCCGAAAGGAATGCCTGAGTGGGCCATGGCCTCTTGTGTTTTCTTCCGTGTATCACTTGCAACATCTCCGAATTTGTGCTGATGTGTTGATTTGAATCTTAGTGGCAACAGGTTGAGGTACATGCCAATGGAGTCAAGGGAATCATCGTCCAACCTATTACCGTCTGCAATACCGATGCAGAAATCGTCTACCTTGGCCATACGAGCAAGCATGATGCGAAAAACGGTTAGGTAGAAACAAAAATGTGTCACACCGAGCTGCCGACACTTTTCACGAACCATGGCAAAGACTGAAGGTTCTACCCGACTGTCGATCTCAATAGTGCGGTATTCTGTCAAGGGACGACGTCCATTTGCAGCGTTAGGAAGTTGCATGATCGGGAGCTCCCCGGAGAGATCAGAAAGCTCCGTCTCCCAGAAGTGAAGGGTGTCAGACCATTCTCCAGTGTCAGCCCTCAGACGCTGCCTTCGGGCAAAGTCCAGATATTGCAAAGGATGCTCAGACAAGGCTTCACCCCTGTAAATAGCTTCCAATTCCGCCAGAATGACTTGGAGACTGATTCCATCCATGTTGATGTGATGGAATCCTAGCAAGAGATGATGCTCAGTCGGGGAGCTAGATACGAGAACGATGCGGATAGTCTCTCCTCTGTGAAGCTGGTATGTATATCCGGCTAGGTCCTCGATGATAGCAGGCACCTCATCAACAGACGCAAAGACTTCCTCAAGATGCATTAGAGGGGTTTTCATCATCACTTGCGTGACCAAGCCGCCATTAGATTCCTGAATTGCTGTGCGGAGTCCTCCATGTCGCTCAGCAACGGTTTGAACGGCTATTGAAAGCTTGTTCACGTTCAAGGACCCAGTCAACTGATACGCTACTGTGTTGTTGAGCGTCGTAGGGTCTGACATGAGAGTATGAACGAACCAGAACATCTCTTGCCCAAATGAAAGAGGATAACGATCCAAATCCTGTTCAAAATCGTTGTCATCGCTGTAGGTAGGTGAAATACTGTGAGCTCTCCGTGCATCTACGTCGTCGTCTGGATCAAAGTCACTCGTTTGTTTTGAGGAGTCCGAGGCCGGTGATGAGATGGAACTTGAAGTGAATGTCGAGCTCTCAGGAGTTTTCTGATCCTCGGCGCCTAAGGAAGCCATTTCCAGACGTGGTACAATCTTTTTGTTGACTTTGGACAAGGCGAGGTCAATGATGCCCATGATAGTAATGCCGCCCATGATCTCAAGTGTTGAGATACTAATATCGAGGGCCTTGAGAAACCAGCTCCTCACTTCGACAGCTATTAAAGAATCAAAACCAAGCTGACTAGTGCTCGAACTAAGAAGTGCCGATTCCTTTTCCATCTGGGTAGCTGAAAGGCTCAAGATGCTCTGGAGCTTCTCAAGAAATGAACCTGAATGTACAAAATTAGTCATCCCTGAGTTTTCTTGCGATTGAGAGGAGATCTTACTTTTAATTGCGTCCTTGGCCTCCGTGACGGATGTAGCTGACATTAACTTTTCACGGGGGGTTTGTTGCGAATTGTTGTTGTTTCCCTTCCCTGAAAAAGTCTCGATGGGGCCGTGGATGATCAAATGAGATAGTCTAGGGTCGTCCGCCCAAAGGGGTTTGGTTGGGCTGTGAGCAGGGAATCGCTCGGCGCCAATAGTGATCTCGTGGTCCATGTTTGAATGACAAGGACTTGCCAAAATTGCCTCCGCAAACGCATGATGGAAGTCGTCCTCAGATATGCCCCTGAATCCGTTCTTTTGCAATTTCTCCCGCTGGGCCTGGCTGAGTTTATCAGATGCATAGCCAACCCCGACAACACGGCCGAGGTTGAGTACAGATGCGGGATTGCCCAGTTGCCTCCTCTGCAGAGCGAGACTTCTGACAAAAGAATTGGCTGCAGTATAGTTAGACTGTCCATGACTACCGAAAACGGCAGCAATGGAAGAGAAAAGAACCAAAAAATCCAATTGCTCATCATTCTCGATGAGAATCTTGTTCAAGTTGAGACTGCCATTGACCTTGGGTCTGGCAACTTTAGCCATCTTATCCGCATCCATGTCTCGTATAGACGCGTCATCTAGAACCATGGCACCTTGAGCAATCCCGGCAATTGGAGGAAGTGACTCTTTGATCTGCTTGTATGCTGCAGCAAGACTAGTCTTCTTCGTCGCATCACACGGAATTACTGTGACAGTGGCATCTTTCTCGTCGTTCATTGCCATAATCCAGTTCGAGTCAACATCGGGATTGCGGCTGCTCAGGACCAAGTTCCTCGCCCCTTTGCCGATAAGCCATTCGCTGAGCGACAGGCCCAAGCTACCGGTGAGACCCAGCAACCAGTATGTGCGGTCTGGTTTGATATATACCTGGGAATATGTTGGTACAACGCGTGCCATGGCATTGTGAATGCCGCCCCATTGAATAATCTTCCTATCTAGGTTAATCCTGTCTTCGCCGAAAGATCTCAGCGAAATGACGTCTAATGGCGAGGTTGGAATGCAGTGCGCAAGTTGGTAGGCATCTTCTAGCTGTCGGGATAATGAAACGACATCGTATGATGGATTAAAGTCATCATTTTTGTTGTCTGGGGTTACTCCTCTTGACTGGCCTCCGACGCCAAGGATTGGTCTTGAGTCGATAATGCAGGTAGACGGTGACAGGCACTCGCGAATAGTGGCACTGACTGAATCATCGAAGCGACCAGGCATAGACAGGTCCACGAAATAATCAATCGCCTTCCCAAGCTTGGCCCTCAAGATCCTTTTCGGCAATGATTGAGGTAGATAAATGGCCCCTTCTTCCAGAGATGTCGAAGTTGTAATAGTACGAATGCTCCGGCTTTTGGCGAGAGAAGTGACGGCCGAGATCAACTCTTTACTGGGATTGTGTAAGAGAAGGCGTTGATTATCATCAACAAAATCAAGCAAATATGTCGCTTGTAAAATAGAAGCCATTTGAGTTAGCAGGAGCGACGGGATGCAGTCTTCAGCAACACGTAAGACCGAACATTGAGATACTCTAACAGTTGAGGAGCAACTACGTGCCAGAGCCAGAACCAAGTTTTCACTGCCAACCAACTTTCCAAAGACAATGTACGCCTGGAAGAGTCCCGCGCCGCGTCTTCTGACAGGCACTGGAAATGCGGTGGAGTATTCGACTTTAAGATTGACGAATTTGGAGTGTGAGGAAACGCCTTTGTCGAAAGCGTAAAGTGCATCCTGTTCCAACCAACCATGTGGAGAAAGGCGGACAGAATCAACACCATTCTTGCGAGCGATGGGCCTTCGACTGGCATTGTACCTGTCATCTAGGGCGCGATTCGCCACCAAGCGTGGAATCAACAGATGTCCCTCTTTGTAAATAAGCTCACGCTCAAGAGACCACAGTGGCTGACTTGCAGAGCTTTCTCGGCTCAATTGAATGGCTGCCTCATATTCAAGCAAGTTCTCAGATATGACAAGTGCGTCTGGCATACTGCCATCTACAAAGTCAATTGATCTGAGGCGCGACTCTGGCGATTCCCAAAGGGCGGTGCGGAAGAAGCCGATAGTCATGTTGGCGCCCGGGCATGCGTCTTTCGCGTTCTGTGTAATCCAGACAGCCATGTTACAACATGCTAAGATATCCTTGAGGGCGCCGAGTCTTTTGTCAGTGATGTTCTCTATGACAGGCCCGTCAAGATCTGCAAGAGACAAAATCGTGGACCCCGAATGTTGTTCTTTGCTGAAGTCATCAAATGTCTGGATGCAGCGGACAGCCCTATAATGTGTCTCAAGACCTTCGTAAACCTTTATGACAAGTTGAGCAGTCGCTGCGGTTGCGCCTCCCACAATGACTAACTGGGGAAAAACGGACATATTTGTAAGAGGGTTGCGTAACAACTGCATTCTATCGTCTGTAGCCTGTGCAGATATAACTGAGAGAGGGAACGGGAGGCGGTCGAGATCCGGTGTGATGGAATCTATCTTCGAAAAACCACAGCGCTGAAGCAGTGAATCCCACTCCATTGGGCCGACACATGGCGAAAGCGATCGACCTTCGGCGTCACCAATCCACCACTGTGGAAGTGTTCCAAAGACAAATCCTAGTCGTATAGGATCGTTGTCCGTGATTTCTAACATTATGAGATAACCTCCCGGCTTAAGGAGCCTCCGAGCGTTTGAAAGTGTGTTCTCAAGGTTGGATGTGGCATGAAGCACTAGCGAGGCGACAACCAGATCGTAAGAATGGGCCTCGAAACCTTGAGCAACTACGTCGCATTCTGCATCGAGTTTCATAAAGTTCATCTTCTCAACGTAGTCTGAGAAGACATCACGTGCCTTCTCGAAGAATCCAATAGAAATATCTGTGAATGTGTAGGTCCCAAAGGTGGAGCCGATTTCCTCAAATATCGTCTTCGTTGCGCTTCCAGTACCCGCTCCTGTTCTCATATTAGTACATCGAAGTCTCGTCTGAGAGGGTCCCAGGACTTGCCTATTTCGAGAATGTTCATCGCTGGATATCTATGGGAAAGTTGCCCGACCATTCGAGCTAGATAAATGATGTAGCTTCGATTTGTCATTCCATGTGTGTAGTAATCGTCTAGGAGCCCGTCCCGTAGTAGATACTCAAGCATCGTACCGCCACTTAGTACGACTTGGGCAACGTTCTCTCCCACAGCCTCAATTACCTTCCTGTCTAGACTCTCTGGGTACCGCGTCTTTATTTCAGCAGCAACTTCAAATGTGTCCTGTAGCCACTCGCTCTTAACGTATGGATGGACACCAGATTCGACGAGTTTACGAACATGGGCTAAAAACCTGAAGTACAGATTCCAAGTGCCATGTTGACGTTGCGGGTGACTTTTTGGGACTGCTTTCTCAAGCTGCGTCATGTAGTAAAACGATAAGCGTTCAAGGTCTTCAGATAGCTTGAAGTCAGCTTCTGTTGCCCGCCCATCCCAGCAGACAGCTGGTGCGTTTGGAGAAGCTGGAGCCCAAGCGGTGCTGTAGAAGAGTTTTACATCATTTTCCGCTGTCGCTGGAGACAAGGGTGTACATTGAAGGCCTTCAATCTGCAAAAGTCTTTCTCCCTTTTGTGTGTAAAGATCAACATCACCACATAATCCTGCTTCCTCACGGTCAGGAATCAATGTGTCAAACTGAAGGTCCTGAGAGACTTTGCTGAGAGGCAAAGCTAGCGTAGCGTTCATGCGAAGTTTCTTAATTACTTTCGGGACATGAATAGTTGAAAGGCGGCCATCTTCCGGATGGCAATAGGCTAACAAAATTGTCTGGATTGCGGCATCTAGCGTGGCAGGATGCAACAGCATCTTTCCATCCGTCGTAGGAGAGATGGAACCACGTGCAGCGCTGAGCTTTCTTTCCGCATTCTTAATGGCACGAAAGCACCCAGTATATCCATAGCCTAGATTACCCCAAGCATCATAGAGGCGTTGGCTATCAATTGAGTTCATCAGCAAGTGTTTGCGATCAACAAGTGGATGAAAGTCAATCGGTGATGAGTCAACCTGCAGCGCGACAGCACATCTGGCTACCAGCGAAAGATTGTCGCCAGAGGTGGAGTACAATGAGAACGTTGCGGCAGTCTGAGTGCTGCTGTTGCGACGCACTTCTGTCATTGTACATATTGTTTCCACTCCACGACTGTCTTGTGGAATTAAGAGTGCCTGCAAAATCTTCAAGTCCGTTATCTCGATTTTCTGTACGACCTGGACCTGCGGATGCATTTTGCGAGCCGCTTCTATTGCCATACACAGGATTCCAGCTGCTGGAAAAATAGTTTGGCCTTGAACCTTGTGACCTGCAAGCCAAGGCATTTCTGACTCAAGGAGTATATTCCTCCATCTCATGTCCAAATCATTGCTGTCTGGAAGGGGATTGCCAAGTAAAGGATGGGTTGGATGTTGACGCGTGCGAAATGTTTTGGCGTAGCGCGACTCGTGCCAGTGTTCCATCTCATACCCCCAATGATACGTTGGTAATCTTTGGAGGGCCTTGCCTGCGACTCCGGACATAAGTTGGTTCACCTTAGCCAAGTTAAGGTCCAAACCAGCCTCCCAAAGCTGACCAAGACCATTGCGCATTGTGTGTATGCTCTCCTCTCCTCTTCTAAGCAGAGAAGCGTAGGGTACATCAATGTCTGGCCAGACGCTCAGCAATGTCTGTAATACAGGAGCTCGAAGAGCAGGGTGTGGGCCGACCTCTAACACAAGGTTAAAAGGACCAGCATTGTGGCAAGCCTTCTCTAAAGCGGGTGAAAATAGCACAGGATGTACTAAGTTATCGTTCCAGTAGTCCATCGAGAGCTGAAGGTTGCTAGCTTCTTGAACATTGACACTAGAGAACCATGGAGTTACCGTCTTCGGGTCAGGAGTAAAACCAGGAAGACTTCGTAGTGAGTTAAGGTACGCAGTTGAACAAGGATACATATGATGCGAGTGGTATGCTTTGTCGACCGACAGCCGCTTGGGATTCAGTGATCGAGCTCTTAAATCCTGTTCGGCTTCGATGATGGCATCTTGGTCCCCAGATAGAGTGACGCTGTTTGGAGAATTACTTGCTGCAACACAGAGCCGATCTTTGAATCTTGACTGCGCACAGAACAAAGAAGCGTCCGCATAAGACATGGAAACTGCTAACATGGCACCCTGTTGGCCAGTAGTGATGCCAGCCAAGTTGGTGTGCAAACCCCTGTAATATGCCGCAGCTAAGGCACACTCAGCTGTTATATATCCAGCAGCATAAGCAGCGGCGATCTCTCCAGAGGAGTGGCCTACGACAGCGCCGAAGCAAACTCCGGCCTCTAGAAGTATATCCACCAAGATAATCTGTGTTAACGTACAGAGCGGTTGTGACAGGGCTGCTTTCATCGTATCAGAAGCGCTGGGCTGAGAAAGACGAGTCAATAGCTGATCTACCATCGACCAGGTTGGTCAGTCACGGACAGGAATTAAGCTCATCAGAGCCTCTTCAAGTTCATGAGCCCTTTTTCGTGCCCATAACGAGTGTTGGAGAATCTCAGACATCATGCCAGGAAACTGGGCGCCTTGGCCGGTAAAGATGCCTAGGACTTTTGGGGGTTTCTGTGCTGGTGCTACTGCTTGTCGATCCCTACACTTTTCGGATAACTTAGATGAAAGTTCAGCAGGGGATGATGCTGATACGCTTGTTCTGTAGGCGAATGAGGATTTGTGGTACATGGAGACCAGCATGTCATGGAGGCTAACATCCAAATGTCCGTCCAGCCAGCGGCGGTAATCTTCAAGACCGCCGTAAAGCGAAGACTCACTCGTGGCCGAGAGGATGAAAGGCGTGAAGACTGGCGGTTCTTTTCCACGCTCATTGAACGTCAAATGTTCGTTCTCGAAGCTTTCAATTATGGCGTGTGAATTTGTACCACCGAACCCGAAACTGTTGACGCTAGCTCGTCGAGGCTGGCCATCGGGGAGTGTGGGCCACGGGAGAGCAGTGGTGGGCACCATCAGGTTGCGATAGAATTGTTCAATCTGAGGGTTCAACTTGTTGAAATGTTTGTTTGGAAATATCGTTTTTCTCTGTAAAGCGACAGTGGCCTTGATAACACCGGCCAGGCCAGCGGTTCCTTCTGTGTGGCCAATTACCGTCTTGACCGACCCGACGTAAAGCGGATTAACGTGTCTTTTCTCCTGTTCAGTCCCACCGCCAAACACGGAAGAGATGGCCTTCGCTTCGATGGGGTCACCGGCCGGAGTGCCGGTGCCATGAGCCTCAAAGTACTGACAACCATCTCTGATGGGGTCAAGGCCAGACTTTGCGTAAACACGACGGATAAGGGATGCTTGCGACTCTGCACTAGGGGTTGTGATGCCATTCGTCCGTCCGTCTTGGGAAACACCTGTTTCTCGTATGACGCATTCAATGTAGTCTCCGTCTGCTATTGCGTCGCTCAAACGTTTCAGCACCACAGCAGCTACGCCATCTCCCCTGGCGTAGCCATCCGCGTCTGCATCCCACATACGACTTTTACCCGTAGGCGAAAGCATGTTCAGGTTGCTTTCGGTAATGTACCACTCGGGTCCGAGAAGTAAGTTTGATCCACCGACGATGGCTAATTGCGTCTCTTGCAGTCGTAATGCTTGGACTGCCTGATGAAGTGCAACTAGGCTGGAGGAGCAAGCGGTGTCGATGGTCATAGATGGACCGCGCAGGTCCCATGTGTAAGATATCCTGTTAGCCATTATGCTACGACCCACGCCGGTAGCCTGGAGGTGTTATCAGCACCAGAATTCATGCAGTACACGAATGATATTGTGCTTACCTGATACCTGGGAGCGCTGTCGATATCACCCATTAACCTATTCTCGTAGTCTCCACACATCAAGCCGACATAAACAGCGGTGTCGGAGCCTTTCAATTGGCCAACAGGAATGTTCGCATTCTCTAACGCTTCATACGTTGTCTCAAGCAAGAGACGCTGCTGAGGGTCCATGGCCAAGGCTTCCATTGCCGTGATGTTGAAGAAGCCATTGTCGAAATTGCGTACATTTTCCCGAAGGAAATATGATTTTCGGACATTGGTGTTTCCATGTGCCTGCGGATTCAGGTTATAGAAGCCATCAATACTGAAACGTTCCTTTGGAATTTCTCGGGAAAGGTCTGGAGGGTCACTCAAGAGATCTCCGAGTTCCAAGACTGACGATGCTCCAGGGAAACGACAGGCAATGCCAACAATGGCAACTGGTTCGGTTTCAGTAGAGGCAGATGACATCTTTGCTTGAACACTGATGGATTCAAAACTTTAGTTAATGAGGCTAATCGAGAGGTTATCTGTAGGGATCGGAACACATTTATAACATTTAGAGATACAGTACACCTGTTTGATATGTCTCTCACTTCTCATAACCTTCAGCAGGATTGGGTTGTCCCATTAAATCCATGAGGTCTCAAACCAGTTCAACCTTTTGTAAAGCTAGTTCATGAACCACGGTACGTAGCGTAAGCCAGATAAAGACCGGTACGGGGAGGGATTTGAAGCCGAAAGTATCATACCTGTCCCGGTTGTTGACGTAGCAAATGTGACACGAATGAGTCGTGATTGACCCGTAAGCTCTGTAAAACAATTGAACCATCGATGTTATCTCGCGAAAAGAAAGTTTCTTAAAGTCGGTGGTTTTTGTATGATTGTCACCTGTAACAAAGTAAATAGTTACTAGTGAAACGTAAGGTTTGAATATCGAAATCACAGTCAGTGATTTTCACTCCATTGGCTGCTACATAACAATCGAAAGACAACACCGATGTGATTCTGAATACCTCCCTGAATTACCGCGAGAAAACGACCACAATGTACTTTGTGAAAAGATCCAAAACATCTGCGAAGCTTGAGTTAGATGCTTTAATTAAAGGAGCTTCGTGAAATGTTGGCTAGGTGATCGAGTAAGTCCAAAAGACTGTCCCCTCTCGTCCAAAGTGTTTTCGCTGGCAGAATGACAGACGGTAAGTAGAAAGCGCCGATGCTACACGATCAAACTCATAGCTTTGAGTGGGATCTGAGTAGCGCATGATTGTGTCGGGTGGTTAGGGTAACGTCCCACACCCACTTCTGGGCACCCCCCACATTTGGGCACCCCATTTACACCAAAAACGCCGTTTTTCGAAATTCTATATTAAACTAACTACTATACTTACTAAGAAAAGAAAATATATATAAACTATGTTAAGTATAATTATAGCCATCTAATTTTTTATAAAGGTTTAAATATAATAATAGTTATAATATAGAAGTTTAAAACTAAAAGCTTTAAAATGTTAGTAGATACTAGTAACTTACTAGTATTCCTTAACATTAGAAAAATATATTTTCGCTTATATATACTTATTTAAAAAATCTAGGAAATTAATATTTATACTTATTAAAAGTATATAATTATATCTAAAAGAGATTTAAAAGTATTACTTTAGTAAATATAGTATAATTAAGGGTTAAAATTCTATAATAGAAACTTTTCTTAAGGGAAATTTTAAAATATTATTTGTTACGGCCAGCTAACTGACAGTGGGTTTGTGTTAACAGTAAGCCAGGGATTGAGAGTAGTAACAGTCGTTCCGTGGTCCTGGTCGAATAGATCGTAGATCTTCAAAGGTCTTGGTGATCAGTCAAGGCCTCAACAAGAGTCGTAGAGTAGTCGTCACTTAGGTATAGCTGAAAGTACCGGTTAGGGTAATCACAAAGTTGATTGCTGAAGAGCTATGGAAGTCTGTCCTCGAGCCCGGCTCGAGTCCATCCTATATACAAGTCCTGAACGGTCCTCCTTATCTTGGCTATGTTGGATATTTGACATATCCAACATATCCGGGGATCGGTTGGATATTTGACATATCCAACATATCCAGCCCGGGTTGTCCTTACCCCGCGTTATCCCCGAGGCCACGTGACTTGTCCATAGTTCTTCCGTTCCGAGGATCCCTGGTTACACCTGTCCGGCTGGGTTACATATGCCCTGCGTTAGCCGCCGGGATCCAGGCGGGGTCGTGTTGGCGACCATGTCCAACGGGTCGTAACATTATTCTAAGCTTAAAGAATTTTTTACTAAGTATAAGAATATATAAATCTACTATATCTTACTTAAAAATTCTAATCATATTAGTTAAATATCTCTACCTATTTTATATATTAAGATATAGGCTAGGTAAATTAGTATTATAAATGTTAAACCTTGAATTTATAATACTTATTATCAATAATACTAGTATATAGCTACTTAAGTATTATAATTAAGTCTTAATCTATTTAACATATATTTATTCTCTTTAATAAGTAAAGTATTTAGTTTAATATAGAATTTCGAAAAACGGCGTTTTTGGTGTAAATGGGGTGCCCAAATGTGGGGGGTGCCCAGAAGTGGGTGTGGGACGTTAGCGAGTCAAGAGCCAGGTCTCCACCAGACACTTCTGCTATTACCAACTTAATTATTGACGATCTATGAACTTACCATACAGGATTTCAAGAAACCATATTTGTTTATTCCTTGAACCAAGACTCTAGAGGTGAGCATGAAGAGTCATGTTAGGTGGGGCCCATCAAACATGAGCTGAGGCTTTGGGAAAGATGAAAAGGTTCTTTCACTTGGCGTACGAAGGCTTGTGTACCAAGGTCTCGTTTACTGCTAACCCGCGCTTTCGATTTGTCCGTTCTACTCCTTCAATCTTCAAATATCGTTCCCATTTACAAACACAAGATCACACCACATTGAAGGGTCAATCCAAAGCAAGTCGCAAGCGATACAATTCTCACACAACAACTGTTCCTGGGTCAAAATGAACTCACCAAAGCTTTTTGATACTCCCATCTTATGGCCAACTGTCTTTTCTTGGGGAACTTGTGTTTTAACACTTGCGTTAGTGGTGCGGTATATCTATCTGGTGTAGTTTCATCCGCTTGCCAAGTATCCAGGCCCTTCACTGGCCGCCATTTCTTACCTATGGTATGCAAGAAAGTGGCTACAAGGGAGATATCCCTGGGCTGTTGAGGAACTTTTCGACAAATACGATTGTACGTGCCCTATATAATTTCTGGTGAAATATACCGTATCTCTAATCATGCGTAACTGACAGCCGATGTTGTTCGCGTTGGACCCAACGAGATTGCATTCAGGTCCCCAGAGGCCCAGCACGATATCTACATGGCCACGGTTCGTAACCGCGAGACATTTGTCAAAACGGAATTCCAAGATCTTGGAGGGGACGAACCGGGTGTCACAGCCGAACGAGACCCAGAAAAACATCGAAATGTGGCCAAGCAGCTTACACCCGCATTCTCCCCCAGAGCATTGCACGCACAAGAAGTTCACGTACACCGCTATGTAGACCTGCTCATTGATCAGCTGGACAAGCACGGCGGCACCAGCGCGGCTGGAGTTGATATGAGAGAGGTATGATAGCCTATCTTGCGATTTTCCTTTTTTTTTCAAGGCTCATATTACAGTGACAGTGGTTTGACTGGCTTGTTCTCGATATCGCCGGATATATGGCTTGGTGCTATGAATTCAACAATTTGAAAAATGGTAAGTTCCGTATCATACATCATTGAATATTAATTTCTGACTTCATGGCAGCTCAAACTTGCGTCTATTTGCGTGAGTCAATTCAAATTGGACTCTTTGGAACCATACGACAAGTTTTGAAAAAATTTCCACTTCTCTTCCCATTGGCGCCTTTTTTCATCCCGACATCAGTCACAAGAACAATTCCCACCTGGATCCAATTTAACCGCAAGATCGTCGATGAACGACTGTCGAAACGAAAAGAACTCCAAGGAAAAGACTATTTCTCATGGCTTTTGAAAGATGACTCGAAAATTCCTTCAGAAGAGTGGCTGGTGGCACAGTCCAACGTCCTCCTTGCTGCTGGATTTGACCCCCTTACTAATATTCTCACATCAGCGGTTTACTTCCTTTGTAAAACTCCGCGCGCTCTTGAACGACTTTCTGACGAGATCAGCGGCAGTTTCTCCACTTATGAGGAAATCAAAGCTGAGAAACTTCAGAATGCGAAGTATCTTCAGGCTGTCATCGATGAGTCTATGCGACTACACACTAATGCTGCATTTGGGCTGCCGAGATACAGTCCAGGGGCCGTTGTTGACGGGGATTATATTCCAAAAGGGGTAAGTAAATCGAGTCATCCATTTATGCCAAATTTCAACCTACTCACATGAGTGTCATCTCCGACAGGTAATCGTTCAGAACGCCTCTTTCGCTGCAACGCACTGCGAAAAGTATTTTCTGAAATCAAGAGAATTCTGGCCCGAGCGTTTTCTGGGCCCGAATGACACTTGGTATGAGGAAAGGTTCGCTCTATATGACAACAAAAAAGCTTTCAAACCGTTTTCGCTGGGACCGCGGGCTTGTCCGGGTCGAGAGATCGGCATGATGCAAGCCCGCATTGCCTTGGCGAAGCTTATTTGGACCTATGAAATGGAGCTTGTCAACCATCAGGTTGATTGGGAAAGGGACTCCAAGTTGTTTCTCATTTGGGACAGGCCGGAAGTTCGAATAAGATTCCACAAACGGCGGTTATAAACCTGTCATACAACTAACAAGTAACGTTTGTTACGAGATCTTTGTGAATTTCGTTAAACATCACAACAATGTAAGGAAACAGTGGAAGTTTGCTCCATCTACAGCTTCGGCTCAAATTGAATACATATTGCAGAGCAAGCTGCATTATCGCACGTGCTGTCAACAACCATTCGTATACATAAAAACCACTTCGGCAGTCTTGTAGAGCATAATATGAATTATGACGTATGCCAACGTTATCTGTGAGTTCAGAAACCGATACAAGGAAGCTTATTTTCAACTGATCTGCGACTTGGCCCATGCACAATTTACATAGATTTTGTGTCCTGCAACACAATCTCTTTAGTTTGACGGTGTTAATGCTGCACAAAATACAATGTACTTACGCTTCGGGGATTGTTTTTGTGTGGTGCCTGTATGCTGGACAGGTAATGGGTTGTTAAATATATTAAAGGACCCCTGCAACCCTGAAATTTGTACATTTTAACGTTCTCAAATGTGAGATATACACTTACTTACCGGTGGTGGAGTTCTCAGGTCCACCTTCAGCTTAACATCGGTCAGATGTAAAGCTACTTGACGATATAGGGGAAATAGCTGAGAAAGAAGGTGAAAGTTCCTACTAGCAATGTGTATGAGGTCTATACATAATTAACATTTAGAACCCTGGAGGAGGTTTAGGGTGTAGTCCAAGGATGTGTACGGTAAAGGTCTATTCAGTGGATGCCCATGTTCTCAACAAAGCTATGGTTCAGAAGAAGGTTTCGGACAATCAAAGTTAAGCAGTTTAACCGTCTACTAACCGTTTACTAATCGGGCAACTTCGCCTGTTTGGGGAACTGCAATGGAAAGACTATGCTGCGAAGTTAGCGTACAGGGGGTGCTACTTTCAGTTGTAAGTTTACCGCCTTTAACGTAGCTGACGTTCTTTTTTCTTTTTCTTGAACTGTTTCGAGAACAGGTTTAACGCCTCTCATGCAGATTTCTAGAACTCACGGAATGGCGACAGATTCCACTAGTGTCTGGTCAAGTGGTAATATCCCGGGAGACTTCTGTAAGGTCGTTTCCTGTACACACGCTTGACGTTGTGACGGCCCGATTATACACGAGATCCCTACTGAGTAACCGTGGCGATTCAGATTTCTGAAGATTTGTTATTGTACCAGCCAGAGCCGACATGATGAAGCTTCAATCACCAAACTTTCAACAGATCGTCGATTTCAAACGACGATCGGCATCACACAGGCTTGGCTGACAATGGTGAGATACGACTCAGCGCTTGCTTTTTTGCTGAGTTCTCAGAACTTTGTTCAAATGCAATAATAAGTGGATTTGTAGGAGGAATATGCGAATTCCCTTGGAGATACCGCTAGCCATGCCAGCCTGCCGTACTTGCTTATAGCAACTATTCTCATGACGCCTGTGAGGATATGCATTGAATTTCTCTGAATTATTGTAACTTCTTCTTTCTACAGACGTCTAAGATTCATTGAAGATAAACCGTGAGCGGTCGGCAGTTGTTAACCATCAGCTCCAAGCAAGCGAATCGCCAGTTGAAATAACAACCAAGCTCCAAGCTTCGCCATATCCCCTCGAACTAATGTCTGACAACATGACACCAACCGTTAAATCTCAACAAAACATTGATACAACCGCAGTTCAGGAGTCCTATGAGCAAACAAAAGAGCAACCTTCATCTGAGCACCCAGAAAATCAAGATGGACCCCCCAGCCACGGACTTAGAGTGAGATTGTCTTTTTGGGGTGCAATATTAAGTCTTTGTTTTACTAGTCTGCTCGGGTCATTTGAGAATGTAATCACCACCTCAATGTCATACATGGTTCGAGAGTTGAAGATTGGGAGTAACTATGTGTGGATCACCAACGGTTTTTTTGTCGCAAGGTATGCACTTTCGCCGAATTCCATAACCGAACAGTCCTGATGCTTCTTATAGTGCTGCTATTCAGCCTCTGCTTGGCCAACTAGCCGATGTGTTTGGCCGCAGGAGACTTACTCTTGTCATTGTCGCAACGCATACTCTTGGGAGCGGCATCTGCGGCGGGGCCAAAAACGCCGCCATGCTATTCGCCGGACGCGCAATTCAAGGTGTCGGTAGCGGCGGAATCAACATGATCATCGAAGTCATAATATCAGACCTTGTGCCGCTCCGGAAACGAGGTTATTTCATGTCGCTCGTGCTTTTGATATATGCCCTGGGACTAGGCACAGGCCCCTTGATAGGGGGAAGCCTAGCTCAGAATGTGGGCTGGCGCTGGGTGTTCTGGATCAATCTCCCCATAGGTGGCACTTCACTGATACTTCTCTACCTGCTACTTCGCGTGAAAGACGACAAGACAACACCGCTACGGGACAAGATTCAAAACATCGACTACATCGGAAACATTATCATCATAGGATCCACTGTATCTGTGCTATATGCACTCACAGTGGTGGGGTCATTGTATTCTTGGGGAGCCTGGCAGACTCTCACACCTCTGTTACTGGGCTTCGCAGGTTTCTTTGGTTTCATTTGCTTCGAGGGATCGCGCTTCTGCCCACGTCCTGTGATACCTCTCCGCTTCTTCAAAGACCGAACCCGGGCAGTTATTTTCGTCAACACGCTATTCACTTCCATTCTCAGCTATTGGATGCTGTACTTTCGCCCGCTTTATTTCCAAGCTGTCTTATTGTCAAGCCCTACATTTGCTGGAATTCAAATGCTACCCAGCACTCTTGGCTCTCTCTTGGTATCAGCAGGCTGTTCTGCTGCCCTCTCCTGGGTCGGCAGATACAAAGCTTTCCACAACTTAGGCTTCGGAGTTCTCACGCTCGGACTGGGCTTACATGCACTGCTCGACAGATACTCGTCGCCTGCTCGGTGGGTGATATTCCAAATTCTAACAGGAAGTGGTATTGGCATGGTACTGAATACACTCTTACCTGCACTTCAGGCGAGTCTTCCAGAGACCGATGTTGCAGCCGCCACAGGATCCTGGGCGTTTATAAGAAGCTTTGGTAATGTTTGGGGTGTAGCAATTCCGGTTGCGGTTTTCAATAATCACTTTGAGCAGTTGGCAGACCACATTACGGATGAAAAGGTTCGTCAGAACTTTTTAGGTGGCCATGCTTATGAGCAAGGAACGCAGGAAGGCCTTGTCAGTCTAGAGAACAACACCAAAATTCAGGTGGTGGGCGTGTTCGAACGTTCACTTCAAACTGTTTGGTTTGTCTCAATCGCATTCTCTGCCTTTGGGTTTCTACTTTCATTACTTGAGAAAGAGATTCATCTCCGCAAAACCCTCGAGACCAAGTATGGCCTTCATAGAAACGAAAAGGATGGACGTGAGAACGGTGGTCTAAGAGAAAGCGAAACTCCTCCTACTACCTCTTGAGGATTTGCATAATTATACTTGGTGGAATGGCTTGTACTACATTAAAGAGACTACATGGATGAGAGATCGTTTTAAAACACTGGTCAGATATCTACTAGATGGACATAATTTTGTGGTATTCACCGTGACTGAAACACATGAACATCCGTGAAGCCGCGACGCGCCATACACCATTCAGCTGATGCTAACTACAATTTCGCCTGGTCATGTCACTGACTGAGGTGTCAGACATACCGATAGAAAAGCGACGTATTTCTCGGGGAATTTCCATCGTTGAGTTCTTCAACATGGTTTATGTTACTGTATGACAAGCTTTCGGTATACGTGATCAAATTGCTCCTTTCTACGAGAATGGTCTGAATTACGCGGATCTTGATTCCTTGGTTATTGCACGTGACCTCGCAATCGGCTTGTTTCAACTTTTTAGTTTGAGGCATTTAACTCAAATCAATGGTGAGTGGTATGTAGGAAACTAATTCTACTATGTTTTATACTGCCTTTGGACCAAAGTTGTCGATCAGTTGGAGATGGGAATGCAGATGTATAGAAGAACACTATAATGTGGCACCGAAGCTTTCGCCATCTTGTCAGTGATTTAAGATTTAAAATGGTAAAGACAACGTGGTAGGAGGTAGTCGTCTAATATAATGCAATAATTTTAAACTTTTCTCGCCTGCATTTATCAGCTAGAAGCTTTGGGAAACAGGTTTGTTGTAGTCTCAGGTGCCACTGAGAGGTGTAGACCATATGTTGTGCAGCCACTGCATCGTACAGTTTCCATCTTCAATAGGCATTCAGAATCGCCCGCTTACCAACGATCACAGCCCAAGCAATTACTCAACACCATGGCGTTTTCCATCCCTTCAAACAGATTCATTCAGCTATCGGCGCTTGTCCTATTGTACGTGGCTGCCTGCAGTCTACTCGCGTACCGTCGTCGGCGGCTGTACAGTCGACGATACGGTTGTCGCCCTCCACCGAAGGCGAAGCTAGTTGATCCTGTGTTTGGAATCGATGGAATGCTTGCGAATGCTAAAGCAGCACGAGAACATAGAAGTCTTCAGACATTTGAGGAGCGCTTTTACTCCATAGGAGCGACTTACAGCACTAAGCTTCTCTTCGGAAAACCGATTATAATCACCATGGAACCAGAAAATATCCGCACAGTCATAAGTCAAAGCTTCCACGATTACGCCCTTGCGCCTTTCCGTCAGCCTGCGCTGAAACATTTTCTTGGTGATGGCATCTTCACGACGGATGGCGCAAAGTGGCAATCATCCCGAGCGTTGCTGAGACCGAACTTTACTCGCGACCAGGTCGCTGACCTAGAGTCTTTGGAGAAACATGTGCAGGATTTGTTCAAGGTGCTCCCACGAGACGGAACTACGCCGGTCAATTTACAAGAACATTTTTTCCGCTTCACCCTCGACTCGGCCACCGAGTTCCTTTTTGGAAAGAGTGTCAATAGTCTGAAACGATGTGTTGACCAAGACGCCGACAGCCTCGATGCTCAATTTGAAACTGCTTTTGCCACTGCTCAAGCGGAATGCATGGAGTTCGTCGGCCTTGGCCCGTTGGCAAAGTACGCACGAGTTAAATCCCATAAACAAGTCGACGTTGTACACCGCTACATCGATCAATTTGTCGAACGAGCCATCGAATACCGAAAGAAGCACGACGAGTTGGGAGCTGAAAGTAGTGCTGAGAAAAAGTCGAAGTACTTGTTCCTACAGGAGCTTGCTAAGGTGACTACCGACCGAAGCCGTCTGCGATATGAATTGCTCAACGTACTCATGGCCGGACGTGACACCACGGCAAGTTTGCTGGGCAATCTTTTCTTTATGATTTCCAAAAGGCCGAAAATCTGGTCTAAGCTGCAACATGAGGTCGATGGCCTTAACGGGTCTATGCCTTCGTATTCTACTCTGCGAGATATGCCGTACCTCAAAGCGTGCCTCCGCGAATGTAAGTGTCCCTCGTGGAACCCATCGAATTGGGATTTAGAGTTTTGGCTGACACTTGAGTCGTCAGCGCTACGACTGCATCCCGTTGTTCCCGTCAATACACGCATAGCAACAACCGACACTATGCTACCACGTGGTGGTGGACCAGACAGGAAAAGCCCTGTGTACGTGAAGAAAGGAACTGCTGTGGGTTGGTCAGTGTATGCAATGCACCGGCGCAAAGACATTTATGGCCCCGATGCCAATGAATTCCGTCCGGAGCGCTGGAGCTCACTTCGGGTTACGTGGGAGTATCTTCCGTTTAATGGGGGCCCACGTATTTGCCTTGGACAGCAGTATGCACTGACGGAGGCCTCGTACCTCACGGTGAGGATGTTGCAAGAGTTTTCGAAGGTAGAGAGTGTGGACCCAGGTGAATGGGAGGAGGAGCTCGCTATAACCGCCTGTAATCGGAGAGGATGTCGAGTTGTACTTGCTCCAAGACTGAAGACGGATATGAGTCCCTCTTTGTCTGATTGAAAATAGGTCGTTATGGTAATTACGAAATACGGATATACTCGGGGCCAAATTTTCTGCTTTTTCTTTGATAGAAAATCCGGTTTGCGAGATAGATTTATGTCAGATGCTGCCATTTATTAGACGGACTGGCCCTGGAATCGATTTTCTGTGTATTGCTCTTTCTTGACCTATGTTTGAAAACAAGTGGTTGGAATACTTGGAGAAGTGAAGTCCTGACAGGTTTCTCTGCTCCGCGAGAATCAGAAAAGGTATTGAACGTAGGCGCTGAGTGATTCAACACTTTATGCCAGTGTTGCTAATCAAAAGCGAAAGAATGTGTTGCTTTTAAGTATGATATAGGGCATGGTTCCCCCTTTTCCTTTCGTTTTATCCTCTTATTCGTATCTGTATTAGTACTATCACGACTCTTAGGCATAACATAACTAGGACCAGACCTATGACGGTACTTAGCGGCTTTAGGGCATCGATATACAACGAGACCTAGGGATATAAAGGTTGCCTTGGAACGGAAGAAACGGGAATAAGTCACGTAATAAGGAACTAATAAGATAAGAGTCGAAAGAGTCGATATGGGATCCTAATGGCCGCTTAACTAACTCCTTATGAGAGAGACAATAAGTTTGAGTACTAACTCCCTCAATTCCTTGACTAGATAGTATAATAAGATAGCTAAGAAAATAGAGAATGGCAGATAAGCACTCAATAGATATTTTTGATTCATTTCTTTTCCAGTAATTAATTCTGGCCATAACCAGAGACTTTCGACATACGAAAGTAAAACCACTACACACAAGGGCCTTGGATTAACTATGATCAGAGAAGCGAAAACGCCATACAGTGGGTTGCGCAAATTCTCAGTGTACCAGAAAATCATTTTGAGATATGATCAGGTAAAAACATCTAGTCAGGGAGGACCTAAGGTAACCCGTGGTTGTGGTTGTGTTTGCTGTTCAATCGCTGCCGGCCCGAATGCTGAATCCCCCCCAACCCTGCTTCAATGTGTAGAACATCTTATAGTTCTTTGGTATGTATCCTTGAAGTTTATTACCAAATGGCTTCCATCCAAAGTACTATAAATGTGCAACTTCGTTATTACGTAGTTAGAAAACTAACAACAGGGTGGAGGGATGGAAGCAGTCCGCCAGAACATGAATATTTACGGACGGACCCACCAGGGACTGCTCAGAGGGTCGACAGAAATCCGGTCATGGCAGGCTTAGTCAGCAGGGATACCGCCCGCTCCTTTTCCATCACAATCCCAAGTTCTCCGGTGGGTATGGTCGCATCTGGCATGTCCCCTAGAACAAGAACCTGATGAACCTGTTTTAGTCTCGCAAAAGGTCAGGGGACAGGGTCAAGGTAAATTATAAAAAAGTCTGAAGAAACATCGCGCGAACCTTAAAAACGGCCGGGATGAGTTGATCTTTTTTTCCGATTGTAACCCAGGGTTCCATCCGTCATTATTCCTAGGTCGATCCCCATTTTCCATTTTTGAGTTACCGAGATTCGGATCGGCTCTTGTTTAAGTGGCTGTTTCCCGTCTTCTTCTTTTTTTTGTCGAAACTCTGTTGGGAATGCCGGGTCCCCTGTCGTTTACCCCACGAACTTTAGACGTGAGGAAACATTGACGATATCTTGGAATCGCCGAAAGGGGGGTATGAGGCAGTGTAAACTGGGGTTGAGATTTTGAGAGTGTTCGTTATTAAATTTTTATGCGCCAAGTTGAGCAAGTTGGGACTAGGTCGTCTGTCAAAGTCATGACTTCTGTCGTTACGTTACCCAAGAGAAAACAAAGTGATTATAGCTAACTCAAATGGTTTATGCAATTTGTCTCGAAAACGGGCTTTCTTACGCCGCTTCGTAGTTGTTATCGTCAATGAAAATGTAGAAACTGCTGTGCACTCCCACAGCCCGCAGCATTCACCAGATAGCACCATGAAATGAACTTGAATGTATCAGTATGTATATCTTTTTGACAAATAAAACGTAAAGTATTACAGGTGGTATCAACATTGGCACACCAAGACGTCGTCGACCCCAAGACACCGCCCAGATGCACCACCCCCGACTCCGTTACGATGCAACCCATATTCCCACAAGAAAAAAAAAAAAAAAAAACCGAAAACTCTCTATAATCCTTTCTTTTTTGGTATCACCAATTCTATAACGTGCCAATCACACACAAAACATCTTCTCCTCCAAAGTTCTCCTCTTAAAAGCAGAAGACGGCATCGGACATCTTGGACATGGAACCGGGCTTCTCGAAGCCCAGGTTCTCCAGCGACTTCTTGGCGGCGTTGACCATGCCCGGCGGGCCGCACAGCATGATCTTGGTGTCCGGGGACGGGGCGGGGAAGCGCTCGGCCATGAGCTCCTGCGTGACGTAACCGACGCCGTAGGTCCAGTTGTCGGGGGGCGCGTCGAGGAGGTAGTGCAGCTTGAGGTTCTTGGGGTAGCGTCTAGCAAAGGCCTCGAGCTCCTTGCGGAGCAGGATGTCGCCCTCGGTGCGGTTAGCGTAGATGAGGCTGACCTCGGTGGTGTCGCGGTCGTCTTCGCAGATGGCGCGGATGAGCTGGTACATGGGGGTGATGCCGGTGCCGCCGGCAAGCATGCCAATCTTCTTGCAGAGGCCGCGCTTGTAGCGCATGGCACCCTTGGGCCCGCGGAAGAGCACCTCGTTGCCGATTTCGAGGTTGGCGAGGTACTTGCCGGTCAACAGGCCGTCGGGGTAGCAGCGGATGACGAGCTCGAGCTTGCCGAGGTCGGAGTTGTTTGAAGTAGGCGTGTATGACCTGCTGACGGACTTGCCGTCAATCTCAGCCTTGATGGCGACATGCTGGCCGATGGGCAGACCCAGCACGGTGGTGGGGGTGGGCAGCTCAAAGACGAGGCGGTAGACGTTGGGGGCGATGAGCTCCTTCTCGGCGAGAGGCAGAGGGTGGTAGTTGACGGGGTCGAGCCAGCCGCGCTGCAGGAGAGGGTCAGGCTTGGCGACCTTGGGCATCTTCTGGTGCGGGCGGAACTTCATAGGGGTGAGGTCGTAGTGGAGGAGCTTGGAGAGCTTGTTGGCGGTGATGGTGCCGGCTACAGCGAAGAGGGCAGATGCAACTGCGAAGCCCTCGACGAAGCCGAAGCCGGTGCGCTTGGGGCGGCCAGCAGCGGCGCCGAAAGAGAGCCACTCGGGGAGGTGGAGGTTAAGACGCTGGAGAGCGGCGATGGCGTCCTGGCCGGCGGGGGTGTTGGAGGCATGGCGGGCAGCGACGGCGCCGAGAGTCAAGAAAACGGCGGCGGCGGCGGCTTGAGAGGCAACACGGGCAGGGCCGGAGGTGGTGGTGGGCTGGGGAAGAGTCTTGGGGGCAACGCGAACAGCCTTGGGGGCGTTGCGCTTGTTTGCGCCCTTGAGCTTGCCGACGCGGAAGTCGGCCATGATCTCGTAGGCATCTTCAGAGTGACCGGCGTTGTCAAAGGCCTCAGTTGCGTCGACACCACCAGCTTCGATGAGTACCTCTGCGCCACCAGGGTGGTCGTGCAAGTACTTTGTTACATCATAGACTGGACGAGTCAGTTAGTGAGAAGATCCACAATTTTGATGGAAGATTTGAGCGCACCTTCACCGTGGATGACCATCCAGCAGTCGTTGGCTTCTCTGTGAAGAGCGACCTCCTTGGCCGTGAACTCCTGGCCTTCTGTTGATGCCATGATGGGTGTGTGTATGTGTGAATGTGGGTATCTTTAAGAAGTGGATCAAGGAAAGGATGAGGAAATCGGTAGTGACGAGACCGACTCTAGTAGTGCGCAGATATGAAGAATTAGTATGTTATTTAAGAAAGGAGAATACAATCGAGAAGGCGTGGATAGGACGATAGTAATGGACTAAGATCCCCTTTTCCTAGAGTCGGGCTTCGGCAGCGAGGAAAACCAGGGAGTATTATTTATCGACAGATGAGCTCCATGGCGACATGCAGAAGATATCCACAATTAAAAAATAGAAAAAAAAAAAAAAAAAAAAACAAGCAGTCGGGCGTCTGAGGCAAGACTGAGAGATAGCGTAATGTCCGACCGACATAGGACGGGGGGGGGGGGGGGGGGGGGGGGAGATGAGATGCCGAGGTCGAAATAGGTGTGGATTGGTTCCCTTCAATGCCACTCGTAACTATCAATGCTCCTGCCCCCCCCGAAAATGGAGCTCAGGGGACCTTGGAACCTAGGGAAAACGGGGCCGCGGTGATCGGGCGGTCGGCCGTCTGACAAAGTAGTGCTACGGGATTGGATGCCGGAGCTGTCGATACAGAGGGGGCCACCGTGATGCCTTTCGGGAGGCCCGAGGTGGTGATGCCCTGTTTTTCGGTCGCTGAACCAAGTTACAGCTTTTGCCTCTGTTGACGCAGTTGGTTCCCCCGAAATGGTTGTTGAGGATCCGATTTTACGTGTGCAACGGGCAGAAAGGGCAGAAAAACAGAGTCAGGCCCTGCATTAAACTCACAGGGCACTCTATGACTGCCGGAAGCCAAGAGATTCGCGGCTCTTACTGGGAGATTCTTCTACTTCTTCTCCTTTACACGTGTGTGACATCTTAGGTAAGCTAATCATTATTGATAAGCAGCCATCAATGATTGGCTGGTTCGAGTGTGCCCTGATGGCGTGCACCAATGATAACAACGGTCCAGACCCCCCCTATTACGTGGGTGGCACAACGAGCCGAGGCGACGGATTTCGGGACTTGAGACGGACGACAACGGTGTGCCGCTACACTAAGTGCGCTAGGAACGGGTGCTAGTACAGGCACCTGGCAGTAAGGAAAATTTGCATCGGCAGGGATCGATATAGAAAGCCGTAGTGGGCCCCACCCGCAATTTCAGGGCCTGATTCGGTGGTTGCTTGTATTGTTGGAAGTTTCGTCTCGCCTCGGTACCTCTTAGCGCAGATCATCCATGATCCTCGTCTTAATGTCAGAACCCTGTTCGTCCCTACCAGCGCCTATCAAACATGGCCAATGTGCTTCTTGTCCCCGGTTTTTACTTCCTATTTTTTCCCTCGAGGCATTCTTTTGCCTCAGTTCCGCTGTCATGGTAGAACCGCGGCTTGTCTCCGTTCACATCCTTCACGGAGCCGATTAATGCTCTCATCATAGCGTGGCCCCCCAAACGGCCCGCATTTTCGGACTTGAGCGCTCATGAAGTCATTGCTCCCTATCGTTGCCCCGTTCAGGGCTCTTTTGACGTGAACCTCGGCAGGCCACAGTTTTTTTTTTTTTTTTTTTTTCTAGTCTCTCTTTCCCTCTGTCCCTTTCTCGTGCAATGGCCATGGGCTGTTTGTCGGCGTGTTTCCACCGTGGAATTGGCATTGCCCAGGGTCGGATTGGATAAGCTACGGCATGGATTCGTTAATCTGGCCATGGGTACGTACCGTTTTGAATTGCGACTTTTCTATTTACCAATCCCCCTTCCTTTACTACTTATATATCGTGAACTCGTTGCTTCCCCCATCCGGTACGGCTTTTGGTTTATTGTTAGACGTGCCTTATCTATTAATACAAGTGATTCATACCATTTCTTAACCCATTTTCATCTTTGTTCGATATTCAGACTGGTACACCACTACATCAACACATCTTCAACGCCCACCATGTCATCACAACGCTTCTACCTTCTGGGTGAAGATCCCTCTACCACAACAGAGATCGAGATCCCTGCCTCAACAGACGAGGAGGGTCTTCAGCATCTTGCCGCCTCTCACTTTGCTGTCGTCGACCACAAGGGTAAGCTTTCTACCGTCTCCCACCGCAATTGCGACCAATCACTAACAGTCTTAGGTGTCGGCTTCACCTTTGGAGATGAGGCTCTGACAACAGTCGCCGACGTCCTCGCTGTTGAGGGCCCCGTTGCTATCACCATCGATGGCCATGCCGTCCGCGATGTCCCTGGCCCGACCGGCCTGCCTTTCATCGGCAACTACTTCGAGGTTTACCCCGACCATCTTGGCAACCACCAGCGCCTATTCGAGAAGTACGGCCCCCTCTTCAAGACCAACAACATGGGCTCTGTCATCTACCACACAAACGACCCCGCTCTTGCCAACATCGTATTCTCCGAGAGCGATTTCTTCACCAAGAACATCATCCCCGGACACCCCCTGTACCCCATCAAGAACAAGGAGTCCGGTGTCTTTCTGGGCGACACCGACACCCCCGAATGGAAGCTGGCCCACAAGTTCCTGCCCCCGGCTTTCGGCCCCAAGGCCGTTCGCCACTACGCGCCCACCATGCAGGCCACCATCGAGGACGCTTTCAAGGTCTTTGACGAACTCGACGAGCGCGATGAGGCCTGGAACGTCTATCCTTATATGCTGAAGCTCGGTTCCCAGGCCGTTGGTAAGCTCGTACTCGGCATGGACTTCAAGCACTTCACCGCTGTCGATGCCCCGCCCCATGAGATGGTTATGCGTATTGCTCAATCCCTTGAGCTGAACAAGAAGGTTACCGCCATGGGTAGCTGGTACGCCTCCCTGCCCTTCGGTGACCCCAAGCGCCTCCGCGATGCCCGCTGGCGCATCATTGAGATGATGAACGAGTCCATCAACGCCGCCTCCAAGGGTATCGAAGATCTCGAGCTGCAAGAAGCGGCCCTCAAGGCCGAGAACATGGTCGACTACGTTCTGCGCGCCGCCGACCGTGAGGGCAACAAGCTGCCCAAGGACCGCATCATGGAGCCCCTCGTCGTCGCCACCGGTGCCGGCTTCACTACCACCTCTTCCCTTCTCTCCTGGCTGCTGTACGGCTTGGTCGCCTACCCCGGTATGCAGGAGCGCCTGCTGCAGGAGCTCATCGACAACGACTTCGACGAGAACACCCAGATCACTGCCGAGCTCACTCAGAAGCTGTCTTTCCTCGACAAGTACATCAAGGAGACCCAGCGCAAGCACAACCCCTCCTACCAGCCCGCGCGCACCTCAAAGGTCGACATGATTCTGCCCGGTGGCTACAGACTGCCCAAGGACTCCATCGTCATCCCTGCCATCCACCACATCCACAACAACACCCTTGTATGGGACAACCCCGCTCGCTTCGACCCCGACCGCTGGGACACGGAGAAGGTCAAGAACCGCCCCAACGCCTCCTACATCCCCTTCGCCACCGGCCCCCGCATGTGCATCGGCTTCAACTTTGCCCTGCAGGAGGTCAAGGTCTTCCTGCCCAAGCTCATCTACCGCTACAAGTTCAGCCTGGCTCAGGACGGCCCCGTCGAGTACGACCCCATGTTCCAGCTCATCCGCCCCAACAACCTGTACGTGCGCGCTGAGCGGAGAGTCAAGTGGCCTCCCAGGAGCGACGCCTAAGTGTTTGAAAAAAAAAAAAGGTAGTATTGGGATATGAGTAAAGGGTGTTTGGGGGGGGAGAAAGAAAAAACAAAGAGTTCATTTTGTATGTACCATCATCGTCGGTGTATACCCTGGAGCATTGCATGGCGCAGAAATGGGAGGTTTTTTTGGGATAGATCTCATGACTTAGACATAGAACTGGATACCGATCTAGACTAATTACATGTTTATTTTGTTTACATTCTCATGGTGCCATGTGACCATATGTAGTGTCTGTCATCAATCGTTTCGTTGACGTTAATGAGTTGCAAATTCATCAAATATACGGGGTAATACCATCTGAGAATGAAACATAGGCGTAGGCTCAAGTAACCGAGGCTCATTCCCGGGCCTGAGCTTCACCTGTTGAGTTGATCTAGGCAGTTACGGTGGAAAGCCATGCAGCCGATCTGTGCCCTGTCGTAACTTCCTATCAATGTTCAATGAATATGCAGTGACACATCTCTAAAAAGGCCAGGAACGCCTCTACTTCTGATTGACCCGTGTCACCTGGCCATCTGTATTGCGCTTGCCTTTCTTGTTCGATTTATCCGATTTATCTTTCAAGGAAGTTGCAACTTTCCAGCCCCTCCAACTTGTAGAGCCGTCCATCTTGGCTAGCCTTACCGCCACCTCCTTTGCCTTTTACACATCCCCACGGGACCCTAATTTCCAATTCTTCGTTTGATAAATGACAACACCTACTCAGGAGAGCCTCAATACTGTTGGAGGAACATGCAGCACGTCCATCTTTTCGAATACACACCGCTACCCAACCCGAGATACACGCGTCTAGTCGTGCTCCGCCGTGGCGAACACGACCCATCGTGTCCCTTACCCTGCGACATCAGGAGATGAAAGTTGACCGCCCAGCAGCTTATCTGGCTCTATCATACACATCGAATAGTGAGACGCCCAGCGTGCCACCTACGGTCCATAAACCCGACACCAATACCGTTGGCAACGGCATCGGCAAGACTGGCAGGCAGCTCTTGATATCGCCCAAGTGTGCCGCTGCTCTATGAGTCTCCGAAAGTCCTCCCACAAAGCTTTCAGACGGCGCGGCATCTTGCTTGTCTAAATCGACGCCATATGTATCGATCAGGCGTCAAACGAGGAGAAGAGTGCCCAGGTGGCCACAATGTTCGAGATTCATCAAGAAGCAAAACGCGTAGTGGTTTGGTTCGGCAAAGATAGCGCACCTTTGACGGCAACATCTTTCGCATATATGGCTCCTTGTGCAGTACTCCCCAAGATTCATGGTATCCCTTCCTTTGGGATTCTTGATACTTTCACCAACATAGTGAAAGCATTTGCTACGAAGAAGATTGTCAAGCGTACGCCGATGCTGCATTGTGGGCGACTGTTCCTCACACCTGATGGGCGCCCAGGATTCAGTGTTTCAGGAATACCTAAAGAAAATGTGATTCTCCTCGTTGGTGGACTGAACTTCCCTTCATTTTAGACGCCGAGGAGAAGGGTATCTCGTTGAATAGGTATCACATTTGGGTGCGATGGTTGGAGGTTGTGAGGCATATAATTGACCCCTAACTAGACACAGATATAAGAATTCCAGTCGTCGGCATTATTCCCAGCAAGCCTGGCAGTTTGCGGCCAGGGACAAAGCTTTCTGGTCCGCCCACTTCCATCCGCCGGCGAGCTTCCCAGCAGTTCGGTAGGAGCAGCACCCTTCTCAACCCAATCGACCAAGGCTTCTAGTGAATTCTGTTTCCCGGGAACCTGGGGATATGTGGACGCGCCGCCGCAGTGCCCACCTCCTGCAAACACCAGTCAATCTCATATACGTTAGCCATGCGCACTTGGAGCCACTTACCAGGAACCATGAACAATGACGCCCAATCCTTCCTGTCTCCCGTCACCTTCTCAACCTCCTCCAGATGCTGAATCGGCCACGTTGCAGCGTTATACGGATCAGCCCAACCCTGCGTAACGAGCAGCTTGCCCCCGCTAGCCTTGAAAGCCGTCAAGTTGGTGCTAATCGAATCGATCAAGCTCCCGACCTTTTCATCCAAGGCATCAACATCGCCAGCCCAGTCGAAAGTGGTGCCATTGTAGCTCAAATCGTCAAAGACCATGTTTTGCAGTAGAGGCAGAGAAAACGACAAGGACAAGCGTCCCTCCTGGGGCATCCATTCAGATTCGCTCCCAAGGTCGAAGCCGGGGTAGAGGCTTGCGTTGGTCTCAGAGTGGCGCGGGCCGGCGTATATTTCCCTGGCTGCGACGAGTTGTTCCGGCGTGAGGCAGGTGGTGGTGTTGGCAGCAGATGTTGGACAGGCGAGGTTTTGGAGGTCAAAAGTACAGGCCAAAGGGTTCTCGAGGACGCCATCCTTGACGCCGTCTTCGGCGTCGCATTTTTCGAGTACTGCACTACGGATGAGGTTGAGAGACTCCTGGGGTAGGAATGCCGATCCCTGCACCGTGTCAGACATGCTGGCGTCAACTTTGCTCCCCAAACTTACCTGTGTCACCTGCTGATTCCATAAAAACGACAGTGCGAGGTGTGAATACCAGTTGCCCGGGCATCCCGCGGCAATACCATCAAACAATTCTGGATGATACTCCGCCAAAGCAAACCCCTGCGCACCTCCGGTTGAGCACCCCTTATAATACGAGCGCTCTGGGGACTTGCCATAGTGCAGGGCAGCAATCTCCCTAGCAGGCGGCGTGAACAACGCAATGGAGTTCCTGATCCACGCGAGAACCTGGTTGCGGTCGTGCAGGAACGGCAGGCGGATGCCTCCGGGATACGCGTCCCCACCATTGTTATCCTCCGCCCTATGTCCGCTGTCGCCTCCCGCGGTGGCAAAGCCTTTGTTGAGGTTTTCTACCATTGCTGCGTAGTCAATCTTGCCAGCTAACCCTCCGTTGCCTAGTTGCATTAGCCAAGTCTGTCATCTGCTGGGAACTGGCTTTACCTACCGACAGCGAGGAACCTGCCATTGTAAGAGCTTGCCTCGGGAAGCCAGACTTCGAACAACACTGTGTTGTTCTCTGGGTATGGGATGGTGCCGTTAACGCGGCAGAAGGAAGCCGTGTTAAAAATTGAGGACGCGTTCACGGTGTTTGCTGCGACGAAAGCTGATTCAACTGCTACCAAAGCAGGCACCGATGTCTTGACTAAATCAGCCAATGCGGCGCAATCCGGAGTGCTGCTGGATGGCGCAGCGCTCGAAGCTGTGACGAGCCAGACTGTTAGGGCTATGGCAGACAACATGATGTAAACGCGGCGCTTCCAACGCGGGTGGTCTTGTAGCTCAATAAGCCATGGCTTCGAGGGCGAACAGCGCCATATATGTATACCCCATATTGGAGGCTGCTCAGTGGGGACGAAGTTCAATCCGCGCAACGGGCTTCGAGTTTCCTTGCAGAGACGCTCCATCCCATTGTGTTGGGTCCGTTTTCGGTCATCGGCGCCGAGGCCGATGGGCATCATTAAATTACAACCCACGAGGACAGCAAACGAGGTCTATGAGGGGAGGTAAACCAGTCGAAAACAAGCATGATAACCCCACATAGGACATTTGACAGTTGCCGGGTTCCGCTGGGAAACAACGATTACTAACCTCGGTCAACGGCGCCGAAGCCGGTTTCTATTCAGCATAGAGATGGAGTTGCAAAGACCATGGATCTAGGGGTGAAGTGCGTCCGTATAGGTGGCATTTCTCCGCGGCACGGTGAGTCTCCGCATCGAGGTGTCATTGCGAGCGGGCCACGACAGTGCGCTTTATTGCTCCTTTACGCGGGGTAATTACCGACCAGGTGGCTCTGGATAATCGTCCCGCTTGTAGATCGGATTGAGCAGCTCTAAGCACCGACTTGGTCCGGATTGTTTACAATGACGTCTGTCGAGCCCCGCTTCGGCTTGGACATTGTCCTGTCGTGGATGAGGGTCCGTGACGTAACCTGTTGTCTTGGTTGAGACAGGCTGAGTTGTGTTGTTTTGAGACCAACAGTGTAATTTGATGCCAGGTCTATAACCAAAGACGCAGTTTTAGAACTCATTGTAACTCATGTTGACTTTTTCACAGAAAACTAGACTCACTTAATGTGGGCGAAACCAGCACAGAACGCTCAGAATGGGAAAAGTGGTGTTGTTGGTTGGAAGAACTAACTAACTGGCTAGAGGGCTGTGGAGGCTGGCTAAGACCAGTGGTGGCGGCCGTCAGCCCACGTGACGGGCCGGCGAGGCCTGCCACCCACACTTAATTAGACTTCCCGATTTGCCGTGTTTAAAATACGCAATTCAAACAAAATGTGGGAACACCGAGCGTTCCTCATCTCCACATCCTTCAACCCTGTTTCGGCGTGGTTTATCGGCAATTGAACCTCCTTGCCTCACATCATCTCCGCCAAGCCCGCAACCATGTCGTCGGTACAGGTGCCGCCACGGAAGCGCCGCAAGACGCAGCTCGCTTGTAATCCGTGCCGCGCCCGTAAGTCCGGCTGCGACGGCATGCGTCCGGTGTGTACTTCGTGCAGGACTAAGGGATGGGTGCAGCAGTGCGCGTATCAGGAGTCGGTGTTGCGTGCGTCGTCGCGGCCGTAAGAAATCTTCAGACTCTGTTGATTGAACAATACTAACGAGTTGCTAAGGACCATATCGGAACTTCAGCGGAGATTGGAGAGGCTTGAGGGGTCGCCTGTGCCTTCGAGTTCCATTCACACGGCTGCAGTAGGGAACGGAGATGGTCCAACGAGAAAAGTCTCGAATCCGAGGCTAGCTGAGCATGTCTCCGAAATTAGTCGCCATCAAAACAGTGAAGTCTCGCATAACGACGATGAGACGGTTTATGGCCCCTCTTCTAATATTTCATTCCTTCGCCAAGTGACGCTCGCGGCTGATCCTCAGAGCCAGAGCCCGGATGCTCCTGGTGAGGCGACCGATACCGCGCCGACGGTGCTTGGCTTCTCTACTACGCAACCTAAAGGCCCGGATCCTCTGCCTGAGCCCGTGATGCTGCCTGAAAGGTGGCTGGCCGATAGCCTGGTCGAGGCTTTCTGGGAGTTCGTTCACCCCGTCTTTCCGATCCTTCATCGCCCGTCATTCATTGCATCATATGAAGCTTTGTGGCAACCTACAAGAGGCAACGGCCACAAGCGAGACTTTAAGGATGTGGTGTTCCATTCGACCTTGAGCATTGTGCTTGCTCTGGGCTCTCAACGCACCGACCGAGTCTCAGTTGCAGAGCAAGCTGATCTGGCAGACAAGTTTTACAAGCAATCTGTAAAGTTAGTTTCAGTTGATACACTTGACCATTCCTCGCTTCACGTCGTTCAGCTCTTTCTGCTCAGGGGCGTTTATCTTCACTACACATCATACGCAGACCGGTGTTGGAATACTGTTGGCGTAGCTTTACGGATTGCACAGGGTCTTGGGTTGCATCACGAGGGAGACAGGTCTATCGCGACAAACCAACTTCGTCGGGAAATGAGACGGCGCGTGTGGCATTGTTGTCTGACTTTGGATCGGTAAGTTGGATCTAATCTGTGAACGCATTCCTTTGAATGTCACAATTGACGTCGGACGCGCTTGCAGATTAACGGCAACGACCTTTGGACGACCGGTTCTCCTCTCTCGCCAGTACTCTGTACCGCCCCCAGCAATTATCGATGACGAATTCCTTTCAGAAACAAGCGAAGGGGCTCAGCCTCCGAGCCATCCGTCGTATCTGGTGTTCTTCGTTCATTCGTTAGAGCTTTTCGACGTGTTGAAAGAAATCCTCGGCAAATTCTATGGGGATGGCGACTATGCTCTGGAACAACGAGCTCAGTCTCTTAACGATGTTCTCCAGTTATCTTCGAAACTGGACGACCTGAGCGATCTTGTTCCCGCTTATTTGAAAGAAAACGCCAGTCTAAATGGATATAAAGAAGAAATACGAGGATGCTTGCAGATGCAGGCAAATATCCTCAAGTCCAGGTATTAATTTAACCCCGGTTCAAGACATCTTGCTAAGAATTGGAATAGAGTCCTGTGGATCCGCCTCCTGCTATTACGTCCTCTGCTCCTCGCGGAGGCCAAAAAGGCCAGTCGATCACGACTAGCTTTACCTGGCTCATCTACCCTACGAGAGAGCTTTGGGCACGCAGTCAACACCCTCTGTGTTGCCACAGCCCATGCTGTCCTCCAAGAAATGTATGAGAAGCTAGGGAGTGTTCGCCAAAACTCAGCTTGGCATGTCCTGTTGTGTAAGATCACAACCCCAGGGATAGCAGTGGTCAAGACTCACGGTTCTTATAGTCACATTTGCGGCAGCATCTACCCTGGTTGTTGCTACATTGTGTCCTGGTCTTCAAGTAAGCTTTCACACCGAGCCAACAAAGACATCTTGGGATCATGCATTGCGCATCTTTGAATTTCACAAAAAACACGTCGCTTCAGCTGCCAGGGGTATCGAGGTCTTGCAGAGATTCCGTGACTCGGTTGCCGCTGTCTCACGTCGCGACGCCCCCGCAGGTATGTTTACAGCGTTGACGAGAGTTTCGTGTGCGGAGTAACTAACAAGATAGAAGAACAAAATGATGAGCCCCATCAAGTACAGGAGGACGTATTGCTCCCTTTCAGCACTGTCCCTGGCCTAAGCCAGACGCCGATGGCCCAAGACTTTGGTGACTTTTTGGGCTCCGACTTGCTAAATGAGAGCTGGTTTAATACGCAAGGTATAGATTTTGGCAACTGGCCCGTTTTTCAATGATAGAAGTATCTAGACATATTTATGAAATAAAAGCAAGTCCGGCAACCAGCGCCGACGAGTGTGTATTCTTGTTTTACTGACAAGGTCTAAAGACCAGATGTTTGCTTTTTCTGCACCGCATCACGATTGAATAACTGGAGCAAAAGAGTATTTAATATGTGTCAAGTGAATAGACGCATGAGATAATAATTACGTGAAAACAAAGTGTTGAGCCTCGGCGCCTGCTTACTATCAGACGCCACCATGGACTTTGGTGCTGACTTTTGACTTGGACGAGGACAGGTTAAACACCCAAAGTTCCAATTTCAGAAAGTAGTCAATATTTCATCAAGAATTTCCGCCAACACAATTCACATCAGCACAGGCTCAAACTTGTGAATAATCAAGATTTGGCTAACTACGCCCGCTACACAAATGGCTCTTCAAACTACTAATACATGACATGCTCAAGAGACAGGGGCGTCGGAGTCGTGAAACTTGTTCAGTTTCAACAGCTTCTTTGCGTTATCCCTTCCAATCTTGCGGTAGTTCTCAACACCGCCGACGGCTTTCTTGACCTCTTCCGCCTTGCCATCCCACCAGGCGGAACAGTTCTCGATCGTCTCGTACGGATAATCGACGCTAAAAAGCACGCGGTCGGCGCCAATCTCGTCCACCACGTACCTGAGTGTCGACGTCGAGAAGTGGCCGCTGGTGGTGACCCAAATGTTGTGCTTAAAGTAGTCGTAGACGGTCTTCTTGCACATGCGATCCTCGTTGCCTTCTTCCTTGGCAATAGGCTTCTTGACGTCTTCGAACCAGTGATGAATTCGAGGGAGGTCGAAGGGGATATGTTCTCCCAGGTGACCGACGATGATCTTGAGGTTCGGGAACCGGTCAAACACACCGTTGGAAATGATTCCCATCAGGTGCAGGTTCACGCCGTTGGCGAAGCTGAGAGGGGGGCCGACGAGGTACTTGCGCTGCGCGTACAGCTTGTCGTACACCACATCTGCCGGCGCGGCGGGATGGATGTACACGGGGACGTCGAGGTCGGTCACGACTCTCCAGAAAGCGTCGTACTCCGGCTGGTCGTAGAACTTGTAAGTCTCCCCGTTGGGGCCCGCGTGCTGGAAGTCGCAGAGCAGCGCGCCGTGGAAGCCGAGCTCCCTGACGCAGCGGGTGAGCTCGCGGCCGGCCTGGGCGGGGTCGTGCATCGACAGGCACGCAAAGGCGCCGAGCTTGTCGGGCCGGGACTTGACCTGGTCGTGGGCCCAGTCGTTCACCTCCGCGGCACGGCGCTCGGCCTCGGCCTGGTCGGCGATGCCCTGGATCCCGGGAACCGTCAGGGAGACGATGGTGTAGCCGATGCCGTGGTCGTCTGCCAACTTGACGCGCTCCGAGTTCACATCGCTAATCTGACGCATGTAACGATCGCGGTCGCTGGGGTTGATGTAAAGGGCGGCTTCGCGGCGGGATTTGTCCTCCATGCCGGCCACTTCGTAGGCTTCTTCGAGTGCGATCTTGCCTAGCATTTTTGACGGTTTATCAAGGACTTGGTTTGTGACTGGTTGAGTGGGGCGTTGCTTGATATTGTGAAAGTACTTTTCTTTTGCTTTTGATGCGCTTTCTGGTGTAGTAGTCAAGAAGTGCCAGCTTTGGGTTCTTGTCACCAACTCTTATACTTGAACTTTTGTCCTATATCAAACGTAGTCAAGGCCATGGAGGCCATGGCTGTCTCCGCGTATCCCGAAGGCTTTTTAGCAATCATGACGTCTGAAAGCCCATAGCCAGACACGTCTGAATCTGTTTAGTCAGTCCTTTCAAGGCTGGAAGAATGGAGTCGTGACAATAATCTGATATGGAGGGCCCATTTTGTGGTGGCAATCAGTCCAAGCTTTTCGAAAGTCGTTGCATTGACCAATGGGAATCGTGTTTTATCTCCGCGGCCTCATCGGGGAGATCGTACGCTTCCGAGGATTGGCGTCATAGGGCTCCGAAGTGGGTACTCCCATCCCGGGAGCTTGAATTTCAAGGTAGGATCTTGTAGCAAGATTCGGCTACGGCACTGAGACAGAAAAATAGAGCTATGCATCCTCGATACCGATCCGGCTAGAATACTTCCAGCGGGGCTAGTAGAGATCCTTGCGGCACTTGGTGGGTTATTTCGCATGACCGTGTGCTATGGCTTTCAGACGTAATGCAAGTAACGGATTGCAAGTTGGTATAGACTGAGACAGTATTTTCTAGAGCTTGAAGCCATATTGAGGTTTTGCATGTCTCAACAACACTATCAAGGAACCTTTGTAAGTACTTAACCCTACCAAGGTATCTCACACACGGTCAACTGGCATTCTTTCAACGGCAAGCGGAACCCCGTATTAGCCACAGTTGCAACATTACCTGGTCGAATCACCCAAGAAGCAAGGCATGTAATTCTTGTTGAATATCAACAGCTTACATATATTTCACTCGATACCACTCACTTACCAGATGAGACCAGACACGTTTGTAGCAACTGGGGCTTACAAGACAACAGATAGAATCATGGCCACCGGACTATAACGAACACGAAACGCGTGTCGCATTCTATTTGACAAAGCAGACTTGGCGTAGGAGTGATTTTGGTGCTGGCCCAACAAGCGAGGTGCATTAGTGGCCTGCCTAGAAAAGACACAGTCGTTACCAATAGGATCGCTTCGCCTGCCGATCTCGGGCAGTAAAGGTACCGACACAAAGGGGGGGTTGATCCAAATTCGAATCATTGCCATATTGATATCAATCGTTGGCTAAAAATTGCCAGTTATTGCTCATGTTCCTATTCAATGTTATGGCATTCTCTTTTGAAAGGCCTTATCTTGGTCCTACCTACTATGCGCGCGCACATTCACAAAAAACAAATGACTGAATGCTGACGTGTATCTCATCGCAAGCTAAGAGGCTTCCTGCAGGGGAACCTCTTTTTTAAGTCGTGGCCGGCGAATCAGCTGCTCATCAAGTGAGGGGTTGTCTGACACCGGTCACGTAGTGGTTTTGACTGCAAGAATCCTTTAGGCATCATTCGTAAGGGCGAAATCTGCCTAATTGTGCAGAATGCGGCCGGACCAGGCATAGGAAACTGAGTGTCGCGCCTCCATTCATGGAGACGGAGGTGGAAAATCTGCTGCCACTTGGCGAAATTATCGTATGCTAAAGAGAGCTTGGGTGAGAGAGAAATGGATGCATCTATAGATTACTTCTTAAATCATGGCCATCTTGCAACGTTTTGGTTATCAATTTCTTCCCATGGCTTTGACGACGTTTGCCATGATTTTTGCTCAGGTCCGGCGTGCCTCCATACCATACCATTGAAATTACCTATGTGACATGATTTCCTCTCCTATAGCTGCTAGGAATATCCTTCGCTGTCTTGTTTTGGTGCAGCCAATAAACAATAGCTATGTTTGTTTTTTTAAGTTGGCGCTGCTACGTCGCCATAGACTGGGTGCTCCCATCCTCAAAAACCTTGAGGCGGGGTTTCTGCAAGGAAAAAAATGAGTACAAGATCTTAAATCACATGAGCATGTAGAGAAGAGGGGTGACGAACAGGATCAATATCATGATAGCCCTCAAAGCGGCAATGGGTGTGCTCGCAGCTATTCAGCCAGCGGCAGTGGTGACCCAGCATGCAAGTGACGTCGATGCAGTCGGACATTTGGCTGCAAGGAATTCCTCGGGACTATGAAAAAGTTGGCATAAATATTATTTTTTTGAGCTGGGGGGGGACGTTTACCTTCTGTTTTAGCACTACTAGTTCTCCTGGACTAAGCTTCTCGCCATGGGAGTAGTTGCATTCGTCTCCGTTTTTGCAATTGCCGTGAAGATGATATGCGTTGCAAACATTGCCAGCTTTCTGCATGCGTTCTTTGAATCGCTTCTCCGCCGCTATGTCGGTTCGCGGAAGCGGTTCATCGACGCGCTGGCTCTCTGCATTGAGGAGGTAATACTTCCGGAAAGCCTGTTTCTTGGTCGAAGAAATGTCGATTGTCTTGGTAGGAGCAGTAGACTTTGTCAAACGGGACCATGACGGTGGCGTTTGCGCACCCCCGCTAGATGGTGAGCTCATAATGCCAGGAGGCTGGCTTTCGTTCGTGTCACTCCTCAGCAGAGCACCGCCGCCGCCATTGCCGTTCTGTTGCTTTGGACCTAAGGGCGGCGGCAACGGTTGGATACCGAGGGATGCAGCCATATTCGTGATAGTGTGCCTGTCGGGGAGTTTCTCGGTTCTGAAAACCGAAGGGAAGCTAATCCTATGGAAGTTTAGGTGTTTAAACCCCTCCTCAGCGGGTGTAGTCTCAATAAGTGTTAGGCGCGGATGGACTTTTGGGTCCAGCTTGTAAGGCTCAAGAACAGGAAGGTAACCGTTATCGTGGCAGGGGCCGAAGAAGATATGCTTGCACTGAGTAACGCGGACCATGACGCGTAGCATCTCCCTGATCTTATGGTCGGCCGACTCCTTGCCAGATCCGACATCAATAAAGCTGAAAAGGGGCTGTGAACGACCAAAGCCCCGGCCAAAGTCGGCGAGAGTGCGCTCGACAGTGCTGTTAGGTATGATTCCGGAGGCATGAAGCTTCTTTGCGAGTCCGTCCATATTCAGTACGATTTGGACAATGATGCTCCAGTCCTCGCTGGCCGACTCTGGATATGCGTCGGTAACATACTTCTTAATCTCGGCCCACAAGAGGTAGCCAGCCTCAGCGCCTCCATCGACACCTTTTTTGAGAAGGGCATCCTGAAATACTGCGCCATCTCCGTCAATAATAACAAAAACGAATGGATTAGAATCCTAGCATCCGTCAGTCTCGATGTCTACGTCAAAAGTCAGAGTAGACCAGAGTGGGCCATGCCGTAACTAACGTTAGCCTTTTTAAGTAGGGATACTTGGCTTTCAAATTTTTGCGCCTTGGTCTGCCACATCCGCCGAGACTCGACCTCGTTGCTGTAATCGTCGCACTTTTCCTGATACGCTTGCTGGAGCTGTCCAAAACGAACGATAATTTCCTGTATTTCGATTGTTAGATATCAAAATTATGAGGCAAACTACGTCGTTGTAACCAATCCCCTCAAGGCAGTTACAAGACTGACGATTTTTTCGGCGTGAAATCTTGACTCTTTTTCCACAATCCCGAGTACTGACTTGAATCATCTGATCTCGTGTGTAATCATTCTGACGAAAGATTTCCAGCTGCTGGACGTATTTGGCTAGATCATTTGAGCTATCCATGTCGCTGCCTTGATCATGTATAAAACTCATATCGGGTAATTTACGACTCTATATTCGCCTGCGCTGGCGAGCCGCTGATTGATGGTGATATGCTGGGCTGTGAGCTCCTTCTTTCATCAATGTGAAATGGGGAGATGAGGTTGTGAAGGTTTTGAGCTTGGGACGAAGCGCTGCTTCATTATCTAATCTAGTGTGGGGCCATGCTGGGGGGGCTTACTTCATCTCAGGCCATTCAGAGCGGTCGCTTTCCATTGTTCTGGGGCTTCGGAGCCCCTTGTGCGGTCCAATCTTAGTGCCAGGCTTTTGACCATCCAGTAGGTTTGGGGGTCTTGTGTTCGCTGAAATCCGAAACTAGCGGGCCAATGAATATCTACTCCCCCGGGCACTGTTTGCTGCGGAGCGGGGACTTGCATTTATTTTCCCGACGTGGCAATACTTCTTTCGATAACTGGTTTTTCTGCCGTTTGTCTTGCCTGCCTTTCTGCAGACATTCTGTGTCTGTCAATGGCAATGGTAGGACAGCCAAGCTAAGGCAGTATATGGGTGTTTGACTGTTTCTGTCTGAGAATAGAGAATTTTCTAGAATGTTTTGTCTCACATCTTGCACCACTAACCCCCAGCTGACCTAAACTCACCAGAAACTAGCATTCTGCCTGAAGTCGGGTAGCCCGGATTAGGGAAAATGACAACGTTTTCTTCTCATTCTATCTATTTTTCGAATTTCCTTGTTGTCGTGATGCCTTCGAGGCGAAGTGCGCAGCCTCACCATCACGTGACCCACATATCGCCTGTGGGGATAATCCCGAAATGGAATGACCGGAATATCTTTATTCCGCTTCGCCCACAAAAACATATTTAGGCACAATATCGTTCCATAGTGTAGTTAGGAGAAGACAAGCCACTCAATCTACTACTTTGAATACATGCCTACGTTCAGCACTTTGCTTCACCACACTTGTGGTAGCCTCCCGATTAATTCAAAGGGATAATGATTAAGGCAAGTAGACAATTGAAGTTTCTGGACTTTTCTGCTGGTCAATGGCAGTGAACCTTTGCCATATTCGTGTTTGACTCTGGGGAAGAACCATTTTCCTTGTCAACGTACAAGTACGTTGAAGAATCTATAAAGTGTTATGACATGTCACAGCCAGCCTTCCTCGTTATGTCTACTTAAATGCAGAGCGCGATCAATGTCGCTTCAATTAGTTCCTATCATCGAGTAGTGTTCAATGTTGTCGTCGTTTTAAATCTTTTCCCGGTTTTCACTTGCTACACAGACAGAAAAAGAATCTGAATTGAACAAAGCAATAGTAGCACGGTTCGTAGATTACGGTCCTTGATTCAGAAATGCTTGACATACTCCAGTAGAACGAAGTAATTAGATTGTCATAGACATATACAATATGGTTGAGTCTATAATTCACATGCTCCCTTGCTGTCACGTCAAAGGGTAGGACAACCCTACAGGTTCTGGTCCTTCTTCAGCAAAATCCAACTTCCACCATTGCACGCATCTCTCTACTCCTCTCGAATGTTCTCATAACCCCTTTCGCACGACAAAATTACCCTATAAAAAGTTTCGCTAGTAATTCTACCTTAACATTAAAGGAATGAGTTTGGCGCTAGCGATAAGCATAGAAACAGACTTAAGCGAAGACAGGTGAGAGGCGCTGAAGAGCGCACACGTAACCAAAGCTTCCAAACCCTTTGGCATTCTTAAAAGAAGGAGCAGAAATTATTACAACTCCTTTGCGACCATGGATTTGCGTCAGGTCAAGCCTGTTTGAGGTACGGGTAAGAGCGAATATTCAAAAGGTTGGATCAATTAGCGATTGGCTGGTGTCACTAGGTACCTGGTATTAAACCTTCAGTTATGTCTACTTGTCTTCAAAATATAGATGGGCTTAGTACCCTACGTTTATACATTAAACCTTCCATGACATTGTAAGTCCTAGGTCTAGGCTACGCTCACCGTAGTGAATGGTGTCATGGATGTGCGCAGTTTGTTGTTTACTTTCCAACCTGGCAAGACTAGCTAACGTCCCACACCCACTTCTGGGCACCCCCCACATTTGGGCACCCCATTTACACCAAAAACGCCGTTTTTCGAAATTCTATATTAAACTAACTACTATACTTACTAAGAAAAGAAAATATATATAAACTATGTTAAGTATAATTATAGCCATCTAATTTTTTATAAAGGTTTAAATATAATAATAGTTATAATATAGAAGTTTAAAACTAAAAGCTTTAAAATGTTAGTAGATACTAGTAACTTACTAGTATTCCTTAACATTAGAAAAATATATTTTCGCTTATATATACTTATTTAAAAAATCTAGGAAATTAATATTTATACTTATTAAAAGTATATAATTATATCTAAAAGAGATTTAAAAGTATTACTTTAGTAAATATAGTATAATTAAGGGTTAAAATTCTATAATAGAAACTTTTCTTAAGGGAAATTTTAAAATATTATTCTAAGCTTAAAGAATTTTTTACTAAGTATAAGAATATATAAATCTACTATATCTTACTTAAAAATTCTAATCATATTAGTTAAATATCTCTACCTATTTTATATATTAAGATATAGGCTAGGTAAATTAGTATTATAAATGTTAAACCTTGAATTTATAATACTTATTATTAATAATACTAGTATATAGCTACTTAAGTATTATAATTAAGTCTTAATCTATTTAACATATATTTATTCTCTTTAATAAGTAAAGTATTTAGTTTAATATAGAATTTCGAAAAACGGCGTTTTTGGTGTAAATGGGGTGCCCAAATGTGGGGGGTGCCCAGAAGTGGGTGTGGGACGTTAAGCCCTGACGCGGGCAGCTTCACGCCGCAGAAACCCCTTTGGCCGACGGAACACCTGTAATACGTATGCGACGCGGATTCCCTTGCTTCGAGGTAAGGTGCTTGTGTAGCTTTAGTCGTTTAGTCGACATGTTTATTTATTGTTTGCAGTCCCTCCCACTTGTCTTTATGATGCACGCTTGTTGTGTATTTTATTTTGTACTTAGGTAGGGTTACAAGGCAGGTTTACGTTTGCCCTTGGCCCCAACTCGACATCAACACGGCAATCCCCCCCAATACCACGATTCCATCATGTCATATATTATTGATGGTATCCAGGGGAGGTCGTTACCGAAGATCGAAACGATTCAAAATGGCCCTATTTCAAGTCTCGTACCCTTTGGATCACTACTCCTGGTCTCCAGTGTAGTCGTTGTCGTCCTGATCGCCAATATACTTGAGAGATGGCTCCTTCGCAAGGTTTACGGGGAGGTTTACATCACTTTGGAACGACCCGAAAACGAGAAGCGGCGGCGCTCTTTCACATACTACCATGTCGGTGCCGTCATGATGTTCGCGCTTTTATGCATCGGCGTCTATCCCGTAATGCGATTCCTCGTGGGCAACGCTGCGTTATCAACTCCTCTGGTTCCAGGGCGGCGCATTCGGATTGGCGACGTTCTCTTTACAGTTTCTCAGACTTACAGCGCCTACTATGTTTTCGAGCTTTGCTTCCGCACCCAATTCGCCAGCCCGCTCAGCATTGCCCATCACATTGGGCTCCTTGCAATTACACAAACGGCTCTTTCCCTTTTCGGCAACTTTGCGGAGCATCCAGAAGCAACAATTGAGTTTTACATGTGCATGGTTTGGGGTAAGATTTACCTCCAGCGTAGGAAGCAGAACACTTTGCTGACAGTGGACGTGACCCCTCTAGGTGCCTTTGATGTCGTGGTCGAACTACCTATTTACGTATCGATGATCGTCTGGAGAGCCAGGCGCGGTGATCATCGACTGCTATCTTACATGGTGTATGGATGTTTCGGCTGGATCCTCCTGGGAGCCACCCTAGAGACTGCAATTACCATCTACCTCCTCCATCGTTCCTGGGATCGCTGGGGACGGATATGGAGGGTCATTACGCCATTGATTTTCTCCCTGTGGATTTCGACACAGCTCTACGGTGCTTCCAGGCTCTTCCTGATGGCTCGCTCGGAGCAAAGAAAATGTGGCAATGGCATGAAGCGGGAGCCAGAGCGTCTTGGAACCGGTGTCGGAAGTCACATCCTCCCTTGCTGAAGGGGATCCAGCCAGACCAGAAGAAGAATCGAAGAGAAAAGCTGTGTGAAGGCTCCAAGATGTATAGCACTTCTTTCAAAGTGTTAATGGTCATTTGATTGGACAATGATAACAGCCGTCACTATCAGATGATTTCCAGCATTCGCCCGGTCGGCCCGCAACTACTCACAACAATAAATCGAGTCTCGGACAGGATGGATTGGATATGACACAGAAATTCCAAGCGTTCTCAGAAGAGTAATTGCCGCCTTCTGCGGGCATACGTCGACGAGGACGGAAATCAACTGACAGCCATTTTCTGGTTTGGGCCGAACTTTTCAGACGTGACACAGTTAACGACTCAACAACAAACGTTAGTGTCGTATCGAAGCGTCTAGTCATGTACCAACAAACCGACTCGGGGAAAATTCGTAATCCTCTTCGCCGCTTGAATCGCGCATTCAGATGAGTGCGGTGTCGGCTCGAAGCTGGCATTGTCCACTGAATCAAAGAATTAGATCGCCCCAAAAGACTCGCATCGTCTTAGCATCGGTGATGCGCCGTCATACTTTACCCAACAGCTGGGTGTACGTGGTGGCACGGAGAGAAACGGTCAAAACAAAGGCATGGAGTCCTGGATACGGCGTTTCGTATTGCATACGCAAATACCCCATTTTCTAAATACAGGACTGGAGCTACATTCCACATCTTACTACTTAATAAATAAGATTAATTCAGGTTTTTTCCGGCGCAGTTAATAACCCAATATGGAAAAAGTTGGGGGGCAGGAGCCGCAAGTGTTTACTCTTGAACCCACATCTCTACATGATTACTGAACCACCTCAGCTTACTCAGGTTTAACTCAATGCTCTGCAGTGACAAATGCAAGAAGCAGGTAACAAACCGCAAACCCTTACCACTGTGTCAAATCAATCTTCACAGGGCATCCTTCCTAGCTACAGCCGGCAGAAACACATATAGGTTCTGACATGATATCACCATGTCTCCACCAGGAGAAGTTGTCAATGTTAATTGGCCCATATCAAGCACGCAGTTGGACAACCAAGGGAGTGCGTGTAAACTGACAGTCGGAGGCCGCGGACCAAAAAACGCCACCAAAACATTCGGTTGCCGGAAATTACCAAGACCCTTACGCCGCACTCGTATCATGCACTGCTGGGGCTTAGGGTACAATACAGAATATTGTGGGCTTGTAAATCACGATCTCTAGTGTAGGCAGACTTCGAAACCAACGTCATAATGGCAGAGTGGGAGGCCTCGTTCACAGGGTTCTGGTGGTAGTACGATGGTACATGCTAAGTCTGGAAGACGCGTCATTCACTTTTCACTAGTCTGGCCTCGTATCCGTCGCATCAGCTTGTTGATGGTGGCGCAAAGGTAAGCGAGAGTGCCTGGTGGAAGAGCCTGTTGCAGATGGCTCTGCATGAGTCCAGATCTGTTTGTGAAGTCACCCAAGGAAGTCACCCAAGGTGCCCAGAATGCTCTCTAAAGTACAAGAGCCAGTTGATCTTGAGATAAGGGACCATAAACACTCTCATCAGATCAATATGGATGTCTGGGAATCTGTGCTGCTTCCCATTCAGTGAAATGGAAACCGCGTGTAGAGCACTCTTGTCTTCATCTTGGTCAAGAACGAGGATGATAACTGAGGGCCTTCTGGCTCTGAATGTTGATATCAACTGAGGAATATGACGTCCAATCCAAAAGGTTTGAGTTAGTTTTTCTGCTCATTAGGGCGTCTTTGAATACATTTGCTTCTCCCCACTGCAATTGATTCATTTTACCCGTATCCTTTATGTCGAGTATCTTCTTCTAGCACGAAGCTTCAAGCGCTCGTCCGTCATTCAGAATTGGCTGACTTGAACATACGACTGGTCTGTTATGAGCACAGGACAAGTGATTATCCTTGTCAAGGTTTCGAGATGATGGGTAGCACCATACATTACTCTGGCCTTTTGGCAACATACAGATTGCCGATGTGAATGACTCTGGTTCTGATATGCATTAACCCTTTTATTTGACTTTTGTCGGCCGAAAAGTATGATTGTGATATTTATACCTACCTCTCAGTCGGCCAGCTTTTGCGAAATTCATCTTGATGACGTATTTGTACCGACGACGATGAGCCCTATTTCAATTTGTGTTCCAGCGGTTGTAGGAGAGCCCCTGTTCATTCCGTTGAAATAGACCACAGGCTTAGTTGGTTCAGTCTCTGGGGTTCATTCGGGAGGAAGCTACATTAAACGTCGCCACAGATATATGCAGCTTGCCCTGGGGCAAGTCTACAGTTTTCTTAATTAAGGATATTGATTGATAAAAGTAAAAGTATGTTCACAAAGGCTCACTATCAAAGTAGGCCAAAACGAAAGTCAGGCTAAAAGAGAAGTTGATGTTTCTGAACAATGGTTAGAAAAAGCAAAAAGAATAGCTGATGTGCTGTCAATCGCGGACGGGAATTGAGCCCGACGTGGGGGTCGAACCCACAACCTTGAGATTAAGAGTCTCACGCTCTACCGATTGAGCTAGCCGGGCGATCGGAAGCACCCAGCTGGATTGTTGACGATTCGGGGCTTGGGAAAGAATATGGACATTAGGCTGCTACTATGTGTGGATATGGGTGTGGGTTAGGGTTCGTTAAGAAATTTTCTTTGGGCCCGCAAGTTGTTCGAAATTAGCGCAGGAACCGATGTGGTACAGACATGACGAAGGGGTCTGGTCCCACTGGGTCGACAATGCAAGTGCCTAGAGCACTTCTCTAATTTTAGAAGTAGAAAAAAAGTTAACGATGGCTTGGAAAAACCTACGCAGAAAAAACTTCTGACTACCAAATAACCCTGAAATACGCCCAAGCTTGCCAAAGTGTTTGAATAGCTGCATAAAGCGAGGGTTCTTAACCCACACAGCTCAGTATCTGCCTGTGCCCAGCTGCTTCATCATGTAAAGGCTGTCCTACCCTCTCGACAATCGGCTCGATGAATGGACATGCCCTTGTTATAAGTTTCCAGATATTGACCAATGGTCTGTGGTATGAGCTTACGGTTTGCTTGAGTGATGAGTTGGAAGAAGCAGCTTATGCCAACCTATCCAGCTGTCTGAGTTTCAGTGTCTATATATGCCCAAAGTCTCGTCTTGCGGGGGTATGCTGAGACTGCCTAAGTCAACCCCGACGAAACATATTCATTTGAGACCTAGCGTGTCAGTTGAGTAATGGAACTTCTCCAGAATGACCACAGACTTTGGTGTTTATGACACCTCCAGAAATGACGTATCGAGAAAATAGCCTTCAAACCTGACGTTTTATTTTGACACGATAATCACCACGTAAATAAGCCCCAGTGTTAAACGGTGTGTTGAAGTGTTCAGATTCACGAAGCTTAACTGCTACAAACACTGCTTTGCACTAGGGCCAGGTCTTCCTACCCAATGTGACTGTCACTACGCCACCCGTCGTATAAGTCACGTAATCTGTTAATTTGGGAGTCTCGGTGCTAAGGAATTAGTTCCAGATACATATTGCGTTGAATGATCAAGAATAACTTGGACGCTGTTTATCTGCGAGACTAAGTCAACAGCAAAGTATTGATAAGCTATCAGCTTTCCGTGGGTGATTGCATTAGTTGATTGTGTATCTTTTATTTGCTTGCTATCAAGGTTCTCAACGATTGCGTGAACAGTTCCACTGGCGCAGGCACTCATAATGGCCATCTTAGCTTCGTTAATGCGATCTATGGAGGTAAGCTAATGGCGTGATTCTCGAGAACAACCCTTGGATGGAAAGTATTGGAAGGAATGCGACAAGTATCAACAAATTTGACGACTGTATGCGACACTACTGGAATCAGTAAACAGTAGATGTAAAGTCAAGTTGGATAGTATGAACGGAATAGCAGCTATTGACCCAACATGACATGGACGAGAACTGCGACTTGACCATGCTGCCTTTTGTTTATATTGACGGACTTCACCAGCCACAACTGCTAAAATAGATTAGGTGGTTCTACAGCAGATACTGAGTTACAAAGAATCATCCCAACACATATGAGTTTGTACATAAAAGGAAGGCGGGATGATAGTAACTTGCTTTTGTGATATTCGGCATTATGACAAAGGAAGCATAAAATGAAACATAATTCTACATCACATGCCAACTGGATTTGAATAATTTGACAATATTGTGCATAATGACATGTGCAAAAGAATACTCATTACATAGCAGTTGTCACTATGGTTCAATAAGGTACATTGCGAGTCAACAAAAATGGTGTGACTTGTTTTGAGTGCCACTTTGATAATCTCAGTAATTAAACCCTTTTAATTGATCGAGCTGAAAACGAATGATATCCATTCATTAAGATATTTGCACGGAAAACGATAAGATAATAAATGTGGTGTAAACGTAATATCTGAAATCAAGTGGTCGGCCACTCCGAGAACCGATGCCAACAAGAAAGCTCATGTTTGTACTCCCAAGGTTTCTCCACAAGAAACTAAATGGATATTATTTTTGGCCAAAGCTACTTTAACATTGAAAAACGCATGCTACATTTGGTTTGCTCTTTTGGGTTATCAGGCCCATCCGTGCGCAAACTTGATCGATAACAGGGGCCGTTAATACCAATGGAGATCATCCGATCTGTCACTTTTCTCCATCTGCTGGGGGGTTTGGCTGCCGGCACTAACTAAGTGTTCCCAATAAGCGCCTCAACCGCGGAGCCGCAACGCCAATAGAAGGAGTCGTGCGCGTCATCACCTACACACGGCAAACCGGGGTCCTGGGACTGGGTGGGCATACCATCACACGTGTGTGCTTGCCCAACACCCAAAGGTGTGTGGTGTGCTATGCAGTATATTGTTTGTGGTTGTGTGGTCACATCGCAGAAGCTGATTATCCTGTTATGCATCCACGTCGCCGGGTACCTATGCAACCAAGACCGCAACCACGCCAGCGGTCCTAAACTATTGGCCCGGTAGGGCTGAGCAACTTTGACCTCTATTGGAGTTGTCTGAAAGTCATTTACCGGCAGGCTGTACGCCTAGCTAGGGTGTCTATCGTGAGACATTACGTCGCGGGGATGTCAACCCTGGATTCCATCCCACCGGGCCCGTATCCAGCTGGGGTTCGGAGTATTTTGCATAGTTAGCTAGCAAGGTAGGTAGGTCAAGAAGCACCATTCCCATCTCGCAATTATGGTATATCACATTAGGGCGATTTTGTGTCTCATTCCCATGTTTCAGGTGTGCGAACAGCTCATGAACAATGTCATTGTCTTTTCAATAGTAATGGAACCAGTGGATTTTTGATTTTCGGATTTATGACAGAAATTTCTACTTCATCGACGAGCAACATACGCCCCCCCCCCAGCCTAATTTATAATTTCCGTACTGGGAGGAGGGAGAGTGGTGGTGCATGTCGCCGGTAAGACTTTTGGTAGACGTAAAGAGTGATTTGGAATATGCAACAGCCTGCAGTTGCTATTCTGGGGGCCTGAGCTCCTGCCTGTACGGGGGGTGTGGCACGTGCACGGTCCGCCGGAGGAAAGCTCCGCCCAGTGATGTGACAGCGGACGAACTCTCCTACGTCATTGGCGAGTCACCATGAATTCCAGCACAGGACACGCCTGTTTGCTTCAACCTCACATCCCCAACAACATTCAGACCTCATCTCCAGAATTGTAGAGGTCAATCTGGGCATGAATGAGCTTACGCGGATATCGAGTACATCTTCCTACCGCTTCACTGTTAACTGGCGCGCGATGTTCTCTTGCTTCGGATTTGGCCGGTCGCGCGAAGACCGCGAGCGAGAGCCGCTGTTGCCACGCTACAATGATGACACTGCCTTACAGCAAAGGCTGCACGAGAAGCTACACACGTATCAGATGCTGAGGGCGCTTGGAAAGGGTTATATGCCATCAAACGAACAGCTCATCGTCAATCTGAGAACGCTCCTATCTGCCGACATACTCAACCCTGACACGCCGGACCTGAGTGACTCGGGGCGAGCTCTTGTCCTGAACGTCAAACTACTGATTAAGCAGCTGATTGATTTGCTGCTGCACAAGAACGATCAAGATCAAATCCAGGATTTTATCTGGTATTTGAGCAAAGCACGTCTCTCCATAGATGCTTATGACATCGGTGCGCGCGCTCAAAAAGCCAAGACCAGAGCTGATACCGTCGCTGGTGGGTCTTTTCTTTCACCATCCCCATATAATACTCGTACCACCTACAGTTTTTGCCAGGACCCACGTCCCATTAGCTCGATAGTGTAGCACCAAAGTATGATCAAAGTTTAAACTAACCATCGTTAAGCATATAAATCCCTACAGACGGTTGGCTCCTTGATACTAACCAACTCGGATTTCCGCCTTTTAATTTCGGATTTGGGTACCATTGGTCGAGAAGTCTTCCGCGACACCGCCTTTACCTTGTCCGACGTTTCTAAGCAGGCCGCCAAGAAGATTGAGCCGTCCAAGGATGAAGAAGAAGCTGTCCGACATCCGAACGGGGACTCGAAGCCTCCCCCCTCCAAAGACGATATTCAAGATGAAGTCGTTGAGGTTTCCCAGGTTGTCACAGACGGCGTCGCCCGTGTTGCTAATGAAGCCGGTCAGAGCTTGACTGAGCACATTACCGGCGAAGAGCAAGAAACTTTAATCCAGCGCCTGAGAAATACAATTCTTAATTTGCGCAAGAGAAAGGATTATTCTGACTCAGTTTCCACGTTATCCCTGCTCATCAGGCGGTATATGTTGGTCTACTCGCACGCCGTTTCTGATACTATCCAGGTCGCCAGGGAGGACATCGACACCAACCCGGAGGCTGATCGAGCACTCAAAAACTTCTGGCTATTCTTGACCTCGCTTGGCGATCGAAAACACTGGGATGAAGTCGAGCGTATGTTCAAGGTTGTTATGGAGCATGGTCGCAGCGACCCGGAGTTCGACGAGCTCATCAAGCAAATTGGCAACTTGCTCCAAGACATGTTGACGGACCCGGACTTCTTCGAACATGCTGAAGACCGCTTCAAAGAATTAAGGCAAAAGTCAAAAGAGCTTACATCCGAGTCATCAGTCCGTGACGATCTCGACCAATTGCTGGACAAGGTCCATCTGGCCCTACACTCTGTCCTCGAAGACACAGATATCAAGAAAGTGTTAAGCACTACAAAAAGAATTCTCAAGATTTTGTCCCCTGCTCACCAGTACACAAACGGAGAGTTAGTGGCTGACTCGATCAATGTCTTCATCCCTATGCTCGTCCAGGCTATTCAATATATCCCGATCCCTCGCTTGGAGGTTTCAGTGCCGGCCATTGACCTCCTTTTAGAAAATCTAATTTTGGAGCCAGGCCGCACTGTCAACAACAGCTCATTCCTCCCCTTTAAGCTTAACATATCGACTCAAAATGATGTCGAGATCCGGAAAGCCCGTTTCCGAACGACTTCGTCGGTCACAACCCTGATGAGGATTACAATGTCGGGCCTGTCGATTGCGGCTGAGGACCTCGGCTTCTGGCTGCGCCTCCATTCAGGTATATTGAGGCTAGCCGATGCAGGCATCGCCGGTTTTCATCTGGACGAACGTGGAATTGATGTTGCAATTGACGTGGAGGTTGGCAAGGAACGACTTGAGAATATATTGACGCTTCATAATGTCCGTGTTCGCATCCACCACCTCAACTACACGCTCCGCAAGAGCAAATTTGCCTGCCTAGCTTGGGTGCTGAAGCCGTTTATACGACCAATTGTGAAGGCTGCATTGGAGGCCCAAATTGCGGCTAGTATCAGCGAGTTACTTCATTTCGCTAACAGAGAACTTCTCTTTGCTCGTGAACGGCTCCGAGCGACTCGTATCGCTGACCCGCAAGACCTTTGGACATTCCTCAAGGCTGTGGCAGCGAGATTGGTGCCACAGCAGGATCCAGATCTCTACACCCGGGTGGGTGTCTCACAACCCGGACGGGGCATCTTCAAGGGGGTTTACGCCCCCGGCAGTTTGGTCAAAATGTGGAACGAGGAGGCAGCCCTTGCAGGCGACCGAGTGCACGAGTATCAGAGAGACGGGTGGCGCAACGCAATATTCGATATTAGCACTACAACGGTCTGAGGTTGCAGTGCTGCTGGCAATTAAAATGGCGCAGTCGCAGTCAACCAAAAGGAGACTGCAGGAGCAGGAAGGACAAGACACGGCTCGGAGGAGTATGGAATCAGCAACAGCGAGCTTGTGATAATGTGTAGTTTTAGTGGCGTTGACAGGGTGAACAACAGTACCTTTTACGAAATTGGAAAGTCATTGACCGGAATCTGCTCATGGCGCGTCAAACGGTGGACGATCGATCCCGCAGGTGAGCTTGCTTGCATGTTACGTTGTGAAGTGAGATGCAGGGCGCGCAGTGCATCAAACAGCCGACGGCGCAACCATTCTTCCGTCCTGTGGCCCGCCAGGGCCAGCCCGCCCGTGAAGAAATGCAATGCACATGTCCAAAAGCGCTTGTCGGCGTGGCACGGGGAATGTTTACACTACCAGCTCAATCGAGTAGGAGCGAAAATGTGACGAGATCGTCGCCAAGTTTCTGGCAATCAAGGTTGAACGGGTCTCTTGCCTAGAACAGAACAGTACATCAACAGGAACAGAACAGGGCCCGGTAAATTCGGAGGGCTAGATGTAACGGGGGTTCCTTATTTACCCAGCACACTCGACAGAGACGCCCTTCCCAAGCGCCGTCACTACCAGGTAAGGCACCAGTAAGTATGGTTATCTGCTTTCGGGAGACATGCTTCCCTCCCTGACTTGAGTCCCTAACCTAGGTAAACCTATTGTCGCCTCGAGTCATCACGTATTCCTGCGCAGCATGTCGAAATAATGTTACATTGCTCTCCCGGATCCGCACGACACCATCTCATGGTGTTACGCAAGAATCCCTGCAGACGCTTCCCGAAAGTTACGTGTGCTTAAATTCAGGACGTCTCTTTTGTAGGAAGGCCGACATGCCCTCGTTGAAATCGCTCAGACCAAAAGTCGAGTAGTAAAGAGATTTCTCCATGGTCATCCCGGCATCCAGGTGGCTATTTTCAACTGCGAACAGGGGTCAGCGAGTCATAAAAAAAAAAAACAGGGTTTATGGTCTTCGGTGCCGAGGTGGAACCCGGAGCCATCCCAAACGTAAGGTAGTGTAGAATAGGGGAACGGGATCAACCCAACCTGTAAGGACGGCTTGCTTGGCCGTCTTGACAACGGGCCCTGACATGACGGCAATGCGCTCAGCAAGCTTGAGGGCGGCCGGAACAACCTCTTGACGAGGGAACACCTTATTGACGACGCCAAGACGCTCAAACTCGGCGCCGCTGGCTGAGTCGCCGGTAAGGACAAACTCCATGGCCTAAGGCGGGGTTAGTCATATCTGATCCTTTTCGTGGGCGGCTTTTGATGCCCCATTGAGTGATGAATAAGAAAGCAGGTAGCATGAGTCAAACACATCGTTTTCGCTTTTTTTTTTTTTTTTTTTTTACTTGCCTTTTGCTTGCCCAGGGCACGCGCTAGCCGTTGGGTGCCGCCAGCACCCGGGATAGTTCCGATCTTGATCTCAGGGAGGCCGAATGAGGCGTCATTGGCGGCATAGATCATGTCGCACTATCATTTTTCCTTTGATAAGCCCAAAAAAACCCTAAAGAGACCTTTCTCGCCTAGCAAGACGATGTAGGATTTCCGATTCCACTTACCGCCAGCGCAATTTCGCATCCACCGCCCAGCTTGAAGGGCTCGCACATTAGCTAGGCTTCCGATATCCAGTGAAGGGAGAATAAAGAAAGCAATAATCGGGGCTCCCAAAACAAAAGGGACAGTCGGGGCCAGGGAGCCCCCCCTCCCCCCTAGACGCCAGGACACACTTACGGCAAATCCGACAACAGCCGCGATGATGGGCTTCGAGAACCTGGCAAAAGCGTCGGTAAGGTCCTTGAGAAAAGCACGCTGGTGGGCCTCTGCCGTGGAGATCTGCACCAGCTCGTTCAGATCCATACCGGCTACACCATAAAACGGATTAGCTAGCACTCATCTCCCCACCACACATTAGATGAAAAGATCCACAGGGGGGTGGAGGGTCTCCTCCCCATTGAACATTTTCCTGAGGTTTCTGATCTCTGAAACGTGCGACGGCCCAACGACAAACCGTGTGCAAGCCCCCTGAGTATCACATCCGTGGGGAATCAGATTAGGATAAGATGGCAGTTGCACTAGGGTGGACATCCTATCGACTGCCGATACTCTCGACGGCGGGGCTTCCTTGATCTTGATGATGATGATGATGATGGGTGCTCGGATGCACGTGGTAAGGGGAACTTGCAGGATGACAAGAAAGCAAAACAGGAAAAAGAACAGAAGATGATGAGGGAGGGAGGAAAGGGGAGAAAAAAAACAAAAAACAAAAAACAGGATGAAAGTTTGCGAAAGTGAGAGGGGCTTGTTTGGTTGTCGCAGCATCCCAGCCCAAACTGCAGTGCAAACAACACACATGCTTTGCAGTTCACAAACTTTGGAACTTTTGGGTCCAGATGTCTCTCTCTCTGTCTCGAACGGGAGGAGAAAACTGGGAATGGAGCTTACCGCAGAAGGGTCCATCAGGACCTCCTGTGACGACAACAGCGCGGACGGATTCCAAGGCATCGAGGTGCGCTAAAGTCGCAACAAGCTCGCCGATCATGGCCTGAGAGAAGGCGTTCCTCTTGGCCGGGCGATTGAACCGGACGAGTGCAACGCCTTTATCCGCGTCCACCGTCAACTGAAGGGTTTGGAGATTATCCATATCAGGCCACGAAGTCCGAAGATACAAAAAAACAACAACAACCAAAAGTGAGGTAAGAAAAAAAGTAACGATAACTTGAGCTAGATTGGATTGGGGAAAAACGGGGGAGGGGAGATAAGACAGAATAGAACGACTGGGAACTTGGACGAGGATGATGGATTGAAAGGTCTACGACGTTGTGTGCTCAACACATGGCAGAGGGAAGAAGAAGTATTGTTTTTTCCTCCCCCCTCTCCCTCCTCTCTGTTGAGCCTTTTTCTTCTTCCCTCATGAGTATTTCTTCTTCACTAACACTGGCACGCATTCCAGGGAGGGCCACCCTGTTATCACCGAATTCGGCCGATGGGGGGACCTGTATCCAGGCTTAGCGTAGTACCCTAATGGGACCAGAAAGTCATAGGGATGGGGGGGGGGGGGGGGGGGGGGGGGGGGGGGGGAGAGAGAGAGAGTACGGAGTAAGTGGAACATGAACGGTCTGCTAGTAAGGACGGAGTACGTACTCCACTGAACTCGCCTGGGAGCCGCGAATGTCCAGGGCTAACCCCAGACATTGCCCGCATGAGCTAACAGCTAACAGGCCCCCCAGGGCATGGGCGCAAACAGCAAGCGCCAGCAACTGTTCTCACGATCTTGGTACGTACCCTGGGGGGGGGGAGGGCAATATATGACTGATTTACAACACCTTTGTAATCTGCTCCCCTAAACAAAACCCCCCCGGCATAGCCGCCTCTAGGGCACATTGTGGCGGCCAAGGAACCCCCTACCATAGTGAGGTGTCGTAGCTCCCTGCCGCATGGTTCGACTGCTGGTATGTATACCTTCAGACCAGTGAGAACAACAACATGGGGGGAAACAGCTGCCGCATTGGGCGGCGTCTGGTCCGGATTTTCCTCCGTTTTTCCCGGATTGGGTCGTCTCCTCCGGCCAGCCCCCCCCCCCCCCCCCCCCCCCCCCCCGCGTCCGGCCAGCGGTTCTGTTACCGCGGTATGGAGACTATTGTTACAGCCAGATTTTCTTTGCCAACGCCGTGGCCCTAGCCAACCTTGTCAGTGTGCTCTCTAACTACTACTACTACTCATACCTCTCTCCAACTTGTATGTACTATGTAAGGATCCGTTCAAACGGACAAACTCCATCGGTTCCAGACCACGGATGGCAGCAGACGCGGATATTCAACCGCCCCCCCCTCCCCTCCCACCTCCTAGACCCCTGAACATTTGGTGATGGCATCTCCGTCGACTTGCGTATGCTGGTACATTTGCCCGTCATGATCCATGGCCACTTGCTGTGTCCACTCTCCCCCCCATTGTTTCTGGTTAACGTCACATTCAAACCTGAGCTCCGCGACACACGCACAAACGGCTTCTGTTGATCAGAGAAGGGCTTGCTGTTCCCCACCGCATCTAAAACATATGTCTGCATACTACATAGTAGGCAAGCGTCTGAAAGAAGAAATGTGGCCTAGCCCTGGAATTCACATGGCGTCCTATGCCAGGATTTGCCCTCTAGAAGCTGTAACCCTGCTCGCCACGGGGGGTTGCTCGATGCAGGCTTCTGCGGATTTTGCCAAACGGGTCTAAGTTGCAGTTCCTATGCCAAGGTCTACTACTACTACTACTACTTACTACTCTGGGCTGGGCGGCCTTCGAAGAGAATTGTCCTTGCATACACACAGACGGATGGGGCCAAACCAAACCCCAGGGAAATCTTTGACAGGGAGTAAGTGGTAAGACGCGCGCCGTTTGCCCAGAGGGACGTGAAATATATCTGCCCTCGAGGTCCCCGCCTCTCCTCGGGAGACGACGATCTGATGCCTCATCCAGCACGTCACTGGTTGGCATAATTCCCCAGAGCACCTACAGCAAACGCAGAAGCTCTGCTAATCATGGTTTCCTCACGCCCCTTCCACTCGTTGGAAAATCTCTCCCTGGCGGATCGAGTACTTTTCAACCAGTTCAGCAGAGGACCGAAGGACGTCGTCCCCTACCAAGTCGTCCACCACGCCTTCGAGTCCATCGCCGCCGCTCACCCCGACGTCACGGCCGTCAGGCACCACGATGGGACCACCATCACATATCGGGAGCTCAACCGCCGGGCCAACGTGCTCGCCAACGAGCTGAGAGGCACCTACGGTCTCAGGAAAGGGGACCGTGTCGTGCTCGTCTACTCCCGGTGCATCGAGATGGTGGTCTTCATCTTTGCCGTCCTCAAGGCCGGCGGCCAGTACGTGCCACTCGACGGCGGCATCATCCCCGAGGACACCCTCGGCTACGACATTTCCGACTCCAACGCGCCTGTGGTGTTGTGTCTGCCCAAGTTCAGGGAAAAGGTGCTGCGCAGCGTTCCGTCGGACAGGCGGGATCGAGTGAGGGTGGTGGACCTTGACGCGAACAGCATGCTCTGGAAGCACGGCAACGCGGGCCACCCTGGAGTAATCGTCAAGCCCGAGGATGGCGCCTATGTCATCTACACGTCGGGAACCACCGGGCGTCCCAAAGGCGTGGATGTGAGGCACGAAGGCGTCACCAACACGCTGTTAGCGGAGCCATCAAAGCTGGAGATCCGCGTAGGAAAGAATGTGGCACAGCAGTTGAACGTCGGGTTCGATATGTGTAAGTCCCATGACCCAGACCACGGATCTCGTTATGCGGGGTTTGTTATTAGGTGGAAATCATACTGACATGACAACCATGAACAGGCGCATGGGAGATTCTTGGAACAATGATGAACGGTGGTACGCTTCACATCAGAGGTAGCGGCAACGACCTATGGACGGAATGCTTGCAGCGCGTCGATACCGTCATCGCCACGCCCTCGGTTGTCCTCAAGCACATGCCCCGCCGCGAGGACTTCCCCAACATCAAGATCATCGCCGTCGGTGGTGAGCCCTGCCCCCTTGCCCTCGCTGAGCAGTGGGCTCCGTATATCAAGTTCTGGAACGTCTGCGGCCCAACTGAGATCAGCATCCTCAACACCGCTCACCTACACAAGCCTGGCAAGACACTTTCCATTGGAAAGCCGAACCCGAACACCAACGTCTACGTCCTCGATGAGAATGAGAACCCTGTCCCCATCGGCGAGCCAGGTGTGATGTGGGCTGGTGGTCCAGGAGTCTCTAGAGGCTACCTCAACCTCCCTGAACTTACTGCACAAAGATACAAGTTGGACAAGTTCACAAAGGACGGGTAAGTCTTCCCTTGCAAGCCTTTAAAGTGAAGTATGGGAGGCGAGATGCTAACAACGTTGATAGCCGCATGATGTTTAACACCGGTGACCTCGCCCGTTGGCTTGAGGACGGTAGTCTGGAACCTCTTGGCCGCAAGGACGACCAAGTTAAGATCTCCGGCTTCCGCGTCGAGCTCGATGGCGTCTCCCGCGCCATCGAAAAGCATTCCGCCGTCATCAAGGGTTGTGCGCTCAAGATTGACGACAGACTCTGGGGCTTTTACTCGGCCTCCTCTCCCATTGACGAGGCCGATCTCAAGGCCATTGTCGGCGAGGGTCAGCCCTTCTATGCTGTCCCAACAGTTTGGAAGCATCTGGCCGTCATTGAGCTGACTCCCAATGGCAAGGTCGACAAGCGCGCTCTGCGCGATATCGCCGGCGTCAGCAGAGACGCTCAACCCCCTCTCCCGCCCATTGTTACTGCCATGTCCACTCCGCAGAACTCCTCCAGCGCCTCCTCAGTCAAGACCGAGGTGTCCAGTCCCACCAAGAGCGAGAGCGCTTGCACTCTCGTCGATTCCCGTGGCATCGACCCGGACCTCGAGAAGACCATCGACTTTGTCGAGGAAGAAGCCGAGAAGCAAGAGGACTACGAGCTGCCGGAGAAGAATGGCTTCCACGGCTGGCGATGGATCCGCCATCGCGGTCTCAATGCTTACCGCAAACTCTTTGGCGTAATATTCGTGGCAAACCTCGCGACTTTTGTCTTCTTACTCTGGGATGCCCGCGACAGAAACTTTTCCCTCCCCCTGAATCATCTGGCGACGGCCGTCTCGGCAAACCTTCTGGGCGCCGTACTCCTGCGACAGGACTACGTCGTCAACTTCATCTTCTGGCTCTGCTCCCGCGTGCCCACCTCCGTGCCTCTCTCTATCCGCCGTCACTTCGCTCGCGTCTACCACAACGGCGGCGTGCACTCCGGCTGCGCCGTCTCTGCCACCGTGTGGTGGGTAATCTTCACCGGCGCCGCGACAGGCAACTTCTTTGCTTCCCAGTCCCTTTACTCCGTTAATCTCTTCACGCTCGTCCTCACCTATCTCATTCTCCTGCTCCTACTCGCCATCCTCGTCATGGCATACCCTTCCATCCGAGCCAAGATGCACGACCAGTTCGAGTGGACGCACCGCTTCGCCGGATGGTCTGCTCTCGCTCTCGTCTGGGCCCACGTCATCGCCACCGCCGCATCAACAGCTTCTCCTACCGAACCCCTCGGCACCACCCTGGCCAAAACGCCAGCGCTTTACCTAGTCGCTCTGACAACCATCAGCATCGCACTCCCATGGATGCGCCTCCGTCGCGTAAAGGTCGTGCCGGAGCCCCTTTCCAAGCACGCCGTCCGTCTTCACTTCGACTTCTGCACCCCGGGCCCCTGCACCTCCCGCGGCGTCCGAATCACCGATCGTCCCATGGTTGAGTGGCACGCTTTCGCCGCCATCCCCGAGCCCAGCGGCAAGGGTTTCTCCATTGTCGTCTCCAAGGCGGGAGACTGGACGAAGCGCATCATTGAGAACCCGCCAACCTCGATCTGGACCCGCGGCACGCCGGCCTCCGGCGTCCTGGCCGTGGCTCCCCTCTTCAAGAAGATGGTCCTGGTTGCCACGGGCTCCGGCATCGGTCCTTGTCTCCCCGTGCTCATGGAACGTCGCGTGCCGGCACGCGTCGTCTGGTCCACCAAGAACCCGCTCAAGACGTACGGCCAGGGCGTCATGGACACCATCATGAAGGCCGACCCGGAAGCGCTCATCTGGGACACGGATAGCATGGGCCGGCCGAACTTGGTGCAGCTTGCGTATAACGTGTACAAGGAGAGCGGAGCGGAGTGCGTCGCCATCATTTCCAACGGCCCCACGACGACCAAGTTCGTGTACCAGATGGAGAGCCGTGGCATTCCTGCATTTGGCCCTATTTGGGATTCTTGAGCAAAAGGCATTTCTGTTGTGGCCGTTTTTTCTGTGTGTTGGTTTTATATATCCCCTCGCAGGCTGGTGTCGCGTCCCATCGTTTTTTTTTTTTTTTATCATACCAGTATACTTTTATTCATCTACTATGTTCATACTCTACAGGTCTAATCGAGCTGTCAATTAAAAGAATTTGAAAATTTGACTTGCGTTTGAAAAGAAATGCGATGTTGAAGCCTGGCGAGTTGGTAAATACCGTATGGTGACAGGATGTAGTCGACTAGGCTGCCATAAAGAAATCTCATATCTGATGGAATATCTACACAAGTGGAGACTCATTTAAACGTGTAATCACCCTCATAACGGATTTTTATGTCTTGGCAACACCTAGCTAGCTTTCCAGGAAGGGCTTGCAGTACTGAAACGATATTATCATGACATAGAACAACGTATTTATGCCGTACTAGCACATCTTTCGCACTGCGACGATGCTCATTAAACGCACGAGGAACCCAATATGAGCACTGATATCAGAACATACTTGAGAAGTTGATAGTAGGACTACCTACATAAACTTATGCTCTACTTCACTTGATTGTTTGCTCTGCCACTTGAGCTTTGTTTGCTTCTTCGGTTGCTGCATCGCTTACCACACGAGCCCCAATGACGTTAGGAATCTCACCCAACTACAGGCCCCACACTTACCAATGTTGTGGAATGAGAGAGTAAGTCACAATCATCACAGAAGGAACGCTAGCGTCGTGTCATTGGTTACTCGTCATGTTGAGCTTGTGTTTGTTAACCTTCAACAGCTGAACCATGCAGATTCCATATCAGCAATCTCGGTGGAGGGCAAGTGTACCATCAAGGGAAACCACATGTGCCACATACAGAAAACTCTACCATAATCTTCAAGGTTCAAATTGTTCCTGATAATGTCGCCGACTACTCCCACTCTATTTACAAAGTTTACGCATCAAAAGATGTTTTGATGCTGCATTTATTGCAGGTCATTGCTGTCTCTGTAAGCTTACTGGTTGCGGCAATGTAGCCTCAGCCAGCTGTAATGATCACTGTTGTCGCAACTCAAGAGACATTTGCCGGTCTAAACGATCAGAAATCAAGAAACTTTGAAAGAGGCCAATGATCCATTGGTAAGCCGCTTCTTGTCTTGAAACTCTCTGTTGTTGATCGTTTCAAAGATTCCTACCTTGAGGTGGGCGAAACTGAGCTTCAGCCACCATGTTCGAAGCAGTTCCAGGAATGAAGTACGGTTTTAGAGAAACCCATGATTTGACCTCAGAGCCGCATTTGATGGCTCCGACGGAGGAATCCACGAACTAGATTGGAGACTCAAGGATCAAGGTAATTTTATTCCATCGAACTCTGCTGCCGGTGACTGAACTCTGCATCTCACCAGGACAAGCTAGCCTCCACAAAATACAGCATGAACCTATCCAAGTCCGAAAACTACCTGTTCAACTCATAAGAGGAAACCGTTGTTGTGTCTTTGAGGCATCCATGCGGGGGGTGGTTACGTCTCTTGGCCGAAAATGACCTTGTGGTGCGAGGCCAGTGGCCTCCAAGGTATGACAGCTGTCCATCTACGATGCCACACCTAGCCAAGAAATGTAAACTATAGATTGCTACCAAGGTATTGTGAGCTATCTTCTAGCCAGTACGCGCGATGCGAGTGGTAAGGGCGCTTTGGCTAACCTGCAATATTGAAGTAAAAGGCCATGGATCGGCTTATCAATTCCGATGATCAGCGATCAACCCTATAGCACTAACTCAAATTGTTTTTTACAGATTCCTCTATTGTGGGAAAACCTGCAGCTGGAAACATTTCGCCTGACTAAAAAGAAAATGGTAGAACGCGTACGGAAGAAGCCGCTGACAGGTCCAATCCCGTTGCAGGCTGGTAAAACCCTACGAGGTGAGACTTGTATCGACTGAATCTCTCGTCCGGGAACAAATCCTGCCGATACATCAGAAGAGAACCGAACAGGATTCCTCGCTGGTATGCGATTTTCACGAATGACAGTCGTATTATTCGCATTTGTGCTCGAGCGTTGTTTTGCTGACGTGTGCTCCTAACCACCTCTCACAGGACCCTGACGGAAAAACCCATACTTTGAAACAGGTTTGTGGAGGGTGGTGGTCTATGTATTCTCTGACGCAGTTTGGGGTCGAGAGTTTCCTCCATTTTTATTTTTTTATTTTTTTTTATTCTTTTCTTCTATCTTTTTTCGTTTCTAGAGGTCCATGCACCCCACCACTACCAACCCAGAACCGCATCATCCACTTTCATGACATATGTCAAAGGGGAGCGATCGCAGATTATCGAACACGTCTGATCCCTTGAAGTGGGGTGCGCGCGTGCGTGTAGCGGAATGCACAGCCCGAGAGGTTTCGAGAGTCAGTCTTCTTACCAGTCAAAAATAAGTGCTTTACGCGTCGGGTTGTGTTTTGTTTTTTCGTATCCGTTTGCATCCAAGGACGAATCTCCACCACGACGAGTCTTCGCGCAAATCCATTACATGTTAATCGCGCTCAGCCTCTTTCCCACCGATCCAAACTTCTGAGCTTCATCTTTTCACATGCCGTTGGACTCATCTTTCTTTCGTCGTCGTCGTTATTGTACCGGTTTTCTCGTTCCATCATTCAGCGCCTGAACATCGCTCTAGAACATGTCTTCGCTTTCGGCTCAAGTTCTAGTAGAAACCCCCAGAAAGGCTCGGAGGAGAACGACCAACCTGGCACTGGCTGAATATGACAAGGCTGGGAACCTGAGAGCCAAGTTTATTGAGTCGGCTCCGGCTCCCGGATCTACACGAGTTGACATCCTGGTAAGCTCTGAACCCAACACCCCTGTTCCCAACTGCTCACAGGGGGTTCATGCACGAATTGACTCTGATCTTTTGTAGCTTCCCACGACAAGAAAGAAGCCCTGGAGGAGGATACTGGACATCTTCTTGCCCGATGGCTATCCTCACAGCGTTACGGATGACTATGCTGCATACCAGATCTATGTATGTTACCAGCCAAGAGCTTACTCACGTAATGATGTCTGCTAACACTGGTCAAGGATTCTTTCCAGGCCTTCGCCGGCACAATTGCCGGAATGATTTCTTCACGTGCGGTGTGGGAAGGTAAGCACATACCAATGCTTATTCGCGGCTAAAGTTGCCTTGGTGATTTTAGATGAAGTCATCAGCAAAAGCTCGGCCTGCCATTGACTACCAAGCATGCTAATTCATCGACCAGGTATGGGTGTGGGTGACTCTATGGCATCGCCTACAGGCGCGATGATGATCCAGGTGATTCGAGAATCAATGGGAAGATTCGGGACCATCGCCTTTGCTCACTTGATGGGAACCTCGATAGAGGCTGAGTGCAAGGCTTACCGCATGGCATCTGATGTGCTGTGTAGTATCGCCTTCGTCCTCGACTGTCTTTCGCCACTTTTTCCAACAAACGTGAGATTCTTGGTCCTATGCTTTTCCAGCATCCTATTCTCGGCAAGCGGTGTAGCGGGAAATGCATCTAAGAGTAGTCTGAGCGGTCATTTTGCCAAGTGGAACAATTTGGGCGAGCTGAATGCTGTAAGTTTCTTGTCGTTGAATAATCGCATTTTGTTTGGCTCTGACAGCATACAGAAAGACGCTAGCCAAGAGACCGCGATATCCCTGATGGGGATGCTTGTAAGTTTGAGCAGCTTTTGAATTCTGCGGCTCTTGTTAACAAAATTTGACAGACTGGCACTATCGTAGTGTCGTTGTTAACGACTCCCACGGCTACATGGACAACGCTTTTCGTCCTGATTGCCATCTACCTCTTCCTTAACTGGAAGGGCGTCAGGGCAGTCAAGTCCCGCTCACTGAACCGACAACGAGCAAACATTGCTTTTTCTGCGCTGCTCTCTAGAGATGAGGTTCTCACTCCTGGTGACATCGCCGAAAGGGAGTTCATCTTTGAGAGACGCGGTGGCGAAGTCTTTAGATGGGACACTGAGGCTATATTGGGACATTGCAAGTTTGGCGTTCCACTCGAGACTATGCTACACAGTCTGGCGAACGGCCACCAGACCATGAGGTCCTTTCAGCTACCAACAGTTGATATGTCTACACTCATGGAGCTTTTTGAAGACCAGCAGTACCTTCTGTGGTGTCAAGTCTCCGACACGCCATCTTTCGATGCAGCGTCCAAGATAAAGGTGTTGGTGGTGCTGAAGACTGGTGTTTCCGCCAAGTCCCAACTGAAAGCCTGGTTCCACGGTCTTTTACTAGTTCAAAGATTGAGCTGCTTGGAAACATCTAGGTTGGAAAAAGCCCGTCTCGGCCAGCATATTATGCTAGAACACATCGAGGCCTCCTTGAGAATTGCCAACGAGAGGTACGAGGGATATGTGAAAAGGCTTTCGACGGCGGGCTGGAACATGGAGGTTGCCGTGCTTGAGACCCGTTCCGGCTGCCGCATAATGCTAGAAACGGACGATAATATGCTCCATTGAGTTTATGCAGTCCAAGAAAGGACGATCTAGATCCAAATAGTGTCTGCGTTGGCGGAAAAAAAACTACCATTAGACAACCTAGACATTTGGGTTCGAGCTTATTTTAAGGCTTTTCGATGCCAAACCAATATGGCGTGTCATCACTCTTTTCGTCAAAATTGCATCCCCTAATTCGCCAAGTGAAAGAGAAGCTTCCTTTCCTCCAGACTTCGGGCGAGCGTTCAACCCTGTTTGATTCGCCTGTCCTTGAATCAATCACCAGTTCCTTTGCACCGTTATGGTGTCGGCCTTCCGTATCCGAGCAATCGTTGCGATGCGTTTGAGAGACATTCTACAATGGTTGCCCAGAAACTTTGCGTGAACGCCACGTGGGATGGAATGATGTGTGGGGGTTATCAAACACAGACTGACAGCCCACCGATCAGCGCGGCCCGCATAGTTGGCGGTGCGTTTGAGTCATCCTGTTCTTGGGCATTATTTCAAATTTGCTCAAAACGTTACGTGGTCATTTTATTTAACGCTCCAAGCAGTTTCGACAGTACTGGGTATCGTATTTGCCCTGGAGGCTGTGTATCGTCGCTTTCGCGTTCACGAATCCGGGTTGTTTGAAGATGATCTGGGGGATATATTTTGCTTCCAATTTCGCTATCGGTAATTTGATCCGCGCCCCCCCGCGGGATTGTAGTGTTCTTTAATCCCGAGATCCCGCTCCTATCGACCCTAAATCTTACGCTAACATGGCTTAGAACTGGAGAGTCCCTTGGCGCCAATGCACGCCATTGCGGCGTCTGTGCTGGCTTCTATTTGACATAGCACCTATTGAGCCGAGTCCTTCCGAGTGTCAGTTTGTTAGGGTTCAGGGTGGACCTTGGTAGAAAAGGGGGAAAGCCTGGGGAAACACTCGTATTGCAGAGCGGAAACGAAGCCTAAAGCGAATCCGAAGGGGCCCGCGGCGACCTTGACGACTCGCGACAGATGCTCGCGCATTAGACTTTTGGAACAGCTGATGTATGAGACACGCGATGGCGTCGCCAACGTCCCAATGTCATTTAGACCCCTTTCCAAACTCCCTGAGCTGTGATTGGTCTGTTGCTAACTTCCGGCTCAAATGCCATAGTTGAGACACATGCGGTCCTAAATTGTGCATACCTTGTTGAATGGGGACCTGGAGGTGTAAGCCACGGTGGTGGCGCCCGTACTCGGGTTCTGTGAAGTCCGGATTTATGTATTCGGGCAGTCTGTGAAGCTCGCTCAGATATATAGATGAGCGTCTGCCCATTACTGCCACCATTTTGAATTAGAGTGTAAATCATCAAAGCCTTTAGAGACCCTTTCAATTTCTTTACAAAATGACGAAAGAAGTCGTTCTCCCTCTGAACTCGACGGAAATCCAGAGGACAAAGTCCCAGATCCGTCGCCTCCGTGTCGATCGTACACAAAATCCCGTGCAACTCCAAGCTTTCGAATGGAACCTTCCTGCCGACCATTCACATTGGAAGCGTCTGAGGCTAGCACTACCAGGACTGAGGGCTGTTGGTATCAATAGCCTTTGGCTCCCTCCCGGCAGCAAAGCCAAAGATCCAGAGAGCAATGGCTACGACATTTATGACGCATGGGATCTGGGAGAGTTCGACCAGAAGGGTTCTGTACCTACGAAATGGGGGACCAAAGAAGATCTAGTGGCACTAGCAACCGACGCCAACAAGAACGGCATCGGGCTCGTCTGGGACGCCATCCACAACCACCGGGCGTACGCCGACAGCACAGAGATGGTCAAAGTTGTAGAGGTTGACCCGAGAGGTGAGGTGCACGACTCGTGTAGGCAGGAATGACGTGCTAACCTTGTTCCAGACAGACGCATAGACATCACTGATGTTTATGAGATTGAAGCTTGGACCAAGTTCAACTACACCGCCAGAAAGGGCAAATACAGCACATTTACATACAACAAGACGCATTTCAACGGCACCGACTGGAACCAGCAAAACAGCAAGAGAGCAATCTACAGATATGTAGAGGACGGCAAGAACTGGCATCAAGATGTCGGAACGAGCCAGGGCAACGCCGATTACCTCATGCTCGAGAATCTGGACTACACCAATCCCGAGGTTGTCAAGGAGCAGACCCAGTGGGGAAAATGGATCGTGGAGGAACTAGGTCTCAAAGGATTCCGTGTGGACGCCGTGCAACACATCTCGTCGAACTTCGTCAATGAATGGTCAAAGTACCTCAAGAAGACCAGTCGACAAGATCTCATGTTTGTCGGCGAGTTCTGGCATGGAGACGTGCGGGTGTTGACGAGTTGGTTGGACCAAATGCACCCGTTCTTCCAGCTGTACGACGTGCCCTTGATGTATCACATTGCAAGGTTATCATGGCACGAGGACACAGACTTGAGAGAGGTGTTCAAGAACACGCTGGTTGAGCAACGACCCAACAACGCCGTGGTATGCATTCCATCTGAAAAACGCGGATCACTTTCGGTGCGCTAACGTTGTCTGTAGACTTTTATCCGCAACCACGATACCCAGCGTGGCCAGGCTATGGACACGCCAATCTCAGCCGAATTCATGCCTTTGGCATATTCTCTCATTCTACTCCGTCGGGATGGTCATCCCTGCGTCTTCTTCGGAGACATGTACGGCACTGGTCTTCCTCATCTTGAGCCTTCTGTGCCAGACCTGCCCAACATTTTGTTAGCAAGGAAGCTTTATGCCTATGGAAGGCAAAAAGACTACTTTGACCGACATGACTGTATCGGCTGGGTAAGGCAAGGAACGGAAGAACGACCTGATGGCCTTGCTGTCGTCATGAGTTGGACACAAGCACATGAGGCTGAGTCCCAGCTTTGCATGCAGGTTGGACGTGAGCATGCCGGCGAAGTTTGGACAGACGTCATGGGCTCAGAGCCTGCAGTTGCCATGATTGACGAGAATGGCCTGGGGCTCTTCCCTTGCAGGCGAAATACCGTGGCGTGTTTCGTCAACAAGGACGCCAAGGGAAGGAAAAGATTCCCCGCTCGGTTTGACACTGATTTCAACGGCCTTTTGAATTAAGCCGGCGAATTTTTCATGTCTCTTTTTCATTCTTTTCAAGCTAAGAGTTGGAATTACAATATCATAGAGGTTGCTCGAAGAGCGACTGTTCCCATATAGCGTAGGATATCATAGCGTGCCCTAAGAAATTTCAAGTTCATATTATCAAAAGTATAGATAAATGGAAAATGTCTATGTTAAGGCCATTTCATAGAATGACTTATTAGGTGGTTACTGGCAGATTCGCTTTTTGTAAGAATGTGAATCCATGCGACTCTGGTTTTGGTTGGTGAATGATGTAACGACAGGACATAATTGACAAATTTCATACCGGATTTAATAGTGTTTAGTTCAACTAGAATCACAAACAATGACATGAAGTGCCTACCCAGGATCATACATCCAACAGATAGGTTTCAGAGAAACACTGGTTCGTCTACGGCAACTATAGTCTCAGCTTATTTGCCTAATCGACAGTATACAACCATATACTTATGATAGGTACCTGAATACCGAAGCATAAACGTGAATTAGGAACCATGTAGCGACGATAGTCGTAGAAAATCAAATCACCATAATCATCAATGTGTGTTAAACAACTTGTTATTTTTCAATAGATTTCACCGGTGTATTTGCGAATAATGTTACTGAGGCATGAGCAAAGGATATGCTTCCGCAGTTACACTGAGACACGTAGCACATACAATAATGATAATATACAGTTAGCAGACATTGAAGAAGAAACTTGGCACATATCCCTCTTAAAATCAGGTATAGGCGGCTCAAAGCAGTATTTGGAAGTATCGGAACGTTGGATACATAATATGCATCAGGTAACACACAGATGGAGCACTTTCATACCCATCACCAACCCTAGGCTCTCAATTTACAGTGACGAAAGTTCAAGTTCAATTTTGTTTCGCGTCTGTAACCTAGATCGTTGCATAGTTCTGGTAAATTCTATATTTTGCTTTCCATCCATCCAAAGTAGCGTCGGCTGTCGTGGACCATACTCCACGGACAGTGTTAAAAGTGAATGTCTACATGTACATACTTCATGAGAGCACCCCCAACTTTTGGAGCCTTACGAATAGAGCTATCGGAAACGGTCATCTGAATGATCACTACGGACTTGATATGATGTCGCGATGGCCCCGGACCTCCGGATCCACCCTGCCGTGCTTCGGCCGCATGGTCACCTGACGACCTCGCCTCAGCGACCGTATGCTTAAGCGTCCTCCGCTCTGCTCGCTCACTTAGAAAAAAGAAGCCGTTTACTTCCTAGTTGTCGTGCTGGCTCCGGGCCTCCGGACCCACTCTGCCGCGTCTCGGCCGCGAGGTCACGTGACCTCGCTCCAGCGACCGTATTCTTAAGCGTCCTTCGCTCCGCTCGCTCACTTAGAGAAGACAAGCCGTTTTGTTCCTAGTTGATGCCGCCCGTGCCTGACGTCGGTCACCACAGTTATGAGCCCAGCTTACCACATCACCCCTTTCTACTGTTAACCAGACGAAGGGTTCGTGGCGGAACACCATCAACTCCTTACGGTCTTCACAAATTTCGCTTCAAACAGCAACTTCTACAACGAAGATGTCGTCGCAGATATCTGTTCTCACGAGCACGACAAGGCTAACCTGCCGCCGGGACTTCCCCGTTTGGTACGACGCTCTCTACGCCGAAGCCGACGCAGCAGACGTCTGGGATCTCATAGACCCAGACGACACTACGTCTCCGTCAGACCCAAGAGAGGACGATGAAGAACTCTCGATCGAATCATGGATCACGCAGCAGAACGAAAAGCAGCGTAGAACCTATGATCGGAAGCGGAAAGCCTACGATTCGATTCTCCAGCATAGGGCAGAAGCGAGTGACGATACAGGGGAAGAACTCCAGGAGCCTGTAGCACAACCAACTCTCACGCAAAACACGCCCGGGATCTTTGAAAGATATACGAACTACCTCGCTTCAAAATCAGGCCGCGACGTCCTCAAAACTCGTCGGGAGCGGGACTTCGACTCTATTCAGCGTTGGGTTAAGGAAACGGTCGACAAGGACATCCTCTACGCTGCGAGATCGGAGATCCTAGCGAAGAACCAACGTTCACTCCGTGCTCTTATTCAGTACCTTCGGAAACGCTACGCTCCAAGCGAATCAAGCAGTCAAACTACAGTTCGCGAAGAGTACCTTCTCCTCCTGGAAAAGGCCAACACAAGCGTAAACCCCCAGACCTGGCTAAGAGACTTCCATCGAGTACTGCTCCGCGCGCTTCGATTCAGAATACCGGAAAGCCAGGGAACGCTCGCTTCGAAAACTTTTCTTCGAGCGGTGGGACACCGTTTTGCCCCCTCCTGGGCGACCTCCGAGCTCACTGAAATTGTCAAAATGGAGCGCAAGGGGGACCGCATCCCTACTGTAAGTGAATACAGGGATATGCTGGAGGACTTGCTGTATGAGGACACCCTATACGACAAAAATCGGGGTAAAACAAGCGGTGTGTACGCTACCCTTGCCGGTCGCCCGAGCGAAGCAATCTCAGATGGAAAAAGCGGTTCGAAAGGAAAAGGCAAATCCGAAGCGTGCCCCTGCAACAAACCCCACAACGCAAACCCCCTGGAGTGCACCCGCGTGGAGTACGCCCTTACCGGGCGAATCAAGCCTTCCCAGGACAAACTATCGAGGGACGAGTGCAAGGAGATTCGAAAGCGTATCAATCAGTCCGAGAACTATGATCTCCGAGCCGAATTAGCTCGGAAAGGCTGGATCTGGGCGACGGAACCTCCCAGCTTCCGAAACCCAGCGCCGCCTCGCAATAGGTCGTCAGGAAATACCGGCTCTAAAGCGAAATCGCAGCAAGAGGAGAATGAGTCAGAGGTGACACTGAAGAGAAATATCCACGCAGTAACGATCAGCCGTGAACTTCTCCGGGAAATTTCGGACGACTTCGACTCGGACTACGACCAACCAAGCGTATTTGCAACCCCACTGACGGGACCCCATGTTCTGTCACGAAGCACGGTTCTCGACAACTGCGGAGCTACGCACCTTGTTAACAACCTTGACTTGCTTGAATCGTCTTCTATTAAAACGTGCATCGGCGACGAGAGAGTCGACTCAGGAACTGCTTCGTACCCAATCCTAGCAAAGGGAACGTGGATCTTGCCAAAAGCACTAAATGGCCCTGATGGAGACCTCACAGCAGACCTTACGCTCCATAACGTTGGATACGTAGAGAACTTTCACGTTAACATCGTTTCGGAAGCACTCCTCCGAAAGACAGGCATCTGGTACTCCGGATTGGATAACACACTTCGCCAGGGAACGTACAAAAACAGCGTGGTAGTCAAGCATCTTGTTAGGAAGATGAACATTACTTTCTTCGAATATAAGACCGGTTCCCAGTATATTGCTCAGAAGCGAATTACCTCGAGTAACGCAGGAATCGTGAACCATTTGGTGCTTGCAGTACAGGATCCCGCTCGACTCTCGCTTCGTAAACCACCTGATAGGTATGATGACGCCTGGTTATGGCACCTTCGTTCGGGTCACCTCGCACCAGACGCACTAGAACGAATGGTGTCAAACGTGAGAGGAGTAAAGATAAAAGGACCCACGCGTCTGGAATGCGAATACTGCGCGACAGCGCACGCGAAACAGTTAATTTCGAGGCGAACCTCTGAACGGAAAGCAATTCGACCGTACTATAGGGTCTCATGGGATCTCTTCGACTACCCGACAAGCTTTGACAAGAACCGCTGGCTCTTAGTGATCAAAGACGAATATACCGGTCGTCTTTTCGCGTTTCCGCGCGTAAGTAAATCGCACACCTTCGTCTTCGACGCTCTCAGGCACTTCGAACGATGGGTCGCTCGCCAACGAGGCGTCACCCTGTGCAAGCTGAGACAAGACGTAGAACGCGCGGTAATTGCGATAAACGGAATGACTGAGTATCAACTTTGGGCCCAGCATAACGGGATTGAAATCGAAGAGACACCCCCCTACACCAAGGAACCCAATGGCGGAGGCGAACGAGCGGGCCAGGAATTAATAACCCGAGCGATAAAGATGCTCAGCGCAGCGGGCCTGCCAACTACTCTCTGGGTGGAAGCAGTCATGGCAGCCGCCTACCTGTACAATATGTCACCACGGAAGCGAAGAGCTTGGCTCTCACCAATTCAAGTCGAAGAGAGCTGGTTCCGACAGTATTTTCGCTGGTGGCAACCACAATACAGCGCGAGCCTCGCCCGCGACCTTCGCCCCCACTGGGGCTGGACGTACGCGTATGGGTGTAGGGCTTATCCCCTGAAAAAGGACCGCGAAGCGGATAGGAACAGACGTAACTTCAAGGTGGAACCGCGAGGATATATTGGATATCTGGTGGGCTACGTTATGGACGCTCACAACCTATACAGAGTCTGGATACCCTCGCTTGATCAAGTGATTATCACGCGAAACGTTACCTTTGACGAGACGAAGTTCTACTCGAAGGACGATGCAAAAGCTAGTTTACAAGCGGAGGTGGCCGAGACAGTCTCTACGGAGATCTCGGAACCTCCGGCTACGGCGAACCCAGGACTCCAATTCCTCGGACTTGCAAAACCAAGCGAACTCGTATTTTCACTTGAAGAGCAGCCCCTGCCACCTGCCTTCGCGCCGTCGACCGTAATCTCAGAAGAGACAACGGTAAAACGCTCCGCGGTTAACAGCCGACGCGAAGAGGGCCTGCTCACCCCGGAACCGACCCCTGAGCCGGCCGCAGCGCTGGAGGGGACGGACGGGCAAACGACCGGCCAACAAAGCTCCGAAGCGATGGACGCCGGCGTTCCCGACCCGGGGCACGAAGCCCTCTCTGAGGCGGTCGAAGACGTGATATACGTCAAGACCAACAACGAACCTCCACGAGAACCGGCCGTGGAGGCCGACTCGAGTAATGATCTCGGGGGTGACTCCCCAACTTACCCGGTGCGGCCACACTCGGATAATGGGAACGGGCGCGAACCCGAGATAAAGACCAAGCGGGTGTACAACCGCAAGGACTACGGCCAACAACAGGGCAAACCGAGACGATCACCTCGCTTCGCCTAACACTTCGCATTCCTACAAACGGAACGTAATTGGGAAACTTTCTTCCATACCTATATGCCTGATCAGCAGAAGGCTGTGGAGGAAGCGAACCAAGCCCACTATACGCTCCATTGCTTCGTCTTCGCGTCAATACACCAAGCGAAGCACTCCAGAGCGGTCACTCCACAGCGAGTGAAAATACACACAGATGAGCTTATAAAGCCCCTACGAACGTGGAAAAGTGTTGAAAAAATGCCGACCCACCTCCGAAACCTGTTTTACGAAGCGGCCCAAGCCGAGATAAGTAAATTAGAGGAGATGGACGCTTGGAAAATCATTGACGAACACGAAGCGTCTACGAAACCTATTCCTCTAAAGTGGGTGTTCACTTACAAGCTTGATCAAGACGGCTACCTCGACCGCTGCAAGGCACGAATTTGCGTCCGCGGCGACCTCCAGGCGAAGCATCCTCTCGAACAGACCTACGCAGCGACCCTCGCAGCAAGGACGTTTAGAGTAGCGATGGCGCTCGCGGCGGAATTCGACCTTGAAGTAGACCAATTCGACGTAGTCAATGCGTTTCTAAACGCAACAAGAGGACCGAACGACCCGCCTGTCGTCTGCTACCTACCAGACGGCTTCAAACAGAACGGGAAGTACGTCGAGCTCCGCCGTGCCTTATACGGGCTACGAGACGCTCCCCTCCTTTGGTATAAGGAGTTCTCATCAACGCTGCGGCGCCTGGGACTCAAGCCTGCAAGCGAAGACCCCTGTCTCTTCACTTCAAACGATAAGAAAGTGATGGTACTCTTCTACGTAGACGATATCCTCGTCTTATACCATAGGGACCACCGCGAAGCTGCTTAAAACGTTATAAACGGGGTGAAAGCCGAGTATGAACTCAAGGACCAAGGCCCTGTCGAGTGGTATCTAGGCATTCGCGTGATACGTGACCGTGAGAAGCGAACAATTAACCTCGCACACGACCAATATATCGAACGCGTAGCGAAGAAATTCAACCTTATCGACTCGATCGTGCCGCATACACCATTGCCATTCGTCCCGCTCCAGAAGAACACCGCTGAAGCGACCCCTGACCAGGTAAAGCAATACCAAGAGAAGGTCGGCTCAATTCTGTACACTGCGATCATGATTCGCCCCGACGTCGCCTTCGCTTGCGCTACACTCTCGAGGTTCCTAACGAACCCGTCTCTCGAACATCAGAAGGCCGCGAACCAAGTCATTAGATATCTTTATCACACTCGCTACCTTTCGCTCTGCTTCGGTAGCTCGGGGGGTGCAGGTGCCCAAGTTCTCCTAATTGCGGGCGACGCCTCGTTCGCAGACGACGAAGAGACGCGGCGTTCATCTCAAGGGTACATCATCTCACTGTTCGGCGGTCCCATTTAGTGGAAAGCCGCGAGACAGAATACCGTTACTACTTCTACTACAGAAGCGGAACTCCTTAGCCTCGAAAACACTGCTAAGGAGACCATCGCTCTCAAACGCTTATTTCGGGATATTGAACTAGACCTCGGAGACGTATGGAAGATCCATTGTGACAATCGCCAAACGATTCGCCTGGTAGTAGGCGACAAGGAACGCATCTCAACGCGCCTTCGCCACGTTGATATACAGAACATGTGGCTACGCCAAGAGTATGCCAAGAAGACGTTCGACGTGGTATATATGCCTACCGACGAGATGCCAGCAGACGGTCTCACAAAAGCACTCTCCCGAGCGAAGTTCGAACACTTCAGGGCACTTCTAAACCTACAAGACATTCGGGCACAAGTCACAAGAAGCGAAGAGAAACAGGTGCGCGCGAGCAATGCTGGCCCGGAGGCCGAAAGTTAAATTTTGACTTGGCCCCTGGCCAGGAAGCATGATACGCTCCCAAAGGAGCAAAAGCAAGCGTACTTACGCCCCGTAGGGCGGGCTCTTTTAACGACCTCGGAGGGAGGCCGCGTACGTGTCCATCAGGACGTTGTACGCGGGGAGAACAGCCGCCGGCAAGTGTCCTCCAACAAGGCTGTCAATGGCAGCACGGAGACCAGCCGCTTCGGCCACGGCCGGAACCGCTGCAGAAGAGTCAACGGGCAGAGGAAATAATAACTGATGGGCAACCCACGTTGTGGGCCAATCAGAAGGCAGGATTTTCAGAAAATTCAACTGGCAATAATAAGAGGCAAGTACGACGGTTGAATAAAGGAAAGTGCGATTATTGCGCCAGGCGGCGCGCAAGGGCGAATTTCGCCATATTCACATCACTTCGAGCACAAAGACCGAGGCGAATACAACAACACCTCTCTTTTGTTATATATATATTCACAAGAGGCTCTGAATAGCCTCATAATCTTGTATCTAGGCGATAGTAGCGATATGGCCTCGAGGCGCGGTTTTCCAGACGACTACGCGCCGTCTGGGGGGGTGTGTCGTGCTGGCTCCGGGCCTCCGGACCCACTCTGCCGCGTCTCGGCCGCGAGGTCACGTGACCTCGCTCCAGCGACCGTATTCTTAAGCGTCCTTCGCTCCGCTCGCTCACTTAGAGAAGACAAGCCGTTTTGTTCCTAGTTGATGCCGCCCGTGCCTGACGTCGGTCACCACACTAGTTGATGCTGCCAATTCCGTAGTCGGTCTCCACATATGGACTACTCATCCTTTGATGTCTAACCCGTTGCACCTAAAACGATGGATGGCGGAAGCTGCTCCATTTTCAATTTTGTGACACATTTACAGTTGCAAACACATTGAACTGAAATGAAGCTGGATAATCAGAACGCGAACACGTTCGACCTGATTCGTCGCAGGGGTGCCTGTTGGTGTAGGACCCAAACAGGGCAATTTATAGGCATGGTAAATCACACGACTATCCTGGGAGGAGGCTGCACGTACATTCGACCCACCTCTTGATTGAAGCCTGGCAGCCGCATTCTTTGTTTGCATCACCTGCTAGTTGATAAGCCTAGAAAGTGATCAGTACGCCGATAAGGCGTTCTAGGCAGCCTTCCTTTGAATGTTGCAGGACTGCCAATCTGAATATGAGATAACCCATGTTCACACCAAAAAGCAGGTGGGCTGTGTAAGCTGCGCCCGATATTGGTACTCCGTAGTATGTGGGTCGGCGCTAGCCTATGTCGCTGCCTGATGCCGGTGCCAATCAGATCTCTATTTCAGTTAGCTCTGCGATCTTCTTTTTATGATTCGCTGGGTGGCCCCAAAAGACGGGCATCCCACCCAGCCGTTCGTCTGCCTCCTCCATGCTCTTGAATTGGCCAGGTGCAGGCTCTACTGCAGTTTGCTCGCTCGCTCGCAAAATTTGAGAATAGGCTATTGGCCTGAAATAGGAACCCATGACTTCATGTAGTCTTTCTAGTAGGCCTCGTTACCACCAGAAGGACTCTAGAAGGCAGACTTCTCTACAAGGTGTGACAGCCTGCATGTTACTAGAGCTCATAATTCGTCCCCCGAGGCAGGCATATCACGCAGAGATCCATAGTCCTAGGATGCTGTTTACTCTATTAAAACCACTTGTTACTAGTTATCTAGTGCGAGCTCTTAGTAGAATTCCAGAACAAGCCCGCTCCGAAACTACCACAACCATATGCACCCAGCATCCTTTTGATGTCATGTTGACCACAAAGCTAAAACTATCACTGGGTGTTAACTGATTTTCTACCTGCTCAGCCATCCACAATGTGTCTACCGTTTTCATCCAAGAAACAAACCTCCCAGAACACCGACTCGTCCTCTCAGCCTCGTCCAGCCACGGCCCCGATCGGACAGAGCAAGACAAGCGGTCACCCCGCTGGGGCAAGTTCTAAGCCATGCAGGAACAACACAAACAACCCCATTACTTCCAATATTAGTCCCCAGTCGGAGAAAGTGGAGGAAAATAGTACCAATCCTTCCATGGTTAGCCCCCAGCAAAGCGGAGAGGACAAGAACAATAGCAACCTCTTGGGGCAAAGTCCTCAGCCGACCCGGGAGATTGAAAGCAGCAGCATTCCTTCTGGAACAAGTCCCGAGCCAAAGCTTGAGAGCACAAAAAAGCGCAATCATTCCGGGGTTAGGCCCAGGCACGGCCACGCTAGCACTAGAAAGCACAATAGAAGTACTTACAGTGGAACGCGAAGTGCAGGGTTCGGGGGATTTGGCGGCGGTGGAGGTGGAGGCGGTAGTGGAGGCGGCGGCGGCGGCGGCGGTGGATGTTAATGACGCGATGTTGGCTTTTGCAATTGAGAATCATAGAGCCTTCGAAATGATTCTTAACTCATAGTATGCGCCGCTTGAAACCAGTTGAGGAGAGATAACCATGAATTTCTGAGTTGAGAATTTGGCAAAGCTGACTCCCCTTGATTCCTCGCCGCTACGTCACTGGCCGATCCAAACGCTGATCAGACCCTTAGCTTCTCCACTGTGATTTACGGGGGGGGGTTGTTACTGCCCCCCGGGGCATCCTCGCCTCGGGCGTCCACTAGCTGGTCATCTGTCTCTCCTGCTCCCTCTCTGATATGCGAGGCTTTCTTGGGGCAGTGTCGCAAAGGGGAATTGAGTAGGCGCGTTTAGCTGGATCGAGTTATTAGCTTGCGGTACATGATGATCTTCGGTGATCCTTGACGGCGCTAGAAGGATTCTAGAAGGCTGAGTTCCTGCAGCGCTCCCCGCCAGCTGGGTGCTACTCAATGCTTACGTCGTCTCCAAGGCAGACAGAAACGCCAGATACATCTACAATCATATATATATATGGCAAGTTTCTTTTATTTAAGTCAGGAGCTGCCACTCATTTAATGAAAGTCTCAGACTATACCAACCTTCCTAATTCCTCAATCATCTCAATCAGCAAAATCATCAACGCCTTAATCAGGCATCATCCATAAACCCTACACTGCTACAGACCAACCGATAAACTACAAATTTGAAATCAACCACCATGTGTTTTGGACTTTCTTCCAAAAAGCGTGCCTACCAGTACACCGAATCATATCAGCCTCGTCCGGCCATGGCCTCTGCCGGATTCGGTAGAAGTTCCCAACCATACTGGGCGAACACAAGCAATCACCGTCATTCCGGAAGAAAACACCGTTACAACCATTATGGTACTGGAGGTTATAGTGGAGGATACACTGGATGGTTTAGTGGTGGTGGGGATGGCGGCGGCGGAGGAGGTGGATGTGGAGGTGGTGATGGAGGTGGAGGTGGCGGCGGCGGTGGCGGATGCTAAGTGATGAGAAGTTAGCTTGTACGATCCGAGGTGTATAATATCCGCCCACCTTGCATTTAAACGTTGTATGCGACATTGATACCTTTTTGGGAAAGTTAGAAATAGGCATTTGGTTTCCAAGCAAAGTAAAATTAAAATCCTTCGAGAGTTCCTATCATCTTTCTCGCAATGCCAAAGCTGATATAGACGGAATCATCGCTTGAGAGCTTCGTCTGTTTTTGAGAAACTCATTGCTCTCGTAATTATATCTTCTGGTATTTCCTCATATGCAACTTGTAAGGTGGTACCTAATCTCTGATGGCAGGATGTGCCATTGGAAATCATTGTCTGATTTCGTAGTTGCGATGACATTATGTTTGCTGAACTCAAGCTGTAGCTGGCTATTGGGCAGGGATTTTCTTGCCTCTGACTCAGGTTCCGGCATATCGTCTCTCGCTTACGAGAAACGATGAATCCTCCTGCCTTGTCTTTAGCATTCAGGGCTACAGATGCTCATTTCTGGCATGGCGGCATCTTGCATAAACCTTTGAGAAAGCTCTATTTAAGTTTTGATATTTGACCATCTTGATAGCCATGAAGGAGAATTACAAGAAATATCGTAGAGGTGTGGTCCCCTGATTGAAGTTGACGGCAAGTAATCGTAGCATGCCACTCAAAGCCCTGCTTGTCTATGTCGCTAAAATGAGGCGACGACGTCTTCTTGAGCAGGATGACTAATGTTAGTATTGATGGGCATAACGTTTATGATGTTTGCTTGTCTCTTCCAACATGGACATTAACAAGAAAAAAAAAAGATAATCATTCAACCGGAAGGATCGGACAGGCCAAAAACATTGATCGCATTCAATACCGCAGGTTAACAGTTCTTTCCTAATCAACCAGTGGCCCCCGATCGGCGCAGTTGAGTATGTCTCACGAAGTGTCTGATAGATGGGCGTGTGGAACTTGGCATGGCCGGGGATAAGATTCATGCGGGTACCTTGGTCAAGAAACACAAACAACTGACGTGCTGGCATACCAAGCTGTTGGTAGGATCAGGTTGAAAGCTCTCAGGTAAACTATAACTTTCCAAGTCATTGTCTTATTAAAACTTCGTCATCTTGTATTTGTTGACATCGCTGCGTAGGCAGGTTAACTAGGATAGTTGCCTTGAACGTGAGCGAATCTTCGGGTAATCACATATTTTCGTTCTCGGGTGGCAGGTACCTTAAGTTAAGAGCCTTGCATGAACAGAACAGTTACTTTAAGTCATACTTTAAGACAATACATAGATTGCAAGATTGTGGTCAATCACCAAAAGATCATCAACGCGAATTATTGTGCAGTACAAAGTCGCATACCTTGAAAGCGTTTGAATGAGAGCCAGTCCGCCTGTGGCCATAAAGTATTCAGCTGGACAATGCTGAATACAACATTGTAGTCACCTCACATATCTACGTTCCCTGTGAAATAACCTGAGTGTATCGTAGCGATGGCCGGGTTCGTATGAGGTGTTCGTCTAAGGATGACTGGCCATCTTCAAGAGTCCAGAGGAACGCATGGGCAACGCCGCAGCCGTAAGGTACGGTCAGAGTGGGTGCTTACGGTTTCCCGCTCGACTCTTCCGCCCGAGTCGGCCATCCTAAACCTGGAGGTCACCGTGAATTGCCCGAGGCGATTCATCGGGGCATCGTGAGCTTAAGCCAACGAACCTTAGGAGCAGGTTTTTCCTGCACGTAGGTGGCAAAACTTAAGCTGATGGGAATGATTAGAAAGTGCCGGAAGTTTTACTCGACGTATGAAAATTCATTCGAGATGATTGTGCTCAGCTATCCAATTTGGTCCCTTTCTTCGACCTCCAATGTCCTCGGCTGTTGGTGGCCAAAATCTGGAGGAGTAGTTGGGGTTGTCGCCCGGTCTGCCCGGAGTTAGGGCGCTAAGGGACATAGTGCGCCGGCATAATAGAGCCATCGACTCCAACTTACCCAATCCGACAGGGTTAGGTTCCCGAACAGCATTTGATCAGCAAGATCTGAGTCGCTTTGACTGACTCCGGCGAGGTGTTAACCTTATTGGCTCAATACATCATCTGATAATTTTCTTTGGCAGCCAAGAATGGCCCGCACCGATTGCCTAATTTCCCCAAATCCAAGGCCTCGGCCCTTGATCTTTGCACAAGCCGACCCAACCAACGTCTTCTTCCGCTCCATGATACGGGAATTTGCCCACTTTGATGATTGGTTGTACGGCCAAAACCCTCTTCACCCCGCACTTTACGCATGATCTGAGTCGCAGGCTTGACGTAAATGTCGAGCCCTTCTTTGACGGTCAGGGGTCAAAGACACGGATTGGGGGACTAAGAAGATGCAAGTTGCTCGTACGGGTTAGGTAAAAATACCTGCTGGTCTGTGCCAGCAGGACTGCTACTTCTTGGGATAATAAAACAAAGCCTATACGGCTTCGAGTGCTCTTGAGAAACTATCACCATCTTCCACCTGAATATCTAAGTCGTTTTGTAGTTTCTTACCATGTACTACTTACCAGTCGTTGCCGCTCTTGCTTCCTATCTCGTCCTCGTACGAGTGCTGCGCTATCGTCGTCGTGATGAGATTCAAAGCAAATTTGCGTACAAGACGCGGGAGGAAATGGCAGCCATGTCACTTTCAGATGCGTCTGCGGTTGTACGCAAACTCTCACAGAGAGAGTTCCCCACTATGTTCTATACATCAGTATCATTTGCCCTGTTCATGGTTTGCCATACCTTACTTGGATTCTCAATCCCAGGTAGCTAAGTTATGATTACAGACTTATGGCATCCCAACTATCTCCAAGCTTCTTGTTGCAACCAGCCAGCTCTCTGGAGATGCCACCGCGTCCAAGCGCCGTACAGATACCGGTGTTCTCATGACAGAAATCATACACAACGAACCAAAATCCCACCGAAACATTGATGCTATTGCCCGGGTTAACTTTCTCCACGACCGTTGGCGAAAGGCCGGTAAGATCTCAAACGATGACATGCTTTTCACTCTGAGCCTGTTCGCTCTCGAGCCAGTTCGTTGGACCGCCAGATACGAATGGAGAGATTTAACCATGATTGAGAAAAATGCCATCGCCATTTTTTGGAAGGAGGTAGGCAAAGAGATGGAAATCTCGTACGACTGCCTGTTCCCCTACATGGGCCAAAAGAACGACCCAATTGCTTGGCTCGAAGCTCTTGATATATGGAGCACAAAGTATCAAGAGCATAACATGGTCTACGCGGTTTCGAACGAAAAGCTAGCTCATGCGAATGTATATCTTTTACTTCTTGACGCTCCTAAATGGGCGCACAGCTTCGTCTTTGCTGGAGTGCGGTGCTTTATGGCGCCACAGTTGCGGCGTGCTATGGGGTAAGTAGACAGAACAGTTTCCAGCTTTTGTAACAAGGTCACTTACAAGTGTTACAGATACGAGGATCCGAGCAAATTTGAGCTATTCATCTTCGACAAAATAATGAATGCTCGACGTTGGATCCTTAGGCACATGTGTTTGCCAAGGCCAAAATGGTGGACAAACCCAACACTTGAAGACATCGATAAGCAAACAGGACGATATTTTCTCCGTACCTACCTGGCGCATCCATTTTATGTCAGACCAACATTCTATTCACGATGGAGTCCCGGGGCCATGTACAGCCGACTGATTGGTGGGGCGTTGCCTGGTGACGAGGGCACCAAATATTGCCCAAACGGCTACGTGATTCCCGAGGTTGGTCCTGATACTCAGCGTGGAAAGGGAAAAGAGCACATGGATATTACGCGGGAAAGAATTGGCAAGGCCAGAGGTTGCCCCATGGCCTTTGGGGTATAGTTTGTCACTGATCATTGAAGCTGCGTCTTTCTGCGCCAAATCAGTATGATTACTTCTATATAAGAAACCAGAATGAAGTTTTCCTTTCAATATTTGAGTTATTTCTCAGTCATCTGCCTTTTTTATAATACTGACCCTGTTATGTGTTTTTGTTCAATTAGCTCTTGTGACGACGTCTGAACCACACTCAAAGCGCGTAAGGGATGAACGCTAGGAGCCACATGCTACCGAGGTCAATAGTTGTTAGACCTCCAAGCGGAAGTACAATCACCCCGAGAGGCACTTATTTCGTGGTTAAACCATGACTTAGAAGCTTTTGCAAAGCGAACATAATTTCGAGCTATCAACGACGTTTATGTAACATTTTACACCAACACTTAGACCTACACTGCCCGTTCAAACTGTATTCAGGAGCTGAACATATAGGCTTTGAAAGCCTGCTCACTCGTTAGCAATACTAGAGAATCGTTGAACTTCAGGCAGTGCGAAGACATCTCGAAACCGAACTATATGGCATCCCCGAGTCTCCATTTGCTGAGCGAGAGACTTTGTGAAGTGGATAGGTGTTATGCAGCCTGACAAGTCAGAGATATATCTCAGCTTTGAAAACCCATCGGTCCTACTTTGACCACCGGGGGACATACTGTTACGGGCTATGCTACGGTTAATTTGATGTCAGGCTGGACCAACGCATATTCCCTACTTAAGTACAGCTAAGCAACAAGCGCACAGGTCGTTGTTACGTACCGTTTTACAGTAGCTCAATTTAGGTAGCAACTTGACGCTATGCACGTGCTAAAGGCTGGTATGCAGCTGTCACTGCAGCCCCTAAGCGGGGCTAGCCTCTTTAAACATACGTGGGCTGTGGATGATGGATGATGGACGTCCCACTACGTATACAGACAGTCTACGATACTACCGAAGTAGTAGAAGAGGGAACCTATGTGACGGCAACCAATAGCAGTTTGGTTATCAAACACCCTTGACTACGTCTCTATCAATTTGAGTGGAAGCTTATTCTCATCAGTAATAATGTCAGCACAAATTGACATGCAAGCTGGTCATTGAGGCATAAGTGCTGTTGAGTTCAATTTAAACGCTTACTTGGGGTGGTTAAGGAATATCAAAACTGCCCGCCAAGGTCCCCTTTCTGATGTTGACCTCAACTTTATGTTAGTTGTAGATCGTTCTTTGCGGGTAAAGGATTTGCGTTGGAAGTTCGTGTCTGCCACCCAAGAAGACTGAACGTCATGAGTAAAAACAATCGATCTATAGTCCAAAAAAGAAGTAAGTCAAAAGAATCCTCACTGAGAAAATAGCCATTCTGTATACTCAGAGTCAGAACACATCTTTACTACCCTGCTTCAGAAACCAGAAAAAGCTTTGAACGTATTTTCGGAGCTGCAGTAATTTTGCAACAAAATAAGGACAATTTGTCTATGGTATGATTGGATAAATTTGATTTGGCCTACTCGCAAAATGGGATTGCCTGTTGATCTTAGGAAGCTATCCATAGCAGCATTAATATGATGAGAATCAGCGCCGGAGTATAGTAGTATTGAGGCCTCAGGGCCGTCGTTTCCAATTGTTAAGTACATGTGGGCCTCTGATCCTGACCTTAATCTCAAGTCAAAAACAAGCAGCTGGGCATACCTATCAAGCCTCTCTGCCGTATGATAATGGATCACACAAAAGAACTGTCAGAGTAAGCGGCTGAACCTAGACCCGCATCGAATTGAGAACAAGAAAAAAAAAAAAAAGTGGCGCAGGAGGACATGTGCGTATGCATCATAGGCTGCCCGTACAAGGGTATATCAGCTTACCGGTTACATACGATGTAGAGGAGACATTTTATTCAAAATCAGGCTGGCCAATGACATCCAATATTTTCTCGCTCGCCTTACAACATCCAGCAAATGAGATACGCTACGAGTGCGGGGTCGCATGCAATATGCAAGCACAACTGAGGGCTAGATCAATAAAGTGTTGTCACTGTGCGTTGAAAGAGGGCGCTCGCCCTCAGCTTCAGCCTGACCTGCAGGGTCAGCACATGCCGAAAAGACTTGTCTGTCTCCGTCACTCATCCACCTTTTTTTTTTCTGCTCAGCGCATGGCTGGTTCATCATCAGAACTGAAATAATGGCACCTGTATCATCTTAATATATTCAAGCCGGAGATCCGGTGACCGGATTTTGATCTTCTCCGACCGGGACGCCACAGCATCCAATCAGTAGTTCATTCCAACATGCCTCAACGCAAGACCCAGGTTCGGATCGACCACGGAACGAGTTCTTCGTCAACTAGCTCGTCCGTGGACTCCATAGACAGTGAGAGCACTAGTGTTGCGTATGAGTCACCATCATCGGAATACTCGCCCCGACGCCCCGCGCGAGGATGTGCGTCACAGAAGCGGCGGTTATACCCGCCGTCGAAAGGAAAGACATCTTCTTCTGAACATCGTCATATAGACAGAGCTCCGAAGAACGAGGCTCCCAAAAGGCGGTCCCCAGCATCTGATCTCCCACAGATCCGTCGACGGCCAGTTAAGCCCAAAGTAGACACAAGTGATGAGAGTATGGACGACGACTTTGGCTACTTTCCGCGATTAGGACATGGCGGGTTTCCTATGCCGCCATTTAACCGTGATTATTACAATCGATATAGTAACGGCTCTGGGCAGAATTGCTTCTCCACTTACGGAGGTTTTGGACCGATTCCGCCTACTCACAATCCGTTCAACCCTATGATGACAGGAGCAGGCTTATATAACTCGCCAGCCCCCCCTCTTCCACCACATTTACAACAGTATGCAATAAACCATGCATCTACGCTCCCTCCAACCGATATTTTAGGCCCGCCAAAAGCCCCTGCACCTCCAACTGAGTCTCCCCGGCAGGAGCTGACAGCTCGGGAATCCATCAATCTAGAAATCGAGAGTTTGAAGCGCGAACTAGACATGAGAAGGGAAGAGCTCCTGGCTAAGGAAAATGCAGAGAAGCAGAAAGCAGAGATCGAAAAGCTCCGAAAGGAGATAGAAGGAGAGTTCCAAATCAAGCTGGACGCATTCAGGAAAGCCGAAGCAGAGGCAAGGCAAGAAATTGAGAAGGTAAAAGCCGAGGCCGAAGCGGCGGCTCGAAAGGCCATTGAAACCGAAGTAGAAGCCGGCGCTGAACGTGCACGTTTGCATCTGGAAGCTGTTGAACATGCCAAGATAAAAGCCCGAGAAGACCTTAGGAAGGAGTTAGAGGCCGAGCTTGACAAGAAAGAACGAGAAGAGGCAAAAGAGCGTTCCTTGAAGCTAGCTGAGGAGAAACTGGCACAAGAGCTAGAGATTCAGCGCAGGCGGCGAGAAGAAGACGAGGTAACAAGGAATCGGCTTCTTGCAGAGCTCAAGGAGCAAATTCGAGCAGAATTGATGGAAGAGCAGAACATTGCTCTAGGGTCGACTAGGTCACCCCGCCAGTCCAGAGAGTCATTCCAACAAACAACTGAGACGCCGAGCGATTCAACAGTTGATCCATTTGAATTCTTCGAAGGCTATTCAACGCCACATCCTGTTCAGGACGAGCCTGTTGAACCTGATGAGATGCATTCTCTGCACGGGCAACTGCCCGCCTTCTGGTCCCATCAGATCGCGGTGTCAAATGACAGAAACCACAGCTATGCACCAACGCAACAACATATGTCCTTGACATCTGAGCATCACGATAAGTGTCGATACTATAAGCCTCCTTATTGCCAGGGCCTGCCTGAATCTGAAGTAGATATCTACTCCCAACACCGATGTTGCGGGAACAGTTGTTGTGCCAGGCCTAGACTTCCCTGTGATGCATCAAATGAGGAAGATTCGGACAAAGTAACAGTAATCCCGTTATCTAGACCCAGACCGACGGACAGCAAGCCCATGGAAAAGGGGATGGAGAACCTAAAACTGGCAAGTAGCAGCGCTGCTACCATGAACGCGACTCCAGGTACACCTCCGCAACCAAACAACAAGACCGCCGACAGACTTGGAAAGCAAAGGGTCGCCAATTGGGCGGTGCCCCCTTTTGGAGACTTAACTAAGGATGCTTCGAAGGCTGATGGCGACCTGGAAGTTGAGAACCTGCCAGACGACGTGCTGGACGCTGATGGCGGAGCCGAATTGGGAAGTCGCCGTTCTCTACAACCAAGCACGACACAGTTTATCCCTAGCCAGATGTCAAATGAAGGCGATGAAATCAAAAGACGGCTATACATGCAACAATCGAGTAGCCCGAGCCCGGTCCGTCACCAGGCGACCCGGGACAGCCCTCTGTTGCCTTTCTTGGCTAAACATCTCTCCGATTATGAGGAGACTCTATCCAGAGATTCGCGGCACCAGCGAGTCGACAACAAGGAGCCCCAACTATTCGACAGAAGAAATCACCAGGACTTTTTCAATCCATCTTTTCATAACTTTGGTTTTAGAGAAGGGCCGAAAGAAGACATGCCAGATCCGATGAGGCGATATTCCGTGGGCCGGCCTGGCGAGTGGCAAACAGCTGGCCATCAATCGTGGTGGCCGAACACAACCCTGAGAGCAATCGACCATGAAGGTGGAATTCCAATGGCTCTTGTTCCATGTGTTGTGGTCCCTCTGCAAATGGTACAGCTTCCCATGCCGGCCCTGCCTTACCAGGGGCTACCAAAAAGACATTACTATCAGCAGTGAATACGGATTCGGTTCAATCGCGTTCTTGATGAGAATGAAATTTGCAAGACAGTTCTTAAACTTGGATATCAGGCCGCTATATATGACAGGGAAAATATGGACAAAATGTACCGATGGGCTCATAAGAGCAAGACTTTGTTGAACGCTTGATTTTGAGATGAAATAGATGGTTTGCTATGTTGGATGCTACAAAAAGAATGAATGGGCAACGTTGCTTCGGAAATAACACGGTTAAAGTACGTACACCGGGCGGAGTCATCGAGGGCAACATAGGGAAGGAAGGCATCAAGGGAGGTCTGCAAAGCTGGTAAATGTAAACGTATGGCATTAATGCCAGCATGGAACTAATATTATTATATCTTTAAACCTTGATATCCTTATCATTCTTCTCATCAATCTCGAGTTCTGGGCCAGGGGCGTTGCTTCCCCAGCGACCCATAAAGAAGTTGCCGAAACTCTGAACAGTATTCTTCATATTCTCCGCAACAATTTCCCGGGTGGGCTTCTCGAAGAGCAAATCGATTTCTTCAAGAGAAAGGTTCTTAGTTTCGGGCATAAAGAGTAATCTCGACCTTAATTAGCTATGATTTCAATATGTGATCGGGGCAGAGTGTGAACATACTGGTAAAACCAACCCAGAACGGCGATGCCACCGTAGAAGCCCAGCGTAAGACCGGTGCGGGTCATAGCTTCCTGCATAGCAGAGAAGTTGTAGGTGACGATGAAGGAAGAAAGGAATAGCAGACCAGAAGAGGTGGTCATGCCATAAGAACGGAGGTATGTGGGATAGACTTCGGAGGGGACAACCCAAGTGAGACAGGCGTAGCAGCCGAAGAAGCCCATGTAAAGAGCAAGACCGACGAGGTAGCAGGCGACGGCACCGGTAGTGTTAGTCGTAGTGGGAATCTGGTAACTGGCGCCGATGATGATGAGGCCGACAAAGAAGCCGGGAAGCATGGTGTTGGCCCAGAAGCGGCGACCGAACTTTTCCATGTAGAAGCATGCAGGAATAGTGCCAATAAGCAGGGAACCGCCACCGACGAGGGACATGTAAGTGGCCTTCTCGTCGTTGAAGCCAATCTGCTGCATCAGGATACTCATGTAATACATGATGGCGTTGACACCTGTGAGTTGACCGAGGAGAATCATAATGTTGGCGTAGATGAGGGCACGGCGGGCTCTTGGGACGGTGAAGAAGTCCATCCAGGGGAAGCGCTTGTTCTTAGCTCCCTCAGCAACAACCTGCTTCTCGTCCACAACAGATACCTTCATGACGAAGAACTCCTCTTTCGCCTCGGGCGTCGTGGTGCCGCGAATACGCTTCCAGACCTTGTAAGCTTCGAGCGTCTTGCCCTTGTGCATCAGATATCTGGGCGACTCGGGCAGGAAGAGCATGCCGATGAACATGATTGTGGAGAAGAGAAGAGAAGAGCCCAGGATCCAGCGCCAGTTGCCAGGGACATGGAGGAAGATGGCCGCAACGGCGTAGCCAAGAACTTCGCCTAACGCAATGTTCAGCTGGTAAAGCGACACGACGTTACCACGAATTCGGCGCTCGGCCGTTTCTGCGACATATACGGGAACTGTACCACCCTCGAGACCGACTCCCATGCCAAGAATGACACGAGCAGAGACAATCATACCTGAAAAGGGGTCAGTTGATGTTGGTCGCAAAGGAACCGCAACCAGGGCAGGACGTCTTACCAAAGTTCATAGCACCAGCGCAGAGGGCACCACCAATTGTGTAGAGAACACAAGAGATAATGATGGACATTTTTCTTCCAAAGTACTCGTTGCAGGGACTGAGGATGATGGCACCACCGACGGCACCGAGGGGCATAGCAGAGTTGACCAAGCTGTTTTGTCTCGTGGTGAGGCCGAGATCACCAGGCAGGAAAAGGTTGGCACCGGAAATCAGGGACTGGTCAAGGCCGGACAGAAGACCACCCATAGAGGCGAAGGCAACGATGAGCCATGTGAAGTATTTTGTGTTCGTGAACTCGAGGTCAAAGATGCCCTTCTTCATTCCACCAGCAGCCTCAAGCTCACGCTCCATGCTGTCGATGAGAGCGTCAATCTCCCAGCCTCCAGCCTGAGCTACGGCGACAGCATCCTGCTCTTTCAAACCTGGAAGAGCGCCCGTGAGGTTCTCGATATGAGCCTCATTCTGGCTGTCGGGGTTGTGTTTACCCGAAATCTTCGGGGCGAGTGTTACGCCGTGCATTGTGTAATATTTCCCAGCCGCGTTATTCTCTGTTAAAGTGGCTTCCGAAGGGAGAGACCATGGACTGAAAGAGACAGATGCCAAGCTTCGAGGTGACTGCGGCTCTGATAAGATCGTCCGGAATAAGAGGACAGCTGCCAAGGAAGTCTAGAGCGTAACCATCTATCGGGACGACGGATAGCTTATAAACAACTCTGCGGATCACACCAGGACAGACACCACCGTACCATGCCACGACGGGCACAACATGGAATAACAACTAACCCGTCGACCGCATTGATCCATTGTGGATTCTCCGCCGACTTTTGATACTTGTTTATCTAAACTTGACACCAACATCGTCATCTACGAAAATTGTCTGCTCTTGGGGTGGAGCAACTGGAAGGAACGGCCGAAGTAGCAGCGATGCCATCCGCACTTTCAAGCCGTCTTCTCCAGTGGAGGACCCCAGGACTGGTTGACGCGCGCCCACAGATGGCCTGGGGATTTGGGATTGGGGGGTTGCGGGTTGCGTGGGCGACTCTGCGGGCACCTAAGCTCTAATGCCCTTGGGGCTCCAGGTTGACCTGATGCCAGGATGCAGAGAAGATGGGGCGACAACTGCAGGTTCTGTCTACGTAGTACGGAGAACAGGTCGCGACGTTGGTTCCATCTGACTCGCGACTCCACAATGGAATAGGATAGTGTTTGTGCGAGACCCGCCCAAGGGGGATTTGGTTTGAGCGAAAATTCTCCCGTTAGGACGGTCGCCATGTTCTGGATCCCAAGACTCGGCGACTGTCCGAGTGAACCTCGCGTTGTTGCGGAAGAGGTCGGAGACTCCGCGTGGAGAAAAAAAAGGAGCTGGACCATAGAAAAACTTCTTTCTGGGGAAAATGGTCGGGGAATGTCGAACGAGAAAATTTCAGAAGGGCACATGGCCTTGAAAAGTCGAGCTGTGTTTCTCCTAGTCCTCGGTGGACAGAAGCTAGACTTGATGATGGCATATTTTCTTTTCTTCTTTTCTTCTTGCTCCCCAAGAGAACCTTTCCAGCTAACCCCTGGCAAGAAAAGTCCCCGTTATTATTCACAATGTGGTATTCGGCACGGCAACCACGTGTCTATAAAAGCTTTGCATCCATACGAGACGTAAAGCCATCGATAGACCACCTTGATAATCCGCGGTCACCCCGCTATTTCAGTTCCCGGCCCGGAAGTGAATCCGCGTCCTTGGCTGGTTAATAAAGAGATTTTTTTTGCCCGGCTTGGCACTCCGAGAAGCGGCAGGGGCTTGTACTAAGCTCAAGCCGATCACTTGGTGTCTTGGCGGCGAATCAGGGAAAATCCTCTTCCATGTACACTAACGTCGATTTTCGTCAGGTCAGGCAAAGCCCCATTACGAAATACAACAGACGAACCGGTTTTATGGACTGTGACTAGTTTCATCAAGCTCATATCTTTCTTCTATTATTTTCTTTGTTCTCCAAGTAAATTTTTTCCCTTGCGACTTGCAAGCAAGGCCGTTCCTAGGTGTTTTGTGGGGTTTAGGAAATTTTTGATAAATTACTTGGCCGAACTACCGCTCTTAAGGCTGCTTGGGAATGGGTAGCATTGCCGATGCTTGCAGAAAACGATCAGGGTTGATGGATAACTTTACAAAGCCGAGCAACTCGTTCTTGAAACGTCACTCTTCCCATGAACCGTTGACTATCCACACCAAGTTTCTACACATGTCATCTGACAATCCCAACGGACCAGCTGACCTCACTGACATCATTTAAAAATTTGTGTGCCTTTTGGTCCTTGTATAGAGTCCATAAAAGTCCCGTCTTTTCCCCCTCATGCGGCTGGATAACCCCCCGCACGTCCCTGCCGAGCGATTGATCGATGGGGCGCTTTTACAAAACTGTGGTCCCATAGACCCAGATTATCCATCTTAATGTTTTTGAGCGCCCCTCAATCCGAAAACGACAAAGCACGGAATCGGTTTGGTCAGTATATATTTTTCAGAAATTCAAGATTTTTGGCTTCACGAGAGCCTACAATAATCTTCACTCGGGACTGGCTGTTGTCCTTGAAGAAACCGAGCCTCAATTTGTTCAAAGACATGCCTTTTTTCTGGGATGGAAAGCTGCTGCTTCACATTGACTTACCTATCATCAAGTGCTAGTACCCTGAGAAATTTTGGCCATTCCACTTATCATCAAAATTGCAGGTTAGTGCGAGGTAAGATCGAATAACTTTTGGCCGTTACATGACCCGTTGTGGTTCACTCGGCCCGGACTTGTTTTTGTTTTCCCCTTTGTTTTTGGCTTGAAAACGTAAAGCAGTTTTTTCTCGAACTTTTTTGCAGCACTCAATGGTATTATGGTTCTGTCTTATAACACATGAGAGACCCATTTTCGAGCTGCGCACTTTTGTGGATCAAATGAATCAGACCGGTTACTCCAGATGGTGACAGTACCTACTCAACACTCGTGTTATATTTACAAACGTACTTTCGATGTTGGCTGAATTCATTTCCATTCACAAAGCTTTCCAAGTGAAAAAAAAATAAGGTTTATTCCCTCTTGTTACATTTACGTAGCTTCGAGATGGATTTGAGCATATTGAAGGCTTATCTGCAGCTGAACGTTTATGCGAGAACCGAGACGTAACTTCTTCGGTGCAGACTGTGCATCGTTACCTACATCTACAATGCAAGCCTGCTAATTTCCAGGGGTTAAAACTAAGGCGGTCGGTTTTGGGCACTCCATGCTCTCCTAGCCGCCAAGTACGAGTGAGGTAGTTGGCGAACCACCGTTCGCTTGATAGCCTTACGCTCAGCTTCTGCCTAATCCTCAGAATATTGCCGTCTTCATCTCCATCCGTGAGCATGTTTCTTGAGCTTCTTTCTTTTTGATACTACATCGTCTGAAAGTATTCATCTGCGTTTCGGTTGTCCCAAACCTATATAGGCCTCACCCTTTAACACCACGCCTGTTTAATGCCACGGAACTCGATTTGTCAATAGTCGTGTGATGCATGACAGCAATATATTTCCAATATCGTTGCAATAATGCCCTGTTCCAAAGAGACATTGGGCGACATTTGTTGCACTGACACTCACGAACAGTGGGTAAGAAAGGCGCTCCAACGTCCAAATCTTTGTGGTTTGTGCCACGATATTTTGGCGGAATCAAAGAACCTGCATGAGGCAGTTTCTATCGAGGGTTTCTATAGGAGTATCCCATTAAGGCAGCTCCACGACAATGCAGTGTCAGCCGCTTGCCGTATGTGTACCTTATTTCTATATATGGTTATGCATTCCTTGAGAGACGAAACTGCCGGTTCGTGGCCAACTTCCGAATTTCTTGACGTCAATAATACATTGGAGGCAGCAGTTAAAGTCCGTGCTATTCCTCGTCCTACAGGCTGGAGAAACTCGAAATTTGACATTCATGAACTTCTCGTATATGGAGCAATGTTGGGCGTCGGCAGTCGGGCTCGGAAGCTTGATGAAAACTTTTTGAGGTTCAAAGTTTTTGCTCAAGAGGGTACGTTACGCTTTATGCGTCCTAATTCTCGTTTGCTTTAGAAACGCTGAAACTCATCATGCCGGCGCAAAATCTAGGCAACGATACTATGGAATATATCAATTCACTGGAATACGATCGATTCATGGGTTCTGACGATGCTTTCATTCAGGTTCAACAGTGGATGAAAACCTGTGACCAGCAGCATCCTCTCTGTTCACGGTCGAACCAAGGCTTGCTCCCCACACGTGTTATTGATGTTTCAGATCCAAGCACCGTACGGCTGCGTGAGATGCAAGGCAAGCAAGATCACGCGGAAATAGAAGTTCTTGGTTGCATACTTACACCACGCTCCGAAACGTTACCGATGAGCGAAGTTGTTGGGGGAAGTTTACGTGTGCGAGGTTACCTTGTCAAAGGGTCTAGTGTAGAAGGATACGACACATGGCTACTTGGGTCATTTAGAGGGTTAGATTCAACTGTCGTTTTAAATTTGGATTGCTATGCAATGCAGGATGAAGATGCCATTGCAGAAGCTAGAAGTTGCGTGTGGCTACGAGTCCAGCATAATTTTGGGTTGGTGTTAAGCCACGTTGGGGGTAATATCTATAGCCGTATTGGCTGTGTGATGTATCAAAATTGGCCGAAACTAACTACGGGGAAACAAATAGTTGAAATCGTCTAAAAGGTAACTCGGTACTTTCACATATAGTTGTGGGAAATATACTCCTGCAATCGACAAGACAGGCATGTGTCAGTGACTGCACGCACTCATCTAGATAAGGTAATGTTTGGTAGTAGCCGTAAACTTGGACATATACAACGACTACGAAGCGTCTTACTATACTATCGTAATAACGTGATCGAAACTTGCCCTAGCAACTAAACTAGGAGAGGCGAGCCTGTTATGATTGACAAACGTGGTTATTGTCATCTCAACCACGTAACGCTGACGTTTCGTTCTCATCTGGCACCATACTGTACACCTATTTTAAATACAACCTCGTTTATATTAGCGCGCAAGTTGCTTCATTTCGGTACATATTGAAATGTGCGCTTGACTAGGTACCCAATAGGTCTATTCTGCTTTTTTTAACTCTGAAAACTGCGTATACTTTCGTACCCCGTTCCGTGTCGACGCAACACGGTCCCTTCAATTAATCTCATTTCTATGAATCGCCAACTTGTCCGTTTCCTGTTGGACCTTGACTTCCCATTCCTGCAGGGTATAATTCCTCCTCGTCCTCTGAGTTCTTTTTTTCGCCATTATTTTCGGGCCATTTCCAATTCGCCTCGGGAGGCGCTGAGTGTCTCGTTGTTGATGGAGGAAACCAAGCATCGACATCAAGGTTCAGTGACAATGATGGATGTTCACCATCGGGTAGGTGCGGCAAGTCATCTCCTAATAGTCTCCTCATGCCTTCAATCGCATCTGGCCGGAATGTCGAAAAATCGTTGCCATACTTCATTCCACCGTGCGTTGGCCATGCACGTTCCTCGTAAGATAGTTCGAACTCCATTGTTTTCATGATACCTGATATTGGTGGCTCTCTCAGTGCTCCACCTGTCGAGACAGCCGAGCTCGCCGAATTTAAGCTTTTGGAAGATTCAGAGCCTGCCGCAGAGGATGATGAGGACCCTGAGCTGGACCGCAGCGAAAAGGCCCATGATGCCCTATTTCTGGGCGGTGCTGGTCGTGTGGGCGGTGTATTCGGCCCAGAAATTCGTGATTCATACGTAAAGTCGTCGAAACGAAGTCGTGGCATCTCCTTGGACGGAGTTGGCTCATTTCGAGACAGGGAGCCCCTGAAGTGTCTCTTCGACATCGTGGTATCCGTAATAGTGATTGTTGGCAATTGCCTGGTCTTCCAAATTCCTATACTATGTCCCCTTTGACGTCGCTTCCCATATAGGCGCCTCACAAGAGGAGTAATCCCCGGCGCGCAAGCTGCAGTGATACCTATCCCAGGTTCGACAGTAGACCAAATCGCAAAGCCGGTGGTGTCGCCTACTCGAGGAGAAGCGTCAGCATATTTTTATCAACGGTGATTGCCAATCTTCCCGGTTCCACCTAGTTTTTGGCACAGAGTGAGTGGACGTACGAAGAAAGTTCTTCTCACTCAAGACAGACGGTACAGTTATCGCTCGAATAATCGTAGCTATACTTGCTCTACAAAGTTAAGTTAGTACAAGTCCTGCGATGCTTGTAAAGTGCAATGCGTGTTCGAGTATTGCGTATCACACCAATCAAAATCAATACCTACATGGAAGCAAACCCTAGTAGAACTGTACTCAGAATTTTTGTCTTCCGACGAAGATTTAGGGACCAGATGATGAACAGAGGCAAAACCCCGAATGCCCAGTCAGCTATGCAGTTCAATGTAGTCGCGGTGTATGTTGAGCCGAGGACGATGTTCCTTTCAAAGCACTTCCCCGGCGTGCGGGGCCCCTCGTCCCAAAATGTATGTATCGGTCTGCACTGAAAAGCGACGAGAAACAGGTACATAGTCCCGAAGACAATGGTCGAGAGCAAGAGAGCGCGCAGAATCCAGATATGTGTGGGGACGATGGCGATGCGCAAAAGGAGGATGCCGACGCAGACCTTTAGCAGGATGGACGTGATAACGTAGAGAAGTTCTCCGGAAAAGAAATACTAGATTGTTATTTCCATTAGCTAGTGCATACCTCCTAGTTCGGTCTGTTCTATCCGCAGCCAAATGCAACACAACTCAAGACGAAGCATTCGACTAACGCACCTGAAGAGCTTTTCTTCTGTCCTCCGACGACAGCTCGGTCGCATCACGGCCCGTACCATGCACGACTCCTAAGATCTCTGTAATAAGGAATGTCGTAAAAACAGCCTGAAGCAAGAACAATAACTTGTCGTCAATCGTCACACTCCGCGTGACGAATATCTTCGAGTATAGTCGCAGGGCGACGGCAAGTGAAGTTAGACACAGAAAAAAGACAGCTACTGCAATAACGCGGCGAGCCCACTGGGATCAATGTCAACATCTATCATGCCGCGAAAGATGTGAGTTGTCAGTCTCGCTGCCACTTACCAGGCTATGCTGGTAACATAGCAGCAGACAGCGGAGACAGGGAAGGCACAAGCTAAGAAAAGAGAACTGAAGACAGGCAGAAACTCTTGGCCTTATCGATGGCACAAATTCCGTCGCGGGAGGGACCACTCTCTAATTGTAGGGCCGACTAGGATCTACGGCCACGCGGGGGCCGGCGGAACCTTAAATGACGGTCAAAAAGAGATAATGTGTAGCTGCACGGCATTGAAGGTGCTCTTGGGGGTGTGGACTGAAGATCAGCAGTGGCTTGATTCGCGAACGGAGGTTAAAGCCAAACATGACAGGGATCACACACATGGGTCGTTCTAAAGCCTCGACAGGAGCTTGGAGGCCACCGCGAAAGGGTAATTCACCAGAAAGGACGCAAAAGGATCGCAGAAAGCCTAGTACTCTGATAGCGGCGCAAGCTCGCGCATTTACGTGCCATTTTACGTCCTAGGAACGCGATGCTCCTATGTCGGCACCCTAGCTGCCCGAGCCGTCCATGCTGGTGGCTTTTAGACCAGTCCGATGGTCATTCTGAGTCAGTTGTTTTGGGCTGAAGTCTTAAACCATTTAGGTTTGTCATGTTTCTATGCAAACGGCATGGCTAGTGTAAAGGCTAGTGACAGCTGCCAGGATCATTGGGGGTGGGTCAGTAGCACCAACTCCCTTACTGGGAAGGGGGGAAGCGCACTTCATTCAGCCATGTTCGTGCCGCATGGACAAGTTGGTACCCAAATGTTGATTACATGAACTCGTCAGAATCCACAGGATATCAGAATTGTACCTGGTTCTGTGGCATTACAAGATAACTTTTCTAAACCTTGAATTCTTTTCTAAATGTAAACAAAACTTTTCGAGCCAGAAAGAGAAATAGAAGATGAGCAAGGGTGATGTGATGTGGTGGCATCATGACTTTCTTCGGCATCTAAGACATTATCTGCTGGCTTTGAACTAGTGTGGCTCGATTCATGGGCAAAATACGCCAAATAAATAAACAGCCTGAGCGACGGAAAGGGTAATCGACACGAAAAAATCTCGTTGGAATCGGACGATCTGGGCCGTCCTCTCCCCGCCCTCTCCTAGGTTTTCCAGCTCCATCCGCGACGAACGACATGAAGATGGCGTCTGACACAGCCACCTCACGCAAAACAGGCGCAGCGCCAAAAATGCCGAAAAAGTCCAAAATACCTACCGCTAACTTTTCAGGTATCGAGCGAGACGTGGTCCAACTGGAGATATATCAAGCTCGACAGGAGACAGCCTACGAGTCACGACAGATAGCATAAGGCTGGCTCTACCAGTCTAACTCTCGCATGAAGAGACGACTCGCTACGCAAAGTTTCGGGTGCGCACCAGTGGATACCCCTGGGTGAATTCCGGTTTAGATTCCTTTGCTTCACGGCCCGCTCGTTGACCAAAATTTGTTGAGCGAGTATGATTAAAAAAGAAAAGAGAAAAACGAGTGAACTCAGAAAGAAGAACGTTGGAAGCTATGAGACCTGTCAAGGTAATTCTGGAAAAGTCAGAGGGTAGTTTACGGCTGCATAGTGCAGGGGTTGATAATGAAGCCGTTCCTGCAGCTGCAGGCTAAATAAGGGCTATGGCCGCTAAGTTGACTTTAAAACCATACCAATAGAAGCGAAACTACAAGAATATAAGAACGGGTTTGGTGAAATCAACACCCACCTGCGTGGCTAGATTTTCCTTCCTTCTTACGCACCACGTCGAGGAAAATGCAAGCCTGCTACAGCAACCTTGCCTCTTCACTGGGTCGTATCGTGTCCACAGATGATGCCGACAATGAATGGTTTCCTGCGACATTTCAACAATAGGTGGTTCTCTGAGAGTCGACCACAACACTTTTGACATATTAAATGTGGTATGGTTTAGAGCACGTGTATGCGACGATAAAATTGAGTATTACCACAACTGTCTTAAAGAAAGTTCAACAAAAGCTGTTGCCATTCGCAAGCACGAAAGTGAAAAACTTACTCATATGTCATCAGCAAGGAGAGCAGCTCTGTATGTTATTCGCTTGCTAATTCATATGAGAAGAATGATAACGGCTATGGAGATAGTCGTTGAAGCTATGAGGAACCTCTTTCGCTAGATCTCCGGATTAGACCATGTTGAAGACAGACGAATGGGGCAATAGAGAATAAGCGATCACAATTCTGCGAATTCGTCCCACCATCTTCTATTTTTGCGCACAAAGCCTTGGGAATATTACTAGATGCGTTCATGGATGTCAAAAGAACCTTAAGACACTAACGTAGCTTCCGAACCATGTGTTCGTGGCTGTTCCGACAAAGGACAGAAAATTTTCTAGTGGCTCCCGCTTCCATCCTATCAAAATTTAATGAGTGCTACATCGCTCGATGCCGAAGAATCATTGAGAACAGGTGGAAAATCCCATATTGGTACCTCGTTTCTGCTTCATCCAGAGTGCAGAGCTGGTATGCTACTTTGGGGTAAGGGCAGCCGGGAGATACTTGTACGGTAGAAACGGCTATCATATCTTTCTAGCAGTCAATTTTCGTATTAAATGAGATGTCAATCCACTGAAAGAGCCACTCCCCAAAACGGTTCGTCCAAGGAACTTAAGGAAGACCAAGTTGAGTTGGCAATACTTCAATAACAAAGATTACAGTGTCCATGGAAGCGACAATGAGAACGTAGCGGCCAATAGTTATTCATTGCTGATTTTACGTTCATAAGTGCTTTTTTATATGCTAGCTCCCATGAGCCCATGAAACACCAAGTCGAGATTTGTACGGCAATCGTGCAGCCCCATTCTTCGTTTAGGGATGGCTGGCCGATTATCAGTCTCACTAAAATAGCCAACGTGACATGAAAATAACGTGCGTTTTAGAGAGTGAGCATTAGGCCGACCTAGAAAGCCAAAACTATCTTATAAACGAAAAGACGAGTTTGACTTCAAATCTTTCATTGAGGTATCATGAAATTTTATCAAGCTCAAGTCATAACTTCCTTTTCCCATTTTGGCTGTACGGATTGGAATGAATGTAGCTAGTAAAGAAAGTATTTAACAAGGGCTTGTGTTACAAATGACTCTAAGAAACCTAATTCTGGTCGCACTTGTCTACCTGCTTGCCCGCGTTACAAGAAAATGTCGTCTCGCCTGCAGGCACCGACTCCTTACCGCCAATTCTGTACCATGTGTCCCAGTACGCTTCGCAGCACTTGTTGCTGAATAGCCCGCAGCTGAAGGAAGCTGCCAGATGGACGATGTGTCGGGGCTTCTCAGGCTTGTATAAAATGACCGCATCGACCCAGGCGTGCGCAGATACACCAGGACTGATTTGTCCAAGTTGCATACCGTGATTCGCTAAGCTCATGCCGGCAGCAACATACAACACGCTTTGGCACTGTTCGATACATGTTAGTGTGTGGTCTTTTTTTTGGAAAAATTCACTCATTCCATCATATCGCATGTTCACTTACACTCCAGTCCCAAGTAATATCGTGTTGATAACCAGACCACACCTCTTCTCCCTCGTCGTTCTCGAGCCAGTGGTATGTTTTGTAAGTGACCTCGGTCTTGAGTTTCCCGATATCCCAGAGAAATCCGCGTTTCCCGAAGTTTGACTCTACCATCGCTGGTGTAAGCCCAGAGGGAATGGCCATGCGACTGGCGAGGAGGCATGTATCGAGGTCTTCACGGCATTCAATGCTCACCAAGGTTGGGTGTTGAGCCAGAGTGCCGTTGAGGTCGCGCCGAAAGACAGAGCCGTGGATGTCCGTTTCAAGCCAGCGGGTATACAAATCGAAAAGAGGATGGGCCTCATGATTGGCGAGGTCGTTGCTGACAAGATCTTTGACGGGAATGGATAAGGTTGAAGGGGCGGTGATGGCTGGAGCTGCGAGAGCTGGAGAGGCGAGCGCGAAGAGTGCCGCTAGGTTGAGGCAAATGAACATCATGGTTATCTAGGTGAGGTGCAGAAGCTGAATTGTTCAAGTTGATGATTTGTTACTTGGGCTTTTATTTTTTGTCTCTAATTCCAATGGTTTCATGGTCCTTTTATAATGTATCGGCACTGCTACAAGCCGACGACGGTTGATAGGCAGCCACATTGAGTCCATAAGCAACAAACTGTTGGCAGGGACCCTATTCCTCGATATCTTGTTAACCCAGGCAGTTACGAACGGTTCAAATTGGTTTTGCTGCGAATGCAACCAAAACTATGGCCTGCATATTCACAGCCCCTACTGCTGTGCCAAATCCTTACTTGGCGAGTTAATTCTGGGCCGGCCCGTAGGGTGAAGGATTACAGACCAACCAATCGTTGCCTAATTCCGTATCGCTTTTGGCAATAATACCAGATTTGTCGACTGAGACTAATAATAGTGAGCTGTAATTCTTAGGTACACAACATGAAAAAAAAATCGCCAGATTGTATTTTGTTTTCGGCAAGATTTCCCCTCAAGTGTATCCAAAAATAAGCAAAACCAGAAGCCGTGCTCTGACAATGCGTAGATCGTACTCCTAATAGATCACCGCCGTTTAGCTCATCGCCTCCGCGTCGCGATCGCTTCCAGGCATGGGCATTAGGAGACGCCTAGACATTCACGCCTTCTTTGAATTACAATACATTACATGTTTAAAATGCTTAGATTTCTATTGTAGGTAGCTTCTCGACAACAAAGATTGCCATACAAGAGATGTCACAATATATGCGCCCGGACTGAACGTCTTACGATTATGAAGGGGAACGACATAGCCAGACATTCTGGAATCCACTATAACCGCGACGATGGACCAGCTTACTGACGGTTCATCCTATTTTACGTCGTTCCTAGGCCACATTGGAATACCACTTTCAACATCCAAGCACGTAGATAGGTATTGCAAAACGATCCAACCTAAACTTTCTGACTCTTATTTGCAATTTTCCATTGCCAGCAAGTATTAACAGCTTATTCTCATTCCCAGAAACAGGTGGTTGATGTTTAAAAGCGCAGTGTTTGCAGTGCTACCCATATTGACTTTGAGAGAGGAAAACTCTCGATTTGTCTTGAGCTGTTTCTCTGTGTATTAAATGAGAAATCCTGGCTACCCTTCTCTAAGTGCCCTTCTGGAGACGGCAATACAAATACCTGTGTTTCCCACTACTCTGATATCTACTCAAGCTGAATCACTGTGACAACATTGATGTAGAGCATATTGACGTCCTCGTCGCTCCCTACACCCCTACGGCTGCCGCCGAAATTGATCTCAAGCTCGACAAAAAACCAGGCAGTTTTGAAGATCAAAAAGTTTACTTAAAAGTTTACGCATTTCTGAACCTGCTTCTGCACTGGCTGATGGGAAGGATTGATGATGCCTCAAGATTTGTCCTAAACCGTTTCCAACGCCGTAGGAGCTCGCTGAACCCTTAGTTCGATAAGGGTATCGCTTCTTCGCATGAGTCGCACAGAGTAAGCTTTCGGGGAAAGTATGAGCAACCATTCACAAGCTCCATAGATAGCTAATTTCAAGCTCAAACTTCACATCAGCATCACTTTGGTGCTATTATCCCTACCTATTATGAGTCTTCCTAGCTAGGGTGTCCCATGTGTTGTGCAAACCAGTGGCCGCTGCGATGGAAAATTAGCTCGGTCAATTCCATCCCTGACCCCATGTAGTCCTACCTCATCTTTACCCGGCTTCGATTTCCCCATGGTGATCTCACTGTTCTCTTTTATCTACGGACTGTCTAGTCCGAGTGCCAAACTATGAACGTCATCTTTGGCCGTTATTTCTACGTCATCACTGTCCGAGGCTGCTACCTTTTTTTCCCCCTTCTATTCGTCACAGCCGATGAGACTTTGTTGCGCCAACATTAGGGAATCATCCATACTGACTCAAAAGCTGGCATTGTCCACGGAGATCAACTTGTCGATCCATATCGGATCACCCATCAAGGGGGCGATCGTTCAGGGGCCTGCCTTTTCGTTCGTGAGGTGTAAGCAAACGCCCGCTAGCCAGGGTAGACGGCCCGAGAGGATGCTAGCGACAGCGATCAGGAAATTCCTGGTCCCAGAAAAGAACACCGCCGAGAGTCGCAGGCAGTAATGAGAACTTAGGTCTATTCCCTGTCCTAGCAGCGGTTGCCAACTGATATGTCAAAGCGTCAATGAAGCACGTATTAGAGTAACTCACGGTGTTAAACATGCTGTACTTCCCAGACTAACGTAGAATACGATCCGAATCACAACTTCATCGCCTACAAAGAGGAATATAACTGGAAGAGTCACACCTAGTAATAGAGTCAGTACTGACTTGGCATTAGCCAACCGCAGATTGATAAAAAGGAGGAAGGTGCGATCGACATCGAAGCCAGCTTGTAAGCATCGATTCAGGTGCGATGCGTACCTGATTTTTTAGTTCGTGGTTATGATGACATGTGATGCTGCAACAAGCGATGACTCTCTAAATTAACCCGCCATAGGCGCTGAAAACTCTCCAAGATAGACTATGGCGCGTCAGCATCATCTACAACCCTGGCATAAGCTACGTTTCTGATATTGAACGAGTGGCATCGGAAAGTAAGGTATCTACGATGTACTGCCAGCCAAGACACGGACAATCTGTTCGCACTCAATCAAAACCCTTCCCATCTTTACTAGGGCCCAAACACCCGAATTGATATGTTCATCCCCATTTTGTACCTGTTTCGATTTGAGGGATGATGAGATACCTATGGTGGTGATTGACAGTCTACGCTCATCACCTTTTTCTAGGTTAAGTTAACAGGAACTATGCCATGTAGCTAAGCAAACGCTTTGAATTAAAACTCTATACAATTTGTATGTTTCAGGGTAATGCATTGTCGCGGAGTAATATAATATATTAGAGTTTTAGGCTAGCCTGCCGGGGGAGACTAAGTGTAACGTATGTGTACTGTGAACGGTAAGGCACATCTGCAGGGTGCTGACGCGGTACATAGGCAAGTGTAGGGTCCTTCTCAACTAGGTACGACAAGACATGACTGATATTGGGATTTTCATTGACTTTAGAAGTTGTGACAAGCCCTACGGAGACTATACCATGCTAAAGATGCGCAAGTGAACGGACTATAATCTTTTGGCGATGACTGACATACACACAAAACGGCGACTCAGAATCCCCTCAATGCGAGTGGATCTGCGGGTCGAGTTTCGTCACATGATTGGCGGTACCTGCACTGTTGAATATCATTCCGATAAAACTGGCCTCGAGTCAGGCGCATAATTGCAGAATCCCAGTCCAGAGCAACATCTTATAATTTGATTTTAGGTATTCAATTGTGCTCAAAATAGAGCCCCTTAAACTGTGTACCTTGACCCATAGTGCCCATCTATTCCTCGTCCCAGATAGTGGTGACAACAGCACCAGTGAGCTGGACCTGGCCGACCTTGCCGCCTTCAGCCTCAGGGATGATCTTACCAGACGCAAGGTCACGCTTCCAGATGACGACGGTGCGGTTGTTCTGGTGTCCAACGGCGAGCAGGTCACCAGCCTTGTTAAGGGCGAACTGGCGCGGGGACCAGCCGCCGGACGGGGCCAGCTGGACCAGCTCCAAGGTTCCATCCTCCTTAATCGCGAAAGTGGACAAGGTGTCAGACGGTCCAGAACCCAAGATAGGGGAGTCGCGGAAAGAGACATCGCGGTTCGAGATGATGAGGAACTTCTGGTCAGGCTGTATTTGTGCCAAGCGAGTCGCGTGTTAGTCAAAGTCCCTTGCCCAATTACAAAGCCGGATGTAAACTACAACCGGAAAAAAAAAAAAAAAAAAAAAAGAATGCGAACAAGGAGAAGGGATCAGTGCGCTTTTTCCCCTGATGAAAAAAACTCAAAACCGTTTATGGGGATTCGGCACGGCAATCAAAATAAGGCCCAGAAATTGATCTGCGGGCATGCAGCGACAAGGCGGAAGGGATATCTGGTAAGATTCAAGGAAAGTGGAGGGAAAACTACTTACGGTAATGGCAATTTCGCTTGTAGGGGCCTTGGTGGCAGGGAGATCCGCGTTGACAGCAGGGATGGAGAAGACCTTGGTGAAGGCCAGGCCGGTCTCCTTGTACTCGACCTTGTACGAGTAGATGTTCTGGTCGAGCTCTCCGTTGAAGTAGAAGAAGGTATCGCCATTGGCCGCCTTGCGGAAGACACCGTGGCGAGGGCCAACTCCGGGGCCGGTGATGAGGCCGTCGACTTCCTTGATCGGCGCAACGGTGTTGGAATCGTAGGTGTAGACCCGGACACGGTCGCCACCCAAATCAGCGAGCAGGACATACTTGCCCGTAGGATCATTGATAACGTGATGCAGGTAGCTGGTGTCCTGGCGGGACGTTACCGGTCCAGGCTTTTCGAGGGTCGGGAAGAACTCCTGGAGCGGACCAGTACCCGGGAGGGCACCTTTGTCGCCAAGAGCAAAGACGGCCGCTGCGCTTCGGTTGCTGCCGAGAACGGTGAGCTTGATGATCTTGATATTTCCATACTAGCCTCTGTGGGCAGGTGGATAGGTTTCAAATGCGCAGATGGGTCTGCAATTCTGGGTAACGGGTGAATCATGTTGCCGATTGGCCCGCCTCAGGACAAAGATCCCAAGAAACGGGCAAATGGTCGCCCCATGTTCACATATTGTAGGCTCGGAAAACGACCAAACTCGGAGAAGGAGTTGAGGAAAAAAAAAAGTGTACTTACTATGAGGCAGAGACATAGCCCCGAACACCAGAGGGCGTGGTGACAATCTCACCAGCAACACCGCTACCGGGCGCCGAGACGCGCGCAATACGGGTCAGCGCTCCTCCATCCCCGATAGAGAAGGAGTTTAGAGATCCGTTAGGCTTGGAGTTGGAGCCCCGGTCGAGGCAGTACAAGACCCTGTTGGCGCTGTCGAGGGTAAGCCAAGAAGGATTGACTTCGCAATCTGCTGTCTTGCTGGCGACGGAAAAGCTGTAATTGCCGCCGGATGCGGTAAGCGACAGGGTCGTGACATTTCCGCCCGAGTCGGCCGCGAAGAGGGTGACTGCGTTGCAGGATGCAGCCCAGAGGGCCGATCCCGCCAAGATGTGGTTCAAGGGAGAAGCGCGCATGGTTCCTGGACTTCGGATGATTAGTGGCCGATTTGGTAAGCTGACAACACCCTTCGCTTACCTTGAGGGATAGAGTAATGATAGGAAATTTGCTCAAAAGACTGAAATGAATGGATATACCGCAATTGATTGGGCGGGAACTTTGTGGTATTCAAATCAAACAGGCAGGTCGAAACAAACCGAAATGGCGCGTGTGCTGCTAAACCGCTGTGATTCGCAAGATAGATAAAGAGTGAAATTTAGGACTTTTGTCCTTGGGGGTCCAAAAAAGAGTGGTGTGGTTTGCTGATCGCAAGTTCCTTCTTCTCTCTCTCTCTCTCTTTTTCTAGATTTCCAAGTTGTAAAGAGGATTTAAAACGTGTTAATATAGTGTATGCTCAGAGGCCCTTACTAATGCCCATGATAACTAGCTAAACCCAATAGACGATCCTAAAGGACGGTAATCACGGAGATTAGAGGGGCCCCTGGGTTTGTGACCATCCATTACTTGACTGGTGAACAATAGCATGAGCCAAGACTTTGTATACCACAAGCCAAGACTTTTTCTATCATCTTGATTCATGACACAATGAGGTACGCGTAAGTATACTTAGTTCGCACTCGGGCTGACACAGTTTCTGCTGCCCTCTGCTAATTACACGATGCCTTGCGTCTCTTTTCTGCTACCATGATTAAAACCTTAAACGGCAGGTAACCGGGGTTGTCAGCAGTTTACGGAAAGGAGGACGGAGTCCGAATCCAAACCAACGGCTCTTGGGGCGGAACCTTAAGCAGGGGTCTGCCTGCTCCATAGAACGGATCAACCGGACAAGGTTTAGCACTTTAAGTAGGTCAGAGGCTGAGCAGCACAGTGCCAAGCCAGGTTAAGAACCATGTTGATTGCTTGTTATGATTGAAGCAGTATTATCTAAATCTGTACTTGACTCCGGGCATGCCAGTTGCGCCATCGCAATGGGGGCGCGGGGTACCCGCTCTGAAGGACACATGGCGGTAACAAAGACACCGCTCTCAAATTAACATTTTTAGCTGGTATTGAGTATGGGGGGGCCAAGCAACCGGGACAACCGAAGCAATTCGGCCGTCCGAAGAGCTCCTTGATGGGCCTGGTCCATAATATTCTCTGTTAAATATAAGATGAACTTTTCCAGTGTTGTCATAAAGTCCACTTGAATCTACCATCTCTGTGTCTCTGCCGCAGCTCGATCTTCCGCGTTGCTAGCTAGTCTTAACACTCGTTTTCTTATCTCAGGGTTGTATTCAGTTTTCGCAGCCATGGATTCTACACGCTCTTTTGGACGCTTTGTCGTCGCTTCCTTTCTTTATCTAGCTCCCGCTCTTGTTGGTGCTCAGGACGCCGCTGGTAAGGCTACTGCTCTGCAGTCCTGCCTTAACACTGCCGGCGTTCGCAACGTCATCAGCACCGACCCTAGCTGGGCTGATGAGACTACCGGCTTCCAGAAGCGCATCAAGGTCGACCCGGCCGCCATTTCTTTCCCTGAGAACAAGGACCAAATTGCTCTCTCTCTCGATTGCGCGCGCAATGCCTCTGCCAAGGCCACGGCTCTGGGAGCTCGTCACTCCTTCCAGGCCTACGGCTTCGGCGACCCGGGCAGTCTTGTCATTAGCATGGCTGCCTTCAACTCCGTTTCCTACGATGACGCTACCCAGCGCATCACCTACGGTGGTGGCTCTCACGTCGGCCCCGTCCTGAAGCACCTTTGGGACACTGCCGGTCGTCATTTCCCCCATGTCCGCGGTGCTCACGTCGGTCTTGCGGGCTCTAGCATTGGCGGCGGCTTCGGTTCTACCTCCCGTCACCTCGGCACCCCTATGGACAACCTCGAGTCCGTTGAGTTCATGCTGTACAACGGCACCATCGTCAACGCCGGCAAGGGCTCCGACCTCTTCTGGGCGGCTCAGGGTGCTGCTGCCTCCTACGGTATCCTTCTCTCTGTCACCACCAACACCCACAAGCCCCTCTTCGAGAAGGCTGTCAACTTCACCCTCAACCTTGGCCGACTGGACGCTGAGACTGGCGCTAAGGCGCTTATTGCCGTCCAGGACTACGCCCTGAGCAAGAGCTGCCCTGACGAGCTTGCTCTCCGCTGGAGTCTGAGTGCTCCTCCTTACTCTGCTACCGGTTACTTCTACGGCAACCCGGCTGAGTTTGACAAGGTCATCGCTCCTCTTGTCTCATCTCTTAACGAAGTTGCCCCCAATGCTACCGTCCTTGCCAAGACTGAGCTCCCCTTCTGGGACATGGAGGTTGCTGTCGCCGGCGCCGGTATGAACCAGCCTGAGGGTGGCACTCTCGGCGGCCGCGCTTTCTACACTCAGGCTTTGACTACCACCACCGATCACCCCTTGACCCTTGAGCAGGCCAAGACCCTCTTCGAGAGCACCACTCTGGCCTTCAACCGCACTGACCTCCGCAAGTCCGGTTTCCTCGACCTTTGGGGTGGTGTTTCCCGTGATATCTCTGATGCCGATACCAGCTACGCCCACGGCAAGAACCTGTGGCTTATCCGCTGGGAGGCCAACTCTGTCGATGCCAGCAACTACCCCGCCGATGGCCCAGCTTACATGAAGAGCCTCATCAAGCCCTTCGAGGATGCTCTCGTTGCCGGTGGTTCCACCCTCCGTGGTTTCGTCAACTATGCCGATACCGAACTTGAGGAGGCTGAGTGGAGCGCCCGTCTCTACGGTGCCAACTTTGATCGCCTTAAGAAGATCAAGGCCGCCGTTGACCCCGAGGGTCTCTTCATCAACCACAAGCAGGCCATTCCCCTTCCTTGAGCGAACGTGATGTTACGGAACGGGGGTGACGATGCGCTTCAGAAAATTTCAAAAATGTGAAAGCTGGAATCACATCGTTGTATAGAGTTAGCAAAATAAAACCCTTTTTTCTTTTCTTCAAACCGCGGTTTCCATACTATTTAGACGGTCATGGTAAGATCTGATACTCTATTTGCATTTGTGGCACATGAACGTTTGAAACTTGGGTTGGTGACATGAGTGAAACCACAAAGTGAATTCAAGAAACTGCCCGCACCAGCATGTTTAGACACACTACACGTGGGGGTCAAAACATTGACTTCTCCAACTTCCCCTCAATTCATGTGGGGTAAATTCCAAGTCCATTGCCCTGTGGAGGCTCTCGGGGGGACATTCTCACGAATCATCCGAAGCCGGCTAAATGCAACATGTGGAGGTGGGAAGTTGATCCACCTCAACTCTCCTCAGACTCTAGCACAGAAACTATAGCGTGATAAAATGATGAACTCTGTCTCCTTCATCTCATGTTCACGACCGTTTGCCTGTCTTTGAAACCTCTCTTGGACAGCAAAGTCTCCATCACCGCCAAAATGCCCACCGTACGAAACCCCATTCTCCCCGGGTTCAACCCGGACCCGTCGATCGTGAGAGTTGGAGACGACTACTACATCGCTACATCGACCTTTGAATGGTTTCCTGGTGTGCAAATCCATCACTCCAAGGACCTGGCAAACTGGACTCTTGTCACCCGTCCCCTGAATCGCAAGTCTCATCTCGATATGCGCGGTGACCCAGATAGCTGCGGCGTTTGGGCTCCCTGCCTCACCCACGACGGGGAGAAGTTCTGGCTCGTCTACACCGACGTCAAGCGCAAGGACGGCTCTTACAAAGACACCCATAACTACATCGTTCATGCGCCCTCTATCGAGGGACCCTGGTCCGACCCGTATTACATCAACTCCTCCGGCTTCGATCCTTCTCTCTTTCACGACGATGATGGGCGGAAATGGTTTGTCAACATGATGTGGGACCACCGCCGTCGCCCTCATGCTTTTACTGGCATCGTGTTGCAGGAATTCGACCCGAAAATCGGAAAGCTCGTTGGTCCAAAAAAGAACATTTTCCGCGGTACTGAGCTGGCTTTGGTTGAGGGTCCTCATCTTTATAAGAGAAACGGATGGTATTACCTCTTGACTGCCGAGGGCGGCACCGCCTACGAGCACGCATGCACGCTCGCCCGCTCACGCGATATCTGGGGCCCTTATGAGCTTCACCCGCAGAAGTACATCATCACGTCCAAGGATGCGCCCTTCGCTGCTCTCCAGCGTGCAGGCCACGGCGACGTTGTCGATACCCCCGATGGGAAGACGTACATGGTCCATCTGACCGGTCGCCCAACTACACAAAAACGAAGATGTGTCCTCGGTCGTGAGACCGCTTTGCAGGAGGCATACTGGGGAGACGATGACTGGCTGTACGTCAAGAATGGGCCCGTGCCCTCGTTGCACGTCGAGGTACCGGGAACTCGGGATGATACCGAATACTGGGCCGAGAAGAAGTACACCTTTGAGAATGGCCTTCCTCAAGATTTCCAATGGCTGAGAACGCCAGAGCCGGAACGCATTTTCAAGACGGAAGGCGGCAAACTCACGTTGATTGGGAGAGAGTCAGTCGGCTCCTGGTTCGAGCAAGCTCTTGTCGCCCGGCGGCAAACTCACTTCTCCTACGATGCCGAGACGACTGTTGACTTTGCTCCCACCGACGAGCGCGAGTTTGCCGGTCTGACTGCCTACTACTGCCGTTACAACTTCTTCTATTTGACTGTCACAGCACACTCGGACGGCAAGCGGGAGTTGCTTATTCAGAGCTCCGAAGCGTCGTGGCCTGAGGGCAACCTCAGCTGGCCTTTCGTTGACCCTGTTCCCTTGCCTGATTCCGGCAAGGTGAAGCTCGCTCTCAAAATCCGCGGACCAGCACTGCAGTTTTACTATGCTCTTGAAGGCGAAGAGCTGAAAAAGGTTGGCCCAGTGTATGACGCCACTATCATCTCGGATGAGTGTGGCGGCCACCAGGCGCACGGCAGCTTTACTGGTGCCTTCGTTGGCGTTGCGGCTTCGGATTGCAACGGCACAGCGAGAGAGGCTACATTTGATTACTTCACGTACCGCCCCGTCCACGATGAAAGCGACCGTTACGAGATATAAATCGTGAATGATATATCTGAAGATATAATTACTTAGGTTAAAATTATGGCATTATGAGAATAAATGAAATAATCAACAAATTTTGCAGAGTTTTCCAACCTGATCAGCGTTGGTGTTTCAAGGCTTGGGTTCTAGTTTTGTACATCGCTGCTTGAGCTTCCAATGCTTCATGACAGCTCATAAGCCTCGAAGTGGGGAAGATGTTCAAGAGAGCTATTATTGCCTCAAAAGTCATAATATGCGTTCATCTGACGCAGGGTGCAGATGGTCATATATACATGCCTGCTTTGAAGATATTATCCAGATGCCCGTCGCTGCCACTCTGTTCGAGACGCTCGTGCATGGAAGCTCAGCCAGTCGGTGAACAACTTAGTGCAGGCTACCTAGTTATATAAGGCTGGATACCAGGATAAGGTGGCTTAGAACCAACCAGCTGTGCCACCAATCCACGAGCAAGGTAATGCCTTGGTGCTCCAAGACAGAAATAACTTTTGTTTATTTTCATCGACATGACTAGGTCAGGATAAACAGGGTGGTCTTGAAGCCACTCGGTCATATAAGACAGAAGTTTCATCCAAACAGGGCGGTAAAGACTCATTTTACTACACCATATTACCTAGCTGAATCAATCTTCTAAGATTAAGGTACCCAAGTTACACTGCAATAGTAACTTGACGTCGGTTGGGTACACAAGAGTTATAAGTTAGGTGCACCAACAGAACTGTGAAGGACGAACAGATTTTACCCACTTTCTTTCGGGATCATCATGCCACTAAGGCTAAATCCACCTAGGCGGCACACGACGTCGTTGAGGGGTGGAGAACATCGATCAATACAGCAAAGCTATTGCCCATCATACCTATCATACGAATAGGGGAAAAGGATAAATAAAAGGAATACAGCATCTTAGTTTGAGAAATGAACTCTTTTCAGTTGTTTTGCCAGAAAGTTCTGGTCTATGAAGTTATTTTGTCGCAAAGTGTCGAGTTTACTGAAGGGACTTAGGTTACCACTGGGAACTTAAAATTTATTTCATTTTCCTAGGTTTATATAGTTTTCCTTTTTTTCTCCCAGCTTCTTTATTCTCGATTGAGATAGGACAATGAATCAAGTGTTGATAATCTCTTCTGTGCTGAAAGAGTTTAGGAATTTCTTCTTGAGCCATTCGAAGGTGACACTCAATGATGAAATACCTAAACAGCAAACCCTTGTCCGCGTAAGATAGTATCGTCCGAACAGCCGGCGCCTAGACATCTTCGATGCAGGAGACCCATCGAAAGATCCGATTTTTGGCCCCAAATCTTCCACAGCGAACAAATTATGATTGGAGAGAAAACACACTACTTGACCTCTGAACGATCGGTGATGGCACACTCCCCCCGCACCTCCGTGCGCCCTCCGTCCAATAAAACATGATGAAAGACGCTTCAAAGTGAGAACAATCCAGCCGAAATATGTCATGATCAGGGATCATCTGTTTTGGAGGTGGCTAGGGGGAAGGATCGAGAGAGCGAATTGGATATGTGGCTCTCCCCTCACTGAGCGTCGGCTGTGCAGGCAAACCTCGCACCCTCGTAACTGTGGCGTGTGTGTGTGAGGTCGATTGGCTCCACGCGGTCTGCTCGGTAAACGTCGATTGGCGTCTTGCATGATTGTGCGTTGGGACTAGTAGAGCCTAGGCCTATCAAACCCCGGTACAATCCCGAGACTCGACGTCACCGGTCACAAACGCACGTCAGCTCACACCATCTCCTCAACCTCCTCACAACATCAGTTATCCTACGTCACCAGCGACAACCGCCACAGAGACCAGACATATAGAATACCGAGCCACACCTTAGATAGTAAACTGACATTTACAAATTCGAAAGTTTTAAAAAACTAACTCACTCAGTCTCTTTTATTATTCATCCAGTGTGCTTTCATACGAGAATTGAAACGTTTTCAGATCATTTCAAAGTGAAGAGCTATTAGTATAGTTCATCATGTCTACCACAGTAAAGAAGCAGAGTGAACCTCTGCAATGTAGGTTCTTATTCTTCTTCTTCTTGTTCTAATTCGATGTTTCTCCAATCATTCGATTGCTAACTTGACGCGTCTCAGCCCTGACCCCCAATGCGTTGGGTAACCCCAGGTCGGCCGTAGCCGTTGCCGAGGCTCGTAAAGCTAGAGCAGCCCGAAAGGCCAAGGCTGCTGCCGCAGAGGCTGCCAAAGATAAATCCACGTCTGCAGAGAAGAAGCTATCAGCATCGAAACCGACTACTTCCAGCGCCGACAAGGCTAGAAAATCAACAAAGCGCACCATTCACAACAACACTTCGACGACTGGTGCAGATATCATCAAGAGAATTCAAGAGAGGAAGGCAGCAAACATGAACGCTTCATCAGCTCCCGCGTCTAAGCCAACAACCAAACCATCGACATCAACCTCCACACACCCACACCAGACGTCTTCGAGTGCTATGAAGTCAAGGTCCAGGAAGTCGACCAAGCGCACCGTTCACAACACAACGCCGACTACCGGTGCCGATATTCTCAAGAGAATCCAAGACAGAAAGGCTGCGGCAAACAGACCTAAGCCGGCCCCGGCACCCTCTCTCAACCCTCAACGTACCGCCGAGCCGGCAAAGGCTGCGGCCAGGACCCCTGCCACGGCCCCCAAGACCAGCGCTCCTGCCGTTCAGAAGCCTGCTCAGCCAGTCGGCATTCCGGCTCCCAGACCTCTCCGGGAGTACCAAAGCCCGGCACCTGCCCAGGCACCCAAGAAGAAGACGTATCACCCCAACGCCCTCGTACCCACAGAAGAGCTCGAGGGCAAGCGTACACAGTCCGAGACCCCCAAGAAGAAGACTTACCACCCCAATGCTTTGGTTCCGACGCACGAGATCGAAGCCAAGAAGCAGCTGGGACGTACGGGACAAAAGGGAGGCCTTGGCCAAGTCACCGACGGTGTCGGCAGGACTGTGGGAGGAGTGGGCAAGGCCGTGGGAGGAGTTACCGATACGGCCGGCAGAACCGTTGGCGGAGTTGGCAAGACTGCCGGAGGCGTCGTCGACGGCGCCGGCAAGACCGTCGGTGGTGTTGTCAACGGAGCTGGTAAGACTGTTGGCGGAGTTGCTGATGGAGTTGGCAAAACCGTTGGAGTTGATGGCCTCGGCAAGACTGTCGGAGGCGCCACGAATGGTGTGTCGAACACCCTTGGAGCTGCTACCGGCGGACTCGGCAAGACCCTGGGTGACACAACTGGGGCGCTTGGAAAGGGTGATGTCTTGGGTACTGTCGGTGGTGCCACCAAGGGCGTTGGCGATACGGTGGGTGGTGTCGGCAAGGGATTGGTAAGTTTACTCTCTCGTATGATAAGTTTTAGTACCATACTAACACTTCGCCAGGGCGACACCGTTGGCGGCACTGTTGGTGGCCTCGGAGACACAGTAGGCGGACCTCTTGGTGGTGTGGTAGGCGGTGTTGGCAAGGGTGCTGGCGATGCCGTTACCGGTATCACTGGAGGCTTGGGTAAGGGTGTTGGTAAGGTTGGCCAGGGAGATGTCCTCGGCGGCGTTGGTGATGTCGTTGGCGGCGTTGGAGATGGGTAAGTAAAAACCGCCCCGATGATTATAAAGCAAGATTCTAACTGTCCCTTTAGTGTTGGTGGTCTTCTTGGTGGCGTCCTTGGTGGTCTTGGAGGCCAAGGAGGTAAAGGAGGCAAGGAAGGCGGCGGTGGTGGACTCCTCGGCGGAGGTGGAGATGGCGGCCTGCTCGGCGGAGTCTTGGGCGGTGGCGGTAAAGATGGCGGTGGTGGGCTTCTTGGAGGAGGAGGTGAAGGAGGTGGTGGCCTGTTGGGAGGTGTTCTTGGAGGTGGTGGTAAAGATGGAGGTGGTGGACTACTTGGTGGGGGTGGTAAAGGAGGTGGCCTTCTTGGACTTTAAGAATCCTGTGACTTCCTCTAACATGGCGAGTACTTGTACGATATACGAAAAATGAGATACGTCAAGGGCTAGGCTACTATAACATGCCTGAGTAAACTTTGATTTTGAGTTTAACAGTCGGATTGATGATAACGTTGATGATGACGCTTTAACTGCCTCAACACATGTTTTCGTTGAGAGGTGGCCATGTCGGAGAGGTTCGATGTGAAGACGGTAAGCCACACGAGCGTATTTAGGTTTCGCTTCGGTTTGCTGCAACAAACATTGACCGTTGCAGCATCTTACCAACAGATGTGGGCCGCCGGAGCCTCAAGCGATCCGGAGCCGAAACCATTGCCGGGACTGTGGTCCGCAAAGTCCGTACGGGACGGCGCGGAGCCGTTAGGCCCTCTACGCCTTAAACCCGTTTGAACCGCCCCACCCTCCACACCAAAGTACCGTTCCCCCCAGTGACGTATCATACTAAACGAACATACAGCTGTGCCGCTTCTACTAAGACTACTTGGTATGATAGCAATCCCACCACAATGGGGTGCCCCCACAGGATCTCGCTTGCCCTTCCAAGATTAAGAGGTACACGCAAGATGAACGCCGGCCCAGGATGGTTCGAACCAGGCCCGTTTCTCACAGCTAGATCCGCTCTTCGGGGTAAAAGCACTAAAGGTCTGTGGTTTCCGAGGTTCGTCTGCTGCTGTACACATTCCTACGAACCGCACCACACGCGTCGCTCGCCTTGCTAGATACCTAAGCCGAGCAAAATGTCCCTCGGGCAGACACAACTACCTTAGTCTGGGCAGATTCGTGCCCCCTGGCTGGCACCGTAACAAGTGACGCTAGTCACCTTCCAAACCATCAAAATGGACCTCAAAAGCGCCTCACGCCCCCCCGACTTCAATGTGTCCATGATTAAAAACGTTTGGCAAAGCTCCGATTTCTCGAACGGCCTTTTTAAAACCTAGCCTGTCGTTAATTCATACCATGCAGCGCTCTCAGCATTGCTGGCCCGGATCCATTTGCGTCTTCGCCTCGCCTGATTTCCACCCTAAAGCTCAGCCTGATCGGTAAGTCGCCCTTTCGTCTGCAGCGAAGTCGTCAAATTTGGGCTGGTAAACGGGATTGCTAATCACTGTGACAGTCGTCTCAGTTTGCCATTCCTGAACCAACCGCCACCTTCTATCCCATCGCCTGGGTGAAGCCCACATCGAACATGGACCATCAGTTGCGCTTTAACGAGCCCGCTGGCGACGACTACGTCGGAGACCACGAGACCATCGACCACGACTACGGCCGAAATTACGAGACCACCAGTCACAACTATGGTGGGAATTACGAGGCCACCGGCCACGAATATGGTGCGAATTACGAGACCACCGGCCACGAATATGGTGGGAATTACGAGACCACCGGTCACGATTATGGTGGGAATAACGAGACCACCGGCGATGAATACGTCGAAAACTACAATATCGACTCGGCTTTGGACGATGTGACCGCACCGCCTTGCCCTTTCTACGGCACGGAGAGCTACGGAGAATACGGGGACAGTGCGGGATATCCGTACGAATTTGGTGACCGTCATCATCTCACCCTCACCAACTTCGATCAGGATACCGCTCTGGCGAACGGCGCCTATTCCCCCGATATTGAACTTGACCAGGGAGGGGTCAATTCCGCCGCTCCCACAGCGTTTCCACCTCAGTCGCCTTCGCCGCTTCAGTTCCACCAGCCCACGTCGGACCCTCGAGTCGCATTGGCGCAGGTGAATGTCAACCTACCATACCGAGACAACTCATCTTGGGATCCCGTAGCTGCTACGGCGGTGCCTTACGCCCCTAATTTCGGCGGGGTCACGAATGTATACGGTCACACATTACCCAGCAGTACTGCCACACGCAGCCAGGCTGATGCGCTGTCTTACCTGGGTTCTCCCGGGCCCTCGACCTGGGATGGCGTCAGCACCCGCAGTGGCCATACGGACAGCTCTTCTACGGCCTGCGAGATGTGTGGTCGACCTTTCGGCAACTCAAGACAGATGCGGCGACATCGGCAAGAGGTTCACCGTGAATCTCACGACCCTCAGTATGTGTGCAAGTGCTCATACCAGGCTACGCGCAAGTACAACTACATCCGGCACCTGAAAACGACTTGCAAGAAGAGACGCGATCCTAGCCTTTGGTTTACTTGCATCTGCCAGGTACCCTTTGACAATTACGAAGATCATTTGGCACACGTCGAAACCTGCGGGAGAGGGCAACCCGGACGGCCCCCGAACAGCACCCGAAATGTTCTAAACTGAACTTTTCGAATCCACCAAAGCCGGCCCTATCGTGTAGCCCTGAATCTCTTAGCCACGAGCATAATCTTGGGAAATTGGTGCATTTCTGGATTGTTCATGGTTCTAGTGTGACGACCACTGCTTTGATTTTTTTCATTACATTAAATGGTCCAAGAAGTTAACGACACACGGGTCTTGAGCTTCCCGTTTGGTTAGTCTTTCGGGTAGAGAACCGTATAGCTAGGCAATTTATTAATGATTTCTTGCGCCGCAAACTCCTTCATTTTCGACATGTTCCAAGAATGATTATTAAGTAGAATAGTGAGACTGCATGCTATTTTTTCAATAAGGAGCCACTGTAACGCCGAATTAGGAGGCCTCCTGCAAGGTACTTTAAGCGACAACGCGACGAATTACACTGAAGAAAGCTGTACAGGCCTCTGAGGAAAAACAGAAGTAAGTCTGTTGCATCGTTAAGGGTAGAAAAACTGAAGAAGGGGAGAATCCATCAGTAGGTGAATGAGATGGCATATTTAAGGAAAATCAATGTAAAAACTGCAGCTCTTAATATGCCAACCTGATTTACATCTTTATATCCTGCGATTTATCCAATTCCACTTCTAACGATGAGATACCGAAAAAAAAATCATCAGAACAATAATGCCTAGCCGCAGTCCATCATTTGTTGGTTACATTTCTAAATCAGGCTAACAATGCCCTTCACTTGCCCGATCTAGGCCCAGAACATTGGTCTCGCTTTTCAGAGCGTGAAAGCTGGCGGAGCTGAGTGAGGCCCATTTCTGCCTAATTTTCGGTGAGAAAGCGACCATTCATTGGTTCTGTAAACCCCTCTTGAGGGCCATTTCTTAGACGGGTATGACGCATCCCTAGCCTCTCAGTCATGATTGACGGCTCTCTCTGTGCACTGCATTTTTCAAAGATTCACAAGGCATGCTTGCTGCCTTGGATTCTCTCGCGTGACGAATCGTCGGTGTCCAATTTGGCATAGCTTGATATCTACGCCTTACATGTTTCTCCTCTGTCCGCCATCGAGAGTGCGCTGCTGCCTGGCATCATTCTCAATTTGTCAGGGAAGACCCTGAAATCTGTTAACAATGGAGGCGACCTCGAGATCCAAATGTGCCTCACTTTCTAAAACTGGACTAACATAGTCTGATCATTGGTCAGTGAATATTGTTAGCCACCTACGAGAATACCACTCACATTGTTTCCATCCCTTCCAGGCCCTTCTTGTGCACGGCGAAGTCTGCTACCAGGGGGGGTCATTTGATCTTAGTACCTACTAACACGATGAGGCCGGCCAACCTCTGTTGTAACTGTAACACCTCGCGAAGTCATTTTCGCCTCATAGGCCTTGATTATATACCAAGTGGTGGTTCTTCTTTGTCATGAGCGTCATTTTTCCAACAACATATAGAAAATCTATGCGCATACTGACCGTACCCAACTAAACTTTACCGATATAACTTGCAATCAAATCCAAATCAAGGTCTGCCGTTTTTCGGTTACCAGTTTAATCAAAGAATGATAGAAATACGCAGTATTAACTTTCAGCTGTAGAGCGGAAGCGGGCATTCAAACACTTACAAGGCAGTAACACGCCTGCGTGTCAACGCATCCAAAGAATGGAAGGGCATCGACATCCGAGGCCCTCAAATCATATCGAGAACTTGGTGGGCGAAAAGTACCAGATACAGAGCCACAAAGTTAGCGACGACTATCTCGACGTCTATGTCGTTACCGATGCGTACGGTAGACGTTTCGAGGCGCAGGCTTTTGTGCCCGTCACGGAGCTGCCGCGGGAGAGGGAGGGTCTATACCAGGCGCGTCGGCGGCGTATGCGGCGCATCTGCCGTTCTCCCAACTTCACCGAGGAATTCGAACACGACGGGCGCCGATTTTTGGTTTCAAAAGTTCATAGGAGCAGCAAGGAATGGGCGGACTTGCAGGCTATGGCCGGCGGGCGCACAAAGGGTGAAAACTTGTGCCTGCTGGCGGATAGCTGTACAGAAGATGCCTGGGCTCGAACGACGCGCCGGATAGGTGATTTTGGGGTGACAGACACTCGCGTCCCAGGCCAGCAGGTATCGAGCTATGCGGAAGCAGTAGCTATCAATAAAGAGTATCCCGAGGTTAAAAGCCCGCAGAACGAGAGGCAGCGGGTATATCTTTCTCTAGGCCGCTCCAGAAACGTAGTACAGGGTGCATAGGGTATTAAAGATGCATAGAATCATACGTTGATCCGGATATGTATATATCACGCTATATTTTGGAAGTATACATTCAATATAGATACAAATCGAAATCGGAATCATTCAGAGGACGTCGCAGATTCTCACAGACTCCCAAAAACAGCCAGTCAGTGTGAATATCTTGCCACCAAGAGCTCTTGGGTAAATACATGTGTTACTGGGTCCCGTTAACTATATGCTTCCCGCTGAAAACTAATTACTCAAACAACGGAGCATAAACAACCGGTCAAAAAGCCCCTGTGTTTGTCATACCTACCACAATATATAGACGTATCTGCAGATGACGATTTCTCCAGACGTATGTATGACTTTTGGTTTCCCTGGACCACGATTCACTTTAAGCAGAAAACACATGTCGTATTGCTAAGTACGACCGCATTGCCCAACTGATTTTAATCCTGGAAAAACAAATAGGTGGTTACATTGAGAATGCCATGTAGGTACGAAGCCACACTGTCTGTACTTCATTCAGCCTGACTCTACCTACATTCGAACATTTTCCCGGCCTTCATGAGAAAAATATAAATAATTGGCCTCCTCGCGGTTTGAATGGGGAAGTTATTCGCGTAACTGTCAATAATGCAGGCGTCGATCTGCGCCTCCACGTCGTCGTTCACCATTGGCCCTCAACCTAACACGCAAGCAGTAACGCATGCACAAGTCTGCAGGCTCTTTTGCAGGCGTATTCTTCTGCCTTTGCTCGATTTATGTGGGAAATTATAAATGATTTGGTCATTTCTCCTGTGGCCTGCTGGCCATCCTGACGCCATACGGCTCAGATTTCAGCATTACAAGACACCCGGAGTTGCTATGGATCCCTTCTCCATCGCCTTAGGGGTGATAACTGTTTCCCAGTGCGGATACTCACTCTCGAGAGATATCTACAATGTCGTGAAGAACACTCGCGATGCGCCAAAGGAAGTATCGCAAATCGCGCGAAGAATCAAAAGGATATCTTCCCGTCTTCGCGACCTGGACTCTACATTACGAAGTAGCCGGGAGGTCATCCGCCGACATCAGTTGAGAAAAATCAAGTCATCAATGCGGCGAATCGAGCGAACTTTTGACAAAATTAAAGAGCTCGCCACGCTTGATGAAGAAAGTTGGTCCGACCGCCTGGCATGGGCCATCAAGAACAAGGAGCAGTGTCAAGAGCTGCTCGATAAAATCGCGACGGAAGAAAATGTTGTTTACAAATACACGCAGAGCATATCTCTCGGGATCAACTTGTCTATGCACTCAAGGTAGGGCTGCAAACAAGACCCCAGCTATGTCACGGTTTTCTTCCGCGACTGCTATCAACCAATATGTGAGATAGACGCAACGTTAACGCAAATCACAGCGTCAAGCAAATTTCGGAAGGGAACGCTTTAGAGGCCAATAGTGACGCGATTGCGGATAAAGTGTTGGCAAGATTGACCGAACAATTCACCAGTATCATATACAGACCCATAGAGCCCGTGACACGACCGATCCTCGTAAGAAAGGTCCCTTGTGGGACTCAGAAAGTGCCGAAGAAACACCAGCGTCGACAACTGAAGATGAACTCCAATCCTCGACTACTATCGAATTGTCAAGCAGCAGATGGACCTACATCCCGCCAGAATAACAAACAGGTAAAACAGGAGCTGCAAGAACAGAAGCTACAAGAACAGAAGCTACAAGAACAGAAGCTACAAGAACAGAAGCTACAAGAACAGAAGCTACAAGAACAGAAGCTACAAGAACAGAAGCTACAAGAACAGAAGCTACAAGAACAGAAGCTACAAGAACAGAACAGACAGCGACAGCAGCAAAAGAAGAAAGAAGAGGAGAGGCAGCAAGAAGAGAAGAGGCTGCAAGAAGAGAAGAGGCAGATGGAACATAAAATCCAGGAGGAAGAAAAGCTTAAAGCCCTAGAAGCACCACAAGACCCAATGGTTCATTTGATTGATCCAGTCATGAAAGAACGTCACTTTCCATTTGATATGGTCAAGACCTGGGGAGTAAGTATCACTACCCAAGAAGCCAGAATGTCGAATTGCGACTAATCGCTTTACCACAGGCCATGGAAGAAATCCTGCAGTCAACTCGCTTCCACGGCAGCATTTATAAATCGGCCGTCATGGAAGGACGGTACGACCTGACGACAAAGGATGGTATCGTGGAGGCCAGAGATTGGGAGAAGATGATCAGGCCTGGAGTGAAGATTGTTATGAGCATGTGGACCTACTAATCATCACAGCTAAATCAGTTATCGAATTGAAAACCACAAGATATTGGGTTATTGATCTACTTGAACTGTTTGTATTACCTAGCAATAGTAGGTCTGAATGTAGGAAACACGCGAGAGAGAGAGTGTGTGTAAAGCAGATTGTTTCCTTTGGGCAGAACACTCCTAGAAGCATGTTGGCTTTCCTTTACCATGGGTTTTGATTAATAGATGCAGTCTGTAGTCAAACAAAATTCAACGTACTGTCAAGATCTGATAGTCATCCGAATGTGTCTACAAAACCACAGGCTTAGGAACAGTACATCACAGATCAGAGCATCATGCAGTAACAATCAGGCAAACCCCGAATTTATGTTCTCAGGTCCACCTAGAAAAAGGCGAAACCTGTAATTTGAAAAACTGGATACAAGAATAGGATAAAACATGGGGTTCTCATCAACAGGCCGTCACGTCCAAGCCAGGTCCAAAGGGGAGAGAAGCGCGGCCTTAGCAGCTGCAGCCGCAAGCCTTGCATCCACCCTCGCCACCCTCGGCGTCGCTGTTCTTCTTGCAGTCGCTGCTCTTGGAGCAAGTGCGCCAGTTGCCCCAGCCCTTGTTCCAGGCAGTCCAGCACCAGCGGCCCTTGTCACCGCAGGTCTTCCAGCAGTAGCCGTTGGTGCACCCCGTCGAGTCTCCGTACCAGCAGGCGTCTGTGCCCTCCTGGCGGACGAGCATCTCGCCAAAGGCGTCGCGCTTGGCCTCGGCGGAACCGCCTGGACCCTGGGCCGGGGGCGCGGAAGGGCGAGCACCGGGGCCCAGGGGGTGGTCCCTGCAGGTACGGATCTGGGTCAGGTCGACGCCCTCGAGGAGGGAGGCGTCGGTGTAGGTCATGACGCCAAGACTGCCGCACTCTTCCGCCGCGGTGGCGGGGGCCACGCCGGCGGCAATGGGGTTGGCGAGGACGATGATGGAAGCGGTGACGGCGACGAACTTCATTTTGAAGGTTTCTGTATAATTCCGAGTTGTCAGTTTTATGTTTCCGGGGAATACACGTTTTGAGACCCCGTTGGTGACGAGACTTGGAGTGAAGGGTGTTTTGTACCTTTTATCTTGCGTTTAAGAACGGGTTTATTGCTTTCAATGTTGCGAGGTTGTGATCTGAGCTGGATGAGGATGAGGATGCGATGTCTTTTCCATCATGTCAACCTGAAGGCGCCATCGCCAGACTTTATACTCAGATATCCTTCGAACTTTGTCGTCTTGATCGACGTCGGCAACTTGCTCATCGTCGAATTCACACATCGGCAAAGTTACTCGCCGATGTTCCGTTAAGTGGAAGCCTAGCATGCGGAGGCCAAGTCCGTAGAAGCAAAACCAACAAAGACAGCCGAACCCCCTGTCCTTCCCCGAAATGGCATCTTGCACACGGAGACCAAGTCCGTTAAGGGGAAATGAAAGTCGTGGTGGTCAATGCCCACTGTTGGGCCGCAGCTTTAAGCGCGGTGGGTCCTTGGGAGGATTTGGATCGTCCAACTTGGGGGAGAACTAGACGCCCATGAGCCAACAGAAACTACGATTTTCTCTGGGCTCAACTTTAGTTATAATGAACCGATGGGTCGATGCAGGGTTCTGGCTGGGACTTATCAACGACATAGGTCTTGAGCAACTTCCTAAAAGGTGTTTAGCCTATTCATTTCTGCAATCACACAGCATGTACTCCCCAGTAGCATTATACGTATGTTCATCACTAGACTGATACTACGTGTATCCTCCGTTGCAACTCGGAAGTAAAGGCAAAATCACCAATGCCTAGCTTTCCCATTTCCTATTTTTCATGGTAGGCCTGCTTAGATCAAGACCAGACTTCGTCATAGTTATTAGTCCTTGCCACCTAGAGTTACACGACATAAACAAATTCTTCACTACAATCTAGGTTATGGTGATACCAAGTCCTTTCGTGATGTCTTGGGAAAACTCAATGCATAAATCAACACTCCCATAATCATACAATGGCCTGTAATCAGAAGATGATTTGGGATCAGCAGATGCTAAGAACTCTATCTACGTTTAGGCCCCCTTAATCAGACATTAGGGCTGTGGTGGACCTCGAGGCGGGGCGCTTCGTATAACCTCCCAACCAATGGATGTAACCACTTCACTTCACACTCATCATGGTTGAAAGAGTGGCATGACTTTGTCAACGCATGGTAGCCGCACTTTTCGACGAATCCTTCAGCTCCCAATGTAACAGAACATAGCTCCAATCCTTCTCCGGGGAGGCTTCAACCAATTAACCCTAACCAGAAAGAAAAGAAGAAACAAGCCCCGTCATGGTCTTCCACGTATTCGTAGCGCTAGTTTACTCGTTAGACCTTCCCGCAGCTCCCGGCATCCCGCCGCTGGACCATCATAAGTCGCAGTCTGGAATGGATTCCACCGCATCCGAGAGGGGGCCGCTCACTGACAAACACCAACTCCACAAACTAGGCTGAATGATTTGTTTGAATTCAACCTCCCCGCAAAGCCGGGCGTAAACGAGGCACAAATCGCAGCGGGCTAGACTGTGTTCCTGCAAGGAACCCTCCCCAGACGGGCATGCTCTCGGCTGAAGATGGATTCGGGTGGCGGGCCGGTTTACGATCCGCAGCCTAAAAAAAAAAAAGAAAATTGGCTTATGCGAGGACTCTTCGATTAGCATGCCATCCCGGATCGCCCGGGGAAGAACGGATATGAAGAGAAACCTGGCATCATCACCGGCACACACAAGCCACAGGGACCAAGTATAACGTTTGGCCTTAGGGCTGTTGGGTTAACAGGATGTTCTTGTCGAACACAACCAGCACTCTCTTCCGCGATGACTGTTAGAAAACAAATACCATGAGAGCTGATTTACGGCTGATTGCATAAACCTGCTGGCAGGGAATGTCTACCAGACAGGAAGGTGCTCGCAGGACTAGCAAGTTACCCCTTGATCCTAAGCATCTACATGGACTATTTGCCAATGCCATCCTTCAAGTAGAAGGATTTGAATACGGACAAATGGCCCCATGCAAATGAGTTTTGGGCCGGGGGTTTGTCCTGACCTGATGACTTTTTTCTTGTGTCCACAGTCACATTGCCGAGGTTTGGCATCTTGACGAAATTAGACTCCTAGACCTACACGGCTCAATCCTTCAGGCATGTCTCATGTTGCAGAGAATAACATGTAACGTTTCCTCTGATTTTAATTCATGTTGTCACTGCGGCTAATGTTCACAAAAGTTGAAAGTTTCGGACCTCGTCTTTTGGATATTGGCTTCTCCAATTGCTGTCCTCTCCTTCATCACCTCCTCTCTCATCTTCTTGGCACTTTCAAGATTAATAGGGACATCCATGTTATCGAAAACCATGTCAACAAGCTCAGGCGGCATATTTTTGTATGTCACGCCCTCCCTCCACCAATGCTCCTGTTGTGGCGGCACATTGGCGGTGCTGATGATTGGGATGGCTGGGTCGACCAAGAAAAGCGCAAGGATTTTGCGGTGGCCAGGCTTGGATTTGTCGACAAGCTCAAAAGGGGCAACGCAGTGTTGGTAGACATTGGGGAAGGTGAGGAGGCGGTCCTCGCAGGTAAGTACACTTCCAAGCTCCTGGAGCGTTTCCCTCTGAGGTTTGATTTTGAAAGTACGGCCAATCGAGTAGTCGTCGCATTGCTCGTATCCAAGGTTCATCGGCAGATCTTCCCGGTCGGCTGTAGTCCGGAACGCAAGTCGACTGTTGGTGATGTTCTCATTGTCGTAGTAGTATAATGCGGTAGCACAGATGTGCTCGTTGAGCTGGCCCTCGATATGCCATGACCCTCCGGCGTACCGAGGCTTTTCTGGAGTGAGTTGTATATTTGCCAGTTTAACAATGACTTGGATTCGTTCAGTGTCTCCCAAGAAACCTTTCTGTAGGTTGAGATCATCGGCACGTGGGCACACAGATTTATACTCGGGGACATCAGGTCTCCTAACGGGATGGGTCACTCTGAACCAAGCCACGTCTTTTCGAATCATTTCGGTGTCTACTTCTGGGTCGCTGTCTGGTTCTTGGTCGCTGTCCAGCCAGTCGCAGTAATCATCATATTCCTGGCGAGGCTCCTCGCCAGCCTCTATCGGGCGATTGTCCGGGGAACAATAGGAGTCTTTGCACACATCAGGCGCAAGGCATTCTCTCCCGACGGATTTCATTTCGATGCGCTGGGTCTCAAATTCGCTCGGCCACCTGTAAACCACATCCCAGAGCGGAAGCGTTTTGGCGATGATCTTCTCAATTACAGAGTACAGGCCGGCGTGGTGGTGGGGGTGCAGGTTGTTAATGTAGCTTACGATTCGTGGCTTATCATCGTCGAGCTCGACTTCGCACGGGAGCCACTGGAACCTTTGGGACCATAGGTTGCTCAATTTCTCCTTTGGCTTCGGGATAACTTCTCCTCCGCCGCATGATTTAAGCGTGCCCTCGAGAGAGATCCTTTCATTGGGTAAAATGCGGGAGATACCATAAGCGAGAGGCCACAGAGATGGATGAACTAGATCGAGTACCATTTCATTGCTTCCGGGGTGCCAGTCTTTTTGTTCGTCGGGGATATCTTCAAGGCGAGCAACTGCTTTCTTCAACTCGTCTTTAACATCGGCGGTCACGGCACAATCAGACTTGACCACCGCAGCAGATGCATCGATGACCGGGACCATGCCAGTGGCTTCATACAGCTTGGCTTTGTCTTGAAGCTCCTTAAGGCACTGCGATAGTGGCAGCAGTCAGTATGACATGCGCATTACTGTGATTTCGAGGAGGGGAACGAACCCATACAAACATTGCATCGTCAAATCGAGCATACTTGAGATCGACGGCATCCCAGTCAACAGCCATGACTTCATTCTTCCACTTTGCGGTGATATTATGGTCAAAGACCTTCAAGTGCCATTCTGGCTTGTTGGTAATTTGCTCAATGAACCACATCATGGCCAGCTCCGAGTAAGTCAACGTGACAGCAGTCCAATTAGAATCAAGTACGGCGCTGGGGAATTTGACTTCTGGCAAGTCATCGATCCGACGGTTGAATCCTGGCCGGTAGAGTTTACTGATCTCACCATCGTCCTTGGTGTTGCAGTCAGCAATCAGTAACTCGTATTAGCACCAGAGTCTTGTTGCTTACGAAAGCTTGTATATCGGGAGGAGGGGCTGCGCGCTTGAGCACAGCTCTGATGGAAGCTTCAGGAACAACCTTGCCAAAGCTTTCCTTCACCCATTCGGCAGCTTTTGGGATAGTCGGCGTCACAGATGTAAACTTGCTAGCCCAACTACGGAGGGCAAGTCTCTCTCGAGCAGTCAACGAAGTCTCCGACATATTGTCTGGAGGTTTGAGGATTGAGCTTGGGCTGTTGGTAGATTGTGTGGTGATTGACTACTGGAGCATTGAACATGACTTCTGGTAGACCAAGTTTCCGTGACTTTGTAGTTGGAATTTGATATGATTTTGTAACCTTTGCAGCTGACACGTGAGACAAACTCACCTAGGGAATGTGGCTCGATACATGATTGGGGGTATTGGGGGTATAATCTAGGCTGCCGCGCGATTAACCGCACTTTATGGCTGGTTTAGGTAAAGCGAGGAAGGTGCCTGGCAGCGCGCATGGTTACAACAGAGGCGCCAAAGTGGCACGAAGTCACGTTATACGATTAGGCCTGTTGCTGCCTGTAAGTGAACCAAGGCCCTGGGACTTGCACTGTCGCAGGCATTGTGCTTCATTGACATCTCATCACCATAATTTCTTATCGCTGTCATTTCAGACTATGCGTCTACAGCTAAAAGCGTCATGAAGATTGCCGTTTTATTCAATCAATTGATGATGAGACAGAACTTCTGAGCTTCTCTGCTTTTGAATGGCTGGCCTATTTCATGTTACCTTACCCATATACCGGTTTCTCCCCGCCTCCAGCGTACTACCTGTAGACCTGGGCTGTCGTCACTTTGTGGTCACCAAATTCATTCGATAACAGGCCATTAAAAGAAAAAGTGGCATCTAGCACAGGTGAGAGACGAAGCCGGAGCCAAATGGCTGTAGACACAGAATCTGATGTTCATTGCAGGCATTGGCCGCCGACGTGTTTGGGCTGAGAAGCTGGTTTGGTGCTGGTCAAACTTTTGGTATCATTGAGACGATGCACAAAAGATGACCCCAACACAACCAAATACAGATTCAAAGCATGCCGCCGCTCTAAAATCACATGTCCAGAACATTAATAATCCACGCAGACTCGGCGCAGTCACCGCAGAGAACCGCATAAATCTGGATCAGTGACAAGTCCTAAAAAATAAAGGCTGATCCCATGACATTGGTGGCGGGAACATATCTTGGACCAAGAGATGGTGAGCTTAGAGGGTCTCGCTGGCGGGGATCGCGGCAGTGATGACATTTCTTCACAAGACATTTCTGCAGGCGACAGTTGATACTTCCAAGCCTCCTTCATATTAGATCTTCAACACCAATACTTAGCCTTTCAATCCAGTGAAGAAAGAGTGGGGGAATTGGATGTGGAATCGATTAGCGACAACAGATACCGGAGAGCTAATACCGTTGGGAAGACTTGGCGTTCTTGGTCTGCACCTTGCGGCGTTGACTGGCTACAAATTAGAGCCTGAATTAAACCTAGACGAACAACCAAATCATCAGGTGACAAGCCTTGCAAAACGACGTTCAGAAAAGTAGGGTTCTCGATCTCAGCCACACAACTAGTTTAAAAATGGTGTGATGTGGTGCGCAGTGTGAGCCCTTAGCAAATTCGATCTGATAACGGTTCTCACTCTGCGCCCCAAATCTGGGGGGGTTGTACCCCCCATTTGGCCTTCTCCACCAGGGGAGGAGACAGAACCCGCCGCGGTTGCCGAATCAAACTGAACCGAGGTGGTGGAAACGGTGGGAGGGTCATTTTCGCTGACCAATGCCGCAGCTGGTTCGAACCCCACTTTTCGCTGCTGCTACATAGCATCCCTGCCCCTCCCTTCTCGGCCCGCTCGCCAGCTTTCTTCGTCACAAACTTGAGCCGAACAAAGTCAGTCGCCCGCGGCATATCGGTACACACTCACTAACCAGAACACACACCACATTTGCTGCAGAATTGTAGCGGCGCTGGTTCTTCTGCGCCGTGCTGCACTACGTCGTCACCTGCTTCTTGTGCTTATTACCGAAAAGTTCCCTGGAAGCTGGCACCTGCTGGCCGATCACAACCACCCCCGTCGAAATCGAGCATCCACCTCGGCGCATGAACATGGCTAATTGGCAAGTAACGGGATATAAACTTGGCTATGCAGCGAATTGAAGTCGGGACTTTTTTCTCTATTTTTCTCAAAGCCTTTGTTGCTCTTCTGGTGTTTTTATTGTGGGCGTGTGTGTCTCACCCCAATGTGTAGCCTCCTACGCAACTTAAACCTCGCTCTCTTCTGATCGGGTTGAGTCCGAAAGTGCGCCAATTATTTTTTTGACGTGACCACATAACCGCCCCTCCCCCTACTTTACCTCGTGCTTCACAAGCTTGTGATCGACGTCGAACGAGAGCCCACACAAATCCTCGTCTTCCGATTCTCGGGTTAAACGCATTTACCACCGAGCTTTCGAGAGAGGGACGAAAAAAAAAATTCAAACTCCCATAAACCCTTGACTATTGTGAACCTCGTTATACTTATTCTTCTTCCCCCGGCGCATTCATTGTTTCTCTCGAATTGACCGCCTCCAAAAAACCGCAAAAAGCCACCACCACCAAAGTCAGCAAAAAAGGGTTCGATAACACTCCTCCAAAGAAACCCGTGGTCGTCATGTCCACAGAAACAGCAGACCAGGCGCCGGCCATCTCCGACCTGCCCTCAGGCGACCCCATCAAAGCTCCCCCTACGCCGCCAGCATCGACGACATCGTCATCATCATCACCGTCGTCCTCGCCGTCCTCTTCGAAGCCAGCAAAACTCCACCTCTCAGCAATCCTCGCAGCCGCACCGTCCAACGTCGACGCCTTCGTCGCCCACCTCTCACGTTGCTTCGAGACCCCCGCCGGAATCGACGCCGTGCTCTGCTTTCTCTGCTACACCTCGCGCCTGTCCGCCTCGGTCCTCGAGTCCTTCTCCACCTCGGCCCTGCGCCGTTCCGCCCGCCGCCTCGTGTCACTAGCCTTCACCCTCCCTCCCGATGCGACCATCCTCCTCTCCACGAAACCTCCGGCCTCGGCCGCCACGACGCTCGCCCTGAGGGTCGCCACACGCCTCCGCGCCCTGGCCACGCTGCTCAGCGAGGCCCGCACGATAACCCGCCTCTGGGCCCTGCTGCCAATGTACCTCTGGCTCCGCAGCCTCATGAAGACCCCCAAGCCGACACCCGAAGAGAAGAAGAAGCAGGAGCAGACCGGTGCCTCCTTCGACAGGGCCCTATCGTGGTTCCAGGTCACCGTCTGCATCCTCCTGCAGTCCCTCGAGAGCACGGCCTACCTCGGCTCGAGGGGCGTGCTGCCGCTCACCCCGGCGCAGCAGGGCAAGGCGGCGCAGTGGGGCACGCGCTTCTGGTCGTGCTTCGTCGGCAGCGAGCTGGGTCGCCTGCTCGTCGAGTACCTGCGCAGGCGGAAGCAGCTCGCCGAGGGCGCCCTCGACGTCCAGAGCACCGAGTACAAGGCCTGGTCCGACGTCTGGACGCGCACCCTGGCGAGGCAGGCCGCGTGGTTCCCCCTCACGGTCCACTGGAGCATGGACAAGGGCTTCGTGCCGGAGATGGGTATCGGACTGCTCGGTTCCATCCCTGGTATCGTGCAAATGCGGTACACGTGGAAGGAGACTGCAAAGAGTGGGTGAGAGAGAGACAGAATTGTGTTGCATTTGGACTGTTAAACGGGATACAACCACGGCAAGGATGATACCACGACGGGATAGAAAAAGGAAGTCCTGGGTGTGATCATGACCATGTTTGTGAGTTTCTATTTATTTATTTTTCTTTATCAATGTAGAGAGAGATATCATTCCCTGTGGGTTCGGCGGAACTGCCCGCTGGAAAGTATATATATATACGAGATCTAGATCATGTTCATGATATCCAAAAAATGTATTCAATCAAGCTATAGTTTTTTTCCTCCGCATAACGCTATGCCTTTATGTATATGCTTGGCGAATGGCCCTCCTTTTTAACAAATTCCCCCTTTTTGTTTTTTCAAAAGACTCCAAAAGACGTAAAAGAAACATGAACCTCTAGAAGACGTTGACCAAAAAAAAAAAAAAAATCACATGGGCATGTTCCTCACCTCGTCTATAGTCCAGTACTTCCTCATGTTGTCCGCGCCGAGCGTCTTGACCTCCTGGTCGAGATGCGTCCAGAGCACCTCGCCCCAGCTGTCCATCTTCTCGAGCAACACGCTCAGCTCCAACTCCGTCTCGCCCGACGCGCACTTCTTGAGGTAGTCCTCGAACAGGTCGAGGCCCTTGTGGATCTGGCGGTGCTGCTGCAGGAGCTCGGCGCGGCCGCCGCGGAACTCGGGCATCTTGCGCGCGAGCATGGGGAACACGAAGCGCTCCTCGATGCCGTGGTGCGCCGTGAGGTGCTGCGCGAACTGCAGGCCCGTGTTGATGAATTGTTTGAGCGTGAGGTTGCGCGGGCGCTTGCCCGAGGTGGCGGCGTCATGGAGGATTGTCCATTGGGCGCGGAAGTGGTTGTGCTGGGAGGTGTTAGTTTTAAAGCTCTTCAGATACTTGTTTTTCTATAGTAGTAGATCTGTCTTTTGTCTCTATGGTGTCGGGTTGAGATAACTTCATCATGTGTATATGAGACGAGTGACACCAGCAGACAATATTTTGGTGGGGGGTATGAAAATGATGGGGGGGGGGGGGGGGAAGGGTTGGGAAGGCGGATGCATCTCCGTCTACATTCTAACTACGAAAAGAGGACGAGCATAAAGGTAACTCTTACAAAGTAATCCATCTTCTCCGCCATTTGGTTGTACACTCTAAACTCAGCTGGCGACAGAGGGGGAAGCTCGGGCTGGGCCGGAGCGGTAGACTCCTCCGTCTTGGGGGCAACCGCCTCTTGCGGTTGTGGTTCAGCGGCGCTCGACATGGTAAGCTTGCGGGTGTGTGAAATGCTAGCCGGGGTGATGACGTCTGCTGCAGAAGGCCGTGTCGGTGGTACAAGGTTTGATTTCAGTAGCTGATGGTTGAAGTTGGGACGGACGATGCGAATCTTAGGTAGGATTCCCCTAGCAAAGCTTGCTGCTCTCATATCTAAATTAAAAACATCTAGGAAGGGGGGAGGAAAGGGCTGCGAGGGGCTCAAAGAGCTTTTAACCATTCCCAAGATTTTGGGGCACCTTGAAACCACCCATTTCTTCCCTGTGGCCCACGGCGGGTATGCTAAACTGTTTTAAGAAAAATACATCCTTTGACGGGAGACATCAGACAGATTCTACTTCCTAGATCAGGCAGCTCAGCGCGCGGGTGTTCCCCTTAGACGCGCGGGCCAGTTCTTGTCGCCTAGACTGGCGCATGTGGCGCTGGTGAGTATGTATGAGTCGAATTGCATCTTTCACATTTGCCTTCTCCCAACCTTGACTGATACCCAGATGTACAGCACAATAATGTATACACATAAAACATCTCAAACTCTTTGTCAGGTTTTTCCTGACTCCAAATCCGGGTTCCATTCCCATTTCCACCCAACCCTTTTTACTTTGCTAATGTGCCTGTTGTGGTTGGTCAGTTCCCATCTTACTCAGCTCTTTGAAAGCCGCCATGCGCCACCCAGTAACTATGGGGAGTCGGTTTTTGAGGCGAGTGCACCGCGCGCGACCCGATAGTGGCTGGTTATTCGCTGCTTGTCCGCTTTGGTCCGCTCCGCCGCCAATATTCCTCCCCCCTATGTGAAGGTAAAGTCACAACTCCGTGCAGCCCCCAAAGGTTTTTCAAACCGTAAGCTCAGGCAAGAAATACATTTGTTTGCTTTAGGTCACTTGTACTGCTGATTGACAAACAGTCATGCTTGGGCTCCGTCGTCCAGTGTCATCTTAGATTTTGTATGCTTACTGAATGAGGACCATACCAGTTATCTACATAGACCTCAACTTCAAGTCCGTTTTGCATCTGACGATATTGAGACGGGAACATAATCATCAAACACCCTCACAGTCCTTATTGGCAACTTTATGGTACTGGCAGTCACATTCTCACATGAGTTGGCAAGGACAATGTCTCTATCAGCTTCTATTCCCTGAAGCTACGAACACCTACCAGCCAGGGCTCGTTTCTTGTGAACCCCGCGGCCGGTAATTTTAATTAAGCAACCAACCGTAATGCAGATACAAGCGTGAAAACCCATTCCCCTTTAACCCCGAACTGCGGCACCCAACGCGCCGCCCGTGAACTGAGTACCGCCAGCCTGCCGTTGGGTGTTGCCGCCCGTCCTCGGGCCGCCGCCACCTCTCCGCGCGCCGCCTCTCGCGCCGCCGCGGCCTCCGCGTCCACCCTGTCTCTCGAACGCGTTGGCTGAGCCCTGGGTGCGCTGCTCCAGTGTCCGCTCGTTGGTCTCGATGAGCGCGCTGGCCTTGTCCGAGAGCGCCAGGGCGAGGCTCTGCAGACGGCTGAGTTCGACGCCCTTGCGGAAGATGACAGTCGAGGTGACCTGGTCCAGGGATGCCGCCAACTCCTCGTGGCTGATCATCTTGCTGACGACCGCGAGGACCTTGCTGGCGTCCAGCTCGAACATGTTGCTGAGCGTCTCGACCGCCAGGGTGTCGTAGAAGGGTGCGTAAGTGAACAGATACGTCCGCAGACCCTCCTCCTGGATCTGCTTGGAGAGCATCGTCTTGATGTCTTCCGTGTTGGGCATGAGGTCCCAGATCTTGATGCTATGGATGAAGTTGATCGACTTCTTCCACTCACCAGCAGCCAGAGCCTTGGACGCCTGCATGACGTGGTCTCTGGTGTTCTCGGGGGGGCCGGTGAAGATCTGGCGCTCGTGGTACTCCAACATGCGACGGTAAGTCTTGCTAATAACACGCTTCTTGACGTCGGGGGAGGAGCCGGTCTGCGCCAGCAGAGGGATCTCGAGGAGCATGCTGCAGGTGAGGTACACGCACTCGAGCAGCTCGAGGTTGATGTGCATGTGGAAGGGGAGCTGGCGCTGCTTCTCCAGCTTTTCTTGCTCCGGAGAGACCTGGCTGTATCTCTGGATCATGACACCCTGAGCAAGAAGCTCCTTCTGGCGACCACTGCCGCAGATCTCCTGCAGAGTGTTCTGGGCATCGTAGACGAGGCCCTTGCGGAAGGCGCAGAGGCCAACCTGGACGAGGGTACGGTTGTAGAGGATCTGGGAGGTGACGTCGAAGTTGGGGATGTTCTCCTGCAAGTGAGACATGAGCATCATGTCACGAGCCTTGTAGTACTCGTCATGCAGAGCAAGGAAGTAGACCTGGCACAGCATGGCGCGGGCGCGGAGGATACCCTCGGCGTTGCTGAACAGGTAGTTGCAGAGAACGTTGACAAGGTTTCCGGCGTCCTGGGACTCGGCACGGGGAGTAATGGTCGACTCGACGTTAGAAGCGACGGTCTTCCAGCAGTTGTCCTCGAGGATCTTAACAACTTGGGCGGGCTGGTGAGAGAGTTAGCAGGTGTGTAATTTACAGCGACAGCAGCTAATACCTTGAAGTAGACGTGCTCGAGGCGGCGAGTCACGATACGGTTGATGCTCTCCTGGGGAATATCCAGGTCGGCGTCCTTGCGGAGGTACTCATAGTACAGCTGACCGCGGAAGACAGTGTTGTAAAGGGCGCCCTCGTCGGTCAGGCGGTCAATGTACTCGGAAGTGTGAGGGTCGATGTTTTGAAGAGAGCGAGTGAGTTCGTCATCGAGGCGCTCGACGTAGGAGACGATGCTTCCGGGGACCTTGATGTACTTCTGGTCCTTCTCCAGAACAGGGGGCTTCTCGTCGTCATCCCACTCCTCGGCGCTCTCGACCACAACGTAGTCCTTGTTAGCCTCAAGGACGTCGATAAGAGCAGTAAGCTCCTTCTCGGCGGCCTTCCAGTGCTCAAGAGGCATGTAGGAGGCACCACCCGAGCCGAGATCGAAGCGGGTCGATACCAGGGTAAGCAGGACGCGGATCTTCTGGTAAGGAGTGTTGGCAATCGCGTAAAGCTTCTCCATAACCTTAATCTGTTCCTGTCTGTCGGTGTTTTTCTTACCGCGAGACTCCAGGATGACCCGCAGGTGCTTGAAGATGCTCTCGGGGGTGAACGGCATTGCGCGTCCACCCTTTACGACAGTAGAGAAGCCCGCGTCGTCGTCCTCCTCGGCGACATCCTCGGCTGTGTCGACAAAGCGAGCGGTCTTCTTGGCCTTGGGAGCGGGCTTGGCCTCCTCCTCCTCGGACTCCATGAAAGCGTCGTTGTCGGCGCGGTAGGCTTCGACCTGGGTCTGGTAGTCCTTGATGATCTTCTTGATCTTCTGCTTGACGGCGTTCAATCCACGGTTTGCGGTGGCGTTCAACTTCTTGGGGGTGACCTTCTGCTTGGCCACAGCCTCGTTCATGTAGTCCTCCAACTCGGCGATGGTCTTAATGTAGACCTTGGGGGTCTTGCCGCCTTCCTGGAGTTTCGTGACTTGACGGTTGAGCTTGTCGAACTCTGCATCGCCACGTCAGCTCATGTCCCTGCATCACAAAGCGTCCTGAAGCATCTTACCTGTGGAGATGGAAGCCCAGTCGCCGTTCTTCTGGCCGTTCTCAATAAGCTTGATGGTGGCCTCGAGCTCCTCGATGCGCTTGTCCTTGGCACTCTTGACCTTTACCCGCTCCTCGTCCTCGCTGTCCTCGCTTTCCGACGAGACATCGCGAAGGAAACGAGAAGCACCGGCCTTTTGTCCATCATCACTGTCGCTGGAATCCTCATCGGACTCGTCCTCGTCCTCCTCATCAGAGTCCTCCTCCTGGTCGTGCTCTTCCTCCTCCTCCTCTTCAGAGTAGAGTTCCTCCTCGTCGGAAGAAGAGTCAGTGGAGCTGTCGTCTCCGCCGCGGAAAAATCGAGACATGATGGGCTATCGCTATCGGATCGTGCAGGCGACGGTTTGACTGATGCGACTGAAAGCGCGGGGGTGGACGGGATTTGTTGTCGTCGGTGACTTGTCACGGGCCTTGGATCAACCTCGAGAGGGGCTCAAATTGTGATAAAGAAATTTGATTTTGGTGGGGGATATTGGGGTTTAGCGAACGGCAGCTGGCAAGGCAGATTACAGGTGGCAGCAGGGTGCGGATTCACAAAGGTGACTACAATTTTTGGCACGCGCCGAGGTGCTGTCGGGTGGCAAGATGACCCACCTGAAAAGTTTCAGAGTCAGAGCTGCCTTTTAGGTGACTGTGTGCGTTTCCACCATGGAGGAGGGAAAGGCTCGGGTGGCTTGGGTGACTCAGCAGCTCAACGCCCCACATCACATCAAGCCGCCGCCCTCCCGCCGGACTATTAGTGTCGCCGACACTGGGACAAGAGCTCGCGCGCTCACGTGAGTGGCTGCAGCCGAAAGTGGTTAGCGCAATTCCCTCTCCTCGTCCTGGAAAGAGCTACATACCCAAAAAATTCGATGGCGCGGCGAGGTTCATTGTTGATGAACTCATCAATCTTTGCTTAATTTCAACGACATTGCGACACCGGTCATCGCTGTGAACTTTTGCGGGACCAGTCGACCACTTTTTCATCTGCATGCAGCTTCAGACCGGCTTTAAGCATCGTGTCCAACTGCCTTGCTACGCCTGAGACGACTTTCGCGTCTTGAAAGTCGCGACTGCGACTCCTCGACTTGACGATATCCCACACACGCGAGACGAGTCTACGATCGAGCCAATATGTCTTTCCCACCACCTCCTCCCCCTGGATGGGGCCCTCCTCCTCCGCCTCCGCCTCCTCCATCCTCGTCGCTCCCTCCACCTCCTGCTGCACCAGCTCCTCCGCCGCCCGGTTATCGCCCCCCGACGGATCCTCAGATCGCCAAGTTTGCCCAGAAGAAGAAGGAATGGCTGCGGAACCAGCGCAACCGCTTCGGCGAGAAGCGCAAAGGCGGCTTCGTGGAGACACAAAAGGCAGACATGCCTCCAGAGCATCTGCGCAAAATTGTCAAGGATATTGGTGATGTGTCGCAAAAGAAGTACACCAGCGACAAGCGCAGTTATTTGGGCGCTTTGAAGTTCATGCCTCATGCTGTTATGAAGCTTCTGGAAAACATGCCTATGCCTTGGGAATCTGCAAGAGAGGTCAAGGTTCTGTACCATGTCAACGGCTGTTTGACATTGGTCAATGAGATTCCTAGAGTCATCGAGCCAGTATTCTTCGCGCAATGGGCGATGATGTGGACTTTTATGAGAAAGGAAAAGGCCGACAGACGACTTTTCAAACGCATGCGATTCCCTCCCTTTGACGACGAGGAACCGCCACTATCATGGTCCGAGAACATTGAAGATGTCGAGCCTCTTGAACCAATCCAGATGGAGCTTAATGAGGATGAGGATGCAGCCGTATATGACTGGTTTTACGACCACCGGCCGCTCCTGGATACCCCTCATGTTAACGGCCCAAGCTACAGGTCTTGGAACCTCAACTTGCAACAAATGGCCACTTTGTTCAGGTTGAGTAGACCTTTAGTTTCGGATGTTGTGGACAAGAACTATTTCTATCTCTTTGATCTGAAGAGCTTCCTCACCGGAAAGGCACTCAATGTGGCCCTCCCCGGTGGACCTCGGTTCGAGCCTCTCTACAAGGACATTGATCCTAACGACGAGGATTTTGGAGAGTTCAACGCTATTGATCGTATCATTTTCCGAAACCCCATCCGGACCGAATTCCGAGTCGCATACCCCTATCTGTACAACTCGCTGCCACGAAGTGTTCATTTGGCATGGCATTCACATCCCCAGGTGGTTTTCGAACGGTCAGACAACCCCGATCTCCCTGCCTTCCATTTTGATCGCAGAATCCATCCTATCTCTTCCCGTGCAGTGGCACCGAAGAACCTTACCATCAGCCACGAGGATGAGCTGTTTGGCCCCGGCAATGACGAGGAGCCGGAAGAGGACGCCTTTGAGCTGCCTGTAGAATTCGAGCCATTCCTTGATGAGGAGGATCTAACTAACGATGACACCGCATCGGCAATTGAGCTGTGGTGGGCTCCTTTCCCATTCGATCGTCGCTCCGGCAAGATGGTCCGCGCCCAGGATGTTCCTCTCATCAAGCAGTGGTACCTGGAGCACCCGCCATCCGACAAACCTCCCGTGAAGGTCCGCGTATCCTATCAGAAGCTGCTGAAGAACTTCGTCCTTAACGAGCTTCATAAGAAGAAGCCCAAGGCGCAACAAAATCAGAATCTCATGCGTAATCTGAAGCAGACCAAGTTCTTCCAACAGACTACTATTGACTGGGTGGAAGCCGGTCTTCAAGTTTGCCGACAAGGTTTCAACATGCTCAATCTCCTTATTCACCGCAAGAACCTCACTTACCTTCACCTTGACTACAACTTTAATCTGAAGCCTGTCAAAACCTTGACCACCAAGGAGCGAAAGAAGTCTCGCTTCGGTAACGCTTTCCACTTGATGCGTGAAATTCTACGCTTAACAAAGCTCATCGTCGACGCTCAAGTGCAGTACCGGCTTGGCAACATCGATGCCTTCCAGCTGGCTGACGGCATCCTGTATGCCTTCAACCACGTCGGTCAGCTTACCGGCATGTATCGTTACAAGTATAAGCTCATGCACCAAATTCGTTCATGCAAGGACTTGAAGCATTTGATTTACTACCGCTTCAACTCTGCGCCGGTCGGCAAGGGTCCCGGCTGCGGTTTCTGGGCTCCTGCCTGGAGAGTCTGGCTGTTTTTCATGAGAGGTATCATTCCTCTTCTGGAAAGATGGCTTGGAAACCTTCTGTCTCGTCAATTCGAGGGTCGCCACAGCAAGGGTGTTGCGAAGACAGTTACCAAGCAGCGCGTCGAATCGCATTTTGATCTCGAGCTGCGTGCCTCAGTCATGGCTGATCTGATGGACATGATGCCCGAGGGTATCAAGCAGAACAAGGTCAACACAGTGCTTCAGCATTTGTCGGAGGCTTGGAGATGCTGGAAGAGTAACATCCCTTGGAAGGTTCCCGGTCTGCCGGCACCTATCGAGAACATTATCCTACGCTACGTCAAGGCCAAGGCGGATTGGTGGGTCTCAGTCGCCCACTACAACCGTGAGCGTATTCGCCGGGGCGCTACTGTCGATAAGACAGTTGCCAAGAAGAATGTTGGCCGTCTGACTCGACTCTGGCTCAAGGCTGAGCAGGAGAGACAACACAACCATATGAAGGACGGCCCTTACGTTTCTTCCGAGGAGGCTGTCGCAATTTACACAACTACTGTACATTGGTTGGAGTCTCGCAAGTTTTCTCCTATTCCTTTCCCCAGTGTCTCGTACAAGCACGACACTAAGATCCTTATCCTCGCACTGGAGCGCTTGCGCGAAGCGTATTCAGTCAAGGGGCGCCTGAATCAGAGCCAACGTGAGGAGTTGGCTTTGATCGAGCAGGCATACGACAGCCCTGGCACTACTTTGGAGCGAATCAAGCGCTTCTTGCTTACGCAGCGTGCATTCAAGGAAGTCGGCATCGACATGAACGACAATTACAGCACGATTAACCCAGTCTACGATATTGAGCCCATTGAGAAGATCAGTGACGCTTACCTTGACCAGTACCTGTGGTACCAGGCTGACCAGCGTCATCTGTTCCCTGCTTGGATCAAGCCGTCTGACTCTGAAGTACCGCCCCTTTTGGTCTATAAATGGGCGCAAGGCATCAACAACTTGGACAAGGTGTGGGAAACCGAGAATGGAGAGTGCAACGTTATGATTGAGACGGAGCTATCGAAGGTGTATGAGAAGATTGAGCTGACTCTTCTCAACTCTCTTCTCCGCTTGATTATGGACCACAACTTGGCAGACTACATCACTGCAAAGAACAACGTCCAGTTAACGTACAAGGACATGAACCACGTCAACAGCTACGGTATGATTCGTGGTCTGCAATTCTCGGCCTTTGTGTTCCAATATTACGGCCTCGTTCTTGATCTGCTGCTGCTTGGTCCTCAGCGTGCCAGCGAGATCGCTGGTCCTCCCCAAAGTCCCAACGATTTCCTCCAGTTCCGCGACAAGGAAACGGAAACCAGACATCCCATTCGTCTGTACACTCGATACATTGACAAGATTTGGGTATTCCTGCGTTTCACGGCCGATGAGTCTCGAGATCTCATCCAGCGATTCCTTACGGAACAGCCTGATCCCAACTTCGAAAACGTCATCGGCTATAAGAGCAAGAAATGCTGGCCGAGAGACTCGCGTATGCGTCTTATGAGACACGATGTCAACCTTGGCAGGGCTGTCTTCTGGGATCTCAAGAACCGACTGCCCCGATCTGTTACGACTATTGAGTGGGACGACAGTTTTGCCAGTGTCTACAGTCGCGACAACCCCAACCTGCTGTTCTCAATGTGCGGATTTGAGGTCCGTATTTTGCCAAAGTGCCGCAACCAGAACGACGACTTCTCAGTTAAGGACAGTGTTTGGTCCCTCGTCGACAACACAACCAAGGAGAGAACAGCACATGCTTTCCTGCAAGTGACTGAAGAGGACATCCAGAAGTTCAACAACCGTATTCGCCAGATTCTCATGTCTTCTGGATCTACTACCTTCACGAAGATTGCCAACAAGTGGAATACTGCGTTGATCGCGCTTTTCACCTACTACCGCGAGGCAGCGGTTTCCACTGTCAGCTTGCTTGACACCATTGTTAAGTGTGAGACCAAGATCCAGACGAGAGTCAAGATCGGTCTGAACTCCAAGATGCCGTCACGTTTCCCCCCGGCCGTGTTCTACACTCCCAAGGAATTGGGAGGTTTGGGCATGATCTCTGGTTCTCATATCTTGATTCCCGCCAGTGACAAGCGTTGGTCTAAGCAGACCGACACTGGCGTCACGCACTACCGTGCCGGTATGACGCATGACGAGGAGACATTGATCCCCAACATCTTCCGTTATATCATTCCATGGGAAGCTGAGTTTATTGATTCCCAGCGAGTCTGGACTGAGTACTCTCAAAAGCGTATGGAGGCGAACCAGCAAAATCGCCGCCTTACCTTGGAGGACCTCGAAGACAGCTGGGACCGTGGTCTCCCTCGTATCAACACCCTTTTCCAAAAGGATAGAAGCACTTTGAGTTTCGATAAGGGTTTCCGTGCCCGTGCCGAGTTCAAGATCTACCAGCTCATGAAGAACAACCCCTTCTGGTGGACAAGTCAAAGACACGATGGAAAGCTTTGGAACCTTAATGCGTACCGCACGGATGTCATCCAGGCACTTGGTGGTGTCGAGACCATTCTCGAGCACACGCTGTTCAAGGCGACTGGATTCCCTTCTTGGGAGGGTCTCTTCTGGGAGAAAGCTTCAGGTAAAGTAACCTCGCTTTGACTTTGGTGTTGATTAGCATTACTAACGCTTTTTTTTTCTTACTCAGGTTTCGAGGAGTCTATGAAGTTCAAGAAGTTGACAAATGCTCAGCGATCTGGTCTGAACCAAATTCCTAACCGTCGTTTCACTCTCTGGTGGTCTCCCACAATCAACAGAGCCAACGTCTACGTCGGTTTCCAAGTTCAACTGGATTTGACTGGTATCTTCTTGCACGGCAAGATTCCCACTCTCAAGATCTCGCTGATTCAAATCTTCCGCGCCCATTTGTGGCAGAAAATTCACGAGTCTGTGGTCATGGATCTGTGCCAGGTCTTTGACCAGGAATTGGAATCCCTCGGTATCGAAACGGTACAGAAGGAGACGATCCATCCTAGAAAGTCTTACAAGATGAACAGTTCTTGTGCAGACATTTTGTTGTTTGCCAGCCACAAATGGAATGTCACTCGGCCTTCCTTGTTGTTTGACACCAAGGATGTTATCGAGCCCACCACGACCAACAAGTTCTGGATTGATGTCCAGTTGAGATACGGCGACTACGACTCTCACGATATCGAAAGATACACGAGAGCCAAGTACCTCGACTACACAACCGACAGCGCCAGTATCTACCCCTCAGCCACTGGTCTAATGATTGGTATCGATCTCGCTTACAACCTGTACTCGGCATATGGCATGTACTTCCCGGGTCTCAAGGTCCTCATCCAGCAGGCTATGGCCAAGATCATGAAGGCTAACCCTGCACTGTACGTCTTGAGAGAGCGTATTCGCAAGGGTCTGCAACTTTACGCCTCCGAAAGCAATCAGGAGTTCTTGAACTCGCAAAACTACTCGGAGCTTTTCAGCAACCAGACGCAACTGTTCATTGATGACACCAACGTCTACCGTGTGACCATTCACAAGACGTTCGAGGGTAACTTGACGACCAAGCCTATCAACGGTGCCATTTTCATCTTCAACCCCAGAACTGGTCAGTTGTTCTTGAAGATCATTCACACTAGCGTTTGGGCGGGTCAGAAGCGTCTCGGACAGTTGGCGAAGTGGAAGACGGCAGAAGAAGTGGCGGCTCTGATCCGCTCTCTACCTGTTGAGGAACAGCCCAAGCAGCTTATTGTTACCCGTAAGGGTCTGTTGGATCCTCTCGAGGTCCACCTGCTCGACTTCCCCAATATCTCCATCCGAGCCTCTGAGTTGCAGCTTCCTTTCCAGGCTGCAATGAAGGTGGAGAAGCTGGGAGACATGATTCTCCGTGCCACTGAGCCGCAGATGGTTCTCTTCAACCTTTACGATGAGTGGCTCAAGAGCATCTCGTCGTACACGGCCTTCTCTCGTCTCGTCCTGATCTTGCGTGCCCTGCATGTCAACCCTGACAAGACGAAGCTTATTCTTCGCCCAGACAAGACTGTCATCACCCAGGACCACCATATCTGGCCGACTCTGTCTGACGAAGACTGGATCAAGGTTGAAACGCAACTGCGCGACCTCATTCTCAACGACTACGGAAAGAAGAACAACGTCAACGTGTCCAGTCTGACAACCACTGAAGTCCGTGACATCATCCTGGGTATGGAGATCTCCGCACCCTCCATGCAGCGCCAGCAAGCGGCAGAAATCGAAAAGCAACAGCAGGAGCAGCAGCAGTTGACGGCAGTAACAACCAAGACGCAAAACGTGCACGGCGAGGAAATCATCGTCACGACGACGTCCCAGTTCGAGCAGCAAACATTTGCCTCTAAGACGGAATGGCGCACACGTGCCATTGCCACGTCGAACCTGCGAACCAAGGCCAACAACATCTACGTGTCTTCTGTTGACAATGACCTTGATGACGTTACATATGTCATGCCTAACAACATCCTCAAGCGCTTTATTACCATTGCCGACCTCCGCGTCCAGGTCGCCGGTTACCTCTATGGTTCTTCTGCTCCTGACAACGACCAGGTGAAGGAGATCAAGTGTATCGTCATGATCCCACAGATTGGTGGTCTGCGCAATGTGCAACTCCCGCAGCAGCTGCCGCAGCATGAGTTCCTCGAGGGCATGGAACCACTCGGTGTCATCCACACTGCCTCCGGCTCCGAGTTGCCCTACATGTCCGCCATGGATGTCACAGAGCACGCCCGCCTCCTCGACGCCCATCCGCAGTGGGACAAGCACAACACCGTCACCGTCAACGTCGCCTTTACTCCCGGCAGTGTCTCGCTCTCAGCCTGGGGTCTCACGCCTCAGGGCTACAAATGGGGTGCTGAGAACAAGGACACGGGCAGCGATCAGCCTCAGGGCTTCACGACGACAATGGGCGAGAAGCGCAAACTGCTCCTCAGTCCGCGGTTCCGCGGCTTCTTCCTCGTGCCCGAGAACGGCATGTGGAACTACAGCTTCATGGGCTCGGCGTTTGCTGGCATGGAGAAGAAGCCCATCCACGTCAAGCTCGATACCCCCCTGCCTTTCTATAGCGACCAGCACCGTCCCGTTCATTTCCACAGCTTCGCTGAGCTAGAGGACATCTGGGTCGATCGCCAGGACAACTTTGCTTAAAGCGGCGACCATTGCATGGCACGCTTGGCAGACGATAATGGCGCATTGCCGATCAGCGCTGTTTTTGGAATTTGAATTTTTTTTACTTTTTGTTGTTTTTTTTGGTCACAACCTACCAAAAGGCGACGCCTTTGGCCGATATTACAAAGTTAGGCAAGGAGACACTTGAGGGAATCGGTGGATGTTGATCAACTGGAAACTAATGCATTGTACTGGTACATCAAGAATAGGACGGGGGCGGCGGCAGCAGCAGCAGCAGCAATGTATTACGATACGGAAATTGGTGGTCGAGGGGAAGGGGGGCCTGAACTGGATGGCAGACTGCTTCACCAGCCAGCCCTGCGAGTCAAGGAGATGACCGAAGACGGGACGGGGAAGTGTGAGGTGTGAAGGGACGCTGGGGTTCGTTGCGCGTGTGTGATTAGTTGGCATTTGGCGTTGAGGGGTTGTTGCATGCCCTCTATGGGTTTGATCGAAACCAAACTGTACTTTTTTTGTCCCAAAAGATGACTTGTCTACTAAAATAAAATCATTAAAAGAAAAACAAAAGGGTATTTTTGTCTACGCGATGGGTTCGAATATAGTCAAAACAACATGTGAGCTTGTCATCATCGCCATGTTTGGTTTTCCATGCTTTCTGTAAAACAAAGACGTATACGTGAGGCTCGTGAGTCGTCACCATGGAGGGGGGCGAAGCAGCTGTCACTATTTTGACAGGCGTGTGTGCCAGGTGCCCTTGTTCTTGAAATTTAAAAAAAAAAAAAAACAATAACAAACTCGGCCTTTTGCGGCCTCGTCATCATACGGAACTCCGTCATGTCAGGAATCGGGCCCAAACTGTCGGAATTTGTCATGAAAGGGGGAGAGGGGGGAAGGTACGGGGGCGAAGGGGGCCAGAGACAAGGTAGACGAAAATACGGGGGTGGCGGTTCCTTGTGGGTGCTGTGAATAGAACAACAAAAGTTCGAATGCCTTCTTGATTTCCCTTTCCAAAGCTTCCATGCAGCTACTCCTCCAGGAGGTGCGGAACCACCAGCAGCAGGGGACCTAGCCTGGAACGCATGCAGATGGAGGAGATGGGCGTCGAGGCACGCAGGTACGGGCGGTGGATGCCGAGAACGAAAGGGATCACCTGTGCAACAGGCACCCCCATCGGTCAGAAAAGGGAGGGAGCAGCGTGCGTGACGACAGTTAGTTGTGGTGTTTTCTCACTTTGGCACCTTTGCTGTGGAGTCCGCATCGTTCCTTCTTGGGTGGCCTTTGCCATGCCCGCGTATCCGCTGCCACAACGGCCCCTACCGTTGGCCTGCTTGTTTTGGTGTCTGATGATGTCTCTGCCTCTTCTATCTTCGGACGACACTGACTGCTTATGGTAAGGCGGCGGGAAGGCCGTCAGAGTTGGGGGGTAGCCTAATCGCTGATTCAGCGGGGTAGATGGCCCGCGCAAATTGGAGATTTCATGCATTAATGCGACTGGGCGAGTTTAAGACAGGCCACCCCCTCCCCTTTTTCTCTCTCTTTCTTTTTTTGGGCTGACAACGTCCTCGTAGATCGATAGGATGGAAACATGCTTGATCAAACTGGAGAGGCTAGCTGCCCTGTAGATATTGCAGCGGGGGTGGCAAATTAATAAACGTCTACCGAGTATAGCACGAGGGTTTGGAAAATAAACCATATGTCGGCAACAATGTCCTAATATGAGCATGGGGAAAAAAAAAAGGCAGTTCGTCCGTGTACTGTCATTGTGGCAACGGAACAAAACGTCATCGGGGTGTGGCATCCTGGGAGATGGGGTCGGGATGGGCTTAAGGTGCGGCTGATAACAACGATTCATTCCGAGTTTGGTAGGTCCTAATCCAGGCCGTCGGAATGAGGGCTCTTCCTAGGAACTTTGTTGGACGAACAAGGGTTCGGGAAAAGAAAAGAACAAAAGAGGTGACATGGTGCGGATATTTTTGGTCCTGGAGATGTGGCTGTTGTGGGTGACCTGATTGGCGATCAGCAAATTCGACGCCGCAATCGGGCAGAAGTAGAATGAGCCACAGGGCGGCGCATGAAAACCTCTAAATGACTTCTGGGTCAACCCCCGTTGACTGAGTAGCGAGACGCGCCGGATTGGGTGGTTTTCGCAGTCGGGACGAACTATTGAGCTTGGAGGGTGGAGATGAAGCAGTTCGGAGATGGCTCTGGCGTTTGGGCTGAGAGGGAACGAAGGACGGTAGTTGCGTGAGAGCATGTGTTTGAGTTGGCTGTACTCTTGGCTTGGTCGCCATCGCATCGTATTCCTCATCTTATCCTTCCAAACCCAGGTCGAGTTCTAGAAGCGGCGACACAACCACTTGTCGGCCGACTCAAAAGTGTACGTGGCTCAAGGTAAATCAAACATGGCTGAAGAGGGGCTGTCGCGGATCTTGGGAGACGCTTGGAAATCGGAAGGCCGGCCAACTCGCGACACATCTTGTGATTCAATCTTCGGCTGGAGCAGATAGTATGTAATCTGAACAGGGCTGGTTTCTGAAGGATCCCTGA